ATCCGTAAGGCTGATCTTGTTTTGTGTGGTCCAAGGATGCTGCAGGCATTGATCTATCGTTATCCGTTGCTCAACGTCGACTGTGAGCATGCGATCGATGAGGTCCAAGGCAGGGTCGCCAACACTATCCCAGTATGGCGAAGGGTAGTCGAACCGGCCCGACTTGATTTGTTGAGAAAGCGTGTAGGGATTCTCGGGGCTGTACAATTCGTCGGAGAAGGGGGGGAAACCACACAGGCAGATGTATAGTACAACGCCAAGTGACCACACGTCGACAGCACGCGTGTAGCGGCGGTGATTTGAATTTTCCAATATCTCGGGTGCAACATCTGTTATTCGTTAGCTTTGAGTCACGGCACATGGACCAATGCAACGTACATGATGGGGTGCCGCACAGCGTTGTCGTGAACGACTCTTCGCCGATGATTTTGGCAAGCCCAAAGTCGGCCAGCTTGATAGAGAGGTTCTTGTCGGTGAGCAGGATGTTTTCGGGTTTGATATCACGATGAACGATGCTTCGTTCGTGCTGGGGACTTGTTAGTGCGCAATAGCATTGAGACAATACAATGGCCACTCACAAGATATTTCACTGCTTGGAACAGTTGCACAAAGACCTTGCGCGTCTCGTCCTCGGTCAACTTTTGCTTCATGACGATCCAGTTGAACAGCTCGCCCTCTGTGGCTAGCTCGAGCACTAGGTAGACGCCGTCGTCTTCGTCGTACGTGTCCTTGAGGCAGAGAAGGGCAGGGTGGCTGACACTCATGAGCACAGCAATCTCCTGCTGCAGGCCGTCGACCTTTGACTTCTCGCCGGGACCCGAGCGCTTCTCAAACTTCTTCACTGCGTAGCGTATGCCTGTTGCCTTTTCAGCGCATAGGTACACCGAGGCAAAATGGCCCTTGCCCAGCTGTTCTTGCAATGTGTACAGCTGTCGGAAGCCGTGTGTGTTGCGGCGCAGTGGGTAGCGGAAGACGTAGCGGGCTTGGTCGAGAATGGCGATTTCGTCGCCTTCGTGCAATTCCCGACGCTTGTTTCGTCCGACTAGGGACTCGTTGACAAAGGTACCGTTGCCGGAGAGGTCCTCGAGCACCGCAATAGCATCGCCGCCCTTCTTCTCCGTGAACAGCAGACAATGCCGGTTCGAGACGGTAGGCGAATCTAGGACACGATCTGGAGCATGGTCAGAAACGATACATGGGGCCCCGCAAGCAGCACGCCGACTTACCGCACTCTCGATGGCGTCCGATGAGGTAGCCGCCAGCGGGAACACCGCGCTCCTGCTTCTCCTGCTCGTACTTTTCTTCCTGGCCCTTGTACTCGCCCTTGGTCACACTCTGCTTGCCGTCCGTCTTGCCGACCAATGCCTGGGGGACGGGGCAGGCCTGGCGACGGCGCAGGACCATGACGTCGCCCGCGCTCGCGTCCATGGGCACCAGGTAGCCCCAGACTTCCTCGCCTTCCTCATCCTCGACCGCGTATGTGCGCTTCTCACTCGGGTAGACAAACTGCGAAAAGGGCTGCGTGTCCGACGGTGGCGACGAGAGGCCGCCGCGTACATGTGCCTGTGCCTGGCTGGGCCGAGGGCCAGGAGGAGGGCTCACCGTGGCTTCCTTGTATTTGTCCGAAGCATCTCCAGTTGATTCCTTGTTGGTCACGGGCGACGGCAGTGGGCCCTGCTTCAGACGGCTGTTTGGCGGTGGAGGCGACAGGCGCGACTGTCGGTTTCTCTTTGGCTCGTTCTGCTCACCTTGCGAATACTATGGCAATTCCACTGTCAGCGCGCACTTCCGCCCGTGCTTTTTGCTGCCTTGGGCTGCCATAACGTACACGACCTCGCTTGAGCGCGCTTTTTTCCGTCTGCGCAGGCATCTTGACGGCGGCTGATGACTGACTTTGACGTGAAGTTGGGTACTACAGGTCAAGGTAGCAGCCCTGGAGGTAAGCAGGTAGGTAGGTACGCCGAGACGCCGGGGGACGGGTACAGTATGCGCTAGGCTCCACTCCTGACCTCAGTCGGCTGTATCACGACACACGCCCGACTGTATTGCAACAATGTCTACATTATCTCATTTTCCCCGTCTTACTGACGCAGACTTCGACCAAGCATGCTACGCCTTGTCACACGCCTTTGAGCAGCAGCCTGACTCTTCTCGAGCATGGCATTCGGTCCGTGTCATAGACTCGGCCGCCACCACTCTTGTCCGCATCACCAAAGCACTCTCAACCACGCCAGACGTCCCCGCCAGCACCAACATGGAGATGGCAAAGCAAGACAATGATGATGATGATGATGATGATGATGAAATGGAAGAAATTTTCCAAGACGATCCGGAAGCCCTTTCCTCGACTTCAGCACCATGCAGCCCCACGGTCGACTATGACGTGCTTCTCTCCCCAACCTACCGTGTCCCCGTCCTCTACATCAGCATCCATGATGCCTTACATCGTTATCCCCCAACACTTGATACACTGTACCGCCATGTCGTTCCAGAAGGCCTCTGGTCGCAGACGCAGGAAGTTGGCATAATTGGCGGCATCACGATTACGGTGAGACTAATGGACCAGCAATAAGTATTGTGACTTAAACGTGTTATTTTGCAGCATCATCCCCTTAGCGATAGGCCGGTTTTCTTCATTCATCCGTGCCGGACGGCCGAGGTCATGGAAGCTAGCATGGGAGAAAAGACGTGTATTACTGCCCAAGAGTATTTGATGGTTTGGATAGGGGCACTAGGGAGGAGTGTGGGGCTCGAGGTGCCTTTGCGTCTGGCTCAAGTCATGTTGAGGTGAAGGATTGATGAGGACGGGTCTACAGGATGGGTAACAGCTATCATACAACTACAGTCGCATGCGCACACTTGCCTTTTCCAGCTCGCCAATGTTACCCATGCCTGCCAAGCTCCATTTCTCCGTCACAAAGCCCTGATTGACTTTGTGGCGGAGCATGCCACTCTCGGCATAGTATTCCATTATAGACCTGGCCTCTTCCTTGCTGAGGCCGCCGACGTTGATGATGTCGAAATTGTAGGATTCGCCGGGCAGGTCTCGGAGGGCGTCCATGACACGCGAATCTACCTTTTTGTACGGATTCCATTGTGGCATGTCTCCTGACGTTTGACGCGCTCGTGCTGCTTGGATGCAAAAGTCTAGGGCAGGAGACGTGGGTGAGTTGGACTGTGAGGTGGCGGCAATTACCATGCCGCCGTTGGGGAGCTCCTTCTGGCCTGAGAGGTGTTGGACAAAGTGGTCGACCAGGGTCAGATCATGGGCGTGGATAGGCTTGACCTCAGCAGACATGTATTCCGAGTGGCGCATAATGTGAGAGAGGCCGTCGAGGGCCAGCAGAACTGGCGGACGGCCAGGCACGGACAGCTCGTTCCAGAGCGCAACGAAGACTGGCCATGAGGCCTCGGGGTTGGCCATTCCGAGCGCGACTAGATCTCCTAACGTAGCGGCAGGCGGAAGCGGCAGAGGCAGGTCAGGCTTTGTGCTCACTTTGGTGGCGTGGAGAAATGCTCGATTGGACTTTAGCATCTGCTGCAGCAGGTTGGCTGTGTAAGTATCTTGGGTGTATTGCATTGGCTGTGAATTGGGAAGGGGAGCATAATCAGTGTGGGCATTGACCAGGTCTTGAGCTACAACGTGTTAGTGAAGGTGCCGTGTGCCAGCTGGGCCGTCGTTACCTTCTGGGAGGTTGATGACGAACCAGTCGCGCAAGAAAGCCATGGCCAAGCCCTGGAGCAGCAGCGTACTCTTTCCGCTCGCACGCTCGCCACACAATATCCTCCGTATCGTCTTCTTCTTCTTCTTCTGCTGCTGCTGCTCGTTGGTTGCTGAGTCTTCGATGTCGGAGAACAAGCGGGCCAGTTGTATGGCTTCCCTCCTCATCAGCACGGCCGGGCGGCGGAACAGACTCCATGCTTGGTTTGGCTTGAAGGCATCGACGGCCCTCAGCGCATCCACGACGTGCTCTTGAGGCAGGCCCATGACTTTTCCCTCATTCTTCTCGCTGAGAACGTTTGCCTTGTCGAGATCCTGCAGTGACGAGACGTGCAGTGCATTGTCGTTGCTGAGGATGATGCGCTTGCGGAGCGCCTTCCTCTCTCCCTGGCCGGGCCGCTTGCCCGCGTCGCCTCCTGGTGTCGACTTGCCCTTTTTCGTGTTCAGAGACTTGATGCCCTTTTTCGGCGCGGCCGTCATGCCCTTTTTCTTGACTACGGCGGCATAGCGGGTGGCCGATGTGGAAAGGCAAGCGGTTCCTATTTGCGGTCGCAGCAGGCGGGGCACATGTGGGCTGCAACCATGAGCACTGGCATCAAGCGACAGCTGTGACAAGGTGCGTAGGCATATGGAAGGCGGCATATCTGCCCAGTGCTCAATTGGTCGAGTTGTGTGGTTGTTTAGCTTGCTTGGATGGCCAGAGAGGTGCGCCTGTCGATTTCTGCCCTGGACCAGGCCTCGGAGGTCCGCCGTCATGGTGCACGGACGCCGACTTGTCCAAAAATTATTCTCTGCCTGCAACAGATCGCGACTGGCTTTGTACAATCTGCACGACAAAGCGCAAAAATGTCCGACACTGAAATGGACCGAGGTGTCGCCCTGGCTTTGACTTCGCCAACTCAGTCACAGCTTGCCGACGAGATCAATGGAGGTGCCATGGACGTAACGTCGCCGCTGCTCATGAATGGCGCCGCCGCATCCGTCGCAGACTCGACCGTTTCCAGCCGCCTGTAGGTCGCATCTCACTCACTTGCCCACACCGCATGCTTACTGACCGTCTTGAAATAGACCCGTTAGCGTGAACAAGCCCACGCCTTTCACTTTTGATCTGGGCAACCTGCTTGCAAACGACCCAAACCCCGTCCCCGCTGGCGCCGACGAAGGAGCTCTCGCCGCCACTGCCCGTGACGCCGCCCAGGCCCTCATCAACCAGCTCCTCTCTACATGCGAAATAAAGTCAAATTCGGATGGCGTACATCTTGTTCTCCCCGCACCGTCAACGCCCCTGCCGCGTGAGAAGCCGATTCCCGCTGCAAAGGAGCCCACCAAGTGGGAGCGCTTCGCTGCCAAGAAGGGTATCAAGGACAAGAAACGTGATGGCAACTTGGTTTACGACGATGCGACGGGTGAATGGGTCCCCAAGTGGGGCTACAAGGGCAAGAACAAACATGGCGAGACCGAGTGGCTGGTCGAGGTTGATGAGAAGAAGGAAGCTGCGACAGGCGAGGCCCATGACCAGCGCGCGGATAGTCGCAAGGAACGCAAGGAGAGGATTAGGCGCAACGAGAGGAAACAGCGTGCAAACGACGTCAAGTCTCGCAAGACTGCTGTATGAGATGAACCACATGAGCTTTGCTTAAGCTAGGCACTGTCTAGCCAACCCTCGGACCTTATCATGTATGTATTCACCTTCGTGCGCATACGCACTTTTATCAGCCACTCCATCTCAATCAGGCCAACATAGCAGCCGAGTCTTGCAGCATAGCCTGTCATGCATGTCTCCGCTGTCTGGTGTGTTGGACATTGCACGTGCAGCATGCAAAGCAAAACCCGCACAACCAAATCACATCGGCAAATGTTGAGAGATAGGCAAGCTGCAACACACACACATCATATAGCTTCCTGCGATATCCTGATCTGGAAATTATATCGACATGTCTACTGTTTCTCATACACAATTTGTTGCAACATGGAAAATACTTGTGAAATACATCTGTTGTCTAGCAAGCGTCCATGTGTAGTTTACGTGTAAATGCAAACCTAGATATTTGTACCCCCTAGTCGTCACAAGACTTAACAAGCAATAACTATGCTCCACTCTCATGCGCTTACGGAAGCTTAGCCGTACCCCACCCCCACCTCTGCTCGCATGCCCGCTTCTATTAGTTTCCCCGCAGACACTCAACCACTAAATGTTGAGACTGACGTTACTGCACACTATGTATTCACTCCTCTGCCGCCGAAAGTCAGCTTGTCAGCTAAACCGGCTGGATACTATGTAGTCACTAACCAAGGCATCTGCAACCGCCTGGAATTGTGTGGTGGATAGATCCCTGATTGACTTAGGCAGGATGCCGTTACTGCCACCCTCGTCATAACGAGCTTCGCGAGTGGGGATTGCCCATGCCGAATTATACGCCATCCGATTAACCTCGGGAGATGCGTCTTTTAAAACGTGCACCGTCGACTGGCTTTACACCGACTTTTATCCCTCTGTTCTTGTTTGCTTTTTGCTGTCTTGCTCTTTAGCATTAAATCAGCCTAGTCCACCAGTCCGCCATCTTGCCACTGACAATGGCTTCGGCAATGGAGCCACCGCCTGTCGATAAGGCGAGCGAAGAGAAGATGATTGGTAACGAGAAACTCGAAACATCAAATCACATACACACCATCGAGAACCTTCCCGATCCCGACGCTGGGCTCAGTGAGGAAGAACGTGCAGCGCATGTATGTTATTTACCCGTCCAAGCTGACATGTCCCTGTCGCTGTATCCGGGGAGCTAATACCAGTAACTAGGACAAAGTGCTTCTCCATAAACTCGACTGGCAGCTTATACCATGGCTATCATTCCTGTACCTGATATCCTTCCTGGATCGTACAAACATTGGCAATGCCAAGGTCGACGGCTTACAGCAAGACCTCCAAATGACCGATGGGCAGTACAATGCCAGTTTGACAATCTTCTTCGTCAGTTACTCCGTGTTCGAGCCGCTGACAAACGTGCTTCTCAAGAAATTGCGACCAAGTGTGTTCTTGCCCATCATCATGATACTGTGGGGGATTTGCATGACGTGCATGGGGCTAGTGCATAATTATGCTGGCTTGATGACGGCTGTAAGTTTATCAAGCAGAGCAAACCAAGTTGTTGGAATCAGTTGTTGACCTTGTTCAGCGGTGGTGGCTAGGTGTGGCCGAGGCCGGATTGTTTCCGGGCGTCAACTATTACCTGAGCTGTTGGTACAAACGCTCAGAGTTTGGAATTCGAGCTGCCATCTTTTTCTCCGCTGCGGCCTTGGCAGGATCCTTTGGAGGCCTCCTCGCCGCGGGAATTGCGCAGATGGCGGGCGTGGGAGGGAAACCCGGTTGGGCTTGGATCTTTGTAAGTGGCAGCCAACTAGACTGCAACAATGACAATATACTCACAATCATACAGATCCTCGAGGGGCTCGTGACTATCGTCGTGGGCATCGCCAGCTATTGGATGGTTCACGATTTCCCTGCTGAAGCTACCTTTCTCTCTCCAGATGATCGAGCCCGCGTCCTGCGCCGCCTGAGAGCCGACAAACAAGCCTCTGCCTCGCATGAGGACTTTCAGATGAAATACTTTTGGCAGTCGGCTACAGACTGGAAAACGCTCATGTTCGCCATCATCTACATGGGTGCAGATGGCTCGCTTTATGCCTTCAGTCTCTTTCTCCCATCCATCATTTCAGGAATGGGCTACAAGTCGACGACAGCAAACTTGCTGTCTGTACCTCCGTATGCCGTGGCAGCAGTTGTGACAGTGGTCGTAGGGTACATTGCTGATCGCACCCAACAACGTGGATATTGCAACATGGCCGTCTCCATCTTTGGTATCGTAGGCTTTGCCATGCTCATTGGCTCTGGAAGCCCCAACGTGCAATACGCAGGTACGTTTCTAGGAGCTGTAGGCATTTACCCCACAATCGCGAATACAGTCACCTGGGCAGCCAACAACGTTGAGGGTGTCTACAAACGAGGCGTCACGCTTGGATTTGTCATTGGATGGGGCAATATTAATGGCGTGGTATCGTCCAATATTTACCGGAGCAAGGACAGGCCGAGGTATTTTCTGGGCCATGGTGTTGTGTTGGCGTATTTGTCGCTTTGGTTGTTAGGGGGCAGTATTGCAACAAGGATCTTGTTAGCCAGAGAGAATGAAAAGAGAATGCAGGGGCTCCGGGACGCTTGGGCCGAGGGCAAGAGTGAACAGGAGGTTGGAGAGATGGGTGATCGGCGGCCGGACTTTTTGTATACGCTGTAACTGTTCATTGCGTTGAACAAGGGGTAGGAGATTAGCGGAAAAGGTGTGCAGATGGAGAATCTCGGTCAAGTAAGACTTTGACAAGCTTCGTTGCCTTCTCCTGGGTGTCGCTTGGCACGACTGATGGCGTTGGTTCACACAAGGTCGTATAAGTCGCGTCTGTGCTGTGTAGGTAATAAGGCCGATGATTCTAGAACGCAAATACGTAGGTAGGTGCATGCACGCGAACACGTCTACTGCCCTGATAGTAAATCCACAAGCCACAGGAATCGTTCAGGGAGGACACAGACTTGTGTGTGGCACATGGTTGCTCCAGAAGATGTGTACTGTAGCAGGCCGTGGCCAACTCGACCCGTAGTCTAGTGACTACGCCATGCCTCGTTGTCGATCATGATCATGGAACGGCCTGGTTCACGATTCAGGTACACGCATACAGTCGCTCCGATTTCATACTGCACTATTCCTACCTGCCTCTTTTCCCGACGTTAACTCAGCCCAGTTTGCAGGCGATCCGGAATAGGAACACTGCGCCGGCGTTAGCGCGTTCTCCGCATTTCTTCTTCGTCCCGCCCGCCCCCGGATCTTCTGAACATGCCGACACCGAGGGTTCAATACAAGACCACCAAGATGCACACAACAGGACCCACCACAATGGACCAGCAAGCACAGAAAAGAGTATCCAAAGCATGCGATGCATGCAAACGAAGAAAAGTGCGGTGCAATGGGCAGGCACGCTGTCAACAGTGCGCACATCTCGGTCTCCGATGTATCTATTCACCGTCTAGCAAGCAACGGTCTCAGGGCAAGAGAGGTCACATCATCTCCGAATTCAGGAATCAAACGTCCATGTCGCCAAAGACTTCGCCTCCCATACTAGCAGCACGTCCAGGCAAAGGCAACTCTCAGCCGCCATACAGTCCTGTCTCGCCAACGGTTGGGCGTGATGGAGGCGAGCCTAGTATGTCACCATGAAAACCTCAGCAACGTGCTGACCGCAGGGTAGTATCTCCCGCCTCTTTCTCTACACTCGAGTACGACAAGGCGTTCTTTCTCGGTCTCATTCCAGACTACGTCGAGGGTGTGTATCCCGTGCAGCCAGTCATTACTGAATATGAGCTCAGGCAGTATATTGAGGTCATGGACACGGACCAAGATATTCATTCCTTCATCTACGCGTTTGGCGCATGTACGCTAAACCTTACGCGCTACGGCAGCCGCAGAACAGCAGAAATCGTCCAGACCATCGAGCATCTAATGGACCACTCAATCCAAAGCATGAAGCGAGCTCATAAGCACTTTCACTTCTCCGTCATGCGGGCCATGCAGTCCATGTTCATACACAACTGCCTCATGAGTATCAATGGACCTGACGCCGCCTTCTACTACATCCGCGAAGCCATTTCCATAATTCAATTGCTGCGTATAGACAATCCGGAAAACGCTGCAAAGCTGTCGCCTCCGGAGCGATCTCGAAGACAACGTTTATACTGGCAAGCTTACATTCATGAACGCTTCCTGGCTATCTTAGACTATCGGCGCGCCATCCTACCACCGCTCTATACATTGCCCGAAAATGAAGGCACAATTCCAATCCAGATTCACGAAGGCTTCACCCAAATTATCAAACTCTTCCAGATGCTCGATCCCGAGTTCCTCGGGAGCTGGCTTGATTCGCAAGGAGGAGGCGTTACCAGCACCTGGGTCGAAGCTAAATCGCGAGAGCTTGAAGGCGATCCCGAAGCCGACGCTCAAGAGCTAGCCATGCTATCCATGATGCAGCGTGCCGATCTGACCATTACACGAGAATGGCTGCGCACACTGGTTTGGCGTCTCGCCATGAGCCAAACGCTCCTGTCAACACGGTCGTCTAAAGAATGCCTATCCCTCCTCTTTCCTATTAGGCTTTCCCAAACACTCCGTCAGCACGTGTCCAGCATGTCTCGCCACGACATTGAAGTCCACGGCAGCAGCATTACACAGAAGCTTTTTGAAATCACAGACACAATTGCCGACGTTCTTATTCATGTCCCTGCCGCGACACTCGAAGAAACAGCCCTCCGCATCGACGACTTTCTATTTATTCTTGACTTTGTACTGCTTTTTCCGCACCTCGATCAGACGCGTCGCGGGATCCTGCTGGAAAAGCTAGAAAGACTGCAGACCATGTTTCCAGAGGCTCTTAGTAATGCCAGTTCGCCGAATTTGCCCTTGGAGCTGCAAAGTCCAGGGGGCGCTAACGACCCTTGGTCCCAGGTGGCGCAGTCGAAAACTGCGGCGGGGCTGCAAGGGTTGGCCGAGGGAGCGGTAACAATGCAAGCCAAAGTACAGACACAGAATCAGGAGGCGCAGGCAAAAAATGGGAAACTAGCTACATGGAATGATATTTCGAAGCGTTTGTCCATGCAGGTTGCTACATTTGAGCATGCCTAGGGTCGTGCTTTTTAGAACAGGTGTTTTAGACTTGTGGGTATTCGATCCAACGTACACTGCTACACATGTTCTAGAGCAACCATGTGCCACACACAAGTCTTATGCGGCCAAAGTATACATGTCTCATTCAACGGAATACGCACAATCTGGAGTAGCAAACATATTCTTCTATTGAAAAGTCTAGATAGCATCTTTCGAGCTAACCTGCTCCAGATGTGTGGAAACGCCCTTCTTATCCGCATATATGCTGTCCCTGTCACTGCCTCCAAATCCGTCTACTACTGTCGTCCTAAACTTGCGTGCAGGAACGCGTCTCTCGAACAAGACGTCCAACTCACCATAGGTCCGCCCCTTGGGTTCCGGCAGTCTGAACAGCGCCCACAAAAAACAGCAAAAGCAGGTTCCGGCATAGAAGAAGCCGCTCTTGGCACCCCAGTTCCATGCACCGGGATTTAGCATACGCGGAGTGATGACGTTGCCAATGATGGAGCCGAGATTGTAAAAGTTGCGCGCCAGCACAACGGTTTTCTGGCGCAAACGCGTCGACGGAATCTCGGCGACGATGGAATAACACACAGGGCCGACAGTGCAGTTGTATGCTGCAGCAAAGAGAAGAAGCATGCTGCCAATGCCCCATTGTGCGCTAACGTTGCCCTTGTGGATGGTGCCCAGGCCGCCGATGATGCAGAGCAGAATGACCATTACGAGATCACCTACTACGTACAAGGTGCGGCGGCCGATGCGCTGGATGAGGATCCAAGCTACCATTACGCCTACGCCACCGATTGCATATTGGCCTAAGCTCATGGAGAAGGCATCTGAGTCGCTGAGGCCGGCTTGCTGGAAGAAATAGGTGCTGTAGCCGATAAGGCCAGCGCCGCAGAAGGCCTGTGTGAACCATGCCATTGCTGCAATCTCGGTGCGGCGGAGGTCGGTTCCTTTGAAGCAATCCAGGTACGAGGTTCCTTCAGAGAGGGCCATTTCCATTGCGTTAGTGTGCCGCATCATGGCGATTGTTTCGTCGGCGTTGAAGTCTGGGAGCTTCTCGGGTGATGTCAACCGCATGAGCATCATCTTGGCCTCGTCGCAGCGGTCCTTGCGGACCAGCCACCAGGGCGATTCGGGGGCGAATGATATGCCAATCATTAAAGGAATGGGCCAAATCCATTGGAGCGCATACGGGATGCGGTATGCCCACTGATCCGGAACCTCGGCCACGCCCTTGAGAACGCCTGATGCGAGAAACTGGCCTATGACCCAGCAGAGATTGACATAAGTAGTGAGGATGGGACGAAGTGGAACGGGCACGACTTCTGCGGCATATGTACACGTCAGGGTCTGGAAGACTCCCCATGGAATACCGCAGAGAATGAGACCGCACAGAAGCATGACGATGTTCTGGGCAAAGAAGACGACGAAGATGAACAAGTTGACGGCGAACAGGGCGCCAATCATGGTTTTCTTGTATCCAAAGCGGTCCGCGATGATGCCGTTGAGTAGCAGGCCCGCGCATTCACCCACATAGGCACCGTTTGTAAGGCCGGCTTGCCAAGCTGCCGTAAGCTGCCAGTCGCCTCCAGGCAGCTCTACACCGAATTTCCGCTTGAAAGCAGGAACAGCCATGAGATTGGCAATCAGGACCTTGTCGAAGCCTTCCATGATGATGGCGGCGGAAAGCAGAACCGACCAGGCAATGGCTTTGGGGTATAGATCGATGCCCTGTCTCAACGTCATGTGCTGCTCTGACTGCGTCGCTTTGCTGGCATCATGGGCAACTTGTTTGAAGTCCGGAACGGCAAGCGAAAGGCGTCGGGCCTGCTCTAGGTCGACGGCGACGACGCTGCTATTACGGCGCGACATTGCTGTTCCGTCGACGACCACTGTCAAGCTAGAGTATCAAGACAAGCACTGGAAGTGGGCAACAAAAGATGTGGTAAAAGCTTCAGGGCGGAGGTCCAACCCAGCCGTCTGGTGGAGCGTAGGGTCGGTGGAGACTTGAAGCTCGGTGATGGTGTGGTGGATCCAAACGCGATACTTATACAACTTGACGACTTCAGCCACGCGACACCCATGTGGTAGTCTGAGCTCTAGTCAGGCCAGAAGCCGGGGATGCTAAAGCGCATCAATTGATGCGGGGATGGGGACACGACAATCTCATCTCACACGTTGAGCCGTCGTCTTTCCCCGACCTGCAAGCGACCGTGGAAGAGTGAGCTAGGCTGTAGTGGGAGAGTACCGCCGACGTGCTTGTGCCACGAGAAAACTCCGCCGACACTTGTCACGGCTTATGATTTGTACAAAGTCGGGCCGGTAGAAGGACGCACGGGCGCAGAGACCAAGGCAAAGGCGCAACAAAACATCCGGGCCTAACTTTTGGCCTGGTGTCTAGAGGCGACGGTGCGATTCCTTGTCAGCTCTTGCAAGCGCACTTGGTCGCTACTGGTTGCATGTCGGATCGTGGCCTTTTGGTTTTTTGATAGCGCACATTTCTCTCTCCCATGCGGCTGACATGCTGACTGTTTTCCCCGCATTTCCAGCTCCTCTAGTGCCTGGGGAAGAAGTGGCAATGGGCGTACGGCGGTGTCAGTCTTGGACAGATCATGACAAGTCCGGCACTTCTGAACGAAGCTTTCGTCTCCCCCAGAATCTGCAGATCGATGAAAAGGCCTGAGGAAGAGAGGCTCTCTATGCGGGCATGGTGATCGCAGTTGACCACATCTCGGATATGCAGCATTCGCTTCCCGGACCGACTTTAGACAAACCACCATCTTGCCGAGACTTTTTCCGAAACAGGCGACAAGCTCACAACGTGTAGTCGCGCCTCCAAGAACACGCATGACCTCTACATAGGATAGTCTATCAGGGTTATAAGAAAGCTACGCCGCCGTTGCAAGCCACCCATCTTGAAGCCACGCTTGTCCTTGTTGACGTTGTGCAACCCCGCCCATCTTAACACACGCACCCAGACCCTGCACCAACGCAATGACCGTCACGCAAAGGCCTTGGTGGAAGGATGGCGTCGTGTACCAGATATATCCCGCCAGTTTCAAGGACAGTAATGGTGATGGCATCGGTGACTTGAACGGCATCATCTCAGAGCTTGACTACATTCGCTCTATTGGTGTCGATGTCATTTGGATTTGTCCCATGTACGACTCTCCTCAAGTTGACATGGGATATGACATCCGAGACTATCAAGATGTGTACCGGCCGTATGGAACAGTGCAAGACATGGAGAGACTGATTGCCGAGACACACTCGCGAGGAATGAAGATCATATTAGATTTGGTCGTCAACCATACCTCAGACCAGGTAGGCTCCAAGTAGTCCATGTCTTCGGGGTGCAAGCATCCGTGGCTGACTTTGTTCAGCATAAATGGTTCTTGGAGTCGCGCTCCTCAAAGGACAATCCAAAACGTGACTGGTACATTTGGAAACCCGCTCGCTATGTTGACGGCGAGCGCAAACCCCCAAACAACTGGGTATCCAATTTCACTGGCAGTGTCTGGCAGTGGGATGAACACACTCAAGAGTATTACCTTCATCTCTTCTGCCCCGAGCAACCCGACCTCAACTGGGAGAATCCAGATACCCGACAGGCCATCTACAAATCAGCCATGGAATTTTGGCTGCAGCGCGGCGTCGACGGTTTCCGTGTCGATACAGTCAACATGTACAGCAAAGGAAATATGCTCGATGCGCCCATTACGGATCCGGGATCCGAATGGCAATTTGCTGGCTACCAGTACTGCAACGGACCGCGCATGGCCGAGTTCCTGAGCGAGATGAATCAGATCCTTGAAAAGTACAATGCCATGACTGTAGGCGAGTGTCCAAATACCCCTGACATGAAGCGAGTCCTGCAATACGTCTCGGCAAAAGAAAGACAACTCAACATGGTCTTTCAATTCGTAAGTTCCGTTTCCAATTGTTCTACTTGTCTACTTGTTCTTTCCCTTTACGCTAAATCGTTGCCTACTAGGATGTCGTCGACGTTGGCCAAGGACCCTACAAGTTCCAAACCACGCCCAAGAACTGGACACTCCCGGACTTCAAGCGCGCCATTGCGCGCACCCAAGACCTTGTCCGCCCACCTTCAGACGGCTGGACCACCGTCTTTCTCGAGAACCATGACCAAGCCCGTTCCATCACACGCTTCACCTCGGACGCGCCCGAGCACCGTGTTGCAGGTGGCAAAATGCTGGCACTCATGATGTGTGCACTTAGCGGCACACTATTCATCTACCAAGGCCAAGAAATCGGCATGATCAACTTTCCGCTAAGCTGGGATATGAATGAGTACAAAGACGTTGATTCTACAAATTACTACAAGATGGTCGCCGCACGAACAAAGAACGACTCAAAGGCACTTGAGGCGGCGCATCGCTCGCTGCAACATCTTGCCCGTGACCATGCACGTGTGCCAATGAGTTGGAGTACCGCGCCGCACAATGGATTCTCACCACCCGACGCAAGTGCAAAGCCTTGGATGCGGCCATTGGAAGACGCAAAAGTATGTAATGCAACACAGCAGCAGAGCGATAAGTCGTCCGTATTAGCTTTCTGGAAAACCATGCTGCAAATCAGGAAAGAGCATGCTGACCTTTTGGTACATGGTCAGTACGATGATTTGGCTGTGGATGATTTAGACATTTTTGTCTTTACCAAGACTTGGATGGGGACAAAAGTACTTTGTGTATGCAACTTCACAGACAGAGAAAGAGACATGGTAGTCCCCAAGAGCCTGGAGAGAGTGAAGAAAGAATTGCTAATGAGTAGTGTTGGAGGAGATGGAAGGTTCTCGGAGGAGCAGTTGCAGGCGTATGAAGGGCGAGTTTACATGCTAATCTAGATGGCCAGGTGCGTTCGCTATTAGCATCAAGGCAATTTTATTGTTCACGAGGTAGTTTATCTTTGAATTATATGTCATGTTCGGTATATCCCATGTGTTTGCCTGCACAATCGAAAGAGTAATGAGCATTCTGAAGGCACCCTGGTGACATGGAATACTTGGCAGACTAGTATACAAATGTCACTGTGGTCGCCAGACACGCCTATCAGGTGCTTACCCACTGTCAAGTACTCCATGTCACCCAGGTGGACGAGTCTTGTTCATTGTGTCCCTGGTAGTCATTTGTGCACTTCAAAACTCTCAACAATGTAGTATATCCATTCATCTCGTCACTAGACGTGTATACCAACGGCCTCAACACTCCAACTCGACGATGGCTGCACTGCTCCAGGGTATCTCCACACTGAGCATTCCCTTTTCGTCAATGTTCAATACCTCTTCCCTTGTAGCATTCGCCATCCTTACGGGCCTCCCCTCATCAAGCTCATAATCAAAACTATAGCCGTTCCAAGTAATTCCCGAAGTAGCGTCACTGCCCTCGGCCATGAGCCTTTGGACCTTGCCCTCGCCCTTGCAACAGCTGGGCAACTGAAACTTGTACGCATCTTTCGGCCTTGCAAAAGGTGTTGTAAAGTTATTGGCCGTCGTATTATAAGTATGAAGATCGACGACGAGCAGGCGAGTAAGAGTATTGTTGGTATATGCTGCGTATTGCGCTGCAGATTCTGTCGATGAATCCAAATGTGCAACGTGGAGACGAGTTGAAGGGGAGGGTTTGTGGAGGAAGGCGGCGACTGCTAGGTTACCATAGTAAGGGGGCTTGGTGCCGATAGTTGACAGGTTGGTCTGGATAGGTTGCCAGGATTGGTAACTTCATTGCAGCGTTAGTGAGGCATTAGACGGTGAAGTGTGTAAGCGTAGATGGGAGGGAGAGGAAATACGGTCGAAATAAACGTACCGGTAATTTGTCCCCTGATGCATGTGCGAGCGAGAAATGTTCTTGGAAGCAAGATACAGGTTCCAATCGACGCCCCACAATGCCGCGCCGAAACTGTTGCTTAATCCTGGGCGTCCCTGTCTAGCAAGAGAGTTATGCTCGCCCAGAATAAAGGGCAAGTCTGGATCCAGGGAAGTCCCTAGTTCCCTGATGCCTCGCGATACATTGAGCTGGGCATCCGCTTTGACAATGACGTTGCTGTGGTTCATCAATGTGCCTTGTAGCGTGATGCCCAGGTTTGTAGAAACGCCCATGTAGTTGTGCGAGGATACTATACCGACATTCCCATTCTTGTTAATACCCTGCTTCCATGCCTCTACTGGTCCTAGAGTGAAATAAGAGTCCACTCCTATGCCGGCAAAACTCGGCGCCATGAATTTTGAGCCGAAAAGGTCGGGGCATGCAGTCTTGACAGCTTGCTCGATGGTATTTGTGCCATTTATCCATTCGGATACATAGTCCGTCTCAGTCCAGTTATCACGACGGTAGCCTGAAGCGTGGAAGAGGTCAGGTTCGTTGCCGTATTCCCAAAAGTCGAGGTTGGACCCTATGGCCTTGCACGCGTACGGAACAGATGCCCAGGTTGCAGATCTTGCAGCACTGGAGTTGGCGCCCATGTTGAAGCCGTGGGTGAATTTGGTTCCGTTTGGCATGGTTTGATAAGACTCAAAAAACGATGGACCAATGGTAATGATGGTTGGGTAGTCGGCAGAGATATTGGGGCGGATGACACCGATAATACTGGTCTTTTGTGATTCATCAAAGATGGCGATGTCTCTGGACTTTAATTAGTCATGTTTACGTGTCGCTGTTAGGGAGTGGATATTACTGTGTATTGCCTCCAACGCGAGCAATAGGCATTGAACCTTGCAGTTTACCAATGTTGTTCATGAGGTTGTACGTGAAGTTATTTGGATGCGATAGATTCCCTGCAAGACACGACGATCAATTACGCCGTAAGATTCACAGAGGAGAGACTACAAATTACCAGCAAAGTCGGGCCATGACGACAGCTCGAACGAAAAGGAAACAAACGAGTCCAAAGGAATACCGGCATCTCCAGGAACAGACTCGGAGATTACAATTGGCTTAGATTGAGTAGAAATATGAGTAGCCTCTGCTTTCAACGAAGCGACGAAACCCCAGAGGAGGAGGGAGCGGCTCCCAGTAGGTATCATAATGAAATCTGTGCCTTGACTTTCTTCCAGCTGGCCATGCCGTCCATTTTATACAGGCCGTCGGCAACTGAACGTCGGGAAAGAATAGTATGCAAAATTTTCGAGGCTGATCTTGTCCATGTTTCTGCATGCATAGCCCGATGAGATGCGATGAAAAGTGGAGAAAGACGTCTGGGGTGCAATGCAGGAAACGCGGGGTAAGTGATGCCGATATTCGGAATTGGAGCCACATCCCGATGGCGAGGCAGGGATAATGCATTTAGTGTGCTCAGGTGAAGAGAAGACGATTAGCCCGAATCGATCATACGGTAGATATCATCCGGCGAAAGCTGCTCAACAAAGACTGTTCATTGACGTTAGCTGCCAATGCACACACAAGCATTTGTTTCTCATACCTATTATTCTGCATTGAAACTGTCAAAGGCTATAGACTGAACGGAGCAAAAGCAATGAATTGTAACCTAAATTTCCTGGGATTACTCGAGTGTATGTGGAGGGGATCATGCATGGACACATCTGAGCTAGCTGCTCTCTGACAAGTCAAACGCTTCCAGTGGATGAGGCCGAATATGGTTACTCTGGATAGAATTCCCATCAGATTCCCATCAGCGCACCGTATCCTTCCGAATATGTCGTCGATCAAAGTATCGCATGGATGCTTCGAGTCTGCGTTTGATGCTTAGCTCTACAGCCGCACCATCAGGGTCGTGACGGTAGGACTCAACGTCTCCGATGTAAAAGTACATGGGTTCCCTTTCGTCCGTCTCGCTGCGCAAACAAAGCAGTTGGCCAAACAAGATGCTGGATCCTACTACACTCGCACGCTGTGTCAGTCCACAACGACGGCACGAACGGCAATATCTACTGAAGTCAATATTTTGCTGTTGGATGAAGCGGTCCTCAAGAATCTCCTTTTGCGATACAAGGTATCGATGTGAGGACTTCAGACGTGGTGTCGTACGGGGACATGATGTGTTCACATCCTTGGCATACTAGGTACTTGAAGGGGTAACTGCCCTGGTAGTGGATCAAGTGGTTTTCAAAACCACATCCGCAGATCCAGATGCCATGGCCGGGATCGGTGCGAACTTTGGGATAGCTGAAAGCATCCCAGGGCTCTTCGGCAGGCTGAGCGGCATCAAGCTGCTCTTGAAGTGTTGGTCGGATTGGTTCTGGTGTCTTGGGACGGCTGTGGTGGACAAAGGCGGAAGTGGCCTTTGTCAAATTGGAGAGCGAGACGCGCTTGGAAATTGTCTGAGTCATGGTATTGATGAGCAAACAAAAAAGTGCTGTGGAGTTGTGCTTTGAGTGGGGAACAAAGGCGGGGAGTGATATAGGACGGTGGAGTGAGCTGTGCGCTGCATGGCCAGCTCACTTTGTGCGTTGTGTGGGTACATGAGAAAGAGCATTGTACACAAGGTTTCTACATGGGAATCAAGTCATGTAAAATTGATGCGATGATGCATTTGATGGTGTGTCATCCGGTGCTGATGTGTATGGAGGGTTGATGGCAAGAGAGAACGGGTAGGCGTACGGACCACGCGGCGCTAGTTGCTGACACGAAAGCCCAAGGTTATGGGACCACGGGTCCTCAACTTGAGCGCTCACGTGCATTGCAACCAACAACCACCATTGTCATGATCCAGGCACTTCTTCAGGTAAGCTTGACATGTATCCGGGGCTTGGGCGGTGGATATTTGAGAATACTAACGCGGTTGCAGCGCCTGGCCCGCTGGCTCGACAGGCCGTTCTTTCCATGGAAACAGCTCATCGTTGGCTTCAACCTGGCCGAATTTGGCCTCGAAAACTGGCTCCTCTACCGTCAATATCGCGTGCTGCAACGCACATCAATTCCCAAGGCTCTCGACAAGGAAATCGAACGTGAGACGTTTGACAAATCTCAGGTAATCGACTCGACAGGTGCAAAAAGGCGGCGATGAACTCGGCTTACGTATGTGAAATGCAGGAATACGGTCGCGCAAAGGCAAAATTCAGTTTCATGTCGGGTCTCTTCAACCAGATCAAATCCATTGCCACGCTCTACTTCAACCTCTACCCGTTGGTCTGGGCCGCGGCCGGCTCCGTCGTCGCTCGCTATGCGCCGGTGCGCTTCTCTGGCGAAATCACACAGTCGCTCTTGTTCATGTATATGCTAGGATGGATTGACCTGGTGGCCGGCCTTGGCTTCTCGTACTACCACAGCTTCGTGCTCGAGGAGAAGTTTGGGTTCAACAAGATGACGGTCAAGCTCTGGATCACGGACATGATCAAGGGCCAGGCTCTCGCAATTGCATTTGGCGTTCCCATTGGCAGTGCCTTCCTGGCGATTATCAAGAAGACAGGCCAAGGCTTCTTCTACTACCTCTGGATCTTCATGTTGCTTGTTCAGATCACAGGCATGACGATTTACCCCATCCTCATCGTGCCGCTGTTCAACAAGCTAGAACCGCTCAAGCCGGGCAAGCTCAAGGAGTCGGTCGAGGCTCTCGCATCCAAGCTCAACTTCCCTCTTGCCGAGTTACAAGTGATTGACGGTAGCAAGCGCAGCGCACACAGCAACGCCTATTTCACCGGACTCCCTTGGATTGGCAAGAAGAAGATTGTTATCTATGACACACTGTTGGAGAAGAGCACGGAGAAGGAAGTCGAGGCTGTCCTGGCACACGAGCTTGGACACTGGAAGATGAACCACACATCGCGACTACTGCTGATTAGCCAGGCGCATTTGTTCTACGTCTTCGCCCTGTTCTCCGTCTTCATCAACAACAAGTCGCTCTATGCCGACTTTGGTTTCAACCGAGAGCAGCCAACCATTGTTGGTTTCATGCTATTCAACGAGATCCTGTCCCCTACAGACTCGATAGTCAAACTTGTGCTCAACATTTGGACTCGCAGCATGGAGTACGAAGCGGGTATGTAGCAGCTATCTTGTATGTCTGGTCCAAGCTAACACAAAACAGATGCGTTTGCTGTGAAGCTTGGTTATGCGCGCGAACTGGGATCTTCATTGATCAAGCTCCAAATCCAGAACCTATCCAGCATGGATGCTGACTGGTTCTACTCGAGCTTCCACCACTCGCACCCTATTCTGACTGAGCGATTAAAGGCGATGAAGTGGACGGGGGATAAGAAGGTGGTTGAGGACAAGGCGGCAGACGAGGACAAGGCGGTAAAGGCAACGAACCGAGAACTATAGACGTGCATGTGGTGGTCATGTGTAGATGTGCGTAGATGTATTGGACAAGGTTTGGGCGAGGCTGGGAAGCGTGAGGCTCCCAAGGCCACTGTCATTTTGTGTATTTGATGGCATTCCTATATACTCGTTTCTCACAATGAAGGAGGGGCTAGTTTAAGCCGCATGGTGCAGCTTTGGAGCAGCTTTCTCCCTCTTCCTCTGTAGATGTCTCTCCTTCTTGGCCTTCTTCTTCGCTTCCTTGTCCGTGTGAGCGCCATCATCGACATGCTCCTTCCTCGTGTCTGGTTCCTCGCCACGTTGCTCTGGCTGATAGTCAGCCATGCCTTGCAAGCCGTCCTCAGGCGTTGACTGATTTGACTTTCTTGGCTTCTTTGACTTGTTTGACTTGTTTGACTTGTCGCCCGGCTCTCCTCCTGGGGTAGTAACAGCAATGTCGGCAACATGATGGTGATGGTCATCGTGCAGGTCAAGAAGCGATAAGTCCGCCTCCAGGTGCTCGCCGTGTAAACCGGCAGCGACGCGGCGCAAGTGATGCATGAGTGGATTGCCCAAGGCGCCGCCCTGGGCGTTGAAGGTGACGCCCCGTGGTGTAATCATGGCGTCTGGGTGGAGGTGCGCATGTATTTCCGAGTTTTTCAAGTACTTGTCTAGCATGGCGGAGGCGGAAGTGGACGACATGGGCGTGCTGGACACATGTCGGACCGGCGGGGGCGCTTCCAGTGGCATAGCGACGAAATTCAATCAGGTTATGCAAGGAAGAGAGATGGGGAGTGTAGTATGCGCCTAGTATGCGCCTTGTACGCACCCTGTACGCGCTGTTGAAGGGTCAGTTAGGACGTGTCGCCATGAAGGAGCACTTTTGCACTTTGCACTTGGCGATGCAGGTACTGGGGCAGAAAAGTACTTAGTCAAGGCACCAAAGAAAAAAAGCGCACGGACCGCCGCCCCCAATGGCTTTCGGTAGCGATGGTGGTAGCGTGTTTTTGCGCATCTGGATGGCTTGCGCCGGGCGTGCATCCAACACCTCAATACGGGTTGGGTCAAGTAAATTAAACAACGACGACACTGTCGCAAACACGGGATGAAAGCCTTTCCCTGCGTGAGGGCAATTGCTCGCCCTAGACACAGCACATGTACCCTCCTCCGCCCACGCTTCCCAATACCAACACGCCAATCGTACGTCCCTACCCTACCCTCTTCCTCCACCCAAGAAGACGCATAAACACTGACTAACACAAACACACACACATAGTTCACCACTGCAAACCCGACTCATGTCGCTTCTCACACCCCATCGGCCCACGCTCGCCCGCTCATCCTTGGTCCCACCACCAGCTACCACAGGCTCGCTCCTCCCTTGTGCCGGTACAGACACGCTCGACATCATGGGCAAGATATCGCAACATCCCGGTCTGGGCAGCATGCAAATTCGGTGTGGTCCAAGAGATACTTATAATCCGAGTCATCTGGTGAGGAAGCGGAGACATGGGTTTTTGAGTCGGATCCGTACCAAGAAGGGCAGGAAGTTGCTTATGAGGAGATTGAAAAAGGGAAGATGGAACTTGAGCCATTGATTGGCTTCTGTTGCCCTCTACGAATCGAGAAGTAGCAAAACGAAGCCTGCTACACATTACATATCAAATCATACTGTTCACCCACGAAGCCACTACACACACCCCTCCTCAACCGACTCCCCCTTCACCCCCTCCCCAAGCCCCTCAGCAAGGCTCAGCTCCTCATCTACCTTGTCAATCTGCTTCAACACAAACGCAATTGTCGCATCCCTTGCCTTGTTCACCCTGGCCAAAGCCTCCATACTCATGCTCGCATAATCTACCGGTTTTGCCGGCGTCAATGGCACAGCCAACCCGCCCACCAACTTGGCTTTCTTTTCCCCCAGCAATTTTCTCAACGCAAAGATGTTGTAATCTCTCTCCTGGAGATTCTTCACTAGCTCGCATCTCCGGCTTTCCTCTTCTGCTCTTCTCTTCTTGCTCGTGCTTCCCTGCTGCGCAACCGCATCAGCCGCCTTCCACGCCCCTATTGCCGCTTTGGCGCTGTTTTCAATGTGCGTGAAACGGATCGGGCCAATGTTTTGGCCGCCATACCAGCGTGCAACGACGACGGTGCCTGTCGTCTGTGTCGAAAGTAGCACGTTGGAGAGGCGTGCCCCGGCCCATTTCTCCCCGTCATCGTCGTGACCCAAGTCATAGAGCGTCCTTGACGACGGAGTCAAAGACATCTGCCGTGAGGGAGTGCGCCAAGCCGCTATTTTATGCGTTGCAGTCCGGAATACCGCCAGGCCTTGTAGAGTTTTGGCAGGTAGATTGGGAGAGAAGGCTGCCGTGAAGGTGCATGCTTGTTCTTGAATAGCGGCGGAGAAATAAACTTCACGTCTCGACGAATCTACTGGTGAGCGCTGTCTTTTCATTTCTTGTTCCGTCTCGTTCTTGTGCTTTGAATGGGGTCGGTGTTGATAGAAGGAAGGATCATGCGTGGTTGGGGTGCAGGGATCATGACATGGGGGAACCGAGCTTGTTACGCTAAATATGATGCCGAATGGACCTCGTTGACTTTATACCAGACTTCGCTTTCATCCTTGATCAAAGTCTACTCTTCCCCATAACTTGATTGTTCTCGCTCCCATAAGACTTTTGTCCCCTATTGCCTTCCCTTGATCTTCATTCTTGATCACTAAATCACAATATTAAACTAATCTCTACATTGCCAATTCGTCTCCTTTTATCTACATTGACTAATTCTTGTGTCTTCCCTAAATCAGCTTATCTTGTCTTTCTTATACCATCTTATTAGAACCTTCCATTAAACACAAGAAGGTAGGCTCAGGCAGTCTGGTGTGATGCTGCAAACGTTATCCAGGGGAGAGCCACATAACCCTCGCCGTCGCCGTCGCTTCATATAAATCGCTATCACGTAGACAGGTGTGCAACATCTCTTCGACGTCCGGTATTCTCTCGCTCCACCCTACTAATCACTAAACAGGGTAAACAATTTTTACCAACGCTATCTCCATGTTCACTTGCTTTCCATCGCCAATAGCAGATCAAGTCTCTTCCTGTGAGTAGAGTTCTTGCCCAAGACTTACTTAGCGATGACGCCACCAGTTGCTGCCTCTCTCACCCTTCTTTCACTTCTCGGTGCAACAGCCACGTCATAGCCGACGCACGGGACCGCCACTCTCTATATAATCCGCCCACTTACCCCCCAGGCTACTTTCCTGCAGCTCGAGAAACTTTTGGCGCGAGGAGACTACCAATCAACACGCGCAAGTTTACAAAAGCTCCGACATCTGGCTTACCACACTGAACCTTCTACACCCCGATCTTTGGTCAAGTCAATCATCACTTTGGCTCCAAGGTACACTCGGCCCTGGACAAGCTACTAAAGGCTAGAGCTTCTGATCGATTCCAAAAAAAAAGGTACGCTAAAGATCAAAGCTAAGTTTGCTTCACATGTTTTGCTTGCATCTTTCGCGCTTGATTGCAGACAAAGGCGTGTTCAGTTCAAGGAACCTTTTCGCCACCACTTTGCGCATCGCAGAATCCACTGACATTTGAGTTCCAGGAACAGTTTCAAGTCGCGCTTTGGACGCGCAACAAACATACTCAGCAAGACATTCCCCTCACTCTCAGTCAAACTGATCAACCAGCCCGATACGTGAATCATGGGTCGCTTCGAAGGGTTGAACGATGACACCAAAGACCTGGTGACCTGTCTTCTCCCTGCATTGGCCGCCTCCTTCGGCCTCTCTGACCCCGTTCACATTATACCTGAGGACATACGCATGCGTGCTTGGGACTGTGAGCGCCGCGACCACATCAAGGCAGAGACCGAAAACGACCCGCGCAACTGGGGGGTGCAGTTCCTCAAAGACCTCAAAGCCATCTCGCGCCTTAACAGTGGCAATCTCACAGAGTTTCAGGAGATTCTGCGCGGCAAAGTGGCACTGCATGAGCCAAAGCATCCGTGGTGCCGGCTCGCGGACATCAAGGAAATCAAGGACGAGTACGAGCACCCTGAAAAGAAGAACAAAGTCGTCGTTGTTGAGGAGGAGAGCAGCTCATCGACGGACTCGTACTTTGAGGAACTAGTTGAGCCCGATGTGCCGACTGGGAAGAAGCGGGCGCTGAATAGCGGGAGGCATGAGGTGTATGAAGCGCGGGTTATAGAGAAGCGGCGGAAACGTAAGTTACCACGATACCTTTTACCATTTCCATATCTAGTTGCTCTACTTCATACCCTTTACTAACAACACATGGTGCAGAAAAGCCGAGGCGCCTCCGACGTTCTCCCACGGGCGGCTTCCAGCGACACGATCCTCATGCCAAAAAGCGCCGCTCCATGGACCCCCATCACTCTCGCTCCAGTCGCACTCCCATATCCGGCCGTACTCAGCGTCAACCGCGAATCATGTCATCTGACGACGAGGCCTCTGTTAATTCGCCTGATGCCCGATCCCTCTATGGTCACACGACACCTGCCTTGTCCGTCTCGCCTGGTTCTTCCACCGCTCATGTGTATAACATGGAGCTGGAGCCAGCTTCAAATGAGCCGCTTGCCGTTCAGAAGCTTCAGGCTGAACTGGAGGTTGCAGAGGCGGAGCTCAAGGCTGCGAGGCTGAGGCACCAGTATCTTCAGGCTAAGGAGCAAGCAAAGCAGGAGGCCTTGCATTGTGATGACGGACATCAGACGCTCGAGTAGGGGGTTTCATTGCGTGTGTTGGGCGTGCAATTTGGCCTCTCGTCTGGTCACGACCGAACAAAGCGTTATTGGAATATATCAGGGAGATCATGGATGCAAATCTGTCACATTTCAAACCACACCTATTTTTCTTGGCTGTAAGGGTGGATTTCTGATAGAATGATGGCGTAAAGTCTGAACATACTGCGTAGTATAGTCACAGCAGAATATGATAGCACTTTCATATGAATGATGAACGACATGTATACGGGTATCAATTTATCAGCCAAGGGGTGTCATAAAAAACTTGACAGTGTGGGTAAGCACCTAATGGGCGTGTCTGGCGACTACAATGGCCCTTGTACAATGACACCAGGGTGCGAGCAATCGGTCTCGCATCATGGTCATTCGATGAACAAGTCATGTCGTCAAGCCAGGTTGTCAAGGGCCTATTAAGCCTTGGTATAAGCCGGCAACAAGTCGTCACTGTCGGTCTTCTTCGCCGCGGCCCTCGCCTTCCTCCTCTCCCGACGATCCAACTCCCTCGCCACAGCCTTGGCAAGCTTCCTCCTCTCCTCGCGCTCCTTTTGCTTCAACACATCCGTCTTGCCCTTGCCCGTCCACACGCTCTTGAACTCCTTGCGGAACTTTTGTCCAAAAGTAAGATGCTTGTCGGCTTCCTCGTCAGCCTGGCGCTGGTTGTACTCCTCCTCGTCGTCTGTATCGTAGAAGTCGGATTCCGCGTCGTCGCCCTCGCCCACGAGGCGGTTGGTTTCCGAAGACTCGAGGCTCACGGCGCGCTGGTTACGCGCCTTGTCCCACGCCTTGGTGCGGGTGTAAGCTACACAGCCTGTGATGCTGAGGACTGTGAGGAAGGGGAAGGAAAGGAAGAGCAGCATGACGATGCCGAAGGCGATGAGGTCTTCGTCCATGATTTTGGTAGGGACTTAGGTGGGGTTGAATATGTGTTGTGTAGGTATATTGGAGATTGTTGTTGTCCAATCGAGCTTGTCGCAGGGGGGTTAAGATGGCGGAGGGAGAGGCAAGTCATCTTAAGGAGAGTGTTGGTTGCCACTGCCAAGGCGGAATGTGGCGCAGCGAACCGCGTTTCAGGCGACGCACGTCACGCAATGCGGAGGGCACGTGAAGGCCAAGTTGGAACTGGAAACCCAACGCTCTTCATTTACGTCTCGGGTCCTTGCGTTCAATATATTTATGTATTGGTTCATCTTCTTCACCGGATGCGCACCGTTCGGTGCCGTTACTGTGTCGCTTTGCTGATCGACACATTGCATTTAATTTTGCCCAGGTAATAGTTAAATCGTGTTGAGAATATTCCGGTCACCTGTCACGAGGACGCTAAGTCACATGACCCACACCGCTCTATATTAGCCGAGCTTTGTATAGTTAGCAATTGACACACTTACATGCCATGACTGAGAGAGTCATTCTTTCTCAACAGGTTATGAGCCCGGCTTACGCGCTTGCGTGTGCATTGTGAGTGTCCGGAGTGTCGTTTCTTCGATATGGGCAGCAAGCTGGTATATGCGTGTCTACGCCAGAACAACCCAGGAGGTCGTCGCCTTCTATATTCTAAGACACTGGGTCGTCGCCCTGGCTGCCGCGAAGGGTATTAAGTCCTGAAGACACTGGGCCGGAGCCCTGGCTACCGCGAAGGGTATTAAGTCCGAAGAAAAATGGACTATCGTCCGGAGAAGCTGGGAGCGTCTCGAAGATACCTTGGGCGAGTTATACCCAATTCCGACGCGCGAGTCGAAGAGAGCAATGGTTGCTCTATCCCTTTTCAACCAACCTTTTGACAACGATTCGAATACCTACCTACCGACGGTAACCATCGATTCTTCCGAAAACAACTCGAATTGCCTGCCTATCGATAGTAACCTTTCGAGACCTTCTTTTTAAACTAGTAGCTACAGTTCGACAGCTACTTTCAATTCCTTAAACTCGAAAACCTACCGTTTGACGGTGCTCGAAGTTTTTTTACTCTCTCGAACGCTACCCACCTACCCCCACCCGATTTCTCGATCGATTTTTATCTTCTTTCCAAAGGATTTCGTTAAATAAACGCAAAGAAGCAAAGGCTTATATAACGATGGGGGAGAATAAGGGTGTTAGGGTCTGGAGCCCTGAATAGGACACAGACAAGGAGGCAGGAGCGGAGGAACGGAGCGGGGACAACAAGAGAGGAGAGCGTACATAGCTAGAGTACTGGGAGTACTAAGCTAGGGGAGCGCTAGGATAGAGGAGAGCGTACACAGCTAGAGTACTGGGAGTACCAAGCTGGGGGAGCGCTGGGACAGAGGAGAGCGTACACAGCTAGAGTACTGGGAGTACCAAGCTGAGGGAGCGCTGACTCTCACGTAGGAGTCGAGGGAGAGTCGGTATGTTGGTGATATCGATTCTACCTTGATTTTCAAACGCGAAAATTCTCTCGACCTTCTTTCTCGACCTTCTTTCTCGACCTTCTTTCTCGACCTTCTCTCTCGACCTTCTTTCTCGACCTTCTTTCCTCAACTCTTCACTCGGCCGATACCTCACTTTACTTGAGGGACTCGCAACGTAACGGCCACTATAGGGTGACAGGGAGGTTTCATTCTTGTTGACAAGGCACTTCTGGGGGAGTGTTGGAAAGTGCATGCAAGGCGTTCAGTGGAAGCATATAAAGGGAGAAGAAGCTTCGACTGCAAGACCTATACAAAGTAGTGGGTACAGCTGATCGGCTTATGGGGGAGTGTTGAGAATATTCCGGTCACCTGTCACGAGGACGCTAAGTCACATGACCCACACCGCTCTATATTAGCCGAGCTTTGTATAGTTAGCAATTGACACACTTACATGCCATGACTGAGAGAGTCATTCTTTCTCAACAAATCGCATAGATATATTCTTTTCGTTCCTCACAATTCAGAAGACTACATGGCAGTTACCATTTATCCTATACCTGGTACCGATATATCAAGCACATCTAACATTTCCCCCTCGTCTAATCTTATGTTCGCAACTACCACGACTCCCCTTTCTGCAACCTCCGTCGTATCTCACGTCTTTTGGCGTTCAAATCTCTACACCTGTCTTCACTGTGAAACACTTTTGTATCCATCAACTTCCAACCCGATTAGGGACGCATTGAACAAGGCACTAGTAACGCTGGTCTTTTTCGGTAAGTACTATACACAAGTAGTTGAACAACAAGCCGTAATTGCTTGCTAGCATGGATAAACTGGGGAATTGGGAAAGGAGACTGTTGGTTTTTTCCTTTCATTTCGTGTACAATTAGTTTCACCAAACCAATCTTTAGGTTTTCCAGCAAGCATAGTGTTGTATATAGAGCTCTCCCTACTACGAGAGATCTATGATTTGATGTTTCACTTTCTGTTCCTGCAGAAACAGCTATGCGTAGACGTAGAAGACACCGATAGGTATAGTTCGTGATTTCATGGTTGCCAAGTACATCTGGGAGTTCTCATTGCGTGTCGGTCGATAGCAGATGTCTACCTGAATAAGGAAGCTTGATAGAGAGTGCCGTGCAAAATATATTTTGATAGACACAAAAAGTAACGACATATTAAATTAATGGTTCGCGCCTAGATTGTCTTGTGTGATTCAGAGAAGCCATGTACTCAAAGATACAAACTTCATTTCCCTGGCTCATATGAAACTTATCTAAACGAGAGTATTTACAGTAATGTTTATGCTATGTACAGTATATAATTAGAGAGCCATGAGTACCAGTAGTCCAGCCTGGTCAAACATCTCAAGGGGTGATTTTATAAGTTAAGCGCCTCGATTTAGTGATGAAGGTATTAATGGCGTCTGTAAGGCGAGCATTTGGCTTTTTGTTGTTGGCCTAAAGGGATTGGTTAGAGATTCGCCGTTATTCGCTTTGTTCCACCATTGCCTTTGGACGAAGAAAAGGCACGTACTTCTTGGCTTCCGTCGGGCGTAGCGGCACGATCCACAATGGCCTTTTCACTGTCAGTCATGACAGGTCTGTTAGGAGGGTAGATTGATGATGCACGCGTCGGCCTTGAATACTCGCTGGATGCGCGTATTGTGCCTCCATAGTCGCTGGTTATTTGCGTATTTCTCCCATATTCACTAGACGCCCGAGTTGTTCTTCTATGGTCGTCATCGTGCTTGACATCATCGGCAAAAGGGTTGGGTGTGCGTTGCTGGAATGCTTGCATCCTCTTTTTTTTATTTGACCTCATTATGCAAAAGACTACTAGCGCAATAATCATGCTGAGAATACCTATTACTGTGTTAGAACCAATGCTGATACATTGCGACGTGTTTCTTACCAAGTACTCCAAAGAGAATGAATAGTGCCCTTGACACGGGTGTCAATCCACGCTGCGGTTCAATACTGTCGGAGGCGGCGGGAACAGCTAACACTGTCTCCATGGCGGGCGGGGCGGGTATTGAAGAAGAAAACATCTGAGGTGTGTTGACAGATTTTGGGATTGCCAGACTTTCGGTAGAGTAATACTCTTTACCCTCCGTTCGAGTCACGGTAACGAATGTGACGATTTGTGGCAACAAGTCAGGAGTGGATGTTATTGAAGGCGCAGCTGTCGATGGGGTAGAAGAAATTACAGTCGAAGATGATGGTGTCTGAATTACGGAAGTCTCCGAGGATATTATTGAAGATTCTCCGGAAGGTTGCAAGACGGTTGACGATTCTGTAACAGCTGGAGATGATGAAGTACCTGGCGAGGCGGAAGCCGGGAGCGATGATGCTGAACCATCCGTAATCGCTGTAGGTAACGGCTGTTTCTTTCCTGGCATAAGACCATTGACTAACTCAGGTTGTCCTTGATTAACACCTGGAAGGGCGTCTGAATTCTCTCTGGCGCCTCCTATCAACTCTGGCTTCGATTGGTTAACACCAGGAAGAGCATCCGAGTCTATTCTTGCCCCAGATCCTTCCAACGATATCAATGGAGTAACTGCAGCTACTTTGGTGCTGCTCGCTTGGTTGATCGCACTTGCTTCCGCTTTGATAGTAACAGTAGGGGCCGTAGCAACGGCCACGTCGGCCTTCATCAAAGACGAGGGCGTACCATCCGGTTCCTGGCTACCGGAGGGTGTAACTGTGTTTAGGCCAGAAAGCCATTCTGATTGCGGTAGCCGTGCATTCTCCATCGCCATCCTGAAGTTGTTTGATCGCGCTGTTAACATCGGTGACGGCATTCCCAAGGTCTCGGTTATCTCAGTGTTCGATCTTTCGCGGCCTGAATTAACATTAATTTGTTCTTTCCGGTCCATTACTCTCTTCCCCAGAATGGTTCGGTGTACCAGCACCGTTGAATTTTCATGAAGCCTGCTCGATAGAGCTACAGCAAGATAGGGTGTCCAAAAGGAGTGGTAAACATGCCACAGCACACAGGTACGGCGTTGACGCCACGAAAGTGCGGGCGGCGGAATCGCACCGGCTAATGGAGATCCCATACGAACTAGTTCAAGGACCTGCACCTGGATGCGTGATGAAGCGGGTAGTAGTTTCGACGCGACATGCAGGAACCGTGTGGTTGGTCTGAAAGGTGCTCAAACACGACCTTGTCGACCAAACATGGTAGGCATGAGACCGCAACGACAAGGATTTGCCAACCACTTGAGACCAAGGACTGCGTCATTAGAGCTGTTTGGGAGATAGAATCGCCCCAAAGCGGGTTCTCCAAAACACGCGCGTGTTCTGATGCGGAAGCGAAACAAGTATACTGACACCCGAAACGTACCGCACGCTGGAACAGTGTCGGGCCGGTCAGGGGACCATGAATACAAAAATACCGCGCTGCATAGCTTCCTGGACACATTCAAGCTGGCAATATCTAAATTCAGGAGCTCGAAGCAGACTTTACTTTCCTTGAAGCCAACCTTGGTACCCGAAGAGAGACGTTCTGTTATTTTACAGAGTTAGGCTTGTCCCCTAGACTGCTAATTGTTCAGGGAATTTACGGCTATCAGACAACATGTTGTACAACATGTGGCCTCTCAAAATGCTGTGTAAGAAGACATTAGTTGTCACAGGCAATAGCAATCAAGAACTTCGGTATTAAATGCGGAGGCGCTTGGCTATATACGGTCATACTAACGATGCTTGCTAGCTTCAAAGTTGCCCCGCTCAATGCCCTTGTCTCCACATCGCAGACGTGCGCTCCTTCACAAAAAGTCATGCATTCACGATATCACTGCTAAGTATCTCTCATCGGTGATATACACTCCTAACGAACCCACAAAAAAAACTTTGTATCTGGGTAGTCATAAGTTTAGGTTAAGTTCGCACTGCCCCATCAGCACTTCTTCCACGAAAGATTCAATATCTCTCCAAACCCAGTATCAGCCGAACCACCCTGCACATACCCATTCGCCTTTGAAGACCCCGACTTCACCGTAGCCGACAGAGTAATTTGAATCCTCGCGTCCTTTTTCTGACATACCGTCGCCTCCGTACTGGAAATTTCACCCTCCTTGTGCAGAAGAAAGTCTTCCTCATAAGGCCCCGTAACGATCTTGTGGATATTGCCCTGCCCAAAAGATCAATAAATATACTAGTTCATCTCTCAAATATGAGTGTTTGATATCGCGTACCTTGCCCTTCAAATCCGCTCCACTGGAATCAATCCATTTCCAGCGACTGACCAAACTAGCATTCACACCCTTCTCCAGATAGACGTAACCGCGAAAATCCGCTGAAGTAACATCGAACGCCCATCCTGGCGATGTCATCCCAATATTAACCTTGCAAAGTGCTCGTGTATGGGACGTTACCGCCTTCGGCCCATCTGCTGCTGCGAAGTCGTCGAATATTATGGTCAGCGCAGAGTTGTCGGAGGCGAGCTGAGTGCTGACTTGGTCGGAGCGGCACCCACTTCCTTCAAAATTGGCGTCGATGCTGGTTAGGTTGGCTGAACCTTTGGGGGGACGTACGGGCGCTGCTGCCGCGTTGACAAATAGGGACGATGATGCTGTTGGAGTTGTCACAGCCAGAGCCATGTAAAGCGTGAGCACAAAAGCAAATGCAAAGGTAGAAACCATGGCCACCATTGACATGAAAATCAGTCGATCATTCACAAGAGAATGCCTAGGGAGTAGGGAAGCAAAGGCGAAGAGTGAAGACTGCTCAGAATCACCCTCAGCAGAAACGGGGAGATTGACCGACAAACCATACTTTTTATGATCATAAAACCCTTCGACTGAACCATGACACCTTTGGGACCACGTACTTACTGCACCCAGCACTCCCATCCAATATCCCGTCGTTTGACGGTTCAATACCACGCCCAAGTTCTCAATGTGCTCTTCTATACCCCCCTTCAACCTCGACCCTCGTAACATATAACCCCAGCTTACGTCCGTCCCGCTGGCGTTGCTCACATAAAAGGGTTAGCATGTGCTATCGACACGGGCGTTTTGATAGTGCCGAAAGTCTAAGTGTATTTAGGCTATGCAGGGATATTGTGGGAATAATTTTGGAGAGAGCGATCGTATTTGGGTATTTTGGGGACGAATGAAAACATAGGTTTAGGAAACTTTTCTTCTGCGGCTGAAGCAAAAACCCGGGGTTGACAGTGCTGTGGAGGGAGGAAACGGTTATGAGCCGGGGTCCGATACGGACATGGGATGAAGCCCCGCGATTGGCGGTATCTTCCAAAGAACGCGACATGTTGACCACTGCGCTGCAATATTTGATTCAGAACGAGATATGCGTTGAGGAACATGACCCATCACAGCAACTGCATCTTTGTAAAGTGAGTTTAGATATTTATTACCAAGTGATCAACTCCATGCTCCACCAAGCCCACACCGTCCCTTGTCTAGACTATACTGCTGTAGCGTATCCGTCCGGCGCCTTCTCAAGATGCTCACTCCCATAGTGCATCTTCTTCGCATCAACGCTAGCCGCCCTCACTACGATAACCTCCTCTCTCTTCCCAAACCCAAACAACTCATCCATCTGATCCATCCTTAAACCTTTTGTATCATGAATACAGAACCACGCATAAACGCTCGCGCAGACCAGTGCCGTGGCAAAGAAGACATAGACGCCCCATCGCATACTCGTGTACATCTGCGGGAGCGCTTTTGTTACGACCAGCGTCCAAATCCAAACACTAGCTGCTGCCCATGGACCCGAGATACTCCGCATGGACGCAGGGAATACCTCGGAAGAAATGATCCACGGGAGACCATTCGCTCCAAACGACCATGCAGCCCCAAAAATCATAATCATTGCCGTGGCCCCCTTGCCCCCTGCGACAGTAGAGTCGGACATGGGTTGTCCTACTGTTGGCTTGCCGAGCGCGATATAGACTGCAAGGTAGTATTGGCAAAAGGCGCAGATAAGTGAAGACACGATCCATGGCCATTTCCGACCAAACTTGTCGATGAAGAATGTAAAGAAAATCACGGAGCCGCCGGCTTTGATTACTCCATAGATGCCGGTCCATAGGGTGATGTTGGAGAGGCCTATGGAGGTGAAGATTGTGGGGGAGTAGTAATTTATTGCTGCAGCACCGGACCATGCTGTCAATGGGGATTAGCATGGTGTCTTATCTACAGTTGCGAGCGAACGGATGGAGATTGGGGTGTATTTCATACCTTGCCACATAAACATGAGAAACACCAAGAGGAATCTGTTCCTCATTCCCGGCAAAGCTGCTTCCCGTGCTGCAGCCTTTGTGATTGTGAGAAAACTGGCGTGCATTTCGCCATGCAAAAGAGCAGCACGCTCCTTGGCAATTTCGTTCCGCACATATTGGACATCTTGTGCAATGTACGGATGGTCCTCTGGCAGATTGCGATAGAAAGCGTAAGACTTGAGTGCCTCGGCATCGCGACCGCGCTTCAGCAGCCAGGTAGGGGATTCCTTGAGAATAGGTATCATCAAAGCAAGAAGACCGGCAGGGATGAGCTGTACGGCCATTGGTATCCTCCATGCGGTAGATTTAGATTTTTCAATGTTCAAAACAATCCCATAATTGATCCAGAACCCAATGACTGCGCCAGTTTGGTAGAAGGATTCGAAGAAACCAGTCAAGCGACCGCGAATAGCAGGCGGTGAGATTTCCGCGATGAAGACTGGGGATACAGCTGCGAGACCGCCTACGCCCATACCGGTGAAGAAACGCCCAGCTAGGATGAGGCTGAGTTGGTTTTTGGGAACAGTGCACATGACCGCTCCGACAAGAAAGACCGCATCAGAGACGATGACCGCAGCCCTCCTCCCTAGCAGCTCAAGAAATGGATACATGAGTAGCGCCCCCACAAGGCCCCCTGCAGAATAGATAGATGTGATGTTGCTAGTAACTTCATTCTTGTTTGCTTTTGTGATGCCAAAGTCGCGTTGGAAACTCTCTTGGGCGATGGTCGTGCCGATAAAGGCAGAGTCGTAACCGTAGGCCAGAATACCGAGAGATATCACAAGGGCGGCAATGTAGACTCGCCAGTTATACTGTAGAGTGGGTCAGAAGTGTGCCAAGATGAGAGTGCGTATTGGAACCCTGCTGGCGTCCAATTTTGCAGTTGTACTCACCACCTCGGGCGGCGTAGGCCTATCCTCGGGCGCTCTCGCAAAGCCTCCCATGTCCGTTTCTCAATCAAACTCTACGTCTTAGGTGTTGGAAATTTGGTATTCCAATCCATGGGTTTACATCAGGCCGATTTCAACAAACCCGGGGTAAACCGTACTTCTTAAGCACTCCCACTTCCCCACAAAAGCAAAAAGTGGGTGGAATGAGCGCGTGCACAATACAGGGTTGAAACAATCATCCAGACCCAATGGGACCCCAGCCTGGCGCACTTTTGTCGTGTGGAGTTTGGTGGGTTGACCATGTTCGTTAGACTTGCCGATATGTTAACAAGATGGGGATTGCATAGCCGACGAGTAGCGAGGACGAATCGCTGGTCTGGAATAGCCGATGGGCACGTCCACAGGTTCCACACCGATGCCATGGATGTTCGCGTACGTCACAGTGTCGGGACACATCGCGAGGTGGTGGCAGATGGAGTTGAGCGATTCCGCAATCCTAACTTATCCCAAGATTCCACCGTATCCCTCCTAAGAAAAACTACAGATTTTGTATATTAGATCTAATTGTACGATACTCATACAATCTTGTAAAGATGAAACACTTCCCAAAGCCAACCGAATCGCCTAATTAATCCAGTCCCAGAACCCCCCCACCACCCCCATCATGTCTTCCTATGCCTTTCCCCCAGGAATCCACGTACCATCCTTAACCTTCTTCCAGCCCACCGCCTCCCAAGAAATTGACTGGGCTACCCAGGAGGCCCACTTCACCTTCCTCATCTCATCCGGTCTCCATGGTATCGTCATTGCCGGCACAAATGGCGAAGCGGCAACCCTCTGCTCCTCCGAAAAGACGAAGCTTGTACAAACCGCCCGGAGTATTGCCCAGCGCCTCGGTCGTGATGATCTACCCATAACGCTCGGTGGTGTTGCAGGTTGTACTCGAGATGCCATACAGCAGACTATCGAGGCAAAGGAAGCTGGCGCATCGTTTTACTTGGCGCTTGTGCCAAGTTATTTTCATTTTGCCATGAACCAGGACGCTATTGTGAGCTATTTCCAAGAGCTGGCTGATGCATCTCCGGTGCCAATTGTTCTGTATAACTTTCCAAACGTGGTTGCAGGGCTGGACATCAATTCCGAGATGCTGAACATCCTGGGCAAGCATCAAAACATTGTGGCGATAAAGTTGACATGCGGTGGTATTGCAAAAGTGGCTAGAATAAGCGCTTCGTTCGACAAGTCGGAGTTTGTTGCGCTGGCTGGTCAAAGTGATTGGCTCATTCCGGCTCTCAGTGTAGGGGGGGTGGGATGTATCACGGGAGTGGCCAACTTATACCCAAAGGTACGTCATGCCCCCAACCAGAACACTCGCCGACTAATACATTCTAGTCTTGCATCCAGATGTACTCTCTTTATCAATCTGGTCAGCACGAACGCGCCTCCGCACTTCAAATCAAGCTATCAGTCAGCGAATGGGGCTTCGGCAAAAGCGGTATAAACGGTACAAAGTACGCAGTTGCACACAAACTTGGATATCCCGATTCCAGCGCCGATTGTCGGCGACCATATCCTCGGTATACAGATGACGACAAGAAGGCTTGGGTTGTGAAGCAGGTATCTGTGTTGGATAATACTGAAGCGGAACTATAATCGCATGGTATGAAGATGGCAGAATTAAGCGTTTGGTTGATCGCGGGTGATGGGATACCTCCGTGGATTTGATTATGGGAATACAGCGCCGGCTGTGCATCTGGGTGTCCACAATAGAGCAATCAGACGATAGCAAAGTGATTTGCGGCAAAATACTCCTGGCTAACTCGCCGTACGTCTACACGTGTATTGCCTTCATCTTGTCTCCTCTGTACCTCAAGCAATAAATCTGCTGTTGCTTTTGCATTTGTCGCTATTCCCTCTAGGCTCCGGATAGCTTTCGTAATCCAACGGCGTTCATCACCATCCTCCTCTTCACAGCCCCACATTAGCAGTGGCCACAGCACATTGACTGGAAGACTCTCGTCCGTCTGTATCATGAGATGACACAATCGCCTGATATTTGCAATAGCTATATCAACGTCTTTTGTCCTGGGATACTGCACGTATGCCACACGATGCAAGTGTAAAAATGAAGCATAATAGTTGGCAAGATAAGTCCTGAAGCTTCTTGCCAATGCACCAGCAAGGTTCTTGGCTAAAGACTTTTCTAGGTCTCCTGCAACAGCATGGTCCATAAGTGCAGGTCGTTGGTTGTAGAGCTCGTGAAGATCTTTTGAGATTTGCGCACCGAACGCCATAACTTCGGTTTCGTCTTGTACAGTACCTCGGCTACGGTGCCAGGGGTCGAGCTTGGTAATGCGGCCGGCGAATGATTGGGTCTTTTGGTAGAAGACTATGCCAGGGTGATATAACACATCGAACAGGATCTCTTCGACTTCGGTGTCTGACGTGTCTGTCTCGGAAGAGGGGTTGGCGGCAGGTGATGCATCGAAAAGGGACTCATCCGTATCCGCTAAGAAAAGACCCTCTCCTCCAGCAGTCGATACAGCACGTGCATCGAGGAGACGTATCCAGGAGATCAAACGGCGGTCCGAGGTCGAAAAGGTAGTTTTGTTTGCGTTTTGAATGAGTGAGTAGGCTTCTCGGAGGTTGGCATGGGCCCGAGGTAGGGTTTCCATGAGCAGATCAGTATACGTAAGGAGAAAGATGGAAGCGAGAATGTACCGGAGTTCGGACTTTGCGCTTTCACCATCTCCACTCACGCGTATCTTTGCCAGGCGACTTGACAACTGTCTGGCTGCGTGATCATACAATGGCCTCCAATCAACCTTTCCAGCTTCGTCTCCCATTTCATTCCTCTGCATTTGCATTGCAGCAAAGGCTACTATGGCACTCTTCACGAGTGGACTTTCTGTGGCCATGGTACCAAAAAAGGCACGAGTGGAGGCCCATTTAGGCCCCACCTCTACCGGCGTCAAGATTGGCGGCATCAACATTTGTAGAAATGCATTCAGAAGAAACTCTTCGTTTCCAGTTCCATGGTTGGTAATTCCGGATGGAAAGGGCGATATCGAGGATTGACAAGGTCTATCTGGCAGATCACAGGTGGCATTTCTTGCCATAGAAGCGACTTCTATGGGTGGACCTGAGGATCTGGAAGCATAGCTGGGGTGAAGGATGGGTTGCGGAACGCGATCAACGGGTACGTTTGCAACTGGCGAGTCGGTAGGCCATGAACTAGGACTCAGTAGCATGGCTTCGTCCCAAGTGCCCATGCTCAAAGGTCCCAGCGTCGGGAAGTCGAAACCGAAGTTATTTCCCTCAAAGGGTAATAATCCGGGTACGAAGGACAGTTGGTGTCCGCTGGGAGTGCTAGCCATCAGTGAATGAGATTGTGTAGTAGTAGTGGTGGGGATGCGGGTCGCGGGTGGGGCCCGATGCCATGTACAGTCCAAATTGAGTCTTTCACAGTGAGAACAGCGCGGCCGCTGTTCATTGCAGCGCACTTTCCTTCTCCTATCTTGGTCAGCATCATGAGTCGTCAACGGGGGATGACTGCGTACCGGCAGGCATTGCAGCCGTTTTTTGAGCGAGCAGGACGCGGCGCGACTGACACCGATGCAGACGTGGCTGGTCGCGGCGAATATTGTATATGTGGTGGCGACATATGTAGACAGCAATAACGGAATATGATGATGAGCCACGTAGCCAATGCGCCGGGTGGATGATATATCGGAGGAATTGCATGGGGAACATAGTATGGATAAACAGTGTTTGTGGGCACCAATGACCATCGGCGCTAGCGAGTCAGAGAGTCCTGGAGACAACGTCCTGCCAGACTCCTAGTAATATTATAGAAGCGGTATCGTTCCGGCTACTATTTTGTTGGCGTGCGCCAGAGAAGATGTTGGCATACGTCAGGTATCTGGTACAAGCTTCCTGTAAACATGCAGATGAACCATCTCTTCCCCGACTTGGACGTCTCCCGGAAGTGGAAACTTCAAGTAGGCCGTCTCCACAAATCCTGCACGTTGCATGAGACCAAAGAAGACTTGCTCGCTCGAGTGGCGCATCTTCATCGCAATGGCTACGATGACATTTGGACTCGATTCAGCTAGGCGGACCAAAGTGCGCACTAAGGATGGGCTGCGTAGGATCAGAGATACATGTTCAGAAATGTTTCATCACGTCGTGATGACAAGGCGACGTACCTGCTATCTGCATTGTATGTACAATCGGCCGCGATGACCAAGTCGACAGAGAGCGAAGCAGGCGGTAGTTGAGATGGTAGGTCTACATCCCAATCCAGTGCCAAGAACCGGAGGGAGAGACTTTGTGCTTGGGAAGCCTGGTCAATGTTGCGTTGGGCAATGTCTTGGGCCAATGGCAGATCTGTCAGAAGCACTTTGGCATACGGTAAAATTTGGGCGAGCGTGATGCCCACCATGCCGCAGCCAGTTCCCAGTTCGAGGATGCGAAAAGTAGATGTTGGTGGGGTTGGAAGCAAAGCCCTCGCCATGTCCGTATTTGGATCTTTGAGGTCTGTGAGTTGGCAGGAGAGTGTGATGCCGGCGTCCCTTGAAGCCAGCATCAGTGAATGGTGGGGCGTTGTAGAGATTTTCCGGGATTACCAGAGATGCCTCGCTATACTCTCTCCAGTCTCTTCCCAGATGCTGATGGTGGGCTCGTTTGGGAGCTTGAAGCGTCTCTCGACTAGCTTGACGGCCGCGACATGTTGGGTGAAAGGTGGACTCCAGGCCGATACAACACCTTGGGCATCTCGTTCTAAGAGGGCTGCGTACTCGTCATGGGGCTGTTTAGGGTCAAGGCCTATTTTAACGCGCAACAGTGACGAGGGTAGGTAAGAACTGGGCAGCGGAAGTGTAATGGGAAGACTCCGCATGCCACTGGACCATTGCACAGTCTTCCAGACGACGACGACATGTTGGTCGGTATTTGTACAGGCTAGAAGCTCAGCTGCTAGCTTGATGTCGTATGGCAGAAATGAATCACCGAGGTCTGATGTGATAGTGATTAGACAATGAAGGTGAGGCCTTGATGTGCCCTTTTCCGACAATATGCGTGGCGTTTTGAGGAAGCGAACGTAGCGCATAGTGAGGTGTAGGGGTGGGGGTGGGGGTGGGTTAGAAGAGGAATGTCGGCCCAAGCATGAACATGGCTATATCGTCATACCTCGACGCCAACAGCCGGGCTCAACGGCGCAACCCGGGCGTCTTGTAGATGCACTCACACAACCGAATTGTATAGCCAACGTCGATGCGCAGTCGCATTCGCAGCGCGTCGCTGCCAGCCAAACTCAGCTACTTTTGTCCCACCTTGTCTTGCTGGTATTGCCATGGTCATGTACCGGCGCAGCGATCCCCGGTGGAATCGCACGCTACAGCACATCACCAACAACCTCGAGCACGCAAACGAATCGGCGCAGGAGAACATCTACGGCTTCACGCAGCGTTACGTCAACCCGTGCTTCTCATCGATTAGCCAATGTGTCAAGGCGTGCACGGCGCCATGCTTCCCAGGTCACAACGACCGCCGGCGTCACCACGGCCGTTCCCGGGGCCGGGCAGAAGTCAGCTTCGACTTTTATGACGACTGGGAGCAAGACGAGAGCGATGGGCTGCTCGGCTGGGGCAGCGACAACCTCGACCGCTTCCTAGGCGGGGCGGCAAACTATGGCGCAACCGCGCAGCCCGGCCGACAGCGTGCCATGAGCTATGGACAGCGCAACCGCAACCGCGATACACGATACAATGGCCCGCGACGCAAGAGCACCGCCGTGCCGCGCGACGCCGCCCAGGATCCGACGCTGATACCGAGTTCCTCGTACTTTGGCTTTCTAGGCCGACTGCCGTTTAGAATTGGCGCAAAGGCGCTGCGGTACAAACCCTCTGCCGCCGACCTGACTGACCATCCAGGCGCCGCACGACACAGTCTTGACGAGGAACAGGCCTTGATCGAGGACAGCGACGAGGATGCGCTCGACCCCCTCAACCCCCGCGAACACAAGGCCAGGCGCCACCGTAGACAGCGCAGTGACACACACACGTCGGGCCACACGACCGACTCGCTGAGTTCGCGTGGCGACATCTTCCCGAGCGAAGACGAGCTGGAAGACGCCGTCCCGCTCGATGATGAGTTCACCATTGCCCTCGAGCGCCGCACCACCGGCCAATGGAATGAAGATGCCGCCAGCAGCAACAAAGCCCGCTCAAGCACCAGTAACACCAAGACCACGACCAAGCGACCCTCTGCCTCACGCCTGTCCTCCCGTACAGTCTCCTCCCGCAACACAGCAGCGACAATCTCCGAGCTTGACACTCCCACCCTGGCCGACCTCCAGAAAGAAGAGGACCGTCTCCGTATCGACGAGGAAGTCGCAGTCCACCGCAAACGCCACGACGCACACCAACTTGCCGTTAAACGCGGCCTCGCACCGGACCCATCCACCATCACTACACCGCATCCTTTGCCCTCGCCCACACAAGCCCCAATGGCGGCAGTGGATCCTATCTTCTCCCCGCTGCTACCTACCCCAGCTAGCGAGTCTGAACACGACCTACATGACCCTACCCCATTTCCTAGTTTCATAGACGCCCAGACGATGCCGGATAGCAGTGCCTTTTATGTTGACGAGAGCGATTATTCGAGCAAGGTCGTTACCCCGACTCGGCCCTTGTCGCTGAGGGCCGAGACGAGCGAGGAAGGGGTACGTGGAGAAGCGTTTGTACCAGCGAGATTGCCCAACTTTGGGCATGGGTAGTGACCAGCGTGTATTTTTACCTACAATTCATCAACTAGCTAGCACTTGAACTAGGCCATGGACTAAACTTGGCCTTGTCTGTTTGATCATCATCTCGGGAGAGTGCGGCCACACAATTCATCTATCCGCACTGGCTAAAACAACCATGTCCATCGAAAATCACCCCTTGCTGATGTCTCATCCCAACCATCACCAACGCAGAGCCCCACAATCTCTCGCCGCGCCATGCTCGCTAAGTAATATTCTTGCCCATGACCTCCCCTCTCTTCTTGCCCTTTTGTTGGGCCGCCTCGTGCTTCCTCAAGTCCTCAGGCACCTTGCTAAGATTGCTCTTTGTGAGTATCTGTTTCAAGTCGTACAGCACATCCGCATCTTCGTTGCCCCAAAAGGTAATTGCAGTACCCTTTTTGTCTTGACGACCTGTACGACCAATGCGATGGGTATAGGCTTCAATGCTGCTGGGCATGTTGAAATTCACCACAAGAGAAACGTCTGGAATATCAATTCCACGGCCTGCCAAATCCGTTGCAACGAGGACATTGGTTTGTCCAGACTTCAAAGCGGCAAGTGCTGCCTCACGCTGTTCCTGCGTCTTGGATCCGTGCATAGTAGCAGACGAGAAACCCATGTGTTTGATGTCGCGGGCGATGGCGTCGCAATTGCGTTTGATGTTGACGAAGACGATGATGGGTGGTGCAAACTCGCCAGATGTGAGGATTTCTTGGAGTCGTTTCTTGCGCTTTTCTTCTCCTTGGATGAACTCGACGCGTTGCTCGACCGTGTCAGTAGCCTCGCCCAAATTACCAATGGTAACAATGGCCGGACGACGCGAGTATTGCTTTGCTATTCGCTCAAGTGCCGGTGGCATAGTAGCTGTGTACATCATGGTTTGGCGATATAATCCACGTTTCATGGCATCGGCATCTTCGGCCTCCTCCGTGTCAGGTTTCTCATTGTTGACGGGCAGCGCAGCGAGGATTTTGTTGACAGGCTCTTCGAAACCCATGTCGATCATCCTGTCGGCTTCATCCATGATGACGTACGTGCATTGACTGAGTACAAGAACGCGGCGCTCGATGCAGTCGTTCAGACGACCAGGCGTCGCGATGATGATTTCGGCGCCGTCACGCATTTGGAATGACTGTTCTTCGATGGAATGACCACCGACTAAGACAGCAGTTCTGAACCCTAGTGGCGTGGCAAACTTGCGTGCTTCCTCTTCAATTTGTTGCGCCAATTCACGAGTGGGTGCCAGGATGAGCGCATACGGGCCATCGTGACGGTTGATTGCATCAAGAGGAGGTAGTTGTGAAATGTATGCAAGCAGTGGTAGAAGGAAAGCAGCAGTTTTACCTGAACCTGTTTTAGCGACACCGATGAGATCTCGGCATTGCAAGGCGATGGGTATGGCAGCACGTTGGATAGGCGTGGGCTCCGTGTACCCGACCTGGTCGACAATACGCATAAGCTGATCTGGAAGCCCAGCTTCTTGCCAGTTGCGCATGGGATTTGGTATTGAGCCTCCCTTAGTAGCAATTTGGAAGTCCTCTTTGAAGATACGCCAGTCACGCTCGCGCATATTCTCCAGTCTCTTCTCGCTCCAGTGTTTGTCCAGTTGTGAGCGCCCACCCTTTTCCTTTCGCCGCCGCTCCATCTCGCGCAGTTGTTCGGCACGTGCTCTGCCGTTCTCGGGGTCCCGCTCGATAATGGCCTCAATCATCTTCTGCCTAGCTGCGTCTGTGACTTCGTCGGAGAAGCCGCCAAGTCGGAAGCTGACCTCGGCCTTTTGCTGATAGATGGGATTGTAGTCTTGGCTGGTGTCCTCTTCTTCGTTCCATTCAAAGTTGAACTTCTTCTCTGTAGTCCTCTTGCGCTTCTTCTTGGCCGAAAAGGTGGATTGATTTTGCTCTGGGCCCATGTACCGTTGCCTGATCAATGCCGCCTCAGGGTTCTCGTCCGCCGGCCGTTTCCCGTGCTTCTTGTCGGGCAACGGTGGAGGTGCCATGTTATCGTTCCTGCGCTCATGTCGAGGCCCCGTTGGCGCCTCGCGCATGGATCGTGGACCGGTGGGCGGACGAGTATCGTGTTGCGGTTTCCATGCGCGATCATCACCACCCGATAGCCCCTCCCGCTTTTTCTGCGCATCCTCGACTTCTTTTTTCCTTTTCTCCAAGGCAATGCGCTCTCTTTCCGCCCGAGGAATGAACCTGGGTTTGGCCTCAGCAGCTTCCTTCTCCCGCTTAGCTTTGAGTATGTCGTCGATACTCGGCGGCAGCTTCCGCGCCGACGGAATGGCGGCAGGCATGGCTGGGAGTGGTCTCCGGGTGTGAGGGCTGTGGAGGTGAGCTCGAGGTGTGAGTGTGCAAGCCTGGAATAGTGTTTGAAGTTTCGCGACGTACTATGCGGCGATGGACACTAAGGCAACACATGATCACGTGCACAACGCTTATCGATAGCGGTCTGTAACCCCAGGTTCCACACTCTAGACCACGATAGTAAATAAACAGTGTGTGGATCAGCTGTCGGAGAACAACAATTTGTAATCTTAATCTAGAAGCAGTGCTGTATTTAAAGCGTGGGAACGTTCGTTACCAACTAGATTTGATTTATCTCGTGAGTGAAAGCATTAGTGGTCTTTCTTGCAAGCATATACACGCTCTTGTGACGTCGGAGAAGTGTGGGTAGATATATCTTATTTGAGAAGCTACTGCATTACCGCTCTGGACTGCGTCCCCCAAGCAGCACGTAGCCCCTGGAAGATTGCGTGGTCATGTTCACGGACAAATTACAGTACCGAGACAGTCCTCTGGCATGCCAGGATATCCATCGTAGCTCGTAACACATAGTCGTACGCTGCTGCGTGCCATGTCCTCCTCTCTCTCAATCCTGCCTACCCTTGAGTAACCGCTTGGTCACCTTGTCCTTCTCGATGATGTAGACGTGCGCGCCCCAGCCAGAGAGTGCGTCTCGGTCGACGGCATTGAGCAGCGCCTGCGAAATGGTCTCGAACAGATCCTCTGGGCCCTGTTATGATTTGTGAGTAATAGTAGGACTGCTTGTGGGACTTTGTTTGGACGCACTAGATCTGGCTCCCACAGCCCTTCACAAGTTCCGAACAGCTGGTCGCTCGCTGTGCCGCTGACAATAAAGTCCTTTGCAAAGTCGATGCACCCAATGCTGTCAAAACCGCAGATGAAGGGCTTGCCGCTAGTCTGATTGATACCCGCAATAACGGGGCTAATGAAGTATGGCCCGAATCGTTTCTCGTACAGGCTCGAGCTTACGAGGTTCGCCATGGTCTGGGGGCTGATGTTGCGTTCTTCGCGGAGACGGTACATGTTGACCTTGTAGCGGAACAGGTCGGACACGGTGGACACGTCGGTAGCAAGGCCAGTGAGGCCCAAGAAGACATCGCCGTACTGGAAGATCTTGGGGAAGTTGTTGGACACGGTGAGGGCTTGCATGCCGAGGCGCAGGTCGCATGCTATGGCTACGCAATCTTTGCCCACCATTGCTACACAGGCGCCGCCGTCTGTTCAGTCATTAGAGGTTTGTGCGTGCGAGTGTATGTGTGCGGGGTCGGGTATGTGGAAGCGTACTGATGGAGAACGGTGACGACTGCAGCTGTTAGCTAGGAACAGAGGTCAAGGCGGGGGTGGTAAGGGTGCTTACCATGGTTGTGGATAGGATGCAAAGTGAAGTGAAGCTTAGTGACAGCTGCAGCAATGAGAACAGATTCAAGCAAGTGCAAGCGTGATATGGATTCCACGCTGTGGTGTTGTCGGGATTTGTGATGTTCAGGTAACAGGCTCGATACGCGGCGGCGGCGCGAGCAAGCTCCACCCTGCATCCTCTAGTTACCTTGCGCTTGGGTAGCTTAAACCCGTCTTGGCAATTGTAACTTTTGACATGGACCCCATTCTCTCCATTTACCCACACTCGACACACGGCTTCAGCCCAATTGCCACGACCAACACCACCATGGCAGCCCAAAAACCCGTCCAAGTCGCAAAGTCATTACCGCCACGCTTGCTGAACTTTTTTCAAAAGTACCCCCCGCCCTCGCTCTTTCCCAGTCTCGCATCCCAACTTGCATCGCCAACGGCAGGCGCAACCGCCGACACGACAGCGATATCACCACCCACATCCACACCCACACCCTCAACCGCGCCCTTAAATTCAAACATACCGCCAGAAGCACATGACCTACCCTACCCCAACCCGTTCCTCCCACACAAGAACTTCGCGACAGGGCGATGGCAGTCGCCAGCCTATGGCCTGCGAAAACAAGCCGATTTGGTCAAACTCGCTTCCCAGCACGGTGTCGTCGACCTACTACCATGGACCATCAAGAAACCTGGAGAGAAAGAGCGTAGAAGGATAGAGAGGGGGCTGCAAGTCAAGGGCACGGGTGAAGGGCAGAAGGTCAAGGGAAAGCTCTGGGAGCGAACACTCAAGGGACGCCTGGAAATGAGACGGCAGGCTATGCTAAACATGCCAGCTTTGATCCAGGAATGGAAGCAAAAGGGTCACGGAAGAGGCTGGAAGGCCTGGCCGAGCGGAAGGGCAAAATAGGCTGGCTACTGCTCGAGTCCACATGACTTGCAATCAAATATACCATATTCCCCACCAAAAAAAAGACCTGGTACAATGATGACAATAATGTCCATGCTGTTTGGAATTCAAATGCGTCTGGGTATAATGTAGGAAATCTATCTGACCACGCATGCCTCCCATGTGCATCAACTCGCCCCTGTTCCTCTTGGCCATATCTCTCGACACTGGCCTTCACATGACCATCTCCTCATCGCCGTAGCTCACGTCTAGTCCATATTCCCGCCTATAAGCATATGCCCCGTAGTTGTTTTCCATGTCTGAAACGCTACCGACTTGCTTTTGCCAAAGACCGTTGTTGCCAGTGTTGTTGTACACGGGATCGGTGGCCTGGTTGTACTTCATCTCCTCGACCGGAGTATCCGCCCGCATCGACTCTTCGTACTCACGCCTAGCCATCATCTCATATCCAGACGACATGTACGGCTCCACGTTTGCAGTGCCCATACTCTGCTCTAGCTGTTGCTGATGCTGCTGAATAGCCTCTTGCTGCGCCAACTCGGTTTGCTGCTTCTCGTACCTAAGCTTCGCCATTGCTTCTTCTTGGGCCAGACTAGTGGGAGGCCAGTCATAGAGCTGTCTCGACATGTTGTAGTCGGTACCTGCTGGGTGGCCTTGACGGCCTGTCGGGGGGGATATACGCCACAGCTCGAGGAGACGTAGACGCTGGTCGTCGTCTGCGTTTTGGAAGAGATCCATCTGGGACGGGAACAAGAGGGTAGGGTCGATGCTGTTCCTCAAGAGCACAGCTGCTAGGTCTGAGGATGTGATTTGCGTCTTCATGGCAGGCTCAGAAGTACTGCGAAGAGGGACATGGTGCGAGTGAGTGTAGTGCTGGGAAGCATACACGATTTGCTTGGGTGCCTGCTCTTGTTCCTGAGGCGCCTGTGCCTGGATTGGCTGTACAGTGACGTGCGACAGGTTCATGTTGGCTGAGAACAGCCTGGCAAGCTCGTCTTGTTGCATGTTCGCGTCTTCTTTTGCTTTCCCCTGCACGTTAATGCCCGTAGATATTGCCCCGCACTATCATGTAAATGTCAGTACATGCCCATGCTGGAGGGGCATGAGCTTACGTGAGAGCACGCAATGTTTTGTGAAAAGGCCAAAGGACTGTAGAGTATGGGTGTGTTGTAGGTGCAGATACAGTGGTGTTGTAGCATCTGCATGTCCAACAGCAAGCCGCTATGGAGGGGTAGCTTCTGTTAAGCCGGGTTGAGGTTGCGAATGAGTCAAGGGGCCGAGTAATACTCTCAGCTGTTTTGTAAAACTATGAGCAATGGTGAACAAGACAAATAGAGGGATGGTGCTGATTTTGGTCTTGAATAGAGAGCAAGTCTTGGCACGTGGGTTGGGCGCTGACGGTATTGAGGCAGATGGAAGGACAAGGGCGCCTTTGTGAGGAGGAAACAAACAGAGATAGCACGGCAAGGCGAGGATGATATCGAGGGTGAAGAGAGGTCAGCAGGTGAAAGTAGCAGCGGCGTTGTCGTGGTTCCTTATGTACCGTCGAGTATAGCGCGCTGGCGGGTCATGCGTGAAGGCGGGATGATTCTGATAATTTTGTCGCCCACAGTCCAATTAGTGACGAAGCTGAAACCCAACTTGTTGGGCTAGTCAGTTGATGGCCAATGAAGAGTGTCTAGAGGTAGAAAATAAAGGCTCAATTCCGGGCCGCGGGGACGACAACTCATCAGATGTGTAGGTATGTCGGTGCCCAGGTGATGGCTCGCCGTGACGGGGCCGGGCATCCATGGATGTGCTTGGCACGCTAGTGAGCTACGTACTGGGGGGCCCGGGGGGGAGCTTGCGCAGATACACGACCTAGGCAGTAGCTGGAATTGCCGAATCGCAGAATTACACACCATCACAAACACGACGTGCGGGACAAGGGGATATTGAACTTGCATCTTGTGAGCCAGACAATTGCTTGGTAGTCGGAAAAGTACAGAGAGCCGTTTTCAACCCCAACACGGCCCACCATGGTAAACAAATCCCCCCTCGCCTGTGTTGCGGGCACAGTGCAAGGTAGCAAGCTGAACTGAGCATCTTGTTAGACGTCAATAGGCACAGGCTACGATCTGTCAAACTCGGTCTTCTCGCCCGATGGTCGTAACTTCCAGGTCGAATACGCAGTCAAGGCGGTAGAGAATGGCGGCACAGCAGTCGGCATCAAGTGCAAGGACGGCGTGGTGCTCGCGCTTGAGAAGCTCATCAGCAGCAAGCTTCTCAAGCCAGGCGCGAACAAGCGGATAGCGACCGTGGACCGCAACATGGGCATCGTGTCTTCAGGTCTCCTCCCGGACGGTCGCCACTTTGTGTCCCGAGCCCGCGATGAGGCTGCGCAATGGCGACAACTCTACAAGGCCCCCATTCCGTCATCATCGCTTGCCGACCGCATGGGCAGCTACGCACAGGCATACACGCTGTACTCGAGCGTGCGTCCCTTTGGCATAACCGCCATCATTGCAGGCTGGGACTCGGAGGCTGAGCTGCCCGTAGATGGCCAAGTCGGCTCGGGGCCCGGTGTTGGTTCAGGGGGCAAGAAGGAAGGCGCAAAACACGGCGGACCGTCACTCTACATGATCGAGCCCAGCGGCTTGTACTGGGTATGTATATACGCATACTATGCATGCTTCACCCAAGGAACAAGGACTAATCTGCACAGGGCTACTACGGTGCAGCTACAGGCAAAGGCCGCCAGGTGGCCAAGTCGGAGCTCGAGAAGCTGAACCTCGCCGAGGGAAAGCTGTCACTAGAGGAAGGTGTCAAGGAAGCCGCACGCATCATCTACGTCGCACACGACGACAGCAAGGACAAGGAATTCGAGCTTGAGATGACGTGGATCAGCAGTCTCGACGGGCCCACCAAGGGCAGGCATGAGGAAGTTCCAAAGGAAATTCGGGATGAGGCTGAAAAGCTGGCCAAGAAGGCGCTCGAGGGCGACGACGACGATGACGACGACGAGGAGAAGATGGAGGAGTAGATATCATCATGACGCGGCTGCATTGCACTGCATAGACGGTCACGATGCATTCACGAGTCGCTCTCACCCCCTTGACGATCAAATGAACAATATAACATGCATGGCATCTCCAAGAGTCGAGTGCCATCAATTGCCACCAAACCTGCTTCCCGTTCGCTACAGTGGCAGGAACATGTGCCCCACTAGTGCGTCATGTGCAAATCGCCATCGCGGCCATGCAGTAAACAGATTGCTTGCAACCAAATCCCTCTATACAACAGCCTTCGTGTCGCACAAGTCATTTCCCTCTTCTCCCCTGCCCCAATTGCAATTGCAGCATCCACCACTCCACCATGCCACCCACACTCGTACTCATCCGCCACGCCCAGGCCGAGCACAACGCCACAAACGACTGGTCCATCCGCGATCCTCCTCTTACCCAACTCGGCGAACAGCAAAGCCGTGAGCTACAAGAAAGTCTCAAGAAAAGTAATATTGGCAATCAAATCGACCTCATTGTTGTGAGCGCTCAGAGGCGCACACTACAAACTGCGACTATTGGTTTGGACTGGCTGATCAAAAAGGGTGTTCCTGGTACGTCTCAATCATGGAAACATGTGCCAAGAGCATGGACTAAATTTGAATACTGCAGTCCTACCCTCTGCCCTCTGGCAAGAAAACGCCGATAAACCCTGTGACACAGGCACGCCCATCCCCATCATATCCCAAGAATTCCCCCAATACGACTTCTCATCCGTCGACCCCTCCTTCCCAGATAAAACGACAAATGGTCCCCAGAATCCATATGCTTTTACTCAAAAAGCTATCGTCGAGCGCGGACAAAGTGCGCTAAGGGAACTGTATGGGCGGAAAGAAAACGTCATTGCCGTCGTGAGCCATTCGGGCTTTTTGAGGACGGCTGTTTGCAACAGGATGTTTTTAATGCTGATTGGAGGCTTTTTGACTGGGATGAAGAGGCTATGAAGAGCGAGGGAAGGTGTGTGTTGAAGGAGAGGGAGGAGACGGAAGTCAAGGGTGGGGGCATGGGGAGGAGTGATGTCGGTGTTTTTGGCATTGTGCAAGGAGACTTCCCGCCTGAGGATAAGGCTGCTGGGGAAGAGAAGGTTGCGGGGGAGGCGACGGGGGAGAAGCCTAGTGCTTGATCTGCGTCGTCACTGACCTAAAAGAAAAACAGAGGGCTGCTGGAACAGTAAAATTTAACAAGTGTTCTATCTTTCCATTGCATGACGTGCTGGCAGCGGCACTTTCTTACTAGTGACCCGGAGTTAAGCTTATCGATGCCATATATCACTCATATCTCTGCATAATCATGTGCTAGCCTCAGCTTAAGTCCACGCCGCTTCTAGTGCCCACGCTACCCAAACCTCCTCGCTGCCGGGACCAAAGACGGTACACGTACTCTTCGCCAGCCCACATGCTCGCCTAGGACTCCAGGGCACATGCTGGGACTGGCATTCCGCCTAACCCCACTGGAAGATTGTCTGCTTCTTGCCCTTGTTGCCCTTCTTCTTTCCTGCTGCGCTGCCATCTTCTAGCACGGGTGTTGTTGTTCCACTATTCGCACCGGACGAAGATGCCCAAGCGTTTCCTACTGGGGTGTTACGCCCACTGTTATCTCGCCGTAATCCACTGCCAGTGTACCCCGGACTGAAGATGGTACTGGTGGGTTTAGCTGCTGCAGGGAGTGCGGGAAAGGCGTCTGCCGCGGGTGCCTTGCTATTCACATGACCATTTGTTGACGAAGCAACACGGGACGGCATGGGCGAAGGACGGGAACTCGTTGCAGTGGAAGAAGACGAGGCCCATGGCGTTTGGCCTGGTTTGGCTCCAACACGACCTGACGGCGCTGGTAGAGCCGGGAACGGATTGCTCGACGATGAAGAAGACCAGCTTGCTTGTTGGTTGGCGGTGGAACGCGACGACTGTGCTGTTGAGCTCTTCAACTTCAGAACGCGCGAGCCACCTCGAGCTGTGGAAGCACCGTTCAAAGCCTGCTCTGTTGCTGTGCCTGGCAAGGATGGGTAGTCTTCGTTAATAGCCTTCCAATCATTCCATGCTTTCAAGAGACCTTCTCGCTTGGCTGCTGACTCAAAAATGTCTGCTAATTCCTTAATCAGCTTGCCCATGTCTTTTGAGTTTGCATCAAACAAAGCGAAAAAGCCCTCAATGAGCTGCGCGGCCGACATCGTCGAGGTACGATACGCTGATATTGAAGCCCTGAACTCCTGGAGCTTAATTTCACTACCTCGAGCCATGTTTGTGGCACGCTCAGTGACGGCATTGTGACGCAAAAGGCGAGCCTGATCCTGAGGAGTCTGTGGAGCGGCGCTCACTGGCTGTGTGTTCATGCTGAGTTGGTTCATGCCATTGGTGATATTCGCAGCCGCTGGTGCTGGGCGAGAGGCAGTCACAGTAGCGGGCTGAGCGGCGCTTGGTTGAGGCCTGGCGGCGAAGGCTTCGCCCGGTGTAGGAGTAGAGAGCTGACCCCCGAAAGTTCTTCCAGTCACCGAGTGAGTGTTCTGAGCTTCCATCTGCCGCTGATAGGCAAGTTCAGCCCTGCTCATAGGTTGTGCGGAAGAGGGAGGTAACGGATCTGCATTAGGATCCCGTCCCCTTCCACCACTTCTACCGCCCTCGCGCCTTCGATCATTTTGCTCAGTCCGTCGGTTGCCCCGGCCTCCTTGATCGTGTGGCGCCCTAATCTGAAAGCCAGATATGTCCACTCTTCGGGCATCTCGTATTGCCTCCTTGGACAAACCGTTGGGGTGCACTTCCAGCTGGTGTGCCTTGAGGTCCATCTCTGAATCGAACACGACAAATTTCTTCTCCAAACACTCTCGATCTGGGCAAAGGAAGTGGTCTTTCCGGAAATGCACCTCTAGAGAATCATAGTTGACAAAGTACTGCTGCTTCCTGCTCCCCCCTTCCCGACGATCGCAAATATGGCAACGTTCGTGCTTGTCCCTACAGTGCGTATACAGCTCATCGTCTCCGTAAAAACGCTCTCGACAAAAGCCACACTCAGGATGTCCCTTGAAGCCGCTCTGGTCTATCGCGCCGGGGTTGTCGTCGCCAAACTTCTGGTGCTTCCGTAGCTCTGGGTGTGTGAATAGCTCGTGCTCGTGGGTGAAGACTTTCTTGTTTCGCGTACAAAGGTCACTACATTGTTTAAGTAGAGGAAACGCTGGCGAGAGGCGGGACAGGTGCTACTTACCACATCATCTTGTTATGTGCTGTCTTGGTGTGGCGATGCAGGTCCGGCCAGCCCAGACAGGCGACGTCGCATTCGCCATCGGGGCAGTTGTATTGTAGTAATAAGCGCGTATCCTCGAAGACACCCGAATTCTCAAAGTGTATACCTAGTGTATCGTCTGATTTGAAGAAGTCGGCGGTTGAGAAGTCGTCGTACTTCTTGTCGGCCTCATCGGTGAGGATTACGTGATCCGACTCTGTCCTACAATGCGCACAGGCTTTTGTCTTGTACAAGGCACGCATGCGTATAGAGCAAATGTGACATGTCCGGTGATTGCACGGAGCAATGGCTGTGTGCTGAACGGGCGAGGCGCAAATAAAGCAGACCTCGGCATCGTCATCTTCATGATCCGATTGTTGAAGGGTCGGTTTAGCAAGCGTTGGCCCGCCTAGTCCATTATCTTCTGGCGTCACAGCAGGGGCTTTGCCCTTCTCTTGGGCAGGTCCACCACGCCCATGGCCATGCCCACGCCCGCGCCCACGGGAGCCACCTCGTCCGCGGCCTCTCGATCCTACGCCTTCATGACTGCTTTCAGGACCATTATGCGCACCCCGCCCGCGCCCACGCCCTCCTCCTCCTTCACGTCGTTGACCGCCTGTGGGCACCTGTGCAGTCTCTTGAGCGCCAGTCGAGGTCATGGCGGGGTATAATTTGTTGCTGTTCAGAAAATGTACAAAAGAAGCTTGTCTATTAGCTGTGGCCGATTTGCAAAGAGTGGGCGGTGGAAAGGCGATATAGGCAGGCCAGCGAGGCCTCTTATTCACAGCAGCCGTTTTGGTGGTCCTTTCGGCCAAAGCTGGAGTGCTATGACGCCCGGCTTCCGCAAGGTAACTTGTGGCCAGTGCGCCCCTGCATGGCACGATACACCCTTGCAAAAGTGGCGCAATAGATGAGTCGAAATGATTATTCATTGCTCGACTGTCTGACCATGTCCTAGCATTATACACACGTATTACTGCCACTTTCGCTGCAGAGATTCCGACATATCTTAAACAAGCTCACGCAGGCTCTGCTCCTCCTCGTCGTACTCAGGGCCAAAAAGCCCCTTGAGCATGCTCAAGTAGTCCTCGCCGCCACCAACTTGCTGCTTGAACCAGCCCTGCATCATGAGTATCTGGTCAGTGAACTTCTCAGCTTCAAGGCGCGCTTGTTGTGTATCCGCTGTCTTCTTTTCCATCTCGACGGGATCTTGTTCGCTATAAGCGGCTAGCTCTGTGCGAAGCTTCTCGACTTCCTTTGCCAGATCCGAATGCTTGGTCATCAGTGTCTTGCGATCACCGCCTGTAAACGATGAGTAAGACGATCAGTATGGATATGGATATACACACCCACTTCCATGAGCATCTCTTCGCCTTCAGCACGAGCCGCGTCTGCATCATCCACTTTTGCCTGGAGCTCGCTGACGGTAGCGTTGGCCTTGTTGTATTCGTCTTGGGCCTTTTCAATAGCAGTGTCCTTGGCTTTCTTCTCGTCGGCCGGAAAGCTCCAATACCAGTTGCCGCTGCCAATCTTCTCGACGCGGATCTTGTTGTCGTCGGAGAGAGCTTGCAAGTAGTCCTTGACTTGCATGCCGTTGATGGACGAGACTTGTGGTAGCGTCTTCTCCAGGTCTTTGATGCTGTGAGCCTGTGCCGTCTTGTGGAACCATGTGAGGATCGAGGCTGCCTTTTGTGGGTTGGGTTGGGTTTTGGGCGCCTGTGGGAACGTCAGTATGCGCCACCTCGGGAACTCGACTGCTGCATCTGAGCCTACCATGACTGCTGCAATCCACTGGGAACGGTTGTCGAGGTAGTAAGTACTTGATTACTACGACCGATGATTGTATAGAAGAGGCTACGAAATCTTGGACTAGGCGACAGCTTGCAGGTGCCTTCCTTCCGAATTCTGACGCTAAGCCCACCACTGTCGTGCGAGGCAAGCACGAGGAACCACCCAGATAGGATGTTTCCTGTCTGAAACCGCTCTACACATCCTTCACTCAATCTTCCGAGTCATCTTGTGAAGTCACTCTAGACGAAGACGATCCATCTTGCTCTTTCTCATTAGGCTTCTTACCATGACCCACACTCACATCCTTGACAACACGCATACCAGACGGAATGCTCCTGTTCTCTCGATGCGCATGCTGCTTCGAATGACGAGTCAAAACCCGCTTTTCATCCTTATCCGTCGCCTCTGTGAAGGCCAGATCCCCAGTTTCACCAAGCACACCTCGTGCCGTCTCCTCCATTAGAATACCAAGCGCAATGAGCGCCGTTTCGTCCATGGGTTTGCGCATCCCTTGCTTAGCCTGTCCAACCGTCTTGGCATATAGGCGGGACATGTGGACGTGCAGGGCGGCTGTGAGACGTGTGTCTGGGAGCTCTTGTCCTGGGGGAAGTCTCTCATGAGCAGAGTAGTAATCATACTCTTTGTACCGGACTGGCGCATTTTTTCGCCTAAAGAGGATTTCATCGGCGCGCAGCCGTCTTCCAGAAGAATTGGCAGCTTTGCCGTTGCGAGTCACGTGCCCTGAGGATTATTAGACCGTGTCTGGTATCTGGATTGATGCATGTAGCCGGCTTACCATAAATAGCATCATAGAGGTTGGCATGGCGCTTTCGTGGATTCGGGGGTTTGACGGCACGCTTGTTTGCCTTTTTGCGAGGAGCCATTGCAGGTGCTTCGTAGCGTCACTGCAATGTTGTTCGGAGAAGTCGATAGTCTTTGGCTGGTGTCTTACGTAAGCTGAGGCTGCTGCCATTGAATGGTAAAACCCTGGTCCCTGCATACCATAGGTTGCAGTGGTATTCCCCAGGCACCGAACCGACGTCATAGCCTCTCACCTCGTCCAAGCCGATACGCAATGACACAAGACATGTAGTCTTCTATGCACAACCACCACATACACGACCGTGCCTACGGCTTCATACCCCACCATGTCCTCCAACGTGCAATGGCCTCCTCCCTCATCTATGCGCTGCACCCTTCGTCCGCCGTAACCTTCAGCCAGCACCTTCCGCCGCCCTCGGATCCCTACACGCGCGTCCCCGCACACGCATCCAGCGTGAAGGCGCTTACAATAGATAGATTCGAAGGCCGGTACTTACTTTCTGGCGGTGCCGACAGTTCGATACGAATCTGGGATCTTGAGGCTTCTATGACACAGACAGCCACTGGGGCGGCGCATCTAGCCTTGTCAGCGGCGGGCAAGGAGAAGGGAGGCAAAGGACTAGGTATTACGCAGCTTGCGTTTTATCCCTTTGATTCCCTGGCTTTCCTGAGCTCGAGCTATGATCACACGGTTAAACTGTATTCGAGCGAAACGCTCGTCGCGTCGGCAGAGTTTGATCTCGATGCCGTCGTATACAATATTGCGCTCTCGCCGATTGCATCGCACCTTCTTGTTGCGTGCGCCACGCAGCATCCAAACGTACGACTTGTCGATCTAAGATCGGGCGCGACGACGCATAGTCTTGCAGGACATGTGGGCGCGGTGCTGGTCACTGCCTGGAGTCCTGTCCGTGACCACATTCTCGTTAGCGCAGGCGTGGATGGTAGTGTGCGCTTCTGGGACGTGCGGCGTAGTGTTGGAGAATTGGGCGCCTTAGATTTGGAAGACTCGGTTGGTGCTGGACTTATTGGACACAAGACGTCTCCATCTGCTTCACATGCGAGCAAGTCGGTGCCTAAACAAGCGCATAGAGGCCCCGTCAACGGCCTCACATGGACACAGGATGGAAGACATGTAGTCAGCTGCGGTCATGATGCCCAAATCCGCGTCTGGGACACAAGCACGGGTGCGAATACGCTCGTGAAATTTGGACCCATGGTTAGGAACTCTGGACTTGCGTCCCGCATTCCCATTCTCGCTCCCACCCAGTACGTGCAGCCACATGCTGATGTTATGTTCTATCCAAATGGACATGAGATACTCGCCTATCAAGTTTTTGACGGCAAATTGATCCGTCGACTTGGTCGCACAGATAATTACGCGTCGAATACGAACCCGCTAGTTCAGTCCAAAGATGCAATCACAAGTCTTGCCTGGCGACCGCACAATGTGGAAATGTACTCTGCGCATGCTGACGGTAATATTGTAGCGTGGACAGCGCGGACAGAGGAAGACGCCGAATTGGATGAAGAGGAAGAAATGGAGAGAGAAGAGAGCGAGGGGGACAGGAAGAGGAAGCGAGGCGTGCTAGAAGAGCTTTATCAGGGATTGACCAAGAGACCGATCATGTTTGGAAATATGGAGGTGTAATGGTTCAACAGTCACCACACACACACGTAGGTGACATGAAATACTTGACAGTGTCTGGCGCATACAGTGATCTCTGTACACTAGTATGTCAAGTATTCTATGACACCCAGGTGCGCACGCAAATCTACCCCAGACTTGGCAATTGCTCTAGCTTTCAAAATGATTAGCCAGGTGGAGACGAGCATGGTCAATCTGGCACCTTCAATTGGGTCAGGATCCGGATTTCGAAGATGCGAGTAGGGTTGGTGGGAGTGCTGGGTGGGCGGAGGGTGGCGTTGGTGGTATGGCAGAGGGATGGGAGACGAGGGGTAGTGATGAAACGGAATGTTGGAGAAGAAGGCGCAGAGGCAAGCACAATCGGAACATTTGGATTGAGGAGAAGATCGATAAATATGGTATTGTTTGAGAAAACTCCAAAGAAACATCCATCAACTGTCGTTTGTCATGATGAATCACTTTTGAGCAGTGAGGAATATCATCTTCACCAACCCGTTCTCGCAAATTGGAGATGATACCTCCATTCTGCATACTCACCTTCCCATGCAGCTTTGAATCCAGACATGGCCTCGTACTCGGCAGCCCCCATGATCGCAAGGCTGATAGCCTGTCCATAGAGAAGGTGTAAAGCAGTACTTGCACGTGCTAGGCTCCTGTTATTGCGGAAAGCAGCCAATGGATTTTTTGACCAGCGAGTCTGAACATGGACAGTGACGCTTTGGAGACAAGAACAGCTTCCGATGGACTGTGCTGACTCTGCTGTAGCAGCCTTCCTCGTCAAGTCCTTTTGACGATTTAATCGACGGAATTGCAGCAGGGGTTCAATCCATTTCTCGCGCAGGGTGAATTTTGGCGCGCAGTCATGGATCTGTGCCCAGATGGTGAGGCTTTGTAAGTTTACGAGTTTCTTTGATGCTGCCTTGCATACGCGGTGCCTAGAAGCAGTGGTGTTGTTAGTGACCCGATAGCGGATTATACCATGTTAGATGCATGTCCATTGTCTCTGATCCGGCAAACTCACCAACTCCGACCATGCTTGTCCTGCCAAATGACATTGTGGGTGCTCTTGGGATGGCCATATGTGTCGTAGTGAAGCTGCAATTTGGTAATGCAGCCGAGCCGCGTACTAGACACGACGTCGAAGAAGTTTGTCATGCGCTTGGGGGCGTCGAAGATGAAGACTGTTGTGAGATACATGTATGTTACGGTTTCAGCATAGACTTGCTTGCAGACGAGACTGAGGGCGTAGAGGGAGCCGAGCCAGTTGGTCTGCAAGCCTTGGATGATGTTGTAGTTGCCCAGGCATCTGGTGAAGCGAATGACGGGTACAGTGTTGGAGGTGTCGGGTGCTGAAGAGATAGGAGTGGGAGCAATGAGCGCAGAGCATAGCTTTACCGTGAGAGGCTTCTTTTGCTGTTGGGGCTGGTGTGATTTGCGGGTTATCTCGCAGTGGTTCTCCGCCTCGAAGTAGTAATTGTAGATTTGGTTCCTAATCTCTGCAGGCAGTGCGAGGAAGCCACGCAGCTTCTTTGGTGCGTACACGCCCCGTGTGTGGACAGGTGAAAAGAGACTGTCTCGTGCCATTTTGACTTGAAGATGGGTCGACGGGTGTCGGCTGGGCAGCAGCAGGGATTGGGATGTGAAAAGAGCCAAGGACCTGATACCCCACACTAGCGCCTAATTAGGTTAATCAGTACACCAGCAGACAGCAGACAAGTAGCAGCAACCCAATGCGCCATGGTCGCATGCATACCGCCTTGTCACCACCATGACCTCGGTCCTCGCCCGCCAGGCTCAATTGTTCCGCATCCATATCCGCACCTTTTCCTCGTCGTCAGCTCAAGCCTCGCGCCTCCGCCAACCAGGTGAACCCACGGGCCCCAACGAGCCCCCAACGCATATATCAGCCCCACGGTCCAAGTCGCCGTTAAAGGTCTGGCCCATAGTCGCCATCTTTGCACTCGGCACCTTTCTCTTCAAGCAAATAGTCGACCAGCGCAAAGGCGAAGGATATCAGCCCAAGGGACCCATTCAAGGCCATTCACCCAGTGGAAAAGGCCAAGTAAAGCCTTCACATCCTCATTAGCACCATCATGCCCGCTATCGAGCAGCTCCCCGCCCCTCGGCGCAGCTCTCCCATCTGGTCCAGCGACCAGGTCACCGTTCTCTTTGTACTTGGCGGGCCAGGTGCGGGAAAGGGCACGCAATGCCAGAAGCTCGTCAGCGACTATGGCTTCAAGCACCTTTCGGCTGGTGACCTGCTTCGCGAGGAGCAGGACCGCCAAGGTAGCGAGTTTGGCGAGATGATCAAGACGTACATCAAGGAGGGTACTATTGTACCCATGGAGGTTACGGTGCAGCTGCTGGAAAATGCTATGCGCAATAGCATAGAAAGTGGCAACAACATGTTCCTGATCGACGGTATAGCTCCTGTGCCAGGTTATTCCGTTTCTCTTGACCTTATCTCCTGACACAACGCAGGCTTCCCACGAAAGCTCGACCAAGCTCACGCATTTGAACGCTCCGTCTGCCCATCCAAGTTTACGCTCTTCTTCGACTGTTCCGAGGCGTCCATGGAGAAGCGGCTGCTGCAGCGTGGCGAAACCTCAGGTCGTGCAGACGACAACCCCGAGAGTATCAGGAAGCGCTTCAGGACCTTTGTCGAGACGAGCATGCCTGTCGTCACTGAGTTCGAATCGCAGGGTAGGGTAATCAAGGTCAATGCGGAAACGAGCCCCGATGAGGTATACAAGCATGTACAGGAGAAGCTCAAGGAACGTGGAATAGTGCCAGTGCAAAAGTAGATGGTGGCACAGCAAATGTAGTATATCTGTGTTGCATTGTCTATCTTGCAGCTCGAGGGCTGCTGATGATAAACTAGGAAAGCGTACGAGCCGTAATCCATCCATCCGTTCCGTCCCTAGTCGTTTTTGAAAGAAAGAAACGCTCCCTAACATGCTGTGTCTCATGTCTACCTTGGTCTAGACTTAGTCGAGATCATCGTCCATGGTCCTCTGCTGCTGCTGCTTTCTCTGTCCACCTCTGCCGCCGAAGCGCGATGCCATGTCGGCCTTTTGGTCGGCCTTGTTTGCCTCATCCTCCTTTTCCTGCAAGAACCTCTGCTTTTCCTGTTGGATGACCTGGAGCACACCTTGTAGGCTGTTGCGCCACAAGTCTAACCTTGACGCTACCTCTCTCCATTGGTTGTCGCCAAAGACACGGTAGGTTGAGCGGTGGATGAGGAACGTCTGGTTGAGCTGACTGAGCTTGCCCTCGACAAGACCGGCACGGATCACGTCAATGACCCACATCTCAACGTCCTCCGAGGGCACCTGGAGCGCCTTTGCAATCTTCTCATATGGCAGCGACCGTGTTTGACCGGCCGATGCAGCCATGGAAGCGAGGCTAAGGAGGCGCATCTTGCGGTTCAGTGCGTTTCCGTCGAGACCAGACTCTTCTACCCAGCCATCATGCTCGTCCTTGAAGTCGTTGAAGTCATCGAGTAGATCCGAGTTGAAAATCTCAAGGAGCTGGAAGTAGACGGGGTCAGAGTTGCGAAGGGCCTGAATCGAGTCGAGACCGGTAAGGTCCTGGAAGTCAAAGTGAGTTGGGTGAGTCAGGGCCGACTTGAGAGCGCGGAGGGAGAGCTCGCGAGCTTCTGGAGACGCGGCTTCCTCAGAGGGAAATGTGCGCAGAGCACGTAGCAGATATGTGTAGGCCTGCTCGTCCTCGCCTGCATCTGCTGCTACGTCGCTCACGGCAAGGTACAGCTTTCGGGCGTCTTCCTCGCCTGTCTCCCACGCAGCTAGCCAGCTATCCAGTTGCTTTAGTTGTGGTCGCAGCGTCTCGAAGTTGCTTGTGGCGCGAATGACACGGAGGATGGCCAGGAGCACGTGATAGCGACTTTCACTGTTCGTCTGTGTCGTGTTGAAGATGGTGCTGAGAATGGAGAGGGCAAGGCCACCGCCGTTGTAGGGTGAGGATGAGATGGGCGCACTCAGGTTCTGGCACATCTTGGGGAGGAACATGGACACGTTCGGGGACTGATTTACGAGGTGGATGAGCAGGTTGTAGGCTGCAATAAACTCTGCGCAATCGTGTTAGACAATCTTTCGTCTTTGCTTTCTGCCCGGTTCCAATTCCGCCTACCCTTCTCTGGTGCCTGGTTCAGTGCCTGGCCACCCACGACGAGCTTCTTGAGCACCTCATCCTTTTTGTTCTCCTTGAGCAGCTCGGCACACTCGGCCTGCAGATTGGCGCTCTCATCGCCTTGGGATTTTTTGAGGCTGTCAATGTATTGTGCGAATTCGTCGGTAAGCTCCTCAAAGCTGCCCTCGATAAGCAGCGTCGTCTTGGCGCCCGGCATGGTGACTTGACTGTCGCTGCAAACTAGAATAGTGAATAGACGTGACGAGTTGTGTGGGCGGCGGACAGCGGGCGCAAGTGGGCGGGGCTGGCGAACGTCGACAATCGGAGGCGCTTTGGTGGCATGCCAAGATTGCCTTGGTGCGTGTTTGGATTTTGGCCTCTTTATCGATAAGGCCACACAGAGCCGCCTTACTGTAGTCGGTCCTCATTCTTCATTCAGTCTTCACTATGCCGGATACATGTGCTAATCTTGTTTGACCCTGAGCGACCAGCGATCGTGCACATACTATCAATCTCTCCTATCATACTGCTCTCCTGGCCGCATCCGAACATGGTATAACATGGCTGCACTCAACTGCTTGTCCAGTGCACTCATGTCGCCAGTCGCCATGTCCAAAGCATGACGCTTGCTTGAAACAACAAGAACGGCACCTAGTGAATCTACATACACCAACACAATGCGTGGCATGATAGCAATAGCGGCCCGAGATATGGTACCCTACCGGGAGGATACAGCGGGTCTACTTCGTACGTACCCTTGGCCGTTCCACGAAAATTTTCTCGGTAGTATTCTCGGGCGGCGTTACATAAAGAGACGGATGGCCACTTAATCTTATCAGATTATCTCTCTACACATCACAGTCATGGCCGACCATGTCGTAACCGAGGTGAAGGGACAGGATTCTGGTGTGAAGCCGAGCAATGCGCAGGTGATTGTTGCGAGTAGCGAAGCATCCACAGATGAAGGCAGGAATACGGGACAGCTATCGCTCGTGCCGCTACGCATGAAGCTCATCTCTATACTGCTCGTCACTGCAGTAGGCTTCGGTTCTCATTGGAGCTCTGGCGTCACGGGGGCGATGAAGAGTACGTTGAAGAAGGTGAGCCCCCATCCTTGCATAGATTACCAAGCAAAACTGATAGTAACCGACGCAGCAACTGCACATTAACAATGCCGAATATGCGGTGCTGGAAGCGAGCGAAGACTTCATGAAGACGGCTTTAATACTCGTCAGCGGCCTTGTCACCGACAGAATCGGTGGTGCAAGTTAGTCGAATCACGCCATGGGACCACAATCTATTGCTTACCGATTTTTGATAGATGCCATGCTCTACGGTAACGCCATCTATAGCGTCGGCGCCATTTTCATCGCAGCAGCAACTACCGTCCGTTCGTACAAGTTCATGATTTTTGGTGTCGTTGTTCAAGCATTTGGCGACATTGCAACGCAAGTCGCACAGTACAAGGTCTTTAGCTCCTGGTTTGCACCATCGAATGGCTTCGCCTCTACCTTAGGCTTCGAACTGGGCGTCGGCAAAATTGGATCGTTTGTTGGAAAAGCAACCGCAAACGTCATTGCAAAAAAGACAGGCGACTTTAGCTGGGTTTACTGGACAGCAGTCTTCATGAACCTATTCACGAATATTGTGACCTTGATCTTCTGGTTCTTCACCAGGTGGTGCCAGAAAATTTACGGCGGAATGCAAGATCCCGCCACGGGCGAAAAGCTGACGGAGAAGAACAAAAAGTTTGAGTTTGGAAAAATGTTACGACTCCCTTGGTCTTTTTGGGCCATTGTCGTCTTCTCACTTTTCCAAACAAGCACTGCTGTTGTGTACTCGCAGAATGCGACAGAGATGGCGGAACAGCGCTTCGACATTGATGCCATCACGGCCGGCTGGTATTCGGCAATGTCGCAGTACTTTGGATTCTTTCTGGTACCCTTGATTGGCATGTTTGTCGACCTTTTCGGCAACAGATTGACTCTTATGCTCATTTGTGGGCTAGGTATGCTGCTGTCCATGTGTTTGGCGGCATGGGGTCCTTCCATCGGTGGAACAGCTGCATCATTCGGTATTTATGCCGTCGCCTCCAGCTTCGGGCCAACGGTCATTATTGACAGTATTCGGACGTCGATGCGGTACCAGGAAGTCTTTGGCTCGGGCTACGCGATCAAGATTGCTGTCAACAACAGCATGAGCATCATCATTCGTATTGTTACCGGAGTGGTACAAGACCGTGACCACAACTCTTACAACAACGTTGTTGTTATTTACGTTGTGCTTGCAGCTGGTGCTGTGGTCATCGCAAGCGCCCTCTTTGCATGCAGCTTTTGGCACGTGGACGCACAGATGCTGCAGTGGACAAGGAAGCAAAGGTCGAACAATGGCAACATGATCAACGAGCGTAGAGAGGCATCTGAAATCGGCGAGGGTGGTGTGAAGAGCAGGAAGGTTGGGTTGGGCTTCTTCATCGCTTTGATAGTCCTCATTCTAGGCTCTTGGGTAGGGTACTTCTGGGGAATTGCAACGAGCAACAATAGCTGAGCGAACGGAGGCGTTTGAACGAGCAACGCTTGCGACGTTTTGTAGTACCACGACGACCTTGGCGCCAATCTGGACCATGTACCTCGTAGAACTAGCTATTGCCGTGAGAATATGGTCCCCGCCGACTTCTGCTGCTGTTCTTACTGCCATAGTTCCTTGACTCGTTGTTCTGAATATGTGCGACGACGTTAATGTCTTCGCTCAAGTGGCATGGGTTGTACCCACGCCACACGCCACACGGAACAGCTAGGTGGAGTCGATGATGTCTGCTGTGTGTACCCATGCTCCTAGGCTTTCTTTCTCCTGCCGCAATGTTTGCGCATCGTTCGGATCAACTAGAACGATTATTAGATTCGTAGCGTCGTTTTCGTAGTCATCTTGTACTCTTTTGCGCATTATCGGACCGGAGAGGACCCGCGTCGGGTCCGGGATGACAGAAACAATTGACCTCGAACCTGGGACGAAACGCGACCACGTACAGCATCTCGCGACACCAGATGACTCCAGTCAGGAACATGCAGCACCACATCTGCGCCCCGATTGTACGTCAGCATGGCAGAGAAGAATAGAAAAACGCACGCCGGCACTAGTCGTACACTGGGGTCGCAAGGCATGTGAATGGGCGAAAGGACCGATACCACGACATAAGAAGTACGCGATACATGCCTGGTTTGAGCGCTGGCAAACATTACCCACTCGATTGCTCGCGCGGCTGCCCAGATGGATGCGTGTTGGTATATACAGCATCGCATGCATCATATGGATCGTCGTCTTTGCCCTCGTCATCAGCGACAATGTACCCCCCTCAGACATTGGCGGATTCGGGGCGCCTGTGAAGCTATCATGTGTCAACAGTCTATGGTATGGCTTAGCTGGGCTTTTGTGAATCACGCCCTATTGTGGATTCTCTAACTGACCATGGACAGGTCATCTCCTCAAACATGCGGTGTCGACGGCCGAGCCTGTCTCCCTTTCTCCAATGCCTCATTTGCCTTCAACTGCCCTGCCGGCTGCTCGAGCGCTCAGGTCCTGAACCCCCACACAATCGGCGCTAAGACCATAAACTACCGGCCATTAGTCGTGGGAGGAACATCATCTGGTTCGGGCGAAAACGATGCGCATGTATATCGCGGCGACTCATTCATCTGTGGCGCCGCTATCCATGCTGGTGTCGTGGGGAACGGCCACGGTGGGTGTGGTATCTTGTCTTTGGAAGGAGAACACGACAACTTTGGCGGGGTGACGAGGAACGGAATCAGCAGCATCAGCTTCGATTCAGACTTCCCAATGGCCTTCTCCTTCAAGCAGACATCAGTTATTACGGGACAATGTCGTGACCCTCGCTGGAACCTGCTTGCTCTTTCTACCATGTTTACAGCTCTCTTTGGCCTGTTCACTAGCAGTCCTGCTAGCTTCTTTGCCCCAATCTTCACCATCTTGTTCTTCCAAACCGGCATGGCCTCAGATCCACCCCCGTACCTGAATTACGCTTCATTGGCATCAACAACACTCGGTCGTTTCCTACCCGCCGCTTTGGTAGGCGCTCTATTCTATCGGTTTAGTGTCCGCGAGACTCTGTGTGACTGCAAGGCCCATGTCGAAAAGACGATTCTGTGGGTTGGCGGTGCGTGGGTGGGTGCGCTTGGAAGCTATACCTTTGAAAAGATACCCATTCAGCGACTGACGGGTCACGATATACAACAGCAGCCTGGGGCCATAACCGCACTGATTGCCATCGTACTGATTTTGTTTGCCATCGTTCTGTACCAGGCCTGGTGTTTTCGTAACCAAGGACGGTTGCTGCGCTACCTTGGACTATATGCCGCTCTAGGTGCAGCGCTCGGTGTCCTTGCTGCCATGCCAAAGCTGAACCTAAGAATACATCACTATCTAATCGCGCTACTGCTTCTCCCAGGGACGGCTTTGCAAACGCGCGTCAGCTTGTTGTGTCAAGGTCTACTAGTGGGCTTGTTCATCAACGGCATCGCACGCTGGGACTTTGATTCCATATTGCAAACCTCGGAGGCGCTGAGAGGCGACGGGCAGCTTGGATCGAACATCCCATCTATTCTCGAACCAGTGGTTAATGGTTCCAGCATCACATTTGCATGGGATACGTTCCTCGGCGGCTATGAAGGTATAAGTGTAATAGTTAATGATGTTGAGAGATACAGAGGCTTTGGTGGTAGCCGTCGGGGTAGCTTTACTTGGCACCGGATGGGCGATACTAAGAACGAGTATTTCCGATTCGGCTTTATTGGTTACCAGCCGTTTGGCGGCGTATCATATAGCGACTTCACTAGAGCGGGAACGTGGTTCTCGAACGGAACTTGGAGCGGGATGCCACTAGGCCGTACGTAGACGAGTACACTACTATGAGTCTAATACACACAATTACTTGCAAGACAGTATTGAAGCTCACCTTCCTTCTGTCTTGCGTCATAACATACATGTTCGAGAACACATCTGGATGGAGCTAACCGATAGCGGCATTTATCCAACTGTTTGCGACAAACGTGGCCTAGGCAGAGAATCACGCTGCGTCCATGTCTCTTTTGGGCGCGCACGCGGTAAAAGGCGGGAAAGTGCCGTGACGTCAGAGCTAATCGCAAATGGCATTTGTCCAAACCCTGTGTTCCTTTCCCAATGACGGTGTCTGCAGTCGCTAACTGTGCCACAACCACGATGCATTCTCTCTTTTGGATTTTCTTTTGCGAGTAACCGTAACCTTCACTCGCCATCTTTTGCAACCTCGTCGGTATGGATTCGCCTGCAAAGAGCGAGGCATCTAATCGCAAGCCGGTCCCTGCGGCGGGAACATCGACACTTACGCCTGAGCGCGAGCTTACCAGCACGCTCATTCCTAATGCTTTCCTCGTCTTTACCCTGTTGTCGGTCTACTTTATCTCATGGCCGTTACGCTGGGCCATCTCTGGGGCTCCCCAGTTGGTCTATGCCGTCCTACTTGGCGAAGCGTATGGCCATCGCATCTTACCCTTTGTACCCGTTTGGACCATATTTACGACTGTCAATCTGATGTACGCAGTGTGTGCAACGTCATGGCTACTCTACTGGGTCTTCAGCGCTTGTTGCTGGCCTACACTCTTCATTGCCTGCCTCTTCCAATTTGAGGCACCTGCTGCACTCGCACGCCGTACTCTGCGGAAGACGTTCCTGCGAGACCTGCACTTCATCAACGACCAAATCGCCTTCTTTGATCTTCCGGCTCTGGAAATCGACACTGAAGTTAAAGGGCTGTTCGTTATACGTGGCGTCACATTGTCCATCTCGACCATGACACTCGTAGCTCATGGCGTCGAGGCCGGCATCAAGCTTTCGGATGACATTGAGCTCGGTATCCAAGTTGATAGAGTTACCGTACCCTTATTCCGAGAAATTACCGTGGACGATGTGTACGCCAATGTCAAAGGTGGCGAATGGGAAGTCACCTTCGGCGATGTCGCGTATGGGATTCCGGAACCAGATGACGATGATTCAGTCGTGGTCACCAATACGGCCATTCTCAGAGCCGCAACACAGAAGGGTGGGATGAGCGGGCGACCCGCTGACCTTGTCAGAAATCTTACGGCAGGCAAGAAGCCTACTGAAGCTGAAGATGCCGCGTCCGCATTCTCATCAGTGAAAAAGGTTGCACCGGATGAAGAGCAAGCGCACACGAAATACAAAGAGCTCCTCGACTATATTAACAGTACGAGTGCGATTACAAAAGCGAAAAAGCAGCTGATAGAGGCATCGAGAGCACGCAACGAAGCATCGACTGACGAAGATAGGGATAGAGAGGGCAGAGATGGGAGGGAAAGCAGAAGGCGAATCAAGGAACACGCTGGAGTTCGCCTGGATATTGACAACATGGATGACTTTCGAGCCGCAATCTGTACCCAAATCCATGGAGAGCCTTCGATACCCCACCCGCCTTCAAAGTCAATCAGAGTTTCGACGCTTCGCAAGACATCATATCCAAACGTGAAGAAGTTCCTGCATCGGCTGCCATTTCTCTATCGACTTATGCTCAGCCCCATTTGTTATTTCCATCCGGTCAAATTCAAGTCCATCACAGCGGCTGGCTCAGGAAAATGGTTCACTGCTCTGATGCAGCAGTACTTCTTCAAACACTACTCATCGCAAGATGCAGAAATTCGCAGGCTCGAGGCGCGAATATCGGCCTGGTGTGCGGATGCCAACTTTGCTGTGGAATTTGGACAGATGCAAAGCGAGGCTCATTTCCCTATTAATACCAACTACAGCATCCAAACGCACTTAAAGATTTCCGATGTCATGGCCTACAGAGTCCTCCCGGATGCTGTCGAACTCAAGCAGGTGGTCCGACTGGGAGGAGCGGATGCTGTGCTTACCATACCAATGTTCCTGTTTCCTCATCACGAGCACATATTCCCAGCCAAATACAGTGACTTTGAGCTGCTTGAAATGGAATCGGAAATCAACGAAGCTGATCCTACGCCAAAGCAAGTTCAGTCGAAGAAAGAACTGGAAAGGCTCAAGAAGGACGAGGCGTGTATGCATGTCAGCGCACACGCGCACTTGCCAGCTCAGTTTCACCAGGATCTGCTCAACTTTGTGGCCGCGATTGTCAAAGCTACCAAAGTCATTGAGTCAGACAGAGATTTCGAAGAAGCAAAAGTGCTGCGCGAGCTGAAGCGTGTCAGCACCAACATGTCCGACAGCGAAGCGAGCAGCCTTGCATCAGTCAATACCAACAACACTGAAACTTCACAGACGACGGTGAACGGCAACGAGGACAAGAGTTTCAAGGCTTTTCTCAAGAAGGTCGACACGGGATTCAAGGAAGCCTCTAACAAGACCATGGTGGGCATGCGCAAAGCTGGTCAGAACACGGTGCATGCAATGGCCAATGATCGCTGGATCGCGCGGCTGGTGGGTAAAGTGACTAGGAAGTTGGAAAAGGCACAAGGCGAAGTGGGATACAGTATAGACGTACCTATCGCTCTGGCCAAATACCGTGAGCGACATGAATTGGAACAGAAGCTTCTGCCATAGAGGCTATCGAAAGGCGTTGGCGAAATTGGACTGCTATATGATACCCGGTTAGGCTCTATGTTGGGCGATTGTTGCGCTTCCAGACACTCTTTCTCTATAGTTTAGTATGAATATCATCAGGTTGTTTATGATGAGGCAAGTATGAATACCTATACTGGACCAGTTTTGGAAGAGATTACATTGTATTTCACACGACATGGAGAGACAAGAACTGAGTGCCCACATATGTGGAGATTGATCTTACTTGACAGTGTAGGTAAGCGCCTAATAAGCGTGTCTGGCGACTACCGTTGCCTTTTGACACTAGTATGTCAAGTATTTCGACACACCCGGGTGCCGCCAAGGCCGACGAGCAAGCTGGGGAGTAACGTTGCGGGCTAACGTACTGACGCGAGAAAGTTCCCGCTAAGTTACCACGCTACTGCGCTAACTTACTTCACCCACATCTGCCGCCTCCGCTTCGACAAACTTCTCTCGTCATAGGCAAAACACAACAATGCTCTCAAGAAGCGCATTGTGCCCCGCGAGGGCCTTTGCGAAGCGTTTTCCGCCTGGCATAGCGGCATCGTCGTCAATTGCGGGAACAGCATCGTTGTCGACATGTGTGCGCACACGACGGAATGGACGGAGCCTGGCGACCATGATACACGCCACACGCCATGCCTCGACATCGTCCACGACGACAGCTACTTCATCGACGCCTGCAACCAACAACAACAGCAATAACAACTCGCCCGGTGCCCAGCCGCAACTCACGTGGGATGCCTTCTTCGCGCTGCGCCGCACGCGGCGGCGCATTGGGCAAGCCTGCTCTGGAGTCGGTGCCGTGGGTGTGACGTACTTTGGTCTCACCACCATGATCAACAACGGGTACGATGCGACACTCTCTGCACAACTGGGGGGCTTTGACCCGCTGATGCTCATGGGACTGAGTACCTTGGGCATGATGGCTGCGGGCTGGCTGGTAGGGCCCGTGTTTGGCAACATGGTCTTCAACTTGGCGTACAGAGGGGTTGTGGGCGAGTTCACTAGGGTATGTTGAAATCTACTTTCACGCCTTGGACTCTGAACATGGCGTGATTGGGGTATACTGTGTTTGTCGACAGGTTGCTGACGGCTCTATGCCTTGAATAGAAAGACTCGGCCTTTTTCAACAGAATCAAGCAGCACCGTGTCGATCCTACGGCGTCATCGCTGGCGAACCCGCCCCCGGATTACTATGGCGAGAAGATTGGGAGCGTGGCGGGATATAGGAGGTGGCTGAAGGATCAACGTGCGTTTAATCTCAAGACGGGGAGGTATAAGGCGACCAAGGCGTCTGAGTCCAAGGCTTTGTGAGCACTGACGAGATTGTGTATGGTGGTCATATGGCCAGAATGGGCCGAGTGAAAAGTAACAACGAGGCTGGTGGATGCATCCAAGACGTGACCTGCAAGGAGGACGACACGTCGGGATCCATTAACATGACGAGCATGGTATGATATATGACAGGATAAAACAAGACGAGAAAGATGGTACACTTGATGCATAACGAAAAAGTTTAGTCATGTCAAACTCTCTCTCCCCCTGTCTCAGCGCCACATGCCATCAGGTAACAACACTTGCGAGGCTGAGCATATGGCCTTGTCCGTGGGCTCGACGATAGCTATGACTTGTCTCTGAAGAATGCCTAAGCTGTACAGCTAAACACTGGGAGCAGCAATGAGCTAGACAAGGGACACGTAGGCTAAATGTATAAAGACCAGATATTCTTACGACCGCAGAAAGGTTTCCTTATCCACATCTGGCACATGATGGCTCCAACACGTCGACCAACCTCACTCACTATACCCATCGCCACCACTCCTTCGTGGCGTGCCATCCGTCCCCCAACACCAAGACGAGCGACTTATACGTCTATATCCAGCATCGCACGCCCCAAATATGACGCACCGCCAATTCCACCTTTGTCGTACTGGGATCCCGACACTCCATCACCGTTTGCGAGCACCGCATCCCCTTCAACACCATTGAATTATTTCCTCCTATTTCCACACCAACTCGCTACGAGCCCGTGTGCTTTCTTTCCCAAAGCATCGCCGCTGCTCCCAGCCTCCCCGCTGTCAATTTTCGATCAAGTTTTGTCCCCGGCTGCGCCTACGTCCCTCGTGTTACGCACACCTACGCGAACCTCTACGAAGAAGACATTTCTTTTCCCAGCCTCTCCATTATCGCCACGCTTCATGTGTCCTCGGACACCGCCTTCTTGCCCGGATACCCGGCTAAGGAAGGCATTGACTTGTAGCGTTGTGATGGTCATGGCGGAGCGGAAGGGAAGTGTGGCCAGTATGGCGAGGATGAGAGACACAATGAAACCAGATTCTCACAAACAGTCCCTGTTCTTAAAGAAAAAAGAAAATATGAGTCACCCGAAGACTATGGATAAGAAGGGGAGAGGCACTGAGTGCCAGTTGAAGGGGCTTTGGAAACGACTGTTTAGGAGAGGAAGGGAGTGAAGAAGAAAGGGCTGGTGTCGCTGAGCCCAGTCCAGATCAAGTTACGCTAGTTCAATCCCCTGTCGTCCAGAAACTACACATTCCCAAGTTCGTTGATGAGTAGTTACAAGTAGGCGTTAATTTGGCACGATTTACGCGCTTATTTTTGTAAACCAAATTCTTCAATGGAAGCCGCAAAGCGACTTGAATCTCGAATGCGGGCGAGAGCGTAGCCCGTCGACATGATAAATCAATTCCATGATTGATAATGGGGTGGGGTATGTTCAGACCAGTCATGTTGTGGGTAGCACATGGTACATAGATGATAAAAAACATAACGGTCAAGTTATGCAAAACGGAGGCGTTTCTCTCGGCGAGTTGAATCATTCGGCATACATACAAGAACCAACAGCTCGGTGGTACCGGCTGTATTGTGCTTGATGCTACGGCAGCTTGTGCAGCGGCAAAGCCGGTCGGTGGGCCTAGCGCAAGACGAGCGGCATCAGGCACGTCAGGCAAAGAGCAGAGCTTCATGGATATTGATAATGCGTGATCTGACGAATACGCGTAGAGGGGCGTCACAGTCGGTCGTGTGCTGAGGTTATCTGGAAAGAGGACCAAGTGGATGCGGTGGGCCGTGGACGCGGATCCAGGCACCCCAACATGCGACGCTTGGACAGGTGGTTATCAGTGGAGCAGCGCTAAATGACGAACAGACGAGCGTTTGCAATTCAAATTTGACATGCTGCCGCAGCTGCAGCGATAAAGGAAGGATTCGAGTGGAGCCTTGGTACCTGCAGGCACGTTCCGTCACCAAGCTGTCGGATCATGACAAGAGTCGAATGGACCAAGGACCAAGTACAAGAATCAAAAGTCCAACATCAAGCCTGTTTGGCAGTTTGGCAAATTCCGGCGCTAAGGCGGTTGGGACGTGGGCGGGAGAGTAGTGTGGCGCGGCATTTGTGATTGGCAGATAGTGGTGGTTATGGTGTGTCGCGACGCCGTTGTACATATCGTTGGCGGCATGGTTTGCCATGGATCTGGATCGTCATCTAGTTTGCCATGACATGTCAGATAGAACAGGCGCGGTGTCGGCCTCTTGTACAGATATCTCAATTGTTGACAGCCCCCACGCGCCGATAGCGGGCGGGGGTGTACTGGTAGAGTACATGGCTACATAATGGCAACTGAGACGAAACGAAGCGAGGGAGTGGCAAGGCAATGTAACGCAACACCTGCCGTGCTCGTCATGCTCACACGTAGCCGACGCCACAGAGGGAGTGGTTGATGGTCGGTGGATGGATTGGGATCATGGTGACAAACGAAATGGCATCTCGGGCTAGCCGAAGCGGACACGACGGAGCCTGACAGGTGCTAGGCCGCAGGCGGAAGGTGAAGATGGAGGTGGGGCACGTGAGTCGCTTCTCCAGACTCGAGAGGGTGCCAATGGGGATGCGTCCAAGCGCCCGTCATCCGAAGCTGCAGATAAGAACAACGGCAACGACTGCGCTGCGGCTGCCTCGATTCGCCATTACAGGCAGTTGGCAAGGAAGCCGCGCTGGATGCCACGGAAGGCGCTGCGGGCCAAGCGAGCCGAGCACTACAGTCAGCTTTCTAGAAGCCTTCCAACCCATACAACCGCCATCTGCCACCAACATGCTGTCCTTTTGGGCCCAATCTCCGTCCAGCGACCGCGTCTGACCAAAGCGCCCGCCATGGACACACCAAGCCCTATCCACCACCGGCCGATTTGCTGTTGCGGGGAGGTCCCAAGCTATTCCCAAGCTACTCCCAAGAGCCGCCGCGGGGCGCCAATTCACCCTCCCTGCTAGCTTTGCCTGCTTGGGAGAACGCTTGTTCTGCTCGCGGCCGTCTGGCCAACCAAACGTCGCGCCACCCTATCTGTCGGACGCCTGGTCTTTCACTGTGAAGGAGGGGTGCCAAGCTGCTGGCTCGTGCGCCGAGTGCACCAGAGGACGAGGGCCCTGGTCGCTTTGTTCCGCCGCAAGGCCATCTTTCCATCCTGGAATAGATAAATGTCAATTGCCTCCCCACCCCGTCCGCTGATCCATCACTTGTTAAAAGGTCACCGTTCCCAGGGTCTCCAGAAGCCCCAGAAGCCCTTTCTTACCTTCCTTCTGCCCTGTCCAACTCGCCCCAACATGGACCACGAAAAGGCAATCCCCGGCGATGAGAAGGCTCCCGCCGCCTATCCCACCGTCTCGAGCGAGCACGAGGCTGGCGGCGAATGGCGTGACCAGGAGGACTTTATGACCCGTAACGGTCTCAACCTGAAGTCTTTCCAGCGACGTCCCCAGGATGGCAGCACCATTGAACTCGACAAGTCGATGAAGACTCGCCATCTTCACATGATCGCCATCGGTGGTTCCATTGGTGCCGGTTTCTTCGTCGGTTCTGGTGGCGCTCTCAGCAGAGGCGTAAGATGCATACCATGTCACTGCCAACTGAATAAACGCTTACACTTGCTCAGGGCCCTGCCTCTCTCCTCATCGACTTTACCATTATGGGAATCATGATCTTCAACGTCGGTATGTACACGTGACACCTTCGCCCTGCCCTGCTCCGAATCTAATCATGCTGTTAGTATATGCTCTCGGTGAACTCGCTGTCATGTACCCCGTGTCTGGTGGTTTTTATACCTACTCTACTCGCTTCATTGATCCTTCCTGGGGTTTTGCCATGGGCTGGAACTATGTCTTCCAATGGGCTATTGTCCTGCCTCTCGAACTACTCGTCGCCGGTCTAACTGTGCAGTATTGGGAAGGTGCCAAGGGCACGAGCACTGCCGTTTTCATCACCGTCTTCTGGGTCTTCATCATCTTGATCAACGTCTTGGGAACCTTGGGATATGCCGAAGAAGAGTTCTGGTCTGCTTGCGTCAAACTCGGCGCCACCGTTGTTTTCATGATTATTGCCTTGGTCCTGGTCCTCGGTGGAGGCCCTAGCAACGGTATCTACTCGGAGTACTATGGTGCTCGTAACTGGTATGATCCAGGTGCCTTTGCCAATGGTTTCAAGGGTTTCTGCACCGTCTTCGTCACTGCTGCTTTTGCCTTCTCGGGAACCGAGTTGGTTGGTTTGGCTGCCGCTGAGACCAAGAACCCCCTGAAGTCTCTCCCCGGTGCTATCCGACAGGTCTTCTGGCGAATCACCCTATTCTACATCCTCGGTCTCTTCTTCGTCGGTCTTCTCGTCAAGCACACCGACAGTAATCTGATGGGCTCTTCCAGCGATGCCAACACTTCCCCCTTTGTCATTGCTGGCAAGTATGCTGGTCTCAAGGGATTCGACGACTTCATGAACACTGTCATCCTCATTTCAGTCGTTTCCATTGGTGTCTCCGGTGTTTACGGTGGATCGCGTACCCTGACCGCCCTTGCTGAGCAGGGTTACGCCCCCAAGATCTTCACCTACGTTGACCGCGCCGGTCGTCCTCTCTGGTCTGTTCTCTTCGTTCTCATGTGGGGTCCTCTCGCCTACATGAACTTAGCTGCCACTGGTGCTACCGTCTTCGACTGGTTCGTTGCCCTTTCCGGTCTCGCTGCTCTATTCACCTGGGGATCCATCTGCTTAGCCCACATCCGGTTCCGCAAAGCTTGGGCTTACCACGGCCATACTCTGGATGAGATTCCATTCAAGGCCGCCGGTGGTGTTATTGGTTCATGGATTGGTCTTTTCATCATTGTTATTGTCCTTATGGCTCAGGTAAGATATCTCTGTTGCTTTCTTGCAAACTATCCTTCTGACATTGACCTTAGTTTTACACTGCCGTCTCTCCCATTGATCTCCCTGCTGGCAAAAAGGTTGGTACTGCTGGGGACTTCTTCCAGGCCTATCTCGCCATCTTCGTCGTTGCAGCTTTCTGGGTTGCTGGTTACTTCTGGAAACGTGAAGGCTGGCTCCGTACTGCCCAGATGGACGTCGACACTGGTCGTCGTGAGCTTGACTGGGATCTTATTAACAGGGAGCGTGCCGAGATTGCCACCTGGCCTGCGTGGAGGCGCTTCCTCCACCGCATCTTCTAAGCTTTTGCACCCGGTTGCATTCGCTCACTGTAATGTTGTTGGGAAAGCAATGCTTTGTTTAACGTGTCGACGATTTATATCGTGCTTCTCATGTACTAATGCGTTTTACCACACATTAGTCAAAACTTGTTCAATGTCAATATACCCCTCATTTCTACCATCAGAACTTGCCTTGCCGCAGACTTGTTTGAAAAAAATTACATTCTCCCTTTGTGCACACATTCAAGTACATATATGAGTATTCTTGTTTCAACGATATGCATCCTGCCAAGCCTGCGACGTCTACTTGCAAAGGGAACCCTGCCACTGATATCCGCCAGTCTAGTGTGTAAACCATATGTGCTGCCACATGGACACGTGGAGTGCTCGTACGTTCCTAGAAGTGTGCTCAATTGATTAAAGTGTCGTATCCGTGTGACAATCATGAGCATTGTCAAAATAATAATAGAAGTAACTTGAAGCGCATTTATGTACTAATTGTCTTATAGGAAATAATCATTCGCTTTCCGGCTAGTGTATACAGCAAATAACCAGTATTAAGCCAACAGTTTGTTTTGATGAGTCTTCTCAGTCGGCCAAGTGTACATGGTATAGTAGCTATGTCGCATAGACAACGGAGAATGGAAGCAGGAAAAGAAGCCTTGATAGCAAAATAATCTGGTATCCCAACGTGAAAAATAAAAGATTAACCCAAAACATCTCAACACTACTAACATATCATGTGCTGTTTAGCATCCGAGCATTTGGCTCCTGTCTCTACTGCCCGGGCATATGCGCTACATCCCTGATATCCTTCGTCTCAATCCTTCCCATGCCGGGATACATGTCATGTCGATCGATGTGACTTTTGACCGTCGTAGCAGGTGCCAATTTTTCCCTTTCGCCCTCGCTGTCGGCTGTAGCAACCATGACCAACGCATTCTTATCCGTCTCGCTTGGTGGCTCTCTGTCCGGGAAACTCTGTACCTCGCCGCCATTTTCCTCAATTGGCGGTATTCCCGTCATATCTGGTTGATCGAACGACATTTTACGGACCCGGGACTCCAGAGATGCCGGTGGGGATTGTGGAATTGCGCTGAGGGACTTGGAGCGCACAGTCTCGAGGGTATTGGAGCCGTCCTCGGACATGTGGCCTAGTACCTCATCTACTGACAAGGATTGTGATGGGTCTGTAGGTACTTCGGGGACGCTATTTGAGCGTTGCTCTTTGCCGGGTGCTTGTTTGGTGTTCTTGGACCAGGATTTGAATTTAAAGGCTGACAGCCAGCCTGGACGTTTTTCTTTGCCAGCATTCGAGTTCAAAGCGCGCTCGGCAGCTAATTGAATATGACTTTTTGGCTCGGGCTTTGTTGATCTGAGCGCTGGGGCTGGTTTTGGTGCAGGAGCGGAGCGTATGTCATAGTCGGATTTGCGGCGCGCTCCTGCCGCGCTGGTGTCTGCTTTGGAAAGACCCAAGTCTGCCCGGTGCTTGGCAAGGCTGCTTTCTTTGAGTTCCTCGCTGATGTACTGCAGTGCTTTGTCGATAACTTCAATGTACTCTGGGTAGTCAACTTCACATGCTTCGCGGATGAGGCGCAGTTTCTCCCAATCCTGTCGTACTGCTGGACCTGTGAGATCAGGATGCCAGCCCATGCTCCTGAGGTCAGATCGAATCCCACGATCGACCTGCTCTTTGACGCCCATGAGATCGATGAGAGCATCAACTTCTGTGCGCACGACTTTGACGTACTGGGCAAATCGTGTCGTGTCCTTGACGGTCCAATGAGATGTTGTCATGCTTGGATTGCGTTTTAGGCTCGACCGTGCGCCTGTTTGGTTGAGAAGATCCTTCAAAAGTGCATATTTCTCGCGGAATCCTTCTAGCCGGTTGGTGTCAAGAGCTGGATACTCAATTCTTGTGAAGCTCTTCGGGCTCTTCAGGCCATACACGTTCATGAGCTCGTCCCGTGACGTATTTGCCGGACGGCCGGCAATCTCATGAAGTGCCCTTCTAATCTTCGCATTGATCACCTCTTCATCGAGCCTAGGGTCCCTGACTCCAAAGTTCACGGGTAGGTGCGGGTCCGGGTTCGTGATGCCAGGATGGCTAGGAATCATGTGCCGTGCAATCGTTGCAGGTGGTGCAGATATGCCTACGGCATCGCCAAAGATGAGCAATCGGCCCTGCTGGAGGCCAAGCTTTGCCAGCGCAACCTTTTGCGCATGATCGTGGTCTTTCGAAGGATGGATGAGATTGAAAGCCTCTACGCAAGTGCTGAACTGGGATGCGAGAGAGTAGACATCGGTCAGGATCTGGGCCTTGCTCTTCTGTCCAGCGGGCGCTGTGTCTTCGACGAAGTCTGTCGTGCTTTTCTCTGGCATAGTGACGGGGTAGGTTTGGATATGTTGCTGATGGGATGGACAGAGGTGTCGCACTCGAAGAAACTGTAAGCCAGCTGGCGGGAAAGCAGGATACACAACGAATCAGGTCCAGTCGATATTCACTGCATGTGCGCATGACGTTGAAGCATTGTCCAATCTAGAAGTGTGGCGCAGCTATGTGCACAAGAAGCGGGGCAGGCTGATCGACACGCCATTTCTCCTGACTTGGCCTTCAACTGTACTCACTCTTCTCATTCACGACAAGTGGCCATACCCGAGTTCATACATTGCTCAACTTTATGCCATACCTTTTCCTACAGAAATACACCTGTGCTTTTTTTTCTCGGCGCTACACGTGTCAAGAGCAGATCTGTGCAGTCAAGTGTGGTACCGGGCAGTTAAATTGTCCCAACGTAAAAATTCGCACCGACTTTTCAGTCAATCCCGTGTTTACAACACGGCTTGCTTACTTCGGTATGTTTGCCTTTTCCAAACAACCACATCAAGAGACTATATACTCTTCTGAATTAAACTTGATCCTCGTCATTGCCAAGAACATGCTGCGTATGAGACCTAAAACACGTGATTTTCCATCACCACCCTCCCCACTGAGCCAGATTTGGGATTGTCAAATGCGCGCATAACGCTACATAAGCGAACATAACTGTTGCCACAGTATTTTCATCTTCCGAAAGCGACCAAGGTTGGAGGCGTTGTGACTTGATTTGCCTAGTACGGCGACATGCGTACACAAACGACCTAATGGCATCTATCATTCTGATGGTTGGTTAATTACGTCAGGCTATTGTTCCTGAGATTAGTGGGTAGCATAGCGTGGGCTGGTCCCTAGCGGTCGTGTGCCATGGAACCGGAAATTACTACGGAGTCATTTCAGTCGTCGACGCAGAAGATCCTAAATTCTAAAGTTCATATTCGCATAACTAGCACTTTTCCACCATTGTTTCGCGATCGATACATTTACAACATTGGTGTTGGGATCCTGTTCGGGGGAATTAATACGGAGAAACAATGGAATATATGTATTCCTGCCCCGTTTCCGGGAGCGAAGCAATAATATAAATAATGTTATTAGACATGGTAAGAAGCACTACTATCGTCCGACTTATTTTGATTGGCCCTCGTTGTAGCAGAAACTTCGTCCTGATTGACTTGCTTTGGCTCAGTCTCCATCCTCTGTGAGACACTCCTCTCAATGCTGAACTCCTTTTTAATGAACATGTCACTTCCGCGGCGGTGTATCGCGCTAGGGCCCTGGGGCTGTAATCTTCGCTCTGTGATAATTTCGTCTTCGCTGCCGCGTTCAGATCCAGGTTGGAACTGAGACGCGCTGCTTTTGTTGGTAGACTCGACTGGTTCTAGATGATGGTCGCTTTTCCAGTCCGCTGGATACGATCGACGATTTGTGCTTGCCTTGCTACCTACGCGAGAGGTGAAGAGGGGACCGAAGAGGCGTAAGAACGGAGCGCGGAGCATTGGGAGACAGGCGCAAACGATGCCCGCGTTTGCTTCGATGACTGACCATATCGTGGCTGGAACGGGTCCCAGGGTCGGGTCAGGATTGCTCGCCGATCTTGCAATCGTTGTGGCACGATATATGGACGCGAAAGTAACGCTGTGCGTTGTTAGCGAATAGTTTCCTTCGAGTGAGACAATTCCAGTACTTACAACCCGCCAGTGCCAAACACGAGTGCTATACCCAACTTCTCAGCTTTTCCCATGGAGAGTTTCATGATTTGTCGAGCGGGCATAGCTAGAAGCATGAAGTCTGTGCTAATTTGAACGGTGGCATAAGAAATCCACCAGGGTTCATTCTTGAAGCACTTAGCACCCTTTATGCTGTGATCCCAAAAGGCGGCAATAGGTGTGCACTGGAAGACCGTGGCAATGGCGAAAGAAAGTCCCGTGACAACGATCCACGTGTCTGCCACAGCGTCAGTCAACTACAAGGTAATCCTGGAGCCGGAAGTTTTACTCATGATATGACAAGCGATGCGGAAGGAGCTCGTTGTCACAGCGAAGATGCGATAATAGAGGCACACTACCGATACTTTGTTGAACATGAGGACTATCTTATAGATAACTGCGATGGTTAGTAAATTCATATGCAATTCTTGACAAAGGTACACACTGTTTGCTCCATAGAACCACTTGCGGGCGGTAAGGCGAGTCTCCATAGGCAATGTCTTCCAAGGTCTTCCATAACCATATACCACAGCTATGCAAAGTTAGCCGCTGGCTCTAGAATGCCACGAATATACTACTAACCTTGGCATTCTGTGACCGTGAGTATTATCGACGATAACAAGGCTGCAATGATCATATAGTCATCCACTCCCAATCCACTTTTCTTAACAAACCGCTGAGCAAAGCGTGCACCGACAAAGAGCCCTGCGACTATGACGGCTATCACACTGGTGAGCCAGATGCCCCATCCACGTGCAACGGGACCTTGAGTGCCCAGGCCAACGTTTGGAGCCATGTTGAAAGAGGATATGACCGTGTCACGGAAGATTTAAAAGACAATACGCAAGGCCCACGACCAGGGGATTTGCCCGCATAATGAGTATCGTTCAAGGGCTCAAGGTCACAACCGAAGTGCATGGTACAATGGTACGCTAGAGGCAGACTGATGTAGGAGCGCCTGGAGCCTCCCTCGTGGGGCTGTCCGGTCATGTTGCGATGGCGACCCTTTTCGTCCACCTCCGTACATTTCGATTGGATTTGATGTCCCACTCGGTGGGAACTACCAACCTGATCCTTGCGCTTTCTTTGCGTTCAAGCTCGTCTTGCCAGAGCCGGATCGTTGGCCTTAGTGACCCAGCAAAAGCCGTCGATCGGCTCGGCGTAGTGTACTGATAAGGCATGGCTGGGTGACATCAGAAGACGGAGATCAGTGACGGACCGGTGTTTTGCCGAGATGCAGGGACGATGTGCGCTTTCGCCCACGTCAGCCGCATCTAGGAGAGAAAGAAAAAAATACATGGCAAACATGGTGAGAAGCAAACGTTAGTAGGGTGTCGGGGCTAGAATGTTAAGGGGACGGGGACGGCCACAACCTCCAAGGTTTAGGCATATGTTCTTGGGGTGGACATTGACGTCGAAGGGTGCCAGATCGAACGCAGATCGAAGGAGCAACTATCGCGTGGTGCCAAGCTACATTAACGTTAGCGTTGACAACCGAGATGACAGTCACCTCTTCGAACAATGGGTTGGAGTATTCTTTGCCGGTGTACGCCCGTACGCCTGTACGCTCGACATGCAACTTTCCGAATCAATACCATCTGCCTCGGCACCTTGTCTCCTTCGGGCTCTTTTTCTTGCCCGAGGGACTATGGCTAATGATGGCGTTTACGGTAATGCAGGAACAAGGAGCTAGAGGCGAACCAAGTCGCTGACGCAGGCCTGGAAGCCCTGAGCCGCGATTTACATTTCATCTCGTTAAAGCCAGCGGGCTTCGCTCCAGTTGCAAACAACGCTCAGAACTTCACCAGCCAAGGATAGGATTGCCATCGTTCCGGTTTGACAAGATGCACTACCTCCTTCCTACTGCTGCAGCTGTGACCTCGCTGTTCGGCCCGGCTGTTGCAGTGACAACAAACAGATTCAGTGTTCATACCTCAAGTGGTACTTTGATCGGCCATCCATCGTCTAACAGGACTTATGTGACCGAATTTCTCGGTATCCGATACGCGGAGGCGCCCGTGGGCGAGCTGAGGTTTGCAGCGCCGAAGAAGTACCATGCGCCTGCAGGAACCGTCTTTGAGGCATCCAATTGGGTAAGTGGTAAGAAGATTAGGGTAGTTTCCAAATTTGCTAACAGATCTAGTCATCGTATGTGTATTGGAACAGCTAGACAATGTTTGATGACTGACAATTGTACAGCGATTGCCCTGCAGTCAAACCGCCAGTATCTGCATTTCCAAACTTTACAGAGCCATCTGGTCTTCGCGTATGGAAGAACTTTGCAGCCCAGAACAACAATTCGGTATCCGAAGATTGTCTGAAGCTCAATGTTTGGACCACGGATACTGGCGAATCCGACGCTAAAAAGCCAGTGCTTGTCTTTCTCCACGGAGGCCGTAGGTCGCCCTATCTAGCCTTGGAAGTACCATTAATTTCTCTTCTAGGCTTTCAGATTCCAGGTCCTCATAGCCCCTTCTACAACGGTCAATATCTTGCCGACGCTGAGGATGTGGTGGTTGTAACGCTCAAGTATGGCCAGTACAGTCCTGACATATATTCGTCGCTAATCATATCAGCTACCGTCTCGGCATCTTTGGCTTCCCTGGTGCTCCTGGCATCGAGAAGAATGCAGCGCTCCGTGATCATCGTACCGCAGTGGAGTGGGTCCGCGATAACATCGCTGGTTTTGGAGGAGATGCTTCGCGCATTGTCATCTATGGACAAAGTGCGGGCGCTGCCGCTGTCGATTATTGGGCATATGCCTGGAAAAATGATCCAGTCGTTTCTGGACTTATATCCATGTCAGGAACCTCGCTGAGTTTCATTCCCAACACAGCCAAGTATTCGCAGTCCATATGGTACAACGTTTCCCAGACCATAGGCTGTGGTGGTGCTGAAGACGATCCTGGTGCAATAATTGCATGCGTTCGAGCTGCAAATATGTCCGCCCTTTTAGCGGCATCAGCAAAGGTCCCAGGACTGCCCAGTGGAGCTTTGACACAAGCGACATTCCACCCCACCGTAGACAATATCACGGTCTTTGCCGATTACGAGAAACTTTCCGAGTCGGGCTCTTTTGCGAAGATCCCATTCTTATCCGGCAATGCTGACCACGAGGACGGGTGGTATCGTATTTCTGGATGGGCCACCAAGCTGAACTTCACCAACACTCAGTGGGAACTTTTCACCCAGCGCGCCTTCACTTGCCCGACTGCACATTCAGTAGGCTACAGAGTCAAGCACGAAGTGCCTACTTGGCGGTATAGATACCACGGCGAATGGGACAACCTCCTTCTTTACAACAGTAGCGCAGGCCTCGGCCCTCGAGGAAGCGCAGCGTACCATGGATCTGATCTGGGCTTGGTCTTTGGCACCGCCCAGGACATCTCTGGTCTGCCAAACAGCCCTGCTGAAAATAAGTACATGAAGTACATTCAGGGCGCGTGGGCTGCATTTGCTCGAGACTCGCAAAAGGGTTTGACGCAGTATGGATGGCCAGAGTACAAGTCAGGTAAGTCAATTCCAAATTGGATGACTTTGTTGCTCATAATCCAAAGGCAACGCCACATTGGTCGAGCTGGCCTACAACAACAACCTTCCAACCCAGTTTGTTGACCCATGGATTTATGACAAGCCGTGTCCTGTCAGGAACGACCCTCTGCCAGGGCGAGGTGCCTTTTAGACTCAATTGAGCAACGAGAGCTCTCTGAAAGAGGGCACTAGTCCCAACATTATCGTTATCTAGATACTCATTTCATGAACGCGCATGCTTTGATTCACGCTCATCTTGCCATATTTGGACAGAGTAGGCTGACAAGGTCCATGATGAGCATCTCTGTAACCGGCATAGAAAGAAGTTGTTGACCTCACCTTTGGTGGTCACGGCCTCTACCCACCCCTCACGTTTGGATGTGTTCTCACTTGCAGTTACGAGCTGCGCTTAGGCCGCTTCCAAGACCGGGATTCGCGCCTGAGATCAGCATCAGCCGGCTGTCGAAAAGCCGAAAACAAAATGAGGCGTAAAATCTCCCATCGCAATCTCCTTGGACTGTGAATGGAACACAGCTCCACACACTGCACTGCGCACGCAACACATGTGTGGTTTGCGCAATGATGGAAGCTTTGGGCAAGGGCCAACAAGCACGTGGAGGTAGCGCTCACGGAGGTATACCGCCGAACGGGCTAGTCCTGATTTCGACTATTGCATGATAGTAATGTGATTGAGCGCAGAACTGCTTGGCTTGTCTCCAGCTCTTTCTGTAGACGGGGGTTTTTTTTTCACCAACGCAATCTTTACATTTTATCGTGCCTTCAAGCTAAGAATATGCTATAGTCATCCGACTCGCACCTCGCTGCCTGAATCTTCCCATAGCTTCAAACATACCCTAGCAAAATTTAGATTACCGGTAGGGTGACTACTGGCAGGAAAACAGAATGTTAGAGGTGGTGTTCCGTCTTGGCAATGTAAAAATCCCTATAGTTGAGCCCAGGATATCCAGGATCGAGGTGCAAGTACCGGGACGAGAATGCCATGCCGCGTTCGTACTAACCTTACAAGGCAAAAGGTGGGGCATTTGCCATTACGGCGTGCGTGATGTCTGCATGATCCACGAGCATTACTCCCCGCTCCTCGGGTCTGGATGCTTGGGACGAGTGAGCCACTGGACGTCTGGTACAAAAGCCCAGGGTATGCCATATTCTGCAAGCGCCATGTCCTTCATACTTGCACCGACTGCAAAATAAATAACTTGTACGGGACGACTGACCAGCTGCCATGATGAATTCGACTATTGGCGCATGGCAGTTCACACCGCTCTTGACCGAATTCCCCGCAAACATTTTACCTAATCTAGGATTCTGGAGCGCGACCAATGGGTCTTGGGAATACCAGATCCAGTTATCATGGCCTTTGAACTGGACTAAACCAGCGGAAAAGTCGGTTGTGGAAACGATGTAAGGCGACTCCCAGAACTCTTATGATAGTGATGTAGCGAAGCTGGACTCACCGATTAAAATAGGTACGTCCTAGACGGAAACGCCCTGGGCATGACTGCAACAGAAGCCTTCCGCCGCCGTCGACCGGTCGAGTTCAACATGCCAGATTGCATCGTGGTTAGCATAGGGTACCCAGAGACGATTGAAGATTCACCGTACAGCCAGCAACGAAGCTACGACTTCCAACCGCCAGTCTGCGAAACCTGTCCTTTACCCACCATTCCTGGAGTGCCTTCAAACGCGGATAACTTGATCGAGTTCATCGACACGGCTCTGCGACCCTGGGTTCGCGGCACGGCTTTCCCCAAGGCTGATTTCGATCGTGATGCGCTGTACGGCCACTCTTTCGGTGGCCTCTTTGTCCTATATGCCCTTACAGTGCGCCCAGACCTCTTCGATACATTTCTCAGCGCCTCGCCTGCGCTTTCCTTCAACGACGACTACATCTTCAACCATACGGAATTTCTTGCGCCGCTTGTTTCTCCGTCCAATGTCTCCAACGGGACCAAGCCCGCATTCCAAATAAGCTACGGCGCTCCAGAGCAGACTCCAATGAAGAGGGGGACGGAGACAAAAGACGAATTTGAGTTTAGGAAGAGTATACTTGTCCCTCAGCAGATGACTAGGTTGTCGCAGAAGCTGTATAATACATTACAAAATAGTACCGCCTTGAGGGATATCAGCATCCACGAGTACCCTTTTAGTGACCACGCGGCTGTAGCGGCGGCGGCATTGGGAGATGGAATTGATTATTTCCTAGATTGGTGCACAGCGAAATACTGTTAGGCATAGCACATGGCCGTTCTCTAGGCCCCTCTCTCGGTCAAACCAAAATTCGGTCCTAGATATATCTGGTCCTGCTATATGTGCGCAGAGTCGCCGAGACCCTTTTACCGTTCACTGCGTACCTTGTCAGTTGCGCTATGACGTATGGATGATGCTCGCTAGGTACTCTGGGGCGTCGCTGAAGACTTCCTCGGCTACTCTGAAGTTTGATTCATCTATCTGCACTTCTTCCGCGTTAACCGAACACAGCAGAGTAGATTTCCGGGCTACTTGCCGGTTTAGAAGAATCATAGTGCTGGCACTGGCACTGGCACTGGCGCTGACACTGACCGCCTCTCTGGACTGTTGCACATGGTGATTTGAATTTGATTCGAGGTATCGAGGTTTGGGGTCGTGAACTATGAAGGAGCCCATGTGACGAGCGCCCGACGTCTTTTTCTACAGTACTAAGCGACTGGTGGAATCGAACACGTACCGTACACATCACCCACATGGGGTCATGATAAGTGATAGCATGAGTGGGCACTTTCCACCGCTCATTTGTGCCAAAGTTGGCGTAGGTGGTGCGGGCGAAAAGGCGACTGGTGGCGGCATTGGCTGACATGAGTGGGGCAGTGGATACAGCCGCCAGCAAGAGCCTCAACCGATGCCGCTCCGGTGTTTGATGGGCGCGCAGCCCTGGAGAGAGCAGAAAAGAATTTCGCCTAGAGTTTCCCGGGGTACGTCATCTTGAGGAAGAAAGAAGGGTCCGGTGAGGGGGGAGGTTGAAATGTCCAAAACCCTAGACGCACGCTTTCTGGTACGAGGAAGCAAGCAAACGACGGCAGGACGACATCGAATTGACTTGATAGATACGTACACATAAAACAAGACACGGCCAAGATGCAGCGAGCACACACGACCGAGAGCTTGCGCACGCCCGGGGCCAGCATCTCGACGCTGAATCTGAATAAGCTCCCACGGCCGGGAATTGAGCGGGCGCCCACATCGACCAACCTCACACGGCCACTCCCGATTCAGCGCCTCGAGGGCAAGGTGGTGATGATTACGGGCGGAGGCGGCAAAGTGGGCGTCGAGTCGGCCGGACGACTCCTCATTGAAGGCTGCAATGTCGCCCTCATCGACATTGACCAGAACGCGCTCGAGGCGGCGGTGCCCGTCCTAAAGGCGGCGATACCAACCGGCAGCCCAATAGAGTCGCGGCTGCTCACCATCGTCGCCGATGCAACAAAAGAGGCGGATGTCGAGGCATGCGCGAAAAAGGTGGTGCAGCGCTTCGAGCGGCTCGATGCGGCCCTGCTAAACTGCTGCCACCGCGGCGAGTCCAAGAGCATCTTTGACGTGACCGAGCATGACTTTGACAAGATCATGACCATCAACGCAAAGTCGGGTATATCTTTCACCCTCACCACTCTTAAACACGACTGACTCTGCAATGCAGCCTTCCTGGGCGTCAAATACGCTGCTGCTGCCATGCAAACCACATCCTCCCCGCAGCACGGCGGCTCCATAATCATCCGCTCCTCCATTGCCGGCCTCCGCGGCTTCCCTAACCTCATTGCCTACAGCAGCGCCAAGTTTGCACTCCGCGGCATTGCCCTAACCGCCGCCGAGGAACTGGGCCAGTACGGCATCCGTGTCAACACCATTCACACCAGCATCATCCAGACATCCGGCTACAAGGACGGCTGGACCAAGGAGCGCCTGGCCGAGCTCAAGGAGGAAACTGCTTTGGAGCGTTTCAGCAGCCCGGACGATGTGGCTAGCGTCGTGGCCTTTTTGGTGAGCGAGGATAGCAAGTTCATGACTGGGGGACACTTGAAGATTGATGGTGGCTGTGTGGCTGTTTAGACATCTCATCATGCTGGAGCCTAAACTATGTTTGCATTCATGGAGTTTGGGGCGGCCATGGCAGGTACCATAGAGGTCACTTTCAGCCATCATACATTCAGTAATCCTAGACGAGTAGAGAGTGCATCAAAGCCGACGTCTCACCTCATTGCTTTACTCTCCTCGACATCATCCAGATTTCACTGCCTTCTCCTTTCCTTCCACCTCAGTATCCAGCTCATGCATGCATCCAACGACAGCAGAATAAAATACTCAGCCATCATGCTTGGTAGAAGCCTTCCTTCCCTCAATCGTTTTTTCCCAAAGAACCGATTTCTCATGAACGGCCAGAAACTCGAAGGTGCCAGTAGAACAAGAACTAGCCTTGCTCTTTTCCGTCTCCTTGCCCATCAGCAACAGATACGGGTCCAGCCGAACTTTGGCATACCCATTTCCCAGAAACACTATCTCCACTTTATACCCCTCTGGTACCGTCTTCAACCCCACATGGCGAAATGACGCATGTGGCGGTCCTGCAAAGTCGCCCATGGCAAACGATATGCTACGCGGCAGTAACAACAGTCGAGCTGTATACACGCCCCCATGCTTGCTAGCACCTGCTGTCTCCGACACTGTGAGTGTGCGCTTCCCATCCCAATATTTGTCCACGTGCATGCCACTGTAGCCTGGGCAGTACAACGACCAGCGGCCCTCGATGACTCCGAGCGGAACGGGGATGCGTGCAGCAATAGTGTTACGGAGGAGAGACTCGGCCATCTTGCAGCGAGCGATTGCATCATTGGTTACTTTCGCCTCGGCTTCGGATGTTTTTGTCATCTTCAAGACCGCTGAAGTCATCTCTTCGCATGAGAGACGCAGCATATCTTCTCCTTTCGGATTGCAGCCTGTCAGTTTGTGCAGACAAGGCAGGGGACCAGAAGAAGCTGCAACAAGTGCGTCGTATTCAATAAGGTATTCCTTCTCGTCAGTGAAGTTGATGGTGGCTCGCACCGTGGCGAAGGCGGCAGTGAAGACCGCGAGGCTGCTTTCCTCATGCCTTTCAATGTCCTGGCTCGGCTTCTTGGGCTCGATGAAGAATGGGTTGTCATAGGGTTTTCCGATTCGAAGAAACATGTCCCTGATGCTTGGGGTGGTGCCTGATGTGCCGCTCGACGTAGCAATCGATACAGTGCGACGGCGTGTAGGCAACTTGGACTTTCCTTGGAGTTGTTGCTTGTGGGCCATCAGGTTCGACGATGTCAAGCCAGTTGCCTGGTTGCTGACCAGTGGCATGACTGAGCCTTGACTGCTTATCACATACTTTGCACGCGCTGGGTCTCCTTCCACCTTCTTCTTCTGGAGTATGAATGGTATGGGTGCTGGCCGGGGAGTCGTCATGAGCTCACTGACCATACGCGACGGAGGTGTCTCTGGGACAAGGATCTGAGGCTCGGGCTTTGTTGGTTTGATTTTCTTCGGCTGAGGCCCACTCGTACTCTCATTCAGGCTGTAGGGTGACTCGCTGGGTAGTTTGTTGGCGGCAGAGAGGACTTTGGGGGCGACAGACGGGAGAGGAATGGGAGTCTTGATCACTCCGGGCGTCTTTTCTGGAGACCGAGTGGCAACCTCTGGGATAGCTGGTGGCCTTCCCGTCTTGTTCTTCTTTAGTGAGTCCTCTGCAATGCCAGTATCGTCGAATTTCGGAGAAAATGTGAAACCGGGGTTGGCCATAGACTCCTTCAAGCTCTGCAGGAAACCAGGCCCGAGAAAGCACAAGTCGCTGCTCACCTTGTCGTTGGTGGCAGCTGCTTTCTCGGCATTCACACTACCCTCCCTCTTGCGCTTCATACTAGATACAGGCGTACCATCCGGCCCTTTCTCTCTCTTCTTGTACGGACCGCGCGGACCATACCTGCCTTTCTTGACCGGAGTCGCGGGCGTCTGGTCAGCTGGGGGGTTTGGTGCTGCCTCTTTTACCTTCTCTGCTTCCTTCGTATTCTGTGTCTCCCGAGCTTCTTTCTTGAGCCTTCGCATCTCCTTCTTCTCCTTCTTCTCTTGCTTTCTACGAGCTCTCGTATCGATAATACTTGCCTTAGCACCCTCGGCGGCGCCTGACGCTGGCTCGTCGTCCTGGTAGTCCATGGCGTTGTACGTACAAGGCTGCACCTGCATATCTGAGCGGACAAGGTGTTGCCTTGGGATACTATAGAGTCCTTGGGGTGGCATGCCTGCGATCGCGCCCGGCAAATCCACACTTGATCTGTACTAGTGTCAGAGTGAGCGTTCAACACAGTACAGTAGAGGTAGGTACCTTGAAGTCTCACAGCGTGGACGTAGATGTGTGAGTAGATCAAGCAACTCCGCCCGGATGAGCAAACAAACAAAACAAAAAAGCGCGAAAAATTAGGCAGCTCCGCGTGCGGGGGAGCAGACGGGCAAACCAACGGTGAAAGTGAAAGCGGCCAAGCCGCGGGCAAAGATCCGGATTCACCATGAGTGCAACATACATCATCATTTGCTTCCACTAACGAGACATGACACAATGTATGGCCTAGACTGTATGATTCTTCTATATGCACGCAACATCTACATGAACACCCGCGTCTAACATGAACACCAAAGAGCTTACACTTCCGCTTCTCTTCTATATGCACAACCGCGTGCCGTATGTCCCATGCACCCGGGTGTCGTAAAACACTTGACATACTAGTGTACAAGGGTCACTGTAGTCGCCAAACACCTATTGGGTGCTTACCCACACTGTCAAGTTCTTTATGACACCCGGGTGCATATCTGTAACGACACATCCGACACACACTTCTAATTCGCCATGAAGAGAATCCACAGTCAAGCCATCACCCACGTATCAAAACAAAAAGCCACGCATCATCTAATCCTTCTTCGGCCGTCCGTTAGGCGGTTCCAGTTTCTCGTTTCCCTTTTGAATGAAGAACTTGCGCTCGAGGAACTTGAGTCCTTCGTCAATGATGCTGTATCGTCTGTTAGTTTCCGCATCCTTCAGTATGGGACAAACTTACATAATCGGCGCACTGATCGCCATGACAGCGTTCCATTCATTTCCATTAAGCGGCATGACGCTGAACAGGCCCTGCAAAAAGGGAACATAGAGCAAGGCAAAGTGCAGTGCCATGGACAGGCAAATCGCGTACACAAGCATCATGTTCTTCCACAGCGGTAGCGTGAGCAGACTCTCACTGCTACTGAGCGCATTCATCGCGTTCAGCATTTCAATCACGACCAAGATGCTTAGAGAGACTGTACTAGCAGCCTGCGCGGAGCTGTTGCTGAACATTTCGCACCCAATTTCTGGGAATTGGGTCGAACAACGATGAAAATGGCGGAGGTGATAGAAGGAAATCTGGGGCCCTTGGCTGTTGAACATGAACCACCATGCATAGCCAGCGACAGTCGCAGCGCCGACGTACGTACCGATAACCATGTAGCGGAAGAACAACCAGCCGCCAATAAGAGGCTCATCACGCTTGCGAGGTTGACGTCTCATGATGTCATGGTCGGCGGGGTTGAAGGAGAGTGCGGTAGCGGGAAGACCGTCAGTGACGAGGTTTACCCAGAGGAGTTGAACGGGGATCAAGGCTTCCGGCATGCCCATTGCGGCAGTTAGGAATATGGAGACGACTTCGCCAATGTTGGAAGAGATGAGGTACCGGATAAACTGCTGTGTGTTGTTGTATATAGAACGCCCCTCCTCGACGGCGCCTTCGATGGTGGCAAAGTTGTCGTCTACGAGGACCATGTCGGCGGCGAGCTTGGCTACGTCGGTTCCGGAGCCCATAGCAACGCCAATGTCGGCTTTCTTGAGGGCAGGTGCATCGTTCACACCGTCTCCCGTCATGGCAACAACTTCACCAGCTTGTTGGAGGAGGTCAACCAGCTTAGACTTGTGAGTGGGCTCGGTACGGGAGAAGAGACTGGCGTGCTTGGCGGCTTCCATCTTTTCAGACTCGGAGAGGTCGTCAAATTGGCGGCCTGTGTAGGATTTACCAGTAAGATCTTCACTGGGACCAAAGACTCCGATTTGACGGCAAATAGACTCGGCGGTGTTCTGATTATCTCCAGTAATGACCACAACGCGGATTCCAGCAGAGCGACACTTGGCGATGGACGCACGAACTTCGGGACGAGGAGGATCCAACATGCCAACGAGACCGATGAGTGTCATGTTCTGTTCGAGCTGCGTATATTCCTTGGTAGTCTTGGCGTTTGATAGAAGCGGGTTGGATGCAATATCGTCCACAGACGCTACAGCAATAACTCGTAATCCGCGGTTACCGTACTCCACGATTTCCTTGTTGATAAGGCTGGCCAATTGTTTACTCATCGGGACCTTCGTTCCGTTTTTGCCAACGACGACATTGGTGCAGCGATCCAGAACAGATTCAGGAGCGCCCTTGACGAGAAGTTTCTGCGAGTTACCGCTCTTGACGAGGACAGACATGCTTTTTCGATCGCGGGAAAACTCATACGTAGCTAGGCGCGAGTATTGGCTTTGGTAGTGCTTGGTAGAGAAGTCGAGGCGCTGTTCGGGCGATGTGTTTGCGCGGGTCGCGTTGTGGCTGATATCAGTAGTGCCAACCTTTTCAACCAGCACACGAAGCGCACCCTCAGTAGGCTCACCAACAAGGCTGTAAGTCTCATTCTTGGAATCGTAGGCAAGCGCAGCGTCGTTGCAAAGCGCGGTAACCTCACAGATCTGGCGTACGGTATCATATTGGGCAGCAAGGTTTTGCACAGGCTTGCCTTGAAGCGAAATCTGGCCCTCAGGGGCAAAGCTAGTACCTTGGACGTCAAATTCCTCGAGCCCACTGCCATCCTCACTAAGAAAGACCATTTTGTTAACACTCATTTGATTGGTAGTGAGGGTACCGGTCTTGTCGGAGCAGATGACACTACAGCTTCCAAGCGTTTCGACAGAAGGCAAGCTTCGCACAACTGCATTCCTCGCAGCCATCTTGCGCGTACCCAGAGCCAGACATGTTGTAATGACGACGGCCAGACCTTCTGGAATGGCAGCAACACCGAGCGAAACGGCGATCTTGAGGTAGTAAATAGCACCCTTTGCGAAGCTGCCGTGCGAAGGATCGCTAAAGTTACCGACGTTGATGAGCCAGACGAGAATGCAGATGGCGGTGATGACCTTGGCGAGCTGGTCACCGAAGTCGTTGAGCTTCTCCTTGAGCGGGGTGGGCTGCGAGATCTGTGCGGTGATGCTCTCATGGATATCTCCAATGGCCGTGTTCGCGCCTGTCAGCACAACCAATGCGGTCGCATGGCCTGTGACAACTGTAGTTCCAGAGAAGAGCATGTTGACCTGATCCTGCTTGACGGCATTCTCATCCTTGACTTGTCTGGTATCCTTGGAGACGCTCTCGCTCTCTCCAGTCAGGATGGATTGATCGACGTTGAAGCTGTTGCTTGAAATGGACAGAATCCTGCAGTCTGCGGGGATCCTGTCACCGATGGTGACGGAGATGACATCGCCGGGAACCAGCTCGTCGGCCTTGATACGCGTAATGTGTCCGTCACGTACGACCTTTGCTTCGTTGGCCGAGTATTCCTGGAGGGCGGCAATGGCCTTTTCTGCGCTAGTTTCCTGCGAGACTCCGACGACGGCGTTCAGGACGAGGATGGTGAGGATCTGGGCCGTCTGTTAGCGCGAGTGCATGAATCCGGCTATGGAATGTACGTACAACTGCCGGGTCTACGAAAGCGGTCCAGCCTTCTTCCTGCTCGAATATGGCAAGTACGAAGGATACTGCTGCTGAGCCCAGCAGAATAATGACCAGTTGGTCCTTGAATTGCTCGAGGATGAGCTCCCAGATGGGTGTAGGCGGGTCTTCTGGCAGCGCTGTTGCTAGTTAGCAGCCATGCATGCCCCGAAAACGACTGAACCTACCATTCCTGCCATATTGTTCCCGCGCACTCTTGACCTGTTGTGCACTAAGACCCTTGTGCTCTTCGACCTGGAAATGCCTCAGCGCCTCAACAGGCGACTTTGTGTACGCATTCTCCATGCCCACGGACTCTTCCACCAAAGACGCCTTTTTCGAGTATTCCACGCACTCGTTTATTCTGTACTTGATGGGGTTACGCGATGGTGTCGTGTCGTTGTGGCACTATGTCGTGTCTGCTAGGCAAATGATGGCTTCTGTTTTTTTCTTGAGAATGGGAATAGTACCCGTCGTTTGTCTGTGACGTAAAGTGCGAGGGCCGCCTGACAAACACGTCTGCAACGCTGGATTATCGACGTTGCTGTCCTTGTCCTTGTGTAGATGAGCCCGTGTGGTACTCCCGGCGCATACAAGAGGGCAAGGGGAGAAGGCAATGGAAGTTTCTGCGGTAGTCGATGGCAGAATCGGCGCGGCGCAACAGTCTTGTCGAGACGTTCGGCGCATCCCAAGAAATGTGTCCTCTCTGAACGGACCCGCATGCGCCACAGCGCTAAGCCACATGCAGACCTCAACAGCCACTTTTCGCCCATTCCCACGTTTCGATGTAAGCGTGCGCACACCATATTTTGCGTCCGGTTTACCTGATGCGGTAATTATATCACTACATCATTGCTAGTACCGAACTAAGCTAAGCTAGCCATCTCTTTCCAACCGTCATCGAGAAAAGCCTCTGCCTGTTACATTCGGCCTTATTTGTCCATGCCCCGCATCCCCATGCAGAACTACGTTTCTTGAAGCACCCAGCGCTATCATGTTGGTGCCTTCTTCGCTAGCTACATTTCCACTTCAACTATTTTAACCATTCTATTGGAGATTAGCAAAACTACCATGGGCTGGAGGGCGAGAGTGTTGACCGAGGGGGACTTAGGGCGGAAAGGCTGGGGGGAAGTGTGGTAGATGTTATACTATTATTGTGACACAGCGTTGTAGTAAAGTAGGGAGTATCTCGTATATCACTTTTCACTTGGACGACGTGGTAGCGTAATGAGCAACAAAAAAGACTGTAATCAGCTAGTAGAGCGAATGAGAGTTTTTCATCGCATCTCGCCACGCTATACATATAGTCGAGAAAGCGGTAACAACGTATCGCACTGTTGAGGTAGGCGAAGTTGTTCAAGACTAACGACAAGGCTGGGACTGCGCCACGGAACAAAGCAACGGGTTTTCTGCGTTAGTTCCCGCCATCCCGGCGACGGGACAAATTCGATGGGAACCCAATAGCTCTCTCTGTATTGTTTTGCGCGCGTGAGCCGTGAAGCTTGTAGTCGCGAGATTGACTTGTACATTGGTTAATAAGAGTGACCCTAGAGGGTATTGGGTAACGCTGAATTGCTGTTGACTTGTGTCTGATCGTACGGTTCAACTCTACACGAGTACCCTCTACTGTAATAATATATTACTATAAGCTTTTATTTTAGCGAAAGTTAACTAACGTGGTTGGCAAGCGAGTCGGTCAGACAAGCGAGTCGGTCACCCCACCAACTTTTGCAACTTTAAAGCGATATATCTCAACAACACGATAATATTATTGCTAGATATTGATATAGTAGACTACTCTATATTAATAGTATTAGTGTTGCATGTGCGCGAGTTGTGCCCGGTCTCTTTGCATCTAGTGCAGCGCCTTTGAGCGCGCTGGCTGAGGCCTGATCGCGCTCCTCCTCGACGCTCTTCATGAGCAATCTGCTGGTCAGCCTCATTTTGAGCTAGTATATCCTCTCCAGTTCCTTTTATAAGTACTCCGTGCTTCTGTATACGCCTTTTAGAGCGCCGCCTACGCGCTAAGGCTGCGCTGTTAGCCTTCTCAAGACTAGAGATCCGATCGCGCATTAGCTTAGCAGAGAGCATTATCACCTCAGCGCCCTTCTTCAGCTAGTCAATTGCCTCAATAATTGATGCTGGTGATGAGCTCTTGTGCTGGCGCACGCGCTCACGTATTAGGCTTGACTGAGCTTCAAGCTCACGCGCGTTGCTCGGCGTTTGAGCTACCCAGGGAGCCTCTGGCAGAGCTGCTGCTGGAGGAGTAGGTGTACGCAGCTGTACATCTAGCTTTGATAGAACAGCCTCTAGTTGTAGAGGAACAAGGCCTGCGCCGCGGAAGGCTGAGCAGATGTTGGCTAGCGTGAACGCTTAATTAAATGCTATCTTGAATGCTGGCAGAAACTCTAGCTTGGTGATGTAGTTGATGTGGTTGCGCATGAGGCTCTCCACCTCACGGCTGTACGCGCGCTTCAATGGCGAGAAGCAGCCAACATCAAGTGGCTGGAGTAGGTGAGATGAGTGAGGAGGCATACAGAGCGTATAGATATTGTTCTCCTTGCAGAGCTCCTAGAACGCTAGAGATTAGTGGCTCTTATGGCTATCAATAATAAGCAGGCGACGCGCGCCTATAGTACGAGCCTGCGTGTGAGCGTTGAAGTGCTTTAGCCACTTAACTCTAAGCTTATTATTTGTCCAGCTATTGTCGCTGACTGCGATTGCCTAGTCGCGTGGGATCTCAGCTTCCTCGTACCAGGCTAATAGGGTGGTACTGGCCAGCGAAGATAAGGAACGGTAGGACTGACCAGCCAGCAGCGCTGATAGCAGCGATCAGCGTTACCCACTCGCGATTGCCTAGCTAAAGAGTCTTCGGCCTGCCTCTCCTCTCTGCTCCTGTTATAACCAGCTGCGTTGTAATCTTGCCCATTATAAAGCCAGCTTCATCAAAGTTGTATATATCCTCATCGCAGATACCAAGCTTAGCCTTTGTCTTCTCTATAAGCTCAAACCAGCTTCTAATAAGGGCTGGATTCTCACAGAGAGCTCTCTGCCTATCGTACGCTCGGTTGAAACACGTCCGAAGACTATCTGTCCGCTTAACAAAGTTGGCTGGCTACTTCTGCCCAACCTAGCCAGCGCCGCGCGCAGCCAGCAGCTTATCAGCCATATCGCGTGCAGCTGCGTAGGTAGGCGCAAACCCGCGCTGATCTAGATGAAGTATATAGCTAACAATCACCTCATCTTCTCTCTAGGTAAGCTTCCTTAAGTTAGGCTGGCAATCGCGTCGCGCGCGCTTTCCAGCGCGCCGGTCAATTAGGGTTGATTTTGGGATATCGAAGACTGTAGCAGCGCGTCGCGTACTCTGAATTTGGGCAGAATCTATAGATAAGAGAGCAAGCTGAATATCTGCTTCATTTGAAGGCACAAGAGGAGCGCGGCGTGGAGGCATTATGTGTTGAGATAGAGTAGGTGATTAAAGTTGGTGGGGTGACCGACTCGCTTGCCAACCACGTTATAAGAAAAATAGTTAAGTTAGTTAACATAGGGTACTTTTAGATTTTAGCTTAGTTATACTTTAGAAATCAAGTAGTTATTGTTACATGGAGGGGTTATACTGCTCTTTCCTAGTCCGCACTAAGGCAGGTGAGTCTTATGTTGTTGGTTCCGCGTGGTTTGTCTGGCGACAATGTGGGATAGTAGGTATTTGGTAAGGACAATCCAATTCTATATAAACGATAGAATAACTAAGTATCAATCTAGGTAAGAGAAGAACTATTTGAAGAGTTGACCATAACGGGTGTATTAAGGGAATCCTCCATAACTATATACTCGTTGCCTTTATCGAGTGCCATCCCGTACATCCTATCCATCCCGGATGTTGGGGATGCCCGTGATGGCGTTGCCATCCCGGATGGCAAGCCTTGGCGGGATGTCAAGTCACGTGATCTGTGCCCCGCACTGATCACCGCTTTCTAGCTTGTGCGACGGTTGGCCTTCAACTCCGTCTAGGGGAGACATCTGGTATTTGTGTGAGGGACGTCAATAGTTGAGATGACCGTATCTGTATTAAGTACTAAGTGAGATATTGCGTGCAGGTTCGAAGACCTGCGCGGGTCGAACTTTGGTGTTCGGCTGTGGCCTTCGCTTAAGGCGCACGGGCCACCTCGCTTACTAGAGGTCGCGGGTTTGATCCATGACAATTTGTTCGTAACAGTTATAACTAGTTAGTTAAGTAAAGTAAATTAACGTAGTATTTAGCCAATTAGTTAACTACACCCTTAAACTAGTCTCATTCTAATCTAAAGTTGCAGAGGGTAACTATCCTACTCGTATTATATATCGTTGTAAAAGTAGGCCTAGCCCTATATGCTACTAACCGTCCCAGTCCGTTCCATATGCCTATCCCGATTCATCCAGCCATGCAAAGTTCATCAAAAGGGTATTATAGCCTTGCCCAAAATCCCAGAGGTGTCTCGCTCGCTAAACTCCTGAAAAAAAGATGAAGAAAGCCACCCCATGGCCGCTTCCTTCGATGAATGCTGTCATCATCATCATCATAAAAAGACCCATTCTAGTTCGAGTATGCTGTATGATACCCTGGCTATATGGGTAGTGTACAAAGTGTATGTATATATTGCGTGTACGTGTGTCGGGAAACACGCTGTGGTGCAGAGGTTCGTTTACGAACTGGCGCAATACGTCCGAATCAATCGGGCGATGTCGCGGGTAATGAAGGGCTTGGTGACAAAGCCTTTCATGCCGCTCTTGACTGCCTTGTCAAGAGCGGCGTCCGTGATGTCTGCGCTGACCGCCAGGACGGTGGGCTTCTTTTCAAGTTCAGACATGGATAAAATAACTTGGGTGGCCTGAAAACCATCGAGCAGTGGCATCCATAAATCCATTAGAACGACGTCGAAGTGTTCGCTAACAGGTGCAAGTGCGTTTTGACGTACGGTTTCGACAGCGTCATTGCCATTGAACGCAGTGACGACGTTCTTGTAGCCTAACCTACCGAGCATGCTCACCAAGACCCGTCGATTGATGGCGTTGTCGTCTACGACGAGGATGTTAAGAGGTAATTGTTCACCAAGGTTTGAAGGGACAATGTCACGCTCAGAGGATAGAGCGCGCGCAGCGTAATGCCGTGGAGGCGACGAGGTGCGACGAGGAGTTGCAAGACCAATGTCTTCTGTTGAACTTGTAGAGTTTACGGTGATGGCAGGAGTGGTAGGCGCTTGGAGTTCCCGGTCGCTTTTGAAAGGATCAGAACTCAAAGGCGGGGTGACAGGTCCATGACCGATGTCTAGACGCGGCACTTCGGCCTCAATAGACATGCGAGACTTGATGGATAGAGTAGGTGATCCGAAGGGGGTTGCAGGGCGGCTACATATTTCGCCCGGAGTGAGCGGTACTCGCATCTCAAATTCTGACCCCCGTCCTGGTCCCGAGACATGCGAACGAAGGCAGAATAGGTCACCACCAAGCTTCCTTGCAATGCCCTTGGCTACCATTAGGCCCAGCCCTAGGCCCTCGCTCTGTCGTGTCATGGAATCGTCTTCTCGCGAAAAAGGCTTGAACAGATTAGGAAGAAAGGCAGCAGGGATGCCGGAGCCAGTGTCCTTGATGTTGATGACAATGTAGCGACCCTTGGCGCTGAGGGTGGCTTGAAGTGTAATGGATCCATCCTGGGTGAACTTGATTGCATTGAGGGCAAGGCAGGATACCATCTTGGCGAGGTCCCGTTCGTCGATGACGATGGTTTCTGGCACATCAGGAGAAACAGCCCACTCAATCCACTTGGTGTGCGCCTCGCCGTTGGAGCTGCGTGTCCGGACTTCAATGCGTTCTCCTGTGTCGGTGGCCTCTGCAATGGCAGAGTCTGGTCTGCCTCCTACTTTGAGCGCGTCGTTGATTACATATTGCAGTACTTCCCGCAGGTTGGTATGTCGAAGTCCGGGGACCTTGGAGTGCTCCGATGCAAAGATGGGTGAAGTGGTGGAGTCGCAGTTATCTTGCGAGGTTGTGTGTGAGCATGAATGGTCTATTCGGTCGACTTGCATGGAATTTGTGTCCGGAGGACAGGACTTTGTACCACGCGTATAAGGCTCTGTCAAGTAACCGTCCCGAACACGTTGGCGAGCAGATCTTGCCACACGCGTCTTGATGGGCTGGTCTGCCCACGATACCTCATGTCTCCTTCTCTTGATTCCACGTAGAGGCGCAGACATGTCGTTGCCTGTAATCATCAAGTCAGGTCGCATCTCACGCCAGAAGGTATTCCACTGGTCGGGTGTCTTGTCAAGCAGTGAAAGCGGTGTCTCTGGAACACCCATGTTCATGTCGTAGGCATGAACGACATTGTCGGCTGCCTCGACTGCGCGTCTTGAGCTGTCTGGTGTGTTGTTAGCCTTGTTAGATGACAGACTTGGTTGCCAAATGTTAGGCCAGCTTGCTGCAACTTTGGTCTGATAGCATGAAAGATGATGGCTTACCTTGAACAGCTTCGATGTTCTCCTTGAGAGTTGCCAGTATCTCGCGTGTTCTTGGTTCAAGCTGCAGGGACTCTGCTGCTTCCTTTACATTTGCCATCATGACATCTAGCATTCCGACAACGCCTTGCATTGGTGTCCTCAGCTCATGCGACAGGCTCCTGGCATAGGGTTTCAACGACTGGGCAACTGAGACAGCTCTGTGTGGTACAATCTTGGGTAGGTCGGACTGGATATGTTGTGCAGATTTTGCAAATTCGTTGCCTTCCAGCACACGTTCCAGAATCATGTCCTCGAGACTATGGAAAAGCATTTCGAGAAAACCCCAGCTCAGTACGCGTCGGGCCGCGCCCTCTTTCCCCCACATGACACCGAAATGGGCAAAGCATTTCCCTTGAGCAAACAGGGGGATTCCAAGAAAGGCCTCTCCAGGGATGATCAAGTCGTTTGGATTGTTGAGGATGAAGTCGTTCAACCTTTCGGGGATGATGAAGACTTTGTCGTGCTTCATGTAGGCACACGGGCATTGGTAGGCATGGTACTTGAAATTCCTCAAATGGCCCGGGCCATTACCATTGTCGTCGTTGATGTAGAAAGCTTCGCCCATGAGGCAGGCTCCAGGCTCGCCAATGGGCGGTAGTTCGACGGCGATGTTCTTGTCGTCGACTAGGATTCTTTTGGAGACGAAGGCATACTGCGCATCAGCTATCTCGGCCAGTCCCTTTGTGAGTTGGATCCAGAAATTCTCCGTGTCGGCTCTCCTCAGGGCATCCTTTAGGCGGACCAGTTGCTCGGCGGCGTTGCTCTCAGCTGGATGGTAGAGGCGAGATAATTCCTCCTTGAAGCCGGTCTCGCCCTGTTGCACAACCATGCCTGGGGCTGGGCGAGAGAAGCAGAGCGACTGGCGCTCGATTATATCAGGTGGGATGGTAGTAGGTTCCCCCATCTTTCAAGATTCCATGCGGGCTGTGGTGGGCACGAGTGTCCAGGGTGGGTACCGGGGGGTTGGATGATGTGGGCGGGAGGTGATGTGGCCCCGGACAGGCTGAGGGGAAGAGATTGGTAAGGCGAGGCGAGGTGAGGTGCGTGAACAGGAAATACGGAGACTTGTGTGGTTGGCAAAGACGACTACGACTACGAGGGCTGCAGCAAACACGTTCGGAAGCGGGTTAGGTGGATTAGTCACGGGTAGCGGAGGACAGGACAGGACAGGACAGCAGGGTGAGGAATGCGTGTCTGCGGTCTGCGGTCTGCGGGACTGAGAGAAGGAATGTGAGGGATGGCCGACACGGCAGGGCGGCCAGCGATATGGTTGGTTTGCCAGGGCAAGTGCGAGGTCTGCTAGAGTCGCACATAATCGGGCTGGCGGGCGACGGGCGATCTAGAACACGTCCCGGGATGGTGGCTTTTGCGTGTCCTTGCACCCTCGACGCCCGCCCTGCTTTGGTGGTGACAAAGGCAGCCGTTTGTTCGACGGGGCATGTCTCAACTCGCAGCTTTAAGCTTTGCAGCTGGCAGCGAGCGCATGGATGATGATATGATATGATATAATGATGATGATTTTGTTGTTGTCATCTTCCATGGAGCCCGCTGGCAGGACATGCTCACCCTCGCCGTCGCAAGTGAGCGGCGCAGAGTTTGTTGCTGTAGGAGGGACCCTGGCAGGCGTCGGTCAGCTTGCGCAGTGGGTCGCGCCTGCTGGAACAGTCCAGACGTGCTCGGCTCGCCCTCGCTCCTGCACGATTTACAGCGTTACCCCAGTAGTCCCTTCCGCTTCGGCCCCTATGCAAACCACGCCCTCGCCCACGGCGCAGGCACGCCGCCGCAAAAGACGCGCCTGGCCTTGCCATGACGAGCCCAGTGGATGCATTGGATGCAGACATGCAAATTAGACAAGTCCATGTTCCTTTTCTTTTTGCCAATCCAAAAGCTGAGTAAAGTGAAACCGAGGGCGAGATAGGGTTTATTGTGGCTGCCAAAAAAAGCACTGCCCCCAATCGTCCCCCAACAGACGTGTCCAGCCAGTGTCCACGCATGCGACATACACGTCCATTTCCATGCCCATCCACCTACCTACAACCTACGTATAGGTATACAGTATGCACCACTGCCGACGTCAGCGGCTCAAAGTCCGAAGCGCCGTGCTGCCCATGAAGCCGCACTGCCGTCCATGGTCGCACACAGTGTTTGGATATCGACACCGGCGCAAGTCCAAGTCCAACCGGCTTAGCCGCCTGTCTTACATCGGACGCCAGATCGACGATCGGCCGAAACGGAGCCTAGCTCTTTGTTCTGCTGTTTGCTGTTTGCTGTCTGTTGTCTGTCTCTCTCTCTCCATCTCCCCCACTCTTTCCCCTCTCTCCATGGCTCTGCCAGAGTCGCTTGCTTTGACAAGCCCACTCTCTCCCGTCGCGCTTCGACGCATCTGCTGCTTCATATCCCCATGTCCCATGTCCCATGTACCATGTCCCATGTCACCTGTTGCTGCCCCATACCCCAGTGCCCAGACATGTGCTTTTCAAGCAAACAAACGTGTCATCTTGCAAAGTCCAGCCCTCCACCTGCATGCTCGGCCTTTTGTACTTAGCTCTTATTTCCTGCGCTAGCTACCCATCAGCCTGGCTGCGCGAATCAGCCCTAGCTCGTCTGCCATACTGCTACCAAATTCACATCGGCCAGACGCGCTTGCGAGATTCAGCATCAGAGTAACGTTACATGGTGTCTTTGCACAGCACACGCATGTCGTGTCGCCATTGTTCCAGGCCCAAGCGTGGGTGTGCTTCTGTTAGGGAACGCGTCGCACCAAGCATCGAGAACCGATTCGGCCACATGATCGACAAAGCATCGCGAACGGCTCCCATGCGAGTAATCATGTGCACAACGGCCAGGCCAACCCTTCTCGTCCTGATCGCCCAAGAGCCTATGCGCAAGCTCTTGATATTTTTATATCCTATCGCTACTCATCTGGCTGCACAGCCTGTTCGTGTTCGTGTGTACTTACATACCCTAAATACCGCTACCATACATGACCTGCAGTCTGATGTGGCTGGTGCGTCTTCCCAACTTTCCCCGCGCCACACCATTCCAGTCCATGTTAGCAAACAGCAAGCAGGTAGGCACAGTACCGGTAGACCAAACATCCACCCCGCCCGCTTCGTCTCTACTCTGTAGTTACAAACGAATTGCTGCCGTTCGCTTCGCAGCACTGAGCCATCCTACCCAGTTCCGCCCTCCTGAGTCTACTGCGTCTAGACCCACAAGGCGAACATCATCAAATTTTTCTTGCAGTCAAGCCTGACCTGATTCATACATAATTGACCCACTCACTGCATCAGAGCAACCCGATAGATACTGTCTTCATGACTTACAGATCGCATGACTGCATGTGCACTACCATGGTGCTGTTGGTGTCTCCCGCCCGCCACAACTTCCCGAAACCAAAACCTAAGCACGCACACTGCCATTACCATCTGACAAGTCGCGCCGCAATGTCCGACCGCCCGATCCCTGAAAAGGCTATTGTTGTTTCCACTGGATAGCTTCATTACGCATCTCATTCCCGTACCCCGCCTATCGCGACTGAGCAAGTCTACGCGACGTCTTCGTGGTGGATACGCCGACGACTTTGTCTTCGCATCCTTCGCCATGATGACGACACAAACACCCATGCTCACAGAAAGCTCCTTATGTGCAGATCTGGAGCGCTTGGCAACGGTCTGGGCCTAATATATCAATACCCTTGTACAATGCCTCATCGGCACCAAAGGTCCCATGGCTGGGTCGCCAGGGGCGGCCTGTACCAACAGCTGACATCAGTCCATGGTCATGTTAGTTGGAGATGCACAGTCCGGACTCTAGGCTGGACGTGCGCTCCAGATCCTCACGGAGAGACTGCGGTCCCGCATTAACGAGGACTACGTTATGACTAACATGATCCATGGGCGAGCGGCGCACACGGGCGAGCGGCGCACCCCACCAACTTTACTCACCTTACTGATCTTAATCTACAATGGCTCAACGCAGCGCTACTCAATTACTATCAAATGAAGCAGATATTCAGCTTGCTATCTCATCTATTAATGCGCACCAGATCCAAGGTACCCGTACTGCTGCAGTAGTCTACAACGTAGCCGAAACAACGCTCCGCCGCCGACGCGCTGGTATACCTGCCCGACGCGATTGCCCGCCCAACTCAAGGAAGCTTACCCAGAGAGAAGAGGAGGTGATTATCAGCTATATACTTCAGCTAGATCTGCGTGGATTTGCGCCTACCTACACAGCTGTACGTGATATGGCTGATAAGCTGCTGGCTGCGCGTGGTGGAGAGCAGGTTGGAGTCAACTGGCCATCTACCTTTGTTAAGCGTACAGACAGTCTTCGGACGTGTTTCAACCAAGCGTACGATAGGCAGAGAGCTCTTTGTGAGGATGCAACATTAATAAAGAGGTGGTTTAAGCTTATAGAAGAGACAAAGGCTGAGCTAGGTATCTGCGATGAGGACGTCTACAACTTTGATGAAGCTGGCTTTATGATGGGCAAGATTACAACGCAGCTAGTTATAACAGGAGCAGAGAGGAGAGGCAGGCCGAAGAGTATTCAGCCAGGCAATCGCGAGTGGGTAACGCTGATCGCTGCTATCAGCGCTGCTGGCTGGTCAGTCCCACCGTTCCTCATCTTCGCTGGCCAGTACCACCTATCAGCCTGGTATAAGGAAGCTGAGATCCCACGCGACTGGGCGATCGCAGTCAGCGATAATGGCTGGACGAATAATGAGCTTGGAGTTGAGTGGCTAAAGCACTTCAACGCTCACACGCAGGCTCGTAGTGTAGGCGCGCGTCGCCTGCTTATTATTGATGGCCATAAGAGCCACCAATCTCTAGAGTTCCAGGAGCTCTGCAAGGAGAACAATATCCATACGCTCTGTATGCCTCCTCACTCATCTCACCTACTCCAGCCACTTGATGTTGGCTGCTTCTCGCCATTGAAGCGCGCGTACAGCCGTGAGGTGGAGAGCCTCATGCGCAACCACATCAACCACATCACCAAGCTAGAGTTTCTGCCAGCGTTCAAGGCAGCATTTGATCAAGCGTTCACGCCAGCCAATATCTGCTCAGCCTTCCGCGGCGCAGGCCTTGTTCCTCTACAACCAGAGGCTGTTCTATCAAAGGTAGATGTACAACTGCGTACACCTACTCCTCCAGCAGCTCTGCCAGAGGCTCCCTGGGTAGCTCAAACGCCGAGCAACGTACGTGAGCTTGAGGCTCAGTCAAGCCTAATACGTGAGCGCGTGCGCCAGCACAAGAGCTCATCACCAGCTTCAATTATTATGGCGATTGACCAGCTAAAGAAGGGCGCCGAGGTGATGATGCTCTCTGCTGAGCTGATGCGCGATCGGATCTCTAGTCTTGAGAAGGCCAACAGCGCAGCCTCAGAGCGTAGGCGGCGCTCTAAAAGGCGTATACAGAAGCATGGAGTACTCACAAAGGGAGCTGGAGAGGATATACTGGCTCAAAATGAGGCTGACCAGCAGATTGCTCATGAAGAGCGTCAAGGAGGAGCGCGATCAGGCCTTAGCCAGCGGGCTCAAAGGCGCTGCACTAGGTGCAAGGAGACTGGGCACAACTCGCGCACATGCAAGACTGATACTATTAATATAGAGTAATCTACTGTATTAATATCTAGCAATAATATTATCGCGTTGTTGAGATGCATCGCTTTAAAGTTGCAAAAGTTGGTGGGGTGCGCCGCTCGCCCGTGTGCGCCGCTCGCCCATGGATCATGTTATGCAGCGCAACATTACTTGTCAGGAGCATGTCAAGTATGATTGTCCACGCCAGTGCATCAGGTAGCGGTAACCGCCATCAAAATCAGACCAACACGAAAACATACGAATGTTCGTCCGCAGTCTTACTTTTACCGGCAGCCCAAGTCCGCAAATACCGATGCCTTGGTCACACTATTGTACCGGCTCAGAGGACTGCACCATAAAACCAAATAATCTGGCGCCATATGAAATCACAACACACTTCGTCCTCCATGGCATATCTTGTGCCTCCATCTTATCACAACACACTAATGGACGATACAGTCTGGACTCTAAAGTATCAATCCGCCAAGCTCCATGGACCGCGTTTGCAACAGCGCAACGTTTTGGGATGGTCTCATGCGGGCCAAAGGTCCGACTGCACGACACCGAAGTTCGACCGTAATCTGCCATATGGTACTGCAAGTATTGCGCTCCCTCAACGTTCCGCATCGCAGACGCTACCGAGAACAACAACGGGAGAGGACTGGTCCTCGTTATCATTCACTGCATGGACGAGCTCAAAGTCCGGTTTTCACTCATTTTATTGCCTAGTCCCCTTCTACGTTGTACGCTTGTTGCGCATGAGGAAGAGGTCTCGCATCAAAATCTCCATGAGCATGTGAATGGGTATCGCACTCCATCTGGCATTGTGCCGCACGGAACGGTGTCTCAATCTATCTACAACACATTATAATTCATCTTACAACTTCAATCCCAATACTTTTCCAACAATCAGGATGTTTATGTCGGTAAGATGCCAACACCTGTGATACAAAAGCACGTAGCCATCTCGACAGCGGCATGCCTGTAGTCCGTCGCAAGTGTATCGATCATCTAAACAAATGGTTCCCTAGAGCTAACACGATTCACGTTACGTCTTGAAAAAGGCTCCTTCAAGGGGTCGCTTCTACAAAGCATGTCGCTGGCCCCAATGTCCCATCATCTCTGAGCAATCAATAGTAACAACACTCATCATGTTCCTCTCACCATTTCATGTCTCCTTCCTTCTCCTCTTCCTCCTTCCTAACCATGCTTCTGCCTGCCTCTCACAGCCTAGGACGTGTCTATGAATTGAAAAACTTAAAGCGGACAATAGAAACAAGAATATGTCTGTTTCCGAATGATAATGTAGCGTCCAGCTACGAACCGACATCCCTTGTGGGCTAAGTAGCTTAACTCGTGATTATCTTTACCTAAAAATTGCAGATAGGGCTGTCAAATGGAGACGATGTTCTGTGGGGATGGACACATGGATACAATCTTCTGCCAAATGTACATGTGAACATGTCTACTATTACTTGTCTCATGATGAAAGAGATGGATTTTCGTAATACCCATGATCTATGGATACTTGGCGCGATGAAAGACGACCTTATCTGAGTAGTCCACTGACTTTGCTGAAGAGATTGACGGTGCAGAGGTGTAGTATACTATAGCTTTGCGCTGCCATTGCTGCTCCTCATACGCGCATGGAACCGATCCCGCATCTCGCGCCTCAGCATTTTTCCTGATGGCGTCCTGGGAATCTACGTGGAGGATTAGCGAACAGATTTCTCGCGTGGATGATCTCAGGGATGCTGCTTACCGATTCCACGACTTCGATTCCACCAGTCATCCACTTATGCCGACTTAAGCGCCCCTCGATAAATCCATGAAGCTTCTTCGCTACGGCTTCCTCGCCTTGCTTCTCTCCCTCGGGGCTAAGTACGACCCAGGCTCTGACAAACAAAGAGCCGTCACCGCGGCCGTTGTCAACACCAGCTACACATGCATCGCGAACGAGACGTTCTGGGTGCTCAAGTAGCGTGTCTTCAACTTCTGTAGCAGCAACCTGTAAGCCTTTTACCTTGATCATTTCTTTGAGCCGATCGAGGTAGTGGATGCGGTCATGTTCGTCGCGCATGACCAGATCGCCTGTTCGCAGCCAGCCAGGCTCAGTGAAGAGGTCTGCTGTTGCCTTTGGGTCTTTGAAGTATCCGGGCGTCACTACAAGGCCCCGGACCCAGAGTTCACCCTTTGAGCCTTTAGATACATCTTGTAGTGTATCTGGGTCTACGACGCGGGCTTGCATGCCGCAGAGCAGGTAGCCAATCATCCCTGGCAGTACCGGCGCAAGACCAAATATGCCGGGTGCAGGTGCGCTTGCGATACTGAGCGCTTCGCTCATACCGTAACCGCTAGGCACAGGGTTTGCGGCGCCTTGGGGTAACTTTTTCGCTAATTGGTATGCGACATCTGATGGTAGGTATGCCGCTCCACTCGAAGCGCTTACTACAGAGCTCAAGTCGTACTTTTCCGTGAGTGGGCTCTGAGCGAGCTGGCGCACTTGAGGTGGCACGAGCGGAAGGTATCCGACCTTGTACTTTTCAATGCTCTTGAGTGCGAGCTCAACATCCCACTTCGGGAGCATGATGCTGGTGATGGGTGCCATATTCACGCGGAGAATGTAGAGAAGCATGCCGTATGAGTGGTACATGGGTATCACGCCGAGCATAGCTGCTGGCTGCAGTGGCTCAACTCCTGCATATCGTGCGGCTTGGATGGAACCGACGACACTTTGAATGCCAGAGTGACAGGCGTTTCTGTGTGTAATCATCATCGCCTTTGGCAAACCAGATGTGCCTGACGATTGGAACAAATATGCCATTCGGTTTCCGCCGTGCAGTCTCCACGGCCTCTCAAGCAATTCTTCGCCTGTCCTGACGAGTGACTCGATTGTACGGTATTCAGAAATAGTATTTAGTCGTGGGTTGTCGCTCAACACGACGACCTTCTTGGGATTCAACACAAGCTTCAGGGGCAGGCTGTCGCCGTCCCCGGAACCTAATTTGAATGCCTTGTTCAAGACGGGAAGCAATGTCTCGTGACACATGATGCTCGTGACTTGCATCTTTCTTAGTACCCACCACAGCTCGTAAGGTGTACTCGCTGGGCTGATACCGCCAAATACCAGCTCGGCTCGGAAACATGCATGCGTTACCATTGGATAATGGATATGATTTCGCGAAAACAGTCCCAAGATCTCCCCATCTTCTTTATCGTCTACCGGGCTGCGGCCTAGACCTAGCGGGTTGGGTCCGTCGAATCGTAGAACACGTGACAGTGCACAAACCCGAGCGTGAAAGCTATGAAGTGTGACGACTTCCTCTGTGGCGGCATTAATGATCAGAGGGTAGTCTTCGGGTAATGGAGTGCCAGGTGGAAAGCAGAGTTCGTGAACATTGAGGTCCTCGGGTGTATGAGCAAAAGGACCATAGGGCGAGGCGAATACAGCTTTGTTGTCAGGGTGGTACTTGAAGGTTTTGGGATCAGGAGCATTGGGATGCAGGAACCTTGACCAGTTAGAATTGAAGATGCCGTGCGTCATGTCTTGTACAATTTCAAGAAGAAGATTTTCTCAACTATCTGCAAAGCACGGTACCTTGGTGGTTATACAACTATGACAAGCCGCGGAAAAGATGTCGCTTAGTTTGCGGCCGAGGTGTAGTCCTCGCACCCCCGCATTTTGCCCACATTTGATTCGGTATCGACGTCACGCCAGCAAAGAGGGTCACAGACACCGCCTTCTCTTCTCTTCTTCTATAAACAATCAACGACCAGACAGTATTAAACACAGCCTTATCATCTGGCAAATAAGGAGTGTTGGAAGGGTGCAGGTAGTAGCCTTGACCGACTTTCCCGCGGCCGGATGGTCTCCATCCAACTTAAACTAGGTAGTCAAACCATACCTGGACATGCCTCACACCTGAGCGTTCAACCATTCCCAAAGAACGAGCCCAAATTATGTATGCCTGCGAGAGTCGAGAAGAGTCAAGTCCTTGCACAGCGTCGTCACCGCTTACGCTGCAGGGGGCCTGGACATTGGTTTGCATTTAGCCCGAAGCGGGTGTGTCCGTTTCAGCTAACAGCAGTCAGAACCCAGCCAGCGACACGTAGGAACAGCCTCGCCACCTTCTTACATACGATTTAACTTATGAAGGATCAAATTTGAGGGGTGCAGTGAGCTGGCACACTCTCGAGTCGTCGACGTTGCAACAAGCACGCTGATAGTGTGCCCTCGCAGGCGCATCCCTGATGTTAATGCGGCCGAGACCGATGTCGCGCTTCAGTCTCAGGCTCAGCCCTCCCCAATTTTTGGCCCCCCAAAGGTGGCCTTAGGGCCATGCCACATGCCATATAGAGTTTGCATCGCGCACCACTAAAGCTCAGCTCTTGCTATATCTGCTATTCCTATAGATTCAATTCATCTCCATCAAATCCAATAATGTCTTTCGATTCTGAGAACACCAATAACACTACAAAGAAGAGTAGGATACCTACACTACTGTCGTCGAAGAACATTCCCCATAGCCCAGGGTTTCCGGATCCATACGTATTGATTGGGGATGCATATGAGCGAGTTTCGGCAGCTAATGAATGGGAGATAGCCGACCCGTAAGTTGATGACTAGTCGTTGTCATTGAACTGGTGTTCATAAAACACAGCAGGAGCGAAAAGCTACCGTATCTGGCACACATCAAGTCGCTATCAACATCATGGAGAACCTTGCGACATCTGGCCGACTGGATGCAAGTTGGCACAACGCCGCTAAGATATAACGTGATCAAACATTACCCAGAAGAGATGAAGAGACGTGCGGAAAAGACCAATGTTACCTTGATCGAGTATCAGCCCGCCACATCTCCCAAGACAATATCAATCAAATCTGCTCCGAAACTCCACGAGACGCTTCAGTCTTTCTCGTGCGACAGTGTGAGAGAGCCTCCTCTTCGACTGTTTGTCGTTGAAGATCTCTCCCAACAGGTCATCGAGCTGTTAGGCACTCGCTTCGACATCGATCCACTCTTCTTCCGCGAGCAGATTGACGACTACGTTTGGCACAATACTCGTGATCCATGGGCGTCGCCGCCTAGTCTCATTTCGAATATCAAACACCGTCAGTGGTTTCGAATGCGGAATGTAAGATTACGTTATCATTCCACAGAGGATGATTATCAAGAATCGAGACTAGAAGCTGAGAAGTGGAATGTGCTTCGTCGCCCAGACAATGATGAGAACCATTGGCGTTATAAAGACAAGGAAGGTTCAGTCGTATCCATTATGCGTACGCGTACTACAGTGTGGATTGGGAAGGACAAGGAGTGTGGTAACGGAACTGTTGGGATCGTATTGTTAGATCCTACCGTCAGACAGGGCCATCCGCTTTGTAAGTTTCCATCTCTTATAAAGCACCCGGGTGTCATAAAATACTGGACATACTAGTGTAAAAAAAGCCACTGTAGTCGCCAGACACGTCTATTGGGTGCTTGCCCACACTGTCCAGTATTTTGTAACACCTAGGTGATAGCTCAAAGCAAGCAAGTGGCTGTTGTCCTATAATCTAAACTAACACTTGGGAGGGTACGATCGCAGTAATTGGCTGCCTACGCCCAGTATGGAGACAAAAGTCTATCCGAATGTCAGTTCCTCCACATCATGGTTCGAAGACATTGTGCAAATGACATCCGCATACCCGTGGTTCGAGCGAAACGAAGGTTATAAGATAAACCCACAAGTCCTCGTTAAACCAACCATATACACCATCTGCGCGGAATGGCTTGTAGTATGCGACTACGTGAAGTCGCGACTTAGCCAGATAGAATGGGAGCTCGAGATGCCGGACGTTTTCCGCTCAAAAGGCGACGTAATCGACACTTCCCTGAAACGCTTGCACACATGGCGCAGACAGATCCCCGTCTTCCGCGAAATGCTAAAAGAAACCTTGGAACAGGCGCTTCCAGCAGCCGTGCGTCTCACCATATCTTCATCTCAGCCAACCGTCACGCCCACATCACCGCTCTCCATACTCTCATTCTCTAACAACCTTAACATCAACTCTGACAACCTTGAGGCTTTTGATGACATAATTCCCGATTTCCGACGTGTTCTTGCTGCCGTAAATGAGCTTCAGGAACGTGTAGATAGGCTCACTAGCATCGTCACCTCTGAAATTTCGATTGAAGACTCACGGCGTGGATTAGAAGAGAACCACAATATGGCACGGATCACATGGCTAGCGACGATTTTCATCCCTCTGACGTTCATTTCAGGTCTATACAGCATGAATGAGAGCGTCGCGGCACTGAGTACAACGTATGGATGGTACTTCTTAACTGCGATACCATTTACGCTCATTGTCATGGCGATTGGGTGGGTGGCAGGGGGTGGGAGCTTAACGCCGTGGAGAGAAGGAAGTAAACAAAAAGGGACGAGTAGATGGACGAATGGGAATAAGAAGAGGTGACGACTGTTATGTTTCTGCGTCGAGCCATGGCTCTCCTACGTGACCCCGAAAGTCTACACCAGACCAATAGCCACAGGAGCTATCGCACAATGGAATCAAGGGGATAGGTACATAGCCTCAAATCACATTTACATGGCTGGCATTGATAGCTATATAATTTCTTAAAAAAAAAGACAAATTAAAAAAAAGATTGAAAGCGCTTCAGCGTATGTACTCGAATATGTTCTGCCCTTTGAGCGAAAACCCCCCAATTTCTTCTTTCTTTCAAAGCAGGTAACAGCAAGGACACCGACCGCCTCATAATTGCGACATTGCTTTGTGTTCCGTTTGGGGCCTAGTCGCTTTAAGCTAAGAAACATATACCCTATGGTTCATATCACTCCGTATATATTGAGAACCGACTAACTCTGTTTCTGTCGTCCTTTGTATTCTCATCGGTGGAATACGCATGCATCTCGTGCTCAGACACGTTAGCCGTTGCCTTACCCTTGCTGTCCCTATTATTTCCATCGTCACTGTTATTCATCGAACTACGCACTCCAAGCCCGTTCTCTACATCTGTGTTCGGAAGGCCATCAGCGTCAGACTTGGCATTTGCTGCGCGGCCGGTGAATAGGTCGCCCTCGAAGGGGTAGAGTGTTGGCCTGCGGGGCGGCGACTTGTTTGTAGCCGTCATCCACACTAGTGCCGTCATATCCTTTCCAAGCGCCTCGATGACGGGCGTAACGATGGGGAGAGATGCGAACATGACCGCGTAGGAGGTCACACCTACGACTGCGATGTTAATGCCATATGGAATCCCGCGCTCGGCGAGAACAATCAAGAGCCAAGAGCCGTAGCTCCAGAAGACAAGACCGTGGATGAGGTAGATTGTGAAGACGTGTGGGAAGAGGATGAGAAAAGGCGGCGTAGAGAGAAACCATTGGACTGCAGAGGAGAGCTCGACTACAGCTTGCATGCCACCCGCAAACAGCAGGCCGTTTAGACGCGGCGTATAGTACGGTGGATAACCAGCCAAGTCTGTGTTCATGATGGCCTCGCCCGATGACGCATCTGGGTGGATGCCTCGTTCGCCAGTGCTGAAATTGAAAGTCGTGGCTCCCCAAGTAGGCAGTACGTTAGCAAGAAACCCTAGGCCAACGCAGGTCCAAAAAAAAGTAATGACAGGATAGTATGCCGCCGGTTTGCTGTTCAGAAACGCCTTCCACTTGAATGTTACATCAAGGTCGGTGAGGATAAGACCAATCCATAGGTATGTGCCCCAGGATTGCGCATACCAGTGGTTTATCAGGCAGAAGGAATAGTATGCCATGCGCTTCCATGGCGTCTTTATTTCGTAGACGACGACAGCGCCGAGGAGAACGAGCCAAGAGCCTTGAAGTTGGACAGCGATGGTCCAAAGCACACCGGTGCAGTAGTGCAGTGTGATTTGGGGAACGGCGTTGGGTACAAGGAACATGAGTTCCAGGATCTCAGAGATGTACTGGGCAAAGTTGTTGTATCGCGTTACGTACGGCCATGTAGACCACGTTAAACTGGGGATGTATTGGAGGAAGCGCGTTGCCCCGATGTCGATGAAAAAGTACTCCAATAGCGCCATACTGGCTACTGGTATCATAAGACGGGGAGTACGACGTACGGTAGCCTTGCAGATTTCATCCATCCGGCCTTTTCGCAGATATGGTGCAGTCAAGAAACGGACGGAGGTTGTGAAGAAGACACCAAGCCACATTTGATTGAGCAGGAAGGGACCGACGATGCGCTGTGCCCAGGGTTCAGATGCGTTATGTGCGTCAGCACTGGGCGTGACAATTGCAGGAACAAAAGTCAAACCAAAATGCATGACAGTAACAACAAGCGAACAGAGTGCTGTCAACCCAGCAAGATGGTCAATACGTTGCCGAGCTGGAGGCTGAACACGCATGCGCGGAGCTGGCAGAGCGGACTCGGTGACAGTCTCCATTGCGATTTTCCCCTCTGGTATAGGCAGTCCAGTGCGTGGGTCGTTTAATGTGAGTTGTGAGTCATGGTGTTCCTGAAGAGAGCCCATGGGTGGTATCCCTGACATGGCGGTAGGCATGGGGAGATATAAATCCTCGCGCGTGGTGTTAAAGTTGCTGTTGTAGGGCGTGGGACCGCGGCTGTCGAAAATGGTCGAATTTGCTCGGGACATACGATCCTTTGGAGTTGAATCTCCCAATGTTGATGGAGCGGGCACTGCTTCAATCCTCTCAATGGCGAGATCATCTATCGAGTTGCGCTTCTGGGAATTTGATGACGTCTTGTCATCAGAGCTCCGGATGTCACCAGAGGGGCGATCGGCGAATATGTCATTCGAGGCCACAGTGTATGCGCTAGCGCCAAAGCTGTTCTTCTCATCTTCACCCGGCATGGTTACTGGAGCTGGAGTCTCCTTGGGAAGATCGCTGTTGAACTTGGGTACAAGACGTTTGACAAGGGCGTGGATAATCAGAACAGTCGAGAAGATGATGCAAGTTACCGAGAGCCAGAGAGCCGGCATGCGCTTGATGTCCCTATCAGCGTTTTGCTTCCATTTCTTGGTCGCGATCTCGGTAAAAGGGGTTGAACCACGCAATGAAATATCGTCCATTGAGCATGCGGCAGTCAACGGGCAACGGACGGCAAAGTCTTGGCGAGAGTCGTCGGTCATCGAAGATGAATTGAAGAACATACGAATCCAGCCAACTTCTGCAACAGACGCATACTCGGTTGGGGGACCACGCATTGAGTAACGGTTACCCGTCGACCAGTGCTTGAAGTACAAGGCGGAGGGAACCGATGGCATTTTCTTGTTCTTCTTTTGAAGGACCTGTCTTGTGAGATTGCCCCCAATGTAGAAATTGATGTAGTCTACAGTCCAGTCGATTCTGTACTCGGTGAATTCCCATGGGTTAATGCTGCCGTTAGCCATTCCACCACCGAGAGTGGTGTAGTTGCGGTTGGCAGCCGTATCATTCAGTAACTGGCTGAAGTTCATGCCGAGATTACGAGTCGTGAACTCGTTGTTAACAAAGGTGCCAACCCAGGGGTTGGCATGATAATTGGTGTTCATAACACTGAGTTCTGTCATCTGAGTCTCGTTGTATTTCCACATCATAGAAGCTGCGGTGCCGAGAGCTCTTCTGCTTGGCGACTTGATCAATGTGCGAAAGGAGCCATGCTGGATGTCACGTCTTGCGGTTCGAAGACTAGCACCTGTGACAATATGGTCTGCTGTTGACGGCTGCACAACAAGATCGAGGGCCACACTTTGATTGATTCTGACATTGGCCGGAGACGCGCCTTCTCGGTAGACGGCATTCTGGGGAGCTTTAGTTTGAGATGATAATGTATATAACATGACGCATAACCTACCCAGTCTTTGCCATATCTCTGCTGAAATTCCTCTGCAACGAAATCGGCTGGGATGTCTGTCGTTTCGTTGAAGTAAACAATGATAGAGTCGGTGAAGAGCTCCTTAGTTTGGCCGTCGTAGAAGCCGCAGGTACAGCTCTCTTGTCCACGAGAGACATCGGCAAGCGCAGGCAGCACATGCACAAGGACAAGGCCAAGTAAAGGGATGGAACGCATAACGGCCTATTTATGACGGGGTGACAGAACACAGAGGGACAGCAAAGGACTGTCGAGGTTGTATTTGTCTCCCAGACGCAGGTAGCCGTGCGAGGCGAATTTAAAAAAGACAATCTATCAACGATGCTTTTCGGGCGGAGAGGAGCCGCAACCATTCCCCGACCTTCCCTAGCATGGAAAAGTCGCATGTGGGAAGTCTCCTATCCGCTGTCCGTTGCCCGCTGCACGCTCTTGAGCTGCCAATGGAGTCATCATGATCGGAAGGCAACCTCAACCGTGCGCCGTGCGCCGTGCGACAAGGTTGAAAAAGCTCTGCAAGCTTCCTTGGCAAGCAACATGCACTGCTCGCAACATTACAGTAGTGATGAACGTCGTGACATGGGTCTAGTTGGTTCTCGCATGAAGCGGAGTAGGTTGAGGAGAACGCCGTGCTCGTTGTAAACTTAGTGGGTCGGAAACGTGCATCGCATCCGTGCCTTCACGCTAACACGTGCTAAGCTATCTAGGTATCCCAAAACTTTCCGCGTCTGTTGAGAAACTCCTGATCGTTGATCGTCGCCATTAGAATGCAGCAGTTGCTACAGTATCTCAGCTCCTTTTCGGATCTATGGGTCTGTGTCATGCCGCCTGCATTTACGGTCATGATCCCCTGCATCTAGCATGCCACGGCCGATGCGATATGCGTTGGCGTAAGCATTGGCTGGTATCGCGACTTCTTGCAGATTTAGAATCACCAATCGTACCGTATACTAGGATGGGGAAGCGCTGAGAGCGGCACGTGGCGGTATCACTTTCATCTCGCCGATGCTATTTCATCATCATCGCACAGGGCGCCGCTGCATCGGACATGCACAAACAGTTCGCTGGAGCGGTTAAGATTACGGTAAAAAGCATCCCGTTTGCTGGGCCTTCCCAAGGAACGTCAGCTCCACCTGCAACTTGGCGTACTCTGGATTTTCGTGGCCGCGGAACTACCTAGGTATACACGCGTGGTTGGCATGGACTATGGTGAGCCATCAGTGCCGACCCACTCCGGTCTCATCTCCTTGTCATCAAGTTTTCGGCATTGCTAGATAACAATGCCGATCACAGATGTAGCACAAGGCGTGCGTGGAGATCAGTTCTCATAGGTGTCATTGCACAATATAGGTGAACTCTCCAAGGCTCCGGGAAGATCGTTTCTTCTGCCTGCTACCACTCTCAACCGTCTGTCATCAGCTACAGCACAAGAGTGTGCAACATATGTTCTTTATTCGCTCTCAACCCACCGTTTGAACTCCTCAGTAGTCACCACTCGTTTTGACTGCCCCTCCACACACTCACTACCGTCACATCGCCCACTCGTTTAACGATGTCAGACAAGAAAGACTGCGTCATAAACGTTGGAGACGTCACTTCTCCTAAACCTGTTACCGCCGAGAAGCCCTCTACGAAGCCCAGTTTAGCTGCTGCTCTAACTCCTGCGCGGATGTCAGCATTCGTGCAGGAGTGGACGCCTTTCGGTCTCGTCGCTTCCTACTACATCTTTTCCGTCTGTATGTATATGTACTGCAGCAACGGGTTGATTGCCGTCTTCTGGTTCATCTACATGGCAACCAACTTCTACATTGCCGGAATGACTGTCTTGGAGGCCTTCTTTAGCATCACTCCTTGCCGCGAGGCAAGAGAAATTGTTACCCAAGCCACAGAGAAGGGATGGAACTTCCCCACGCCGAACAAGGACCTACCGATTCTTGACCTCCTCATAGTCGCCTATCTCCCCAACGAGCAAGACATCATCATGGATCGCGCACACTATGCGCTCAAGGAGATCGACTACCCCAGAGACAAAATTCGCGTTACCATCCTCTACAACACACCCAAAGCTATCGAGCCCCTAGAGACTGAGCTACACCAACTCCCCATGCAGTTCTCGCATGCTAGGGTCATCAAAGTGCCCAACTCGACGTCGAAGGCCGACAATCTAAACTATTACTTCACCCTGGACACGGGCTCAGACCTCATCGCCATCTACGACTGTGACCACTACCCACATCCGTACGCTTCTCGATGGGCTGCAGAGCGCTTCATGGCGGAAAAAGATGTCGATGTTGTACAGGGTCGTTGCATCGTATTCAACTCGGATGACAGCTTCATGACGCGGTTGATTTCGGTCGAGTTTGACAAAATCTACGCTGTTTCGCATCCGGGTCGTTCCACCATGTGGGGGTTCGGGCTCTTCTGCGGCTCCAACGGCTACTGGCGCACTTCACTGCTTCGCGACCTCAGGATGGACGAAAGCATGTTGACCGAGGATATTGATTCAGCACTCCGCGCTTTCTCCAGGGGTGCCAAGACGGTCCATGATCTCAATGTGACCTCGTACGAACTCGCCCCAACCACGTTTCAAGCCTTCTGGAAGCAACGGCTTCGTTGGGCTCAGGGCTGGGCACAAGCGAGTATGCGGCACATGAAGATGGTCTACAACGATGTCAACGACCCGCTACACGAGGAATACACCAAGCGCAGTTTCACAGCCCGTTTCGGGGTGCTTTCGCTCCTGCTCATCCGCGAGTCGTCGTATTATCTCGTCACACAGTACACATGTCTCGTCTTATCTTTTGTTATCGTAAAATTCCCAACCAACTGGGAAGCCCTGTGGAGACTGGTCTATTTCCAGTACCCTGTGTCACAGTGGCTTTTTATAATCAGGTTCGTACTCGCAATCTCACACGGTAACTAGCCCTTGTGCATGACCGCTGACAGTACCACAGTATCATATGCCTGTTCGCAACACTCTGGATAACCAATCAGGTCAAGTCCGAGTTTGTGTCGAGAAAAATGATTGTTCTCTTCTCCGTACTGTATCCCTTTTACCTTATTCTTAATGCAACAATCGGGCTTTACGGACACGCCCGCCAGATTGTTAACTATAGCTCCTGGAACCCTACGGCCAGGACGTAATTTGTAGTCACCAGCACGACACGGGACTTGTCTCCCGGTTCGGTAGCTAACCTCTCTTCTATTTTCTTCTCGTCTTGGCACCTCTATAGAAAAGCTGTTTATGCGTAATGATGGCGGTCGGTTGGAGTTGGAGATGGCACTCGGCTTGCAATAGCATGTACATAATCGGACTATCAAGACCAATGCAAGCACAATTCGGTCCTACACAGCGTCTATAATGACAAGATGCGAACGTGAATTGCATGTGAAGAGCCAAAGACTGTTTTCCCGCGACGATTGGGCTTTGAAGGGCACATAGCCAATCGCTCTCAGTCCGAAACGTAACTCGGCCTCGCCGTGCATGAGGTGACCAGGAAATGCAGAGCAACCTACCAGCCCTGCTCTTCTTGGCCGGCACCTCTGCTCCCCGCCAATGCTGATCGTCTACCAACGGGGACCCATTCTCCGGCAACGAGCAGAATCAATATTTGCTAAACAAACGTCCCTGCATCCAACCCGCCCTGTCAAAAACCCTCGTGCTTGGCAATACAGCAAGCGCCTCGAAAACCCGCGACTTGGCAGCCTTGTCGTGCACAGCCGCACAGAAGGAAGTTAGACATGGTCGGGATATTACAATTGGACTGCGCCATGTACGTTAGCGATCTACATGGCGGTGCGCTAGTCACTAGCATGCCCGCCCCCACTCTGCCACAGCCGTGAACAAGCCCTGGAGGCGTGGGATGCACGACGCGAGCGTGAGTAATGACTGATACAGCTGCGCGATTGAGTGCTGACCGACTGGCGGCACTACCCGCAACCACAAACTACAACGGCATCTTCTACGGTTGGTTGAGCTAGAAACTGTGTCCTAGTTGCCAGTAGCGTGCCGGTTGTTACCTTTGTTTTGTTATGCTGCAATTACACACCGTGTCTGTTGACAACACATGCAAGCCTAGAGCACATCCTGACTGTTGAGCTCCGTCTTGTTGCCGGAATAGCACTCAAGCCCGTGGACTTGGTGTAGGTGTTCTGAAGCACGGATGTCGATACGTGTCCGTCGGCTACCATACACCTGGCAGATCGTGGGCCTCTGATCATGACCAGGTCGAGGTGGAAGAAGCCTTCTTGTTATGTGCGCCACAACGTACAAGGAAACGTCAGGCAGCTATCGTCGCTCAATGCCGTCGCTGGGGGCCAGACGGAGAGTTCATGGGAAGACAAGTACGATACATGACGACACTCGGGCGCATCGACCGTCGGCAGACTTCTTCCCATACTCAACGTGACGAAAATGCTGGGATCGTCAAGTCCTAGACAACCATCATCGCCCGTTCGCCGGCGTGACTGGTCGGCCAGTAATTGATGCAAACCATGGCACTAGCGCAAGCGGGTACGTACAGTTCACAAGCCTAATCACTCTTCTATCAAACATGCCTACTGCCACGGCGAATTTCTGCCTGGCTGAAACGGAAGCGCCACTAAACGCAGTGCTGCCCGGTGTGCATACCTGCCTGCATGCATGCATGCATGCAATATGCATTTCGACGCCCAAAGACTGTCCCCGAGAGATTGCGCTGGACACTAGGCCCAACATCTATATACCAAAATGCGCATAGCTCAGCGTGAGCACGGCAGAAATAGCAAATATCTTGACGTGTGACTTGGATGGAGGATGGTTGAGGCGGGCGGTCAAAAGAACTGTTCGTTGAATCTCGGGTCTCCCATCGGGGGTACGTGCTGTAGTACGGTCGGCATAGCACGTGGGAAAACATGACCGTGCTTTACTGCTTTTCATCTCTGTCATGTTGCAAGTGGTTCATCAAGTCCGCGGCTCTGGCGGTGAAAAAGTGCTTGCATTTTCTCCTTCAATACATCTTCATCCGACTGCTATTCACCGCTCTATTCACGCATCTCTTTCGAGAAAGACATCATGGCTTCCAGCATCAAGTCAACACTCCAGATATCTCCTCTAGCAATCTTTTCCTCGGTTGCAACAACACCGACGACGACCGTAACGCTCGATCAGAACCATCTAGTCGGACTGCGCGGCCTCCTAGTCCTACAATCCTTCCTCTTTGTCTTTTTCCAGGCCTTCCTACCAGATGCAGCCATCGATTCCAAAAACTTCAATGGACCAGCCTACCAGACCGGAATCCGAAAGTCCATCTCCGTCATCCTGGCCAACGGGCCCTTGATATACGGATGGATCATCTTCCTCTCCGCACGCACAATCTGCTTACCATATATCTCAAACAAGTCGCGAGAGGTTTGCGCATCCAGCGTCTTCCGTCGCAGTATCAGACTCTGGATCCCGACCTTTGTCGCCTATTCTCTCTCGGCAGCGGCATTCAGCACCACATCTACCGACTACATTTCAGACTTCCTAACCTCGACCAATAATGTCTCCACCATTGCACCGCTACGTATGAGCAATTTTCTCATCTACTTCAACTCGCTCTTTGAGCTCTTCTGGGTGAACAAGAACTACGCTTCGCAGGCCGCTAACCTCGCATTCCCATCTGGCACACTCTGGATAGTCTCTGTCCTCTTTCAGCAGAGCTATACCATCTACATGACCATGGTCATTGTGCCCTCCACCCGAGTCTCGTGGCGTGTCAAAGCCATGGTCGCCTTCATCGCAGCAGCCTGGTGGGTACAAAGTTGGGCGTGGTATAGCATCACTGGTCTCCTCATTGCCGACGCAGTTCTCAACATGGACTTTCAAACCCGGTCTCGACGTGGCCTTTTGATAGGGAAGCTTACGCTGCCCATCTGGCCTCTTTATGCCATCATGGCTTTTACAGGCGTGCTGCTGCAATTCCTCTTCATCTCGGCCAAGCCATCTATGCGCGACGACGAATTATACGGCCACACCGCCTTGTATGAAGATGGGTTCCTGAATGAGAACATGGACGGCAGTCAGCCCATGACAAGAGTAGACAACTATCTCATCATCCTCGGTGCCTCGCTTTTAATTGAAACGTTTGAGTGGCCTCGTGGTGTTCTCCGCGGCGGCTTCTTCGTTGCCATGGGCAGGAGGAGTTTTAGTAAGTCGACCCTTTTCAGATTCACACTTGCTGAAATGTTTACTCACGCCGCCCAGGTTGGTTTCTCATGCAATCACTCGTCATCTATACGGTCGGCATCAAACTGTACATGCAAATGGCTGGAACGGGGAGCAACACTGCTATGAGCGGGTTCGTGACTTTTCTTGTCTGTCTGCCACTTACCGCCCTGCTGTCCGAGATATTCTATCGTGTCGTGGATATACCGAGTATCGTCGTTGCGAGAAGCTTTTGGGCGTTTATGACGACATAAGCAGGGCACTCGCGTGTAGCAGGGGTCTGCACGGAAGATGCACATTATCTTCTTGGTCAATTTCATCTACTATACGCGCTACTACCATACATTACGCAGGGCTTTGGAGGGTGCGCGCTACCGTAGACATGTGCACATGCAGCGTGGCTTCATGTGACATGTACACACTACCACCCGGGTGACATAAAAACTTGACAGTGTGGGTAAGCACCTAATAGGCGTGTCTGGCGACTACAGTGGCCCTTGTACACTAGTATGTCAAGTATTTTCTGACACCCGGGTGCTACCACGTACAAGATGAACCAATTGAACTGCTTAGTAATTGAATACAGCCAACCTGCACAACCATTCATTTTGCCATCATCCTCACACCTGCCCCATGCTTTTAGCCAAATAGTCAGAACAGGACCATATATATCGATACATTTTCCAGGGAAAAAAGCTGTCAGTCCAGCAAGCTCCCCTCCCCGCGCTTTAGAAAGCGTCCAAACCACCTTGCAAATAAATTATGATGAGATTAATACCGTCCCCAGCATTGTCCCAAAGACAAAAAGGAAAACGCCGCTTGCAATGCATGATATGCGGGCTCCCCCTTGATAAGGAAAGCAAAACAAAAAGCAAAGACTGTTCTGACTTGTCCCCCGGCACGGCTTTTTTGCCCATTTCCGACTTCTGCTGCATTCTCCACCTGTATCGCAGTCCGGTCCAGTCCACACCGCTCGGACCGTTCTACACGCAAAGATGCTGTGACGGAATGGGGTGTTGAAACACAGTGGACAAATCACAAACAAAAGGAGCAAAATCCGCTCAGAGCTCAGAGTTTTTCCATGTTGAAAAGAAAAACACCCCCGCCCCACAAGTCCCTGTCCACCCAGGAAGAGGGAAGCAAACGGGAAGAGAAATGAGGACGAAGACAACCAGCCAAGTAAGTCTACAGGGTGGATAGCGTACCGCGGAAAACCAGCTACTCCGAATTTCGAATAGGGGTTGTTTTGTTGCGAGAATGATATCAAACCAGCGAGCCAAGGAGGAAGAATGAGTTGAAGGAGGACTTCAGTTAAGGAAGCCCTTGCATCCAATAGATCCACAAAGACACGGAATCCGATCCGTGGCATCCATTTCACGTTCGAATTTGTAGTCGTATGTGAGTTCCTCGTCTGCATTACAAGTCAGCATTTCCGTATACTACCAAATCAACTATACCATAGGATTGCACATGTTTGACTTACCAGAGTTGATGTCCCGCAATGCGTAGATGACAATACGCTTCGTGTTGTCCACACGAATGATCTTGGCGGTGCAGTTTGGCGTGCAAGAGTGATTGATGAAGCGGGCGATGCCGCCCATCTTTGTCGCATCAATTACCGTATCCTCGTCAATGCGGAACAGATAACTCGATCCTACGCCCTGCATATCGTACTTTGCTTCTCGCAGGTCGGCAACACGCTGGCGCACCTTTTCGCCCACGTATTCAATAATCATATCGTTGACAGCGATGGGTTCTTGGGCATACAGACCCCAGTTGTGAATCGCGGAGCGGTCGAATTTCACCAGCTTCTTACGCTTCTTGAGTTGGTTGAAGCGCAAGGCGTCGCCTTCGGCACCGGACATGTTCTTGGAGATGTTGATGTCATTGACCATACGGCGGTTGTTGGCGCGGTTAGCACGCGAGTTTGCCGTCGAAGTCTTATTGGAACTTGTCTGAAACTTGAACCCCTCGACCGAGACGACGCTTCGCTCTTCCTGCTTTGCCTGGCGTTGACGCTCTTCGCGCTCCTTTTGGACGCGAATGCGATGAGGCAGATACTTTGACTTTTCGGATTCCCGAATCTTCTTGACACCTTCTGTGCGCGCCGAGCCAGTCGAGTTGGGTACATAGTACCCTTCGATCTTGGTCTCTGTGCGGGAGACACCCTCTTGACCGTTGCGGTTGAGATGCTTGATTGACTTTTGTTTCCAGGCCCAAGATTGTGCGTCTCCAATCCTCGCAGGGGCAGTCGACTCCAGCGCGACCTTGAGATGACGCAGGTCCTCATCATCCTTGAGCATGTGTTGCCATCCGTCAATGTCCATGACCACACTCAGATCGTCTTCCACAGTCTTGCGAGGCTCATCGGAAGATACTCCCCAATTAACAGAACCGCGATCGTCCTTGCTCGTCTCTGCAGCAATCTCGTCTTCCATGACCTTGACCTCTGCGACTTCGGCAACCTCTTTCTCAACAAGTGTCTCAGTTCCCACCGCCTGTGCCTGTGCAGCCTTGGCCTCCTCTTCAATCTGCTTCTTGGTCTTCTTCTTGTTCTTAGGCGGCGCCTTCTTCTTGAGCGTTTTCAGCGACTCGGGAAGCTCAGTAGTTTCAATCGGCTTGAGCGCTTCATCGTCTTGTGTAATAACGACTTCAGGCTCAAGTTTGTCGGCTGGACTTGCTGTAATGTTGAAGATTGCGTCTGCTTCTTGCTCGATCTTCCGCAATCTTCTGAAACCCTTGAGCGCTTTGTCTGCCTTTTTCCAGATGGGCGAGGAACGAGGAAGAATGGCAAGCACTTGTTCCAGCTCTTTCTCTGCCATGTTCTCAGGGTCCTTGTGTATACAATGAGCAAGCAGACTCCTCGCGTGGGAGTCGTCCATTTCCTCGTCACTGTCTTCACCCCATCCAGTCTCGATACGGCGCCGCTTGGCGCGATGAGCTCTTGATGACTCTTCCTCTTCCTCTTCCTCCTCCTCGACATCAGTAGAAGGAGCACGACTGATGGGCCGACTCTCCTGTTCTTCTGTGCCGCGTGTCAACTGGCTGCGGCTCTCGTCGTCGGACTCCTCAGGCTCAAACATTTCAATCATCTGTCTATGGAGGCCACGAGCCACACGAGGCTTCGGCGCGGATGCCTTTCTTCGTTCATCCACAAATGCATTGACAATCCTGGGAGGTTTCTTTCCACGCCTGGTACTCGGATCCCATGCGCCTAATCCTCTCCGGCCGCCACGAGCACCGAAACCTCCATTGCGGCCCTTGGGCGTACCGGCGCCGAATGTGTCGAAGCCTGGGGCGAGAAGCGCAGGCGGCCGCACATCCTCGTCCTTCTTGGGTGGAGCCGGGATATTGAGTCGCCGGCGCTTCTCGACATGGAGCTCGGGATCCAGCAGCTCCAATATGGTGGGGGCGGCTAATTTTGTCTTGATCTCCCCAAGAAGCTTCTCCAGTAATTCCTGTCGCACAAAGTCAACAGCTGCATATACAGGGTCCAGCGAGTCGGCGCGTTGTTGCTTCTCTAATGCCAGATCTTCTGCCTCTTCCTGTGCTATCCGCTCCTCTATAGCCTTGCGCTTCTTGTCTGCTACTACGCGTTCCGGGCTCGGACTTCGCTCGTAGTTGGGGTCGCCATATTGATTGCACTCCATGTTCATGACATAAGTGAACAAGGCCTGCATATGGCACTCCTTGTAGCATCGAACTGTCTCCTCCTCGCCGCGCTTGGATTCTTCAAAGGTCACATAGTAACCGGTCTGGTCGCATCGCACAGCGTTCCACCGGAAGTTCTTTAGCCGCTTCTTGAGATGCTCTACCGTGGTGGCGAGGACAGTTACGTATGCGTGTGCGATGAAGATGTACGGCTTGCGCTTGAGCGTCGGTTTTATGGGCTCGCGTTCAATTAGGTAGGACAGCGCAGCCTTTCGTGTCAATGGTTCTCGAGGCATGGCTATCAGCGGGCGGGCGCCTTTCCCAGAAGGGCCTTTGGGAACATTGGCTGGCAGGTCGAAATTTGCAGGACCAGTTGGAGGCGCAATGCTTGCCGCTTTCGCAGCGTATTTGGCCCGCAACTTCTCCTCTTCCTTGCGGCTTTGCTGCACAGCCATGTCTACGAGCTTTGCGCATCTGCGTCCCTCACGGTCGGATTGGACTTTGATTATGTGCTGTGCAAGGCGCTGACCGGTGCCTTCTCGCTCGGCTCGCTTTGCGGACGTGGTGGCTTTCATGGCGTCGGTGCCGCGCATGGGAGGAGTGTCGCGAAACTTGACCAAGCATATGCCAAGCGGGCTGCCATTATCAGGATGGACCTGGTTGCGCAGAGTGTCGACGTCGCCGTAGGTGGAGAAGAAGGCACGCAATTGCACATCGGGGGTCAAGGGATCAAATCCCGTGACAACGACTTGGGTGGCTGGACCCGGGCCGCAGGATATGCGGTGGTCGAACGAGTAGGGCTTTGCGACATAAGGGGCTAGGCGGAGCTTCGACTTGGGGGCACCTGTGAAGGATGTCTTAATGACATAGTTCCCCGTCGTGTAGCCGGCAATGGCCAGGCGCGGATCTGGAGGGGGGGACGGGTCGCCCTGTAACACAAGTCAAGTTAGCCTTAGCGTCACAGGGCGACCACATGGATGCATGTATCTATAGCCTTCACGTACCTTGTCCAGTATTGTAGTATATTTGGCCGTCCCTTTCGCTCTCGCCCGCCTGTCGAGTTTGGGGTCAAGTTGGGCGTCGTAGGTGGCGCGCTGGCCCAGGACACCGTCGGGTGGGAAGACGGAGCGCCGCGTCTCGGGCGGCGTATTTATGGGGGTGATGGTGTCGGCCATGGTGACGGCGACGGCGACAGCGACATTGTTGGGCGCGCTCGCTGGCGCCGCGTGTGCAGCGGGGGCGGTTGCGTGCATGGTCGTCTCGTACGAGAGCTTGGAAGCGCGTGGACTGGGCAGCTTGCCTGGTGGAGACGAGTCTGAGCTGGTCAAGGGCGTGAGGGCGTGGAGGGAATGCTTGTGGCCAGAGCGCGACATGGTGGAAGGCGCGGACAAGATGGAGGAAGCGGGCGGCGTAGGGGCAGACGAGTCCGAGTCGACTTCGTCTAGCAGCTCGCCAGGACGCCGTGCATGGTTGGGGGGTGAGAGTGGCTTCTTCCTGTGTCTGAGCGTGCGCGTTGTGCCCGTTGCAGCCAAGGACGAGAAGGAGGAAATGGCAGACGAGTCGGGGCGATGCGAAGCTGCCCGCCGCAGTGACCTCTCTTCTCTGTCGCCGCGTCGTCGGCCGGACATGGACTTGATATCACACCGTCGCCCGTCTGTAGTCGGCCGTCGCTGATGGCTCGTCGCTAGTTTTCTCGTTTTTGGCGTCAATACGAGTTCGCCCTCTCCATTGCTTGCTGTGGAGAAGGAGTAGTAGTAGTATCAGCAGTAGTAGTCTAGTATAATATAGCTGTGCAGTCGTGTATGTATAGGCGCGTTGCTGTTCAGACCCAGAATCGGGTATATAGACAACGCGCAGCCAACGCGGTGGGCACGTGTCAGAGGCCGCGGCCGCGGGCGGGACAGGTGAAACAGGTGTGCACAAGGCAAAATGATGAAATGGGCGAGTGAATCGGTTGCGCGCTGCTCGCTGCTTGCTGCTCGCACAGATTGGGGTTGGTGTTGAGAGAGGGCCGTCGTTCAGGAATGTTAGGCCCAGGTATCCATGTAGTACCCATGCATCCCAGCCGCCAAGCTAGCGTGTGAGGAAGAAAAAAAAGGAGAGCTGCACCACCTAACCATCACTCGCCGCCGACCATGTCTCTTCGACCCAACAATCTGACGTCGAGAACATGGTCGCATAAAGCTTGCGCATCACTGCCTGCATGAAATTGCTGTCCGCCGCCTGTCGCCTACCGGCCTACCGTCCTACCACTGCACATTGCAACGTGCATCTGCAGAGGCATGCACCAACCAGCCCAGAGCACAGGAATCTCTTCCCTATATGAATACATGTTGGTACATTTAGTCTTGTTTTTTTTTTTAATTTTTTTTAAAGAAGGCACTTGTAAGTGAGAGAAAGTGAGAGAAAGTGAGAAGAGAGAGTGACATGTTGCACGTGAGCAATGTAGCGAGGAGCTACATTTGATGTACCATGTTGAATCCTGAATTCTGAATCTCGAGCAGCAGACAAATGCCTACATACCGCCTAGTCCACAAACTTTCCCTCAACCCATCCCCTCCTCTTGACACCCAGCTCCACCGCCGCACTGCCCCAGTCCTCGCCATGGTTGTGTCCTTCGTTGCCGTTCTTGCCCCCAATTCCCGCCCTCACAAGTCCCTGCTCGTCGCTCAACAGCGTCAACAGGCCAAAGATGACGGGCACGTTGTTATCCAGCTGCAGCCTCATTAACCCGTGGCTTACCGCTTCCGAAATGTACTCAAAGTGCATCGTCTCGCCCTTGATGAGCACACCAATGGCAATTATAGCGTCAAAGGGCGAGTTGGACGTCTTGGACGGTGTTATGGAGAGAGAAGTGAGGTCAGACGTGGAGCCTAGGAGGTCGGCAGCTGCGCCTACCACGCCTGTCGAGGAAGACTGAATCTGCGAGGCCGAGTAGAGTCTAGTTTGGTCGTCAAGTCAGCACCTTCATGTCTTCCTCAAGACTACATGGCACACATACTGCTTGACAGCGTACGGCAGCTCATAACTGCCTGGCACAGTCTGCACAACAATGTTCTCGTCCTTGACACCCGCCTCCTTCAACTTCTTCCTGGTACCCTCCAGAAGCGCGTCAATGATTTTAGTGTTCCATCTCGCGTGCACAATGCCGATGCGCAGTGCGGAGCCTGTGCACAACCATCAGCCCAAACGTGGCCCAACGAGATATCGTGGCCGGCTCCGTCGCAGCGGGGTTGAAGGGGCTCGCTGGTGAGCTTACCGTCGTAGGTTTTGGGTGCACCGGGACCCTTGATGGATGCCATACCAACCGTCTAGATTAATCTACCTCTTCAAGAGCTGAGAGCTATATGTGTAGCCTGGAATCTTCTTGGCTATCTGTCAATGTGGTTACCGAGTCGGCTGAAGAATGCAGGAACACTCTCCTCCTCTCGAGCTACCCCGCAAGCGAGAGGCAGGGATCCCGCGCCTTGCAATGGTGTCATCGGGACAGGGGTACCAAAAGCCGCGTGTCAGTCCTGCACAGTCCGTCAAAATAAAGGGCCGTCACTGAATACCAACACAAAATGAAGAGAAGATTTTGTTCATTCCAAAAAGGCCAGTAGCTATGTCGCTCTAGTCTTAAATATCGTAAAGTGCCATACATAAAGCCACATCCAAGAGTTCAATCATAAATCTCAAATGGGGTCAAGGCCAAATCATATCCAGCGTCTCTATCCCAGAGAGGACCTTGGTTAAAAACATGGCCTATTCGACCGTAACCGACTTGGCAAGGTTGCGAGGCATATCGACATTGACGCCCTCGGCAACGGCCATCCAGTATGACATGAGTTGCAGAGGGACAACGTTGATAAGACCCTGCAGAACATCAACGTTCTTGGGCACCTCAATCTTGTCAGTCTTGTCCGTAGGGAACTCCGGGTCGTCCTCGTTGCAGATGATGATCGGCCGGCCGCTACGGGCAATAACCTGCTGGTATGCGTTGAGCGACTTGGCAAAGATGTCGTCGCGGGTGAGGATCATGACAATGGGGAGGTTTTCGTCGACCAGGGCCAGGACACCATGCTTGAGCTCTCCCGACATGACAGCCTCGCAATGTAGGTACGAGATTTCCTTGATCTTCAAAGCACCCTCGAGCGCAGTGGCGTGCTGAGAGCCACGACCGAGAAGCAGGAGAGACTTCTGGTTCTTGAACCTCTCGCAGAGCTTCTTGATGGGCTGGTCAAGCTTAAGCACCTCCTTGAACTGGTCCGAGATCCTGGTAAGACCCTCGATGATCTCTTCGCGCCTCTTCTGCTTGGAAGCACGGTCCTCGCTGAGGGACAGCGCGAACATGACCATACAGACAAACTGCGACGTGTATGCCTTGGTCGAGGCAACACCAATCTCAGGACCGGCGTTGATGTGAACACCGCAGTGGGTGAGGAGAGAGATGGAGGAACCGACCGTGTTGACAATACCGACCGTCAGGGCACCGCGCTCCAGGCAGTAGCGAAGAGCACCTAGGGAGTCGGCAGTCTCACCGGATTGCGAGACGAAGACACACGTGTCGTCACGGAAGACGGGTGCTTGGCGGTCCAGGAAATCAGAGGCCAGCTCAACAGCAATGGGGATCTCGGTAAGCTCTTCGAAGACACCACGGACAGCCATGCACGAGTGGTACGAAGTACCGCAAGCAATGAAGATGATCCTCCTGCATCGCCTAATGGTAGATAGGTATTGGCGAAGACCACCAAGAGTGACCGTCTTGTTGACAGCATCGAGACGACCACGCATAGCGTTGACAACCGACTCTGGCTGCTCGAAGATTTCCTTCTGCATGAAGTGGTCGAAGCGGCCCTTCATGATTTCCTGGAGCTGGATCTCAAGCGTCTGGATGGTTCGGACGTTGGAAGAGCCATCGTCCTTGTGCAGACGGTGGATGTTCAGCGATCCCTCGTGGATGTGTGCAATGTCATCGTCCTCGAGGTACAGGACCTTCTTGGTGTGCTCAACAATAGAAGAGGGGTCGGACGAGAGGAAGAATTCGGTGGGCATGGGAACGCCGTCGTCCGAGAGGAAGGCTCGCGATTGCGATCGGTGGAGGAGCGATTTGTCCGGAGGAGCAAGGAGGTTGTTGGACTTCTTTAGCGCAACGTTGTGTGACGCGCTCTCGGCGGGGAGAGCTGCACCCTCATCGTTGTACTCGACATCAACAAAGTCGACCTTCATCTTCTTCTGTGTCCGCACACCAATGACAAGGGGCGAACCCTTGCGGGCAGCCACAACCTCATGGGGGTAGTGAACCGACTTGAGGAGCAGACCAAAGGCACCCTGGAGTTCCTTGATGACAGCCTTGACAAGCGAGGGGAAGCTCAGGTCGGGGTGTTCGCTCCAGATGTACTTTGTGAGCTTTGCAATAGCCTCGGTGTCGGTCTCGGTCTCGAACTTGAAGCCCTTGCTCTCAAGCAGCGTCTTGAGTTCTTTGTAGTTTGTGATGATGCCATTGTGTACGACGGAGAACTCCCAATTGGGGTCAGACCTGGTGATGGTGGGTTAGTGTCGTCACCAATGAGTGCAGTCATGTGTCGAGGCAAACGTACCTGTGAGGATGGCAGTTGACACGCGAAGGGGGGCCGTGGGTGGCCCATCGCGTGTGGGCAATGCCGGCGTGCGAGTCGAAGACCTTGTTGAGGTCGAAGTTCTGCTCATCAACAAGCTTCTTGAGCGAAGCGACCTTGCCAACCTCCTTGACGGCGTAGACCTCGTTCTTCTTGTCACCATCGATGGCGAGACCGGCCGAGTCGTAGCCACGGTATTCTAGACGCTGTAGACCTGTGCAGACACGGCCGTTAGCAGCCAGCCAGACGGGTGCAGCAACACACGGCCAGAACAAGAACGGCACTGCTTACCATTGATGAGTGTGTCGACAATGTACTTCCTGTCCTTCTCCACCAAGTAGTTGATGTAACCGAAGATACCGCTGGTGCAATGGTCAGCTTCGGGCTTCCAGCTCTCTCAGCTCTCACAGTCGGCGGGTAGCTGTGCAGTTTCGCAGCCCGGTAGTGGGGCAGCGGGACTTACCACATGGCGAGCAAACGAAAGTAGGGGGTTAAATAGAAATGCAAGCGGAAGCGATCGTAGGGCAGTCGGGGTCAATTGGCTGGAATGAGAAGAGTATGGGCTGGGTGGGTACAAGTAGAAGACAGATGAGCGAGAAGAGAAAGAGCGGTGGTGTGTTTGACTTATATCTTCCAGGCCAAGCTACTGAGCAATGCCCCAGCGACGCCCTTCCCCACTCCACCTAGCCTAGCCTCGCCAATGCAGCGTATCGCAGACGCGGTGACGCCGCTCTACCACACTTGAAATCTTAGCTGTTGCTGTCGATAACTCTGTCGTATCCTCCCCTATTTCGTCATGCTGGAGCAGCCAATGATGCCCTGTAAGTCCATCGTAGTCTGTTACCGTTCCTGACCAGATCGCCCGCTATTCCCATCGTTTCTCAGGGACCACGAGGCGCAGCACCTCCAAAATAGCAACGCTAGCCACTTTTCCCTGTCAACCGACCATGTCCATGTCTACATGTGGTGAATTTGCCATGTCGCCGCAAACACTACTGCTATGTACCTCTCGCTCTCTCAACGGGCCGTCCGAGTAGCTCAGCGCCAGCCGCCTTTTCGCCTGACTGACTGACACACGGGACCCACGTGCTTACGGGAAGCATTTCTAAATATGTACCGTACTCATACTCGCCCACCACACCCGTAGTACGACGTCTGCGGTTGACCATGTCTTGATTTGACTTTGACATGCACCGTACAGTACATAGACATGGCAAAACAAATTCTGTTATCAGTGTAGCTGTCGCTGTAGCTGCAGCTTCCACCAGCCCACAGCCAAGGTTTCGCCGCATATACCTCGCCACCATGCAGAAAAGTCAATCAGACGGTGAGGCCCCAGCCATGCAACAACTGACATGACTGCAACAAACTCGACCACGAGAGTCGTGGCTTGCCCGTCCTAGTAATGCATACGAACCATGCTTTCCAGTAGCACTGAACATATGGAATTACGCGGGCCAAGGGCTGCCTCTTCGCTGAGAGGCGACGGTGAGCCTCCGTCAGCTGCGGCTAACATGCGCACAAGGTTCCAAGTCCTTCCCGCTCTGCACAAGAAAGCTTAGCTTGCTGACCTGCTACGGCTAGCGTCAGCCGCACCTAGCCTCAGCCCAGCCTCACAATGACCAGCTCACGGCAACCTTTCCTTACTTAAACGAGACACGAGATGCTCTATTGGACTTCGTCTTTATATACCATCTAGCGTACAATATCACTGCCAGGCAGCATAGCCGCTTCAATCTATACCTTGCACACGTGCCAAATTCTGTTACAACAACCCCAGGACCAAAACCTTCTTCTATGCGTACATGTTTGGAGAGAATATCAATGCTGATGTACATCGCTAAAATGCTGCATGTAATACAAGACGATGCATAAACGACGCGATACAAACAATGTCACACCGACTATTTGCTGTCGCAGTAACCAGGCGCCTTGGGGGCACCACCGTAGATCCAGCTCTGGACTGTGAGCGTTGTGGTATATACCATACCGACCGCACCAAGAATGCACAACAAGACATCAAGTACTCGTGCAGTACTCGTTCGCGCGACAGCACGGTAATGAAGCATGGGCTATATAAAGTCAGTAGAGGCTTTGGTTCGGAGCGAAAGCAAACACTTACAGGGTAGATGAAGACCAGCGGAATACAGGCAAAGCTTCCCACAAGACTGACGAACTTGTCAAGGTCACCTGCACCAGCCCAGGCAAGGCAAGCACATACCAAGACAATGAAGAAGCGGAAAAAGTTCTTCTTCCATTTGACATACGGGTTGTACTTGCCCGTCCTGCTGAACAGCTGCTGGCTGGTAATCTCAATGGCAGGGTAGATCTGCAGGGGCGTCGAGAGCAATATGGCGAGCGAATAGATGAACTGAACGCCATTGACAAACTTGTTGTCTTGGGGCATGTTGAGAAGCACCACCGTCTTTGTCTTGGATCCAAAAGCCGCGTACGACAGGGCGCCGGCGCTGAGGAAGATGACGGTGATAATGATCATGACGCCCCCGAGGACCTTGGGGAACTTCTTGGGGTCTTTCATGCCCGTCTGGATGGGAATGATGAGGCCAATACCTTCAAAAGTGAAGATGGCAGTGCCAATAAACAAGGTCCAGTCCTTTGCGTTGAAGTTGACAATATCAGAGATGCCGCCCTGATCTACGATGGTGAAGAGATCAAAGTAATACAGGTAAACAAGGCCCATGAGGATGAAGAGATCTGCTACCAATGCGAGCTTCTGGATGTTGTTGATGTTGCGGTAGAGCGACAGGGGCAGGAAGATGACCATCTGCATCATGATCATGTACTTGATATCAATAAAGGTTTTGCAGTTGGATACGGCGAGGACGAATGCTTGCAGGTTCTCAGAAACGAAGACGATGTAGGCCGAGGAGAAGCCTATCTGGGAGATGACGAGCGAAGTATTGATCAGGTTGCGCATCCAGTCGCCGTAAAGATGAAAGCCCATGTCACCAAACGAGTGTTCGACCACGAGGCGAGTGGAGACGAGCAGGACAAAGCAAGCATAGGAAAGGCCAGCTACTGCGAGAAGCACAAAGTTTGAAAAAAGCATACCACCATTGAGGAATGCTCGCGGCAAGAATAGCACACCAGTTCCTACAAAGGATTTGAGCAGGAGTAAGGCTGCTCCTGTAGGCGTACCTGTGCCCGTCTTCTTTGGCTTGCGTCTCCTCCGCTTTCCCGGCGTGAGCAGTGCACTCGACTCGCCGTACTCGCGGTCTTCGTCTTCGGTTTGGGCACCAGAGTCTAGTGCGTCCGAGGAGAAGTATTCGTCTGGCCCCAGCACCTCGTCGTCTTCCTCGAGCGATTCACCGGCAAAGTGACCATATAGGGTTAAGAACTCGAGGAAGTTGTTGGTGAAGACATGGGGTGGCGGACGGGCTTGACGGACGGTGCCGTAGCCGGACGGGCCTGGTGCGGGTGAGGGACTGCCTGCAGCTCTGCGCAGATAGTTTCGTCTGAAGCCGCCCGGTTGCCGGATCGAGTCGATATCTAGCGTCTCCTCCTCAGGCCTGCGGCGAGGCCCGTGGGAGCTTTTGCTGCGTTGCAAGCCTTGCTCCTCCTGTTGCTGCTGCTCGCTCCACCTGTAGATCTGGCGGGTAATGTCGCCGCCTTGGAGCTGCAGGCTCGAAAAGTGCTCTTCGTCTTCCTCGGGCTTCCTGCCTGCCGTCGACTGGGCATCATCATCACCTATGGCTCCGCGGTTCGACCTGCTGGGGGAGGCGTAGTGCCCGACCAAATGCCGGCGCACAATCTCGGGGTCTTGGTAAGGGACGGGGGAGCGACCGCGGCCGTCGAAGGAGCCGTAGATGCTCGGTGGTCCCCGCGGAACAGCATCCTCGTTAGGCGAGAGTGGCTGCAATGGGGGCGTGCCGAATCGTGGAGGGCTCTTGCCGAGAGACTCCTTCAGTGCAGAGGACAGCGTTGACTCGGACGGGCCGGGCAGCGACGACTGCGGGTCTGCGCGTCCAGGAAGGGGCGTTTGCTGCGATGACGAGTGGACCGTCTGGGAAGGGGTTGGGATCTGGCGCACGACAGGCGTGCCGTTGGGGAGGGAAGGCGCAGGAGAGCCTCGTCTGGCATGTGAGTCCCGTCGGGCAGTAGAGCCTGCGCGTACAGACTGCGAGTCTGCCGGGGAGCTGCGCCGGGAATCTCGTGATGACGAGGACGGCATGATGATGGCGCTGCTGTGCTGGACTCGCTTGGCCGGTACTCTGATGCTGATGTTTGGTGTTGACACTGATATCCAAAGGAGCTTCGGCTATCTGCGCCTAATGCCGCGATATGCGATATGCGATACGCGATACGCGATACGACACGGATACGATGCGTAGTTGTAGTACAGTGCAGCCAACGCTGCAGGCTTGAAGAATAGCGCAAACAACCGATGCGCTGGACGACACGCGAAGAGTGCAAGTGCAAAGTTCAGAGTCTAGCAAACGACGCGAAGAGGAAACAAAAGCTGAGACGGACTGGCCTAGGAACGACCATGCGCCAACTGCGCCGACTGCGCCGAGAGCTTGAGGTCATTCGCTCGACACAGCGACACGTCTGGCGTGGGGCGCGGGATGACCATGTCACGCCGTTGGTGGAAACCCTGCATTTTCTCTTCACACTGCACATAGCGATACGTATGTACGGTACAGTATATGCTGCATTCCTTGGAATTGACGGCTAAGCCGCCAAGGTAAGTCAGATATAACACCCGACTGACAGCCCTGTCCGACATGTACATACAGTAGCTCCGTCATCATCGCTTTCTGGTCCCGTTTCATTGCTGCTGCATCCAGCGCATCTGTCCATGTCTTGCGTCCCAGAAACCTTTCCTGCAGCCACCCAAGATTTGCCGGCGCATCCCGCGCTTACTGGTACTACGCCCTGACCGGAACCACTCCTCGTGCCAGACCATGACCCATGTCGAAACTATAAGGCGCCCGCTGCCTAGGACGAGATCCAACTTTGCCGCCCGCACACCTCAAGACGAGAGTGAGCGTCTGCATCGACGCTCCTTTGTTCAGCAGTCGCCTCCGCCCGTTGAAGATGAGGAGACGCCACTGCTCCCAGATGGTCAACTTCGCCAGCCGCACGACGGCAATGTCTGCCATGGCACCCAAGAGATGCAGGCCAAGCGGGGACTCGTGACCCGTTTCTTCTCTGCCATGCTCCCCTCGTCGCACCTAGCATCCAGCAACAGTCATAAACGACACCCATCAACCGCCGCCTCCAAACCAAGGCCTGGAGCCTTCCCTAGGCCAGTCGGTGGTACAGACAAGCTAGGCACTTTTGCAGGCGTCTTCGTACCCGTGACCCTCAATGTCTTGTCTATTTTGATGTTCTTGAGATTTGGCTTCCTTCTCGGCCAAGCAGGTCTAGTGGGCATGATGGGCATGCTGATTGCCGCCTACGCCATAAACCTCTTGACTACTCTGAGCATCTCTGCCGTCGCCACAAACGGCACGGTAAGGGGAGGGGGCGCCTACTACCTCATCTCGAGGTCACTGGGACCAGAGTTTGGCGGTAGCATTGGCATTGTCTATTATCTTGGCTCTGTTTTCAATACCTCGTTGAATGCTGTTGGCCTCATCGACTGCCTGATTGAGAACTTTGGTAGCAATGGAGGTAACATGGGCGAATGGCTGCCCCAAAGCTACTGGTGGCAGTTCCTGTGGGCGACTGTAATCTTGGTAGTGTGCACGCTCATCTGTCTAGCTGGCAGCGGACTCTTTGCTCGCTGCAGTAACGGGCTGCTGCTTGTTCTGCTTGTTGCTACCATCAGCATTCCTTTGTCAGCCGCCTTCAAAACCCCATTTTCTGACCCCGAGGAAAACATCATCTTCACAGGCCTCAGCATGCACACCTTTACCCAAAACTTACTTCCTCATTTTACCAGAGGCGCTGCAGGAAGTGTGGGTCATCACCGCGAGAGCTTCCAAGATCTCTTCGGCATCCTATTCCCAGCCACAGGGGGCATTCTTGCCGGCGCTAGTATGAGCGGCGACTTGAAGCACCCAAGCAAAGCCATCCCAAAGGGGACATTGTACGGCTTAGGCTTAACCTTCATCCTGTACACCCTCGTTGTATTCGCCATGGCAGCGTCCATAGCCCGCGAAACATTCTACAGCAACACTAACGTTATACAACTAACCAACATCTCTGGTGTCGTTGTACTAGCAGGTGAGATGGCGACATCGTTGTTTTCAGTGCTCATGGGTGTTATTGGCTCTGCCAAACTTCTCCAGGCCCTCTCTCGCGATCATCTGATTCCCGGACTCTCTGCCTTTGGTCAAGGCACCAAAAAGTCAGACGAGGTAGGCTTCCTCCATCATGCATGAGTCGAACGCACGCTGATGTGTACATATGCAGCCTATTTATGCTATCGTCATTACATTCATCATGCCCAGGTCACCATGTTTGCCGACATCAACCAAATTGCCTCCTTTATAACAATGACGGTACGTCATTAAATGTCCTTGACTTACCCCCTGGCCTGAAAGATCCTCTACAAAGCTCACTGTTGAGAGTATGCGACAAGAGCATTTCTACGAAATAACTTTATATGATCAGACATCTAACATGACCTAGTATCTTATGACATTTCTGGTTACCAACTTGGCTTGCTTCTTGCTCAAGATAGGATCCGCCCCGAACTTCCGGCCATCGTTCCATTACTTCAACTGGCCCACCGCAGCGATAGGAACGCTCGCCTGCGGTGTCACCATGTTCTTTGTCGATGGCTTCTATGCATCTGGTTGTGTAGCCTTGCTCATGATCATCTTTCTGTTGATCCACTACACCACTCCCCCAAAGCCATGGGGTGATGTCAGTCAAGGCCTCATCTACCACCAGGTTCGGAAGTATTTGCTACGCTTGAAACAAGAGCACGTTAAATTTTGGAGACCCCAGATCTTACTTCTTGTGAACGATCCACGGAGGCAGTACAAACTAATACAGTTTTGCAATTCTTTGAAAAAAGGCGGACTGTTTGTACTTGGACATGTTATCGTTTCGGATGACTTTGGAGCAGCTGTACCTGAAGCCAGGCGGCAGCAACAATCTTGGACAAAGTATATTGACTTCTCAAGAATCAAAGCTTTCGTCAACATCTCCATCTCTCCAGCAGTGGAATGGGGCGCTCGCAACCTTGTTCTTGGTGCAGGTCTGGGTGGCATGAGGCCGAACATCGTTGTCATGGGATTCTACAATCTACCCGAGCTTAAACAGGCACAGCCTTTGATCGGCATACCATCGCCCCAGCCATCAAGGCCATCTAGTAAAGCTGTGAATCATTCCATCTCCGGAAAAGCAATACAAACGGCAGCCAGGCGGCGCATGACCGGCAATACACATAGCATGCTTCCTACGGACGCCATGAAGCCTGAAAATGCAATCACGATACGCAGCTACGTTACTGTGATAGAGGATCTGGTTCTACGCTTGCAAGCAAACGTTGCCATAGCTAAGGGATTCCAAGAGCTTGAGGTACCGCCCGCAAAGCCCACAGTCAAACAAAAGGCGTTCAACCTGATGGGACTGAGCGACATCGAGATTGATGATCCGTCAAAGAAATATATCGACCTTTGGCCGATACAGATGTCCGCCGAGATTGCCACTGCCGGAGACGAGCCTGTTCGGAAAAACGTACTGACGACAAATTTCGATACTTACACACTCATTCTCCAACTTGGTTGTATCCTGCACACTGTGCCCTCATGGAAGCGCATGTATAAGCTAAGGGTTTGCGTCTTTGTCGAATACGAAACAGATGTTGAGGAAGAGCGTGGGCGCGTTACCACCTTGCTGCGAAATTTACGCATTGAAGCTGAGGTTCACGTCTTCTGGTTATCATCTGGCGAGCTGAGCATGTACGAAGTCATCATCAATGGACGTGACGACGGACATCTTGATCAAACTGGCCGCGATATTGATTACTCATTGGAAGATGAGCGCTGGTGGCAAGACATCAAACGACTTCGTCAGCCCGAAAATATCAGTGGCAGCGACGAACTAGCACAGACAGTCGATATTCTCGAAGCAGTAACCAGTTGGCCAATTGCGTCTTTCCAGTATGGTAGGCAAGACGCAAATCCAAAACGCTTCTCTGCATTAAGAAGGATGCTACGTAGAGCGAAATCCCGGCCATCAACTAGTAATATGTATGGTGGTCGACTTGAAACGCGAAGTAAAAGGCTACCTACCGAACTATCTGGAGACGACGACAGTGATACCCAGCCATCTTCCAATGGAGGAAGAGACGATGAGGCTCTGGCTTCGGACAGTGAAGCCATAATTAGCGGCAGCAACTTCGATGAATACGACCTGGATGCCTCGAGCGACGAAAGTGACGTTGATGCCCCACGACATCCGCCCAGGCGACGAAAAACCGCACCCAGTAGCTCCTTCTTCTCCCGTCAACTCGACCTTCGCAAAGCAATCTGGAAGCCCCTTCATAAAGAAAGCACAGAAGATGCTTCAAGTATGCAATCCGTGACACCCCTCCTTCCGCACTCAAACGCAACAGCATCCGTTACAGCTATCTTGCCTACCAGATCGTCTTCCTCAAAGTCCCACAGCATAGCCAGCTCTTCTCCACAGCGCTCTGCGACATCTCTCGTCCCGCCACCCGCAGTGCGTCCTTCGTCACTCCCGAAGTTCACCTCCAATCCAACGCCGCGCACAGCAATATCTGCGGAAGAAGCAGCAGGCCCGTCGATAATGTTTGTTGATACACCGCACCCGTCGACCACGAAGAGCAATCCCATCGAAGAAGAAGTCTCTGGTGAAGCTTCTGTTGCGGAAACACCTAAATCAAACGCAAACACGCCTGCAGACTACCCCCATAGAGCACCGACATCAACATGCACTGCATCTGGCTTCCCCTCCCAACAAGCCATCCCCCTCTCCTTCAATGACCTCCCCTGCCGTGCCCAGCATCTCATATTGAATGAACTAGTACGCAAGCATTCAGAGGATACAGCTGTCGTCTTTACGACGCTGCCTAGTCCCGTCGAGGGTACTTGTGACAGCGAGGCCGAGAGCGTAAAGTATATCAGTGATTTGGAGGTGCTGTGTCAAGGTCTACCGCCTGTGTTGTTAGTGCATAGTAACAGTATGACTGTCACGATGAATTTGTAAAGTACCGGAGAGATGGAAGAAGATTGGCACAGGAATGTAGGTTTTTGTTTTTAAGGGTATCATCTGGGTGACATAAAATACTGGACAGTGTAGGTCAGCATCCAATAGACGTGTCTGGCGACTAACAATGGATTTTTTACACTAGTATGTCTGGTAATTTATGACACCCGGGTGGTATCCTATCTGACACTGCTGATGATGCGAAGACTCGGGAAACAAACGGACCAAAATCGGCTGGTATCTTTCATATATACGCTAAATTAACTTGCTTGCACACCATCACATCTCGATTTCGTTTCATCTAGGTGCTTTCGTACACACTATCGTCAGTCTCGTCATCCTTTCTGTCAGAACTCACGCCCTCTTCTTCTTTATCCTCCTCTTCCTCCTCCGAGTCAGGCGTTCCAGTCATACTAAAAGCTTTCAGGCACGTAATGCGTGTACCTGTAGAATACGAGCCGATCAGCATGCCCACCTGCTTTGCTGTGAAACCAGTCGCTTTACTGCTGTCTTCAGTCTTTAGTCCAGCGGTGTCAAGAATCCAGAAGCGCACCGTGCCGTCGCTGCTGGCCGTAATGATGAGAAGGATTGACGGAGAGAGGGTAATGATTTCAAAGTCTTTAACACGTGACGTCATGCCCGCAGCCGGGCCACCGAGTTGAGCGATCAGTCTAGCAGCAGGAAGGTTGTCTTTTGGCGTCTTCTTATCGTCCTTTGAGGGTTCGCTGGGGAGCATGGAGTTTGTATCGTAGAAGAGGACCCTTCCGTCTTCTGTAGAAACGCAGAGCGTATAGGGCCGCGAAGCGGGCGATATGTAATGCATCTGGTGAAGTTTTGTGCGCGGCATAGGCGTGATTTGGACTTTAGGTTTGGAGTCCATGCTGAAGACGACAATACCGTGTTCGAAGCCTACAGCAAACCCTTCACCTTCTGGATCCCAGATAACGCGGCGGCCTTCACCCGAAGCAAAGCGGCCTTCCCCCACGGCTGTGAGAATGGTGCGGTCAAAATTGAGGACACCAGCTTTCTTGCCTGTTATCAAGTTCCACAGGCGCATACATTTCTCGCCTTTTCCCACGCTGAGCATGACCTTCATGCTCGGGTGCACTGCAAAATCGTTGATTCCAGACGGAACTTCGCCAGGACCTGCTGTGTCTCCGCTGGGTCGACCTTGGGGTTTGGGTATTGGGGCCTTGATAGTCGATAGTGCAGTCCAGTCGCGGGTCCGCGTGATAGCGATTGTGCTGTCTTCTGCGGAGCTCAAGAGTTTGCTCCTGGTGGGGAAGTAGAGGGCTGTGATGTTGGAGGAGTGATGGAGCAGGGATCCAAGCTCCTTGTTCTTCGGGTTCTCCGTGATGGATCCGCCATGGAGAGAAGGGAGTTTAGGCCGGGACTTGGAGGCTATGGGCGGCGCTGTAGAGATGGAATACAGATTTATGCGCTCGTCAGTGCTGCCTGTTGCGAGCATGATTTTGGACGTCTTGTCTGAAAGCGGAGATAGAGCAAGACAGCGGATAGAGGATGAATGGGCGTTGAAGAGAAAAGTATCTGTGAAATCGACTTTGGGCCAATCAGACTCAGGCGCAAGTATATCATCGCACTGGCCATCAAAGAGGCTGCGCGGAATGGCAGCAGCGAATCCGTGAAGAACTCGCTCGTAAGAACCAGTAACGACCTGGATAATGGCCGTGTCTGGCAGGGAATCTCCTTCTCCCTTGTTCTGGGTGGATTTGACTTCTGTAGTTTTGCTTGTGGCTGCCTTCCCGTTGGTCGCAGCTTCTGTTCTCTGGTGAATCGCGATATCGTGGGTTGCAGCGTGCCTGGGGGCGGATGTAGCTTCATCTTTCTTGCTCTTCAGCGCCTTGGCCGCGCCCGTGCCCACGTGCTCAGCAATTGCTCTCTTCCGCTTTGCCATGGCTTGTCGCGTTACCGTTGCCGAGTGCTCGTCCCAAAGATCCAGAAGTTTTTGAATGCAGACAAGCGAGCTAGGCCCGGACGGGGAAGGCGTGAGTAGCAGCGCTTGGCCCAATTCATGGGATGGCCCAAGCTAGGCAGGGCTTATCACCCCAACCCTGCAATGCGGCGCGCGCAGCGAAGTGGGCGCTCTTTCCCTCACGTTCTCGCAAGCCCGCGCATCAGTCCAGCATATCGCAGAAGACATTTCCATCAACCAACGCGACCAACAACCCCCATAATTCATCACAACGGCGGCACTCGTGGATAACGGATGTCGGCCTCCGTTCAGCCGTCTTCATATGTCCCTCGACAGTTTACGGGAAACCTTACGCCAGGAGAAGACAAATGAAGCCGCGTAAGTGCAAGTCGACAACTATGCATCGCCTTTGCCATTTGAACGACTAAATCTCACAAATGCACCGATGCGACAAGGAAAAATCGCTTGTTTTGTTTTGTTCTTGTGTGGTGGTGGTGCTGATATCACGTTTGCAGACTCACATCCTCGACATTGGAGCGACATCTCCGCGCGCTCTGGAAGGTCACGGGCTGCTGCAATGCCGTTCTGAACGGGCACCAGCCCCAGGCAGACGACTTTGTCTACGGCGACCCGGACGAGGACGAACGTCGTTTTCTAGATGAAAATGACATTACAAAGTAAGACATCTTATCTACCGCCGGCACCTGCATTGGTCCTCCATCTTTGCTCTGTCGCATTGTTGTTGTTGTCGTCGTCATCATCGTCGTCGTCGCTCATTCCACTAACCTAGTCGCGTCTACAGAGGTCGACGCTTCAACGACGCAACACTACCCATTCCAGTGGCTGTCACCGACAACCAGCCTCCGCTTCCGGCTACACTGCCGTTCCAAACCCCTACCAACTCTACATTCACCAAGCCGTCACATGCTCCCATCGTCGGTACCCCGACCCTCGAGGATCAACTTCGCGCCGCGTCGGCCTCACCATCTGTCGCGACCCAGGCTTTGCCCTCTGCCGACGCATCTTTGCAAAGCGACACCATCAACGTTGTCCCTGGCGCCAAAGCCTCGTCCCACCCTGCCTCGCCTGCACTGGTCGGAAAAGTCGTAAGCGAGTCACAGCCTGGAGAAGCCCCGACCGTTCAACAAGTAGCGAATTCCGAAGACTCTGCCATCCACGCTCCTACCGCTGATCCCAAGCATGTCGCACCGCCAACTACTGAGGACTTGGATGCTGCAGCGTTTCCTGACGCATCCGTTGCCGCGCCTGCAGCAGACAATAAGCCAAAGCCCCCGCAGGTAGTGCACTTGCCACGGCAAGAAGTCCAAGAAGCTAGATTAGAGGAGACAGAGCAGAAGTTGGAGAGGGCTGCAGAGAAGGAACGGAGAGAAGACGAGCGCGAACGCCTCACGATCCCACCCACAAATGTGCCTGTCGATGTATCCTCCCCGTCTTCAACCGTCGGGCCCTACTCTCAAGCGACTCCACATGCACAGCATCATTCTCCCGACACAAGCCCTGATGCGGAATCCTACAAGGACCGTAGTCTTGTTCCATTACCCGGCGATGATGTTCTCGATCCTGCTGCACAGCAGGTCAAGGACGACCACGAACGTGCTCTACAGAAGCGAATGGACGAAGCAAGAGAGAATGCGCGAGCACGAGAAGAAGATTCGCCAACACCCGATATCGAAAAGCAGATTGAAAACGAGCAGGCAATACGACTGGCTCGTGATGGAAAGGGCCATCTTAGTGAATTGCAGCCTAGCGGAGATGCCCATACTTTGACAGAAGACTTGGACTATGGCACGCGTACGGAAGTCCCCGAAGTTGAGGAAGTGGCTGGGTCTAGGACCCATCACGACGTTGCGGTTGATTCATTACCAACACCAACTACGGTCGCTGCGGAACCGCCGAACATGGATCACGACAAGCCCGAACACACAGTCAGCCAAACACAGGCCGCCGCCGATCATCCGACGCCTCCTGCTGATGTCGATGTTGAGATGCATGATGCACCCACAAAGAATACGCAGCCATCAACTTCACCTCAACCTTCAATACCCCGTCTTGAGCGAATGACGACCCGTGTCTCTTCTGGAGCAATTCGCCAAAAATCGGTTTCCGAAATCATCGCAGAAAAGGCGGCCCCCAATGCCATTCTGACTCCCCGCTCGAGCAACTTGTCAGAATCTACGAGCCCTCCCCGACAAAAAGCCGCACGCCGTAAATCAAGGGAAATTTCTACGGTTGTTTTTGCAAAAAAGACACCAACACGGGCTTCGAAAGCGTTACAATCATACAATGAAGACTACGCATCACTCCAAGGAGCTTCAGAAGATTCGAGTCGGGATTATCTTGAGGGACTTTTCAAGTATCAGGCCCATCATCCACCACGGTCTGTGCCTTTGCAGGAACTTGTCGCATCTGCAAGAAAGACGGTATCAACTGCGGGGACACTCGCTATGATTCGTGAGCATCAAGACTACAAGATCCTCAAGCGTGTATATCAGTTGCAGAACGCGAACCGATGGTCGTTGCGGCAACTCCAAAAGGCCGCGGAACCTGAACGTCCCTTCACGCATCAGGATCAGCTACTGCTTGATATGAAATGGATGCAGACAGATTTCAAGGAAGAGCGGAAGTGGAAGAAGGCCCTCGCTGCCACATTTGCAGAATGGTGTGCCGAGTACGTGAGCTGTTCCCCTGAAGAGCGAGCAACCTTGCGAGTCAGTGCACGTATCCCGAAGACGGCAAGGCGCGCTAGCCATGATGAGGACATGAACGATGCTCCTACCCCCGATCTTGTTCATTCTAGCACGCATGAGACGGAGAGTGAGTCATATGGTGATGACGACGATGTCCTTACCCCCGTCAATGCCAATCCTCCTGCGGGCCTATTTTCTTTGGGCTTCAACGATGTTGTCCTGAAGATAGACCGCACTCCCGCCAGCGATACTATGTTTCGAGAACTGCCGCTCTACGACCCCATGTTCGAGGGCTCCAGCGACACTAATCCCTTCTCGCTCTCAGAACCACCTATTCTTCCAGTCTCCAAATTCGTTACTGGAAAGCTTGTTTCGCAAATTCGAGGGCCGCCCAAGAAGCGGAGTAGGTTCGATTATGACTCGGAAGACGAGCCATCTTCGCCCCCTAGTCGAGCCGGAACATCCGCCGAGCATTCGATGCCATCTACTCCAGGCCGCAGACTGTTCTGCCGTAACGACTTGCCACCAGAGATGACTAGCGTTGCTCTGTTCAATGCCGAGAACAAACACGTGAGGGACCGACTACAAGCTGCTCACCAATTCAGACCACCAACAGAGTTCAACATGCCCTCAGTTGCTTTCTTTGAAAACCGGACCCCTTCTCAATGGTTGTGGGAGGAAGACCAAAAACTCCGAGCACTTGTCAAGGAGTATACGTTCAATTGGTCTCTGGTCTCACAACAACTCTCATTGCCTTCGATATTTGTGTCCGGATCGGGCCGACGAACACCGTGGGAATGCTTTGAGCGCTGGGTACAACTGGAAGGTCTGCCAGCTGAGATGTCGAAAACAAACTACTTCCGTACTTACCAAGGTCGACTCGAGACAGCCAACAAGACAGTGTTCGCCCAATATCAGGCTCAGCAACAGCAGCAACAGCAGCAGGGACAAACGCCAGGTCAACCGCGAAGAAGACCTACAACTACACCGATACGAGTGGAGAGGAGGAGGGAGAACCGACATCTTGCCATTATTGATGGGATGCGGAAACTGGCTAGAAAGCGCGAATCTGCCGCACACAAGCAAGCCGAGTCGCAGAAGGCGGCTGCGCTACGTAAAGCGCATGAGCCTGCGCCACCGAAGAGCAACGTTCACACGCCGCAAGAGTTCAGTAGGCTCAAGTGGGAACGCGAAGAGAAAATGAAGCAAAGGGCAATGGCGCAGGAGATGATCGCTAGGGTAAGATGCTGTTGCTCTCTGATTGTTTGCTCACCACTGACTTCTTACAGCAGCAAATGTTGGCACAGCGGCAGCAAACTCAAATGCAAGCGCAACCAGGAATGCCGAATGGTATTAACCAGATGCAACGCAACGGGACACCCGGTAACAATATTCCTCCGCAGATGGCTAATGCATCCTTGCCGCAGGGTCAGAACGGCCCCGCAATGGCAGCGCGGGCGCACCAATCCCAACAAGGAATGCAAGCCAATTTCGCCAACGGCAGCATGTCAGGCATGCCTATGGGTACACCAGGCGTTCCACAAGCACAGATGCAGGGCAACATGCAGAATGCACGTATGGGTCCGCCGGATCAGATGCGCATGGCTATGCAAAGGGGCCAGTTCAACGCTAGCCAGCAACATCAATTCCAGCTGCAACAGCAACAGATCAACATGGCCAGTAGCCTCACTCAGGGTATGGGCATGAACGGTATTCCTAATGCAAACATGATGGCATCCATGCCTAACCAGAACTTGAACGGAGCCATGAATGGAAACTTAAATAATGCTATGAATGGGATGTCAACCACCGCAGGATCTCCACGGATAAGCCAAGGCAATGGGAACATGCAAACACCTTCTCGGCCGTTGTCCAGTGGGCACATGCCTCAGCTCTTGCAGTTCCAGAACCAATTAAAGGTACAGCATCCGGATTGGACCCAAGAACAAGTTTCCAAACAGGCCTCCGACCACCTCTCCCGATACCTGGCTAAGCAACGTTCACAGGCAATGAATGCAGCAGCAGGATCTTCTGGAATTTCTCCCAGCCCGCAGATGGCAAACAACCAATATTTTCAGCAGAATGGTGGGCTAGCCAATACTGCTCAGCCGAGTGCAGTACAGAACTACCAACAGCAACTCGTTCAGCAACAGCGGCTGATGGCTAGACAGCAAGGCGGAAGCCCGGGACTAAATGCTCGCCCACCGAGCCGGAGCGCTACGCCTCAAAACCCACAAATGCAACAGAGTCCGGGCATGCAGCAAGCGCAGATCAACCGGTCTTAGGTACCCCGATTGGCAATTGGGAACCTCTGCGAGGCCGACCCATGATCCTTGGCCTGTATATACTTTTAATGTTCCTCTTTTAGCGTTGTTTCTTCTTGCGAGCGTGTGTGCAGAAAACGTTGTTTGTTGTAGTTGCGGTCGGCCGCCCTCATGAGAGAGGGTTGGTGTTGGTGTGGCGCTGGTATGATGGATGAATCCGGGCCGTCGGTTTGGGAGCAGAAACAAGGTGTTCTTGTTTGTATCGGCTGCACGATAACAATGGCTGACAACAAGACAAAAAGCTTGCCTGGGGTGATTTGTGCTAGAGTATCAAGTAAGAACTCGATCAAAGCCGTCGAGGAATGAAATATTCGTACCGTCATGTCTATGTTCTCTTGTGATGGTTTCTTGATATGAGCACGTTAGGATGAATGCCCAACACGAGGTAGGGAGGTAGAGATATACTAAGGAACTTCTGCCTGATAGAACGAGTTGCCTTCACTCATGCTAGGCGTCGGGAAATAAGAAACGAGAAATGTAGTTGATGTGTTGGATTTATTCAACATTGCAGGTGACTAAGCAGGGGGATAGCAGTCGCCGAGGGTCAGTGCAGACAAAGAAGGCGGCGGAGGCTATCTCACCTCCGCACCACCTTACTCCCTCGGCAAACTCTACTTACTCTACACAACACCACTATCCACACCCACCCTAACAGACTCTGCACCAACTTGACACGTTTCTTTCTTTGTTGGGTTTGCGAAGCGACGATTCCTTTACACAGCCAGGTCCTGCGCGCGAGCAAGTTATACACGCGTGCAACAGCAGGTAGAAAGCAAGAAGCGGCATCATGAACGCGCCGGACAGGTATGTTACTATATTACCAAATTACGTCCAGATAGAACAAGTCTCTATTGTCACGCGCACCACAAGCTGGTGAGACCAAGGGGATTACGCATACGCTCATCAGCGCGCACGGCTGGTGCCTGCCCGCATGGTATACATACCTTTGCGAGTGTGAAGTCACCAAGCCAGACTTATGCGCAAACCACAAGAGCGACACGGCTATCCCATCATGCCGTTCTCTATTAAAGACCGGTCAGCTTGTGGAGCACAATGCCAACTCTGGACTGCGCGACAATAAGAAAGACAACCGCCGTGTATCGCACAAAGCTGACATGGGCCCCGCAAACAGGTTCGAGCTCTTCTTGCTAGACGAGGGCCAGCAGAAGGTTGAGGAGAAGGCCGAGACGCGTAAGTGTAAATCCCAGAAGACTTTGTCGCCTCGCCTCAGACCTGCTAACCCTACGATACAAATAGGCGTCCCGAACACGGCCGTCTTCACCTTCAACAAGGAGGACCACACGCTCGGCAACCTGCTCTCGGCTCGCCTCCAAAAGAATCCAGCCATATTGTTCGCCGCCTACAAAGTACCCCACCCACTGTTTGCTACGTTTGAACTCCCGCGTGCAAACGGATGGCTCGATTACACCCAAGGAGGCGGTTATCAGGACCTGCACCGAGGTCATTACCGAGCTGTCCAAACTCAACGACAGCTTCCAGACCGAGTGGCTTGGAAAGCGCATTGTCAGCGAGGGCGAGGCCGAACGATTGCAGAGGGAGCAAAACAACTTTTAAACTTGTTGGCGCTGTGCGCACTGACATGACATGTGAGGGTCATGCACATGGTAACGGAGTTTATGGTTAGGGCATACAGGGGGCGTTTATCAAAAGGTGGCTAACTTGATCCACATCTTCTGGGCGTCACGGTTACACCTGGGTGACATGAAATACTTGACATGCTAGTTTACAGAGACCAATGTAGTCGCCAGGCTCGCCTATTACGTTCTTACCCACACTGTCAAGTATTTTATGCCACCCAGTTGGTTTAGGTTGAGTAGATCATGGGCATCGCTAATGACGACATCTTCTGTGATGGATGCATGTGTTGCTTGCTTGTACGTAGTTACGATACCCCCAAATTCAGCCATCAAGCAACGGGATCAATCATCATGGGTAATAACGTGCAAGAGCAAAGCATCGACTAGGCAGGAGCAAGACATGGAAAGGTGACTTTGAATGAATTGTCTGCCGGAAACTAATCACTGTCATCGTACTTGTTACCCACGCCAACATCCCCCAGCAGTATATCATCGGGCGCTGGCCCCTTATGATTCCTCACCCACTCAGTTTCGACTCTGAAGAAGATCCAGATCCACCTTCTAAGCACCTCAAGCACCTCCATGGTGAAAATGCCGCCCTCCAAATCGTTGAAATGGTCCAAATGCACGCTGAGCTTCAAGCTCCATGTGCATCGCAACAGCGCATCCACGACGACGGCGGCATAGTAGAACTCTTTTGCATGAAACCAGCGATGTCGTCTCAATCCCCATGGATATTCTGGGTTGTTACGTGTGCGCGCGCTAGCAAATAGTGTCAGGTCCCAATCACGGGCTACATCCCAATAGAAACTGTAGCCTGAATTCACAACGACGGCAACGAGCCACATGCGAAAGAGAGTTGCTTCCGAGACGCTCAAGCGCGAGGGATCGGGTGAGCGTTGCAGAGCGCTGAGGATGATGACGGGGAAAGCGGTCGAGTACTTGAGAGCGTTGGCGAGGTGGACACGGCCCGATGCAGTGGTAGGATTATTGCTCCTCTGCACGCGGAAATACTCTATTATGCACTGGCGCAGACGGATCATGTAAGGAACGGCAATGATAAAGGGGACCCAGAATACACCGCCACAGTTTCTGTTTGGCGGGCCGGTCGAGCTGTGTGACGAGGAGAAGAACATGCACAGCGAGACAAACAGGTCGCCCAGAACTTTTGCGTAGCTAGTAAGTGCATCGGCGAGGAGTATATCGCCGAATTTGCCGTCTTGCGCTTCAGCTATGCCACCGATGGATATGCGCTTCAGCGTGGCTAGAGTACGGGACCGTCCATTGCGGCTGACAAATGGCAGTGGAACAATGAATCCGACCACTAGAACCAGGAGGTATAGGTTTGGGAGGATTTCCCAGCCTGCAATATCCTTGGGGCTTCCATGTGTGAGGGCCCAGAACAGGAGCAACGACAGTGCGAGAGGGATGGAGAGCAAGGTTGCGATGCGGTAGCAGGAGAAGTGGTGTGGTATGTGACGTGGGGAGGTACGACCGGGATAGCGGATGAGACTAGGGACGTCTATCTTTATGAGGCTGAGATAGTGTAGGTTAAGGCCCCATGCCCAGATGCCTGTGAGGTACGGTTAGAAATCAGGCAAGAAACAAGTATGGGAAGCAATATACCCAGGACGACAATAAGGGCGACGCGGTATGGCAGTGGGAGCACGCGACTGAAGCGATCAATGTCTGGCTCCACGACAGGATCACCGTCCATTGCTTGAATGAGAGTAAAGTGCCGTTGCTATTGCGGCGTCGCAGCTTTCCCTTTGCCGCAGAATCATGAAGTTTTCGGATTTGTCGTCCCTGTTGCTAGCAATCCGTCTCTTTCCTAGCAATCCGCACCTTCCCAGCAATTCCTCTCCTTCCTAAGTTGGTCGTTGTCGTTGTCGTTGTCGTCGCGTGCTTGGCGCAAGGGGTAATGGCAAATGTCGCGATAGCGTGTCCATTTCGCCCAAACACACTAGGAATTTTCCAAGCCACACCACCACCACAGAGCTGCAGGGCATTACGTCAGCGGCCAGCCTTTTGACACCAGCCTCACTCCAGCCTCATCCAAGTACAGATGGATGACAGACACGAGCTAGGCATTTCCGGGCGGAGCACAAGCAGATCTTCCGTCTGTGCGCCAGCTCGGGAGCTTTGCCTAAAGAACGCAGCCATGACGCGATCATCGCGACGACAAAGTGACGCCTGCTGAGTCTTGTCCGTTGCACGCCATTGGCCAGTGGATAGTTCCGTGTCCAAAAGACCAAAGCCCATAATCGCAATTGTGATATTTGCTTTTGTCCACATTCCTGTCCTTGACTTAGTTGTCTCTCGCGTCACAAACACACAACCAACTTCCCTCCACTTCTCTCCAAAATCCACATCCTCGACATCCTCATCCCAACGCCGACGCCACACAACAAGCGAATACACGTCAAGAAGCACCAAACACACACCAGACATGTCGCCTCTCTCGGTGCCCAAGATCTTCATGGCTGGCGGCGCCGCCGGCTTCGGCTACTACCTCTACATGCGCCAATACTGGTTCCCGAACCCGTACAAGACACAAGGCGTACAGAACATTGAAGATCGCTTCTCTGCTGGCGGTGGCCACCCTACGCATCAACCTGCTGCTGCTAGCGAGCGTGGTACGGGTACTTTCGATCCCCAGACTAACTACCTGGAAGTTTAGACAGCGGAATTGGCTAATGTGGAATCTAGGTTCGTCCACGAACAACGAAGGAAGGCACCTAGGTCCGAACAAGGGCCCAGACTCAGAGTACTTCAAAGCCAACATCAGCAGTCAACAGAGCGAGGTGAGCTGATTTACGTGTCAAAACAAAGGTTTGATCGTGTATTAACTTGCCGGTGCAGCCCGTTTGGCCGGATAAGTTCTACGAGCAACAATATAATAACCCAAAGGGCAAATGAGCGCCACCATTCTCATCGACAAGATACACAAAAGCATGGCATTGCATGGGCTCCGAGATATGGGCATTTGATGTGTGACATCCTTGGCGTTTGGCACATGTGTGATGCACATTGGTTTTCTGTATATTTCCACATCTTTACACAAGGTCAGCTGTACTTGGATATTCGAAATTTTGCCAAAATACAATCTTTTTATTTGTTGAACGCCTGTATCTACAACATATACGTCTACATTTTGGCATCCGTCTTCCTCCTCGCCGCAGTGTTCCTGCTAGCATCCATCACAAATCCCACATGATGACTCAAGGCGACCAGATCCCCGTAGGCATCATACACCCAAACTTCCAGGTCCATTCTGCCATTCTGCACCTTCTTAATCTCGACTCGAATCTGTAGCCATTTGACACCCTGTGGCGGCAGCGCCTTCTTAACATCTAGATTGAGCAAGAGTGTCGGATACCAGAACGGGCCTTGGTTCTTGTCTCTGAAGTTTTCCACCATCTGCGGAAACATATCTGAAACAAAACCAATAGACGAGTCTGTGAAATTGCTACCGTCGGAGAAACAGATCCATTCGTCTGCTGTAGACCGTGCAACCTGGCCGTTGCGAGGAAAGTGAAATTTGACCTTTGAAGTCGCCTTTCTAAACTTTGCAAAAGGCATCTTCGGATACAATGCCCATGTGGGATCCTCATTCTTTTCTAGTTTCGCCAAATCGACAGAGGGTATCGGCGGCGAGGGCTTGTATTGCGTGTCAAATGTGAAGCCAGTCTCGACATCCATGTTGGAGTTTGTGACGTAGGCGATGATTTCTTGACGCCCATCTTGCTCCATGCTGACGTGCACAATCGAAGTTTGGCGCCCGAGCTTCACATCCTCAACCTTGAAGGTTGCGGGCCCGACCTGTGTTCGTCGTAAAAACTCGACATGCAGGGCTATTGTATGTGGTTGATCTTGCTTTGCCAACGATGTCATGAAGTGTGTTTTGACCACCTCGAGTATGCTAAAAAGAAGGCATAAGGTCAGCGGTGTTTGGGTGCATCGTCAGTTCTGTACTTACCATCCGGTTACATAGCCGCCGTTCGGAACTGATAGTGTTAGTAAGAGTATCAATGATGCTATTGTATGACTACCATGTATCACCGGATATAACATACCGCTACCGATTGTCCAATCATCGTGTAATGTGCACGAGTATGTGTTGGGAGACAGCTTTTCCACTGCCGTCGCTTCTTCCCAGCCCGGCATTTTGGTTCTCGTTAAAAAAAAACTCCTTTTGGAGATGCGCAGGATATATTGCCCAAGTCCTTGAAGCTACGGGGTGGTTGAACAGCTCAGCTGGGTATCTTCCAGACGCGGTACACAATCGTTGACCTCGGAAGCTCGCCAGGCGGCCACGGCGCTAACTCTACAAAGGAAACAGCCTCGGTCACTCGGACGCCCTCCCCCCATCATTCTGTGGAGTAAATCACGGAATTGCATGGCAATCGCCACCAGGGCGTCTGGACCCACAGACGCGTATCCCGAGGTCAGTTACAAGCTAGCTTGTCTGTCTTATCATTTGTGGTCTTCCTCTTCTTTCACTCTGCATCCCCAGTGACACACTTTAGGTGAGCTGCTTTTATCCATCATCATCATCATCAGTTGCCAAGATGCCTACCGACAGCCGGTATCCTAGCTTACCAATCCCAGATGTGGACCTTGTGAGTGCTAATCGGGAATAAGCTCGCGTGTTGTTAGCTTTGCTGACCTTTGGTGTGAATACTAGTGGGCATTCCTCTTCGAGCGGAAGTCGGAGCAAAGGGAATTTCCCGACAACAAAGGTGATCTTGCATTTATACATGCAATCTGCATTGCATTGCGAGCTAATTATAATATGCAGTCATCTACTTTGACCCTTACACTAAGCGTTCCTACACCTACGCTCAGGTCCGAGATGCTGCAATCAGTTTCGGCAAGGGACTAAAATCGCAATGGGAATGGCAAAAGGGCGATATTCTTGCCTTGTACACGCCCAATTGTATCGACACCCCAGCCATAACGTGGGGATGCCATTGGGCAGGTGGTGTATTGTCGCCTGCTAATCCAAACTACACAGTCGATGAGCTTGCGTTTCAGCTCAAAGATTCTGGCGCAAAAGCTCTGGTCACACAGTTGCCGTTCATCAAGAATGCCCAGGAGGCAGCCAAGATGGCTGGGATCTCGCTTGATCGGGTGATCATCATGGGAGACCAGAAAGACCCATCATACAAAGTGAAGCACTTTACAAGCATTGTCAACACTGCTGGAACGTCGAGATATCGCAGGACAAAGGCAACCAACCCAGCAGAAGACCTAGCTTTTTTGGTATACAGCTCGGGTACCACCGGACATCCAAAGGGTGTCATGCTTACCCACCGTAACATTGTATCGAATGTGTTGATGCTCAAGGTTGCTGAGGGTGGTAACCTGAAATCAACTGGAGGACCGACAGGCGAGGGAGATAAGCTCATCGCTTTCCTGCCATTCTTTCATATATACGGTATGCTACAGAGGGTTGAGTGGCGTTTGGAAAATATATGCTAACAATCACTAGGCCTTACGTGCCTTATTCACCAAAGCTTATACTCAGGTTTGCAGCTTGTCGTGATGCCAAAGTTTGATCTCGACCACTTTTGCAGATTCATTCAGGAACTTAAGATCACATTCGCCTATGTCGTACCACCGATTGTTCTTCTACTAAGCAAGCATCCTCTGGTCTCAAAGTATGATCTAAGCACTGTTCGAATGATGAACTCTGGCGCTGCTCCCCTTACTCGCGAGCTTGTGGATGCAGTCTATGGCCGACTGAAGATCCCCGTCAAGCAAGGATACGGTCTATCCGAGACAAGTCCGACCACGCACACTCAGCCCTGGGAAGACTGGGACAAGACCATAGGTTCCGTTGGCACGCTTCTGCCCTACCAGACAGCAAAGTATATGTCCCCAGAAGAGATGGAGATGGAGATTGGTGAAGTAGGCGAGCTTTGGATCAAAGGCCCGAATGTCTTCAAGGGATACCTCAATAACCCAGATGGCACTGCACATGCAAAGACAGCGGATGGCTACTTCAAAACTGGGGATGTAGGATACCAAGACAAAGATGGAAACTTCTTCATTACAGACCGTGTCAAGGAACTCATCAAGTATAAGGGTTTCCAGGTACCTCCGGCAGAGCTCGAGGGTATTTTGATCTCCCACCCAAAGATCAAGTAAGTCGCATGATAATAAATCTATGAAGCGATTTCTAATTGCTATTTTCGCAGCGATGTGGCGGTGATTGGCGTGTACAGCGCCGACGAAGCATCAGAGCTTCCTAGGGCATATGTTGTACCCGCAGATGGCCTTGGCAAGACGGATCAGGATGCCAAGGAAATCATAGACTGGCTAAGTACCAAGGTCGCTCACCACAAGAGACTACGAGGTGGAGTAAGGTGGGTAGATGAGATTCCGAAATCTATCAGTGGGAAAATTCTTAGGCGGCTGCTCAAGGTAAAGGCGCAGGAGGAGGAAGCTGGCAACGCGAAAGAGAAGTCAAAACTATGAGCTGCCTTTACCTGTGCCATATGTTATATCAGACCCACCATCTCTCCATCAATCAGGTGATTTGTTCGTTTTTGAGCAATCATAGCTTCTTCACATTGCCTCCCTATTTTCAATATCTCTTGACCCACCAACCATTGTCTTGATCAAACGAGCATAGGAAAACCCCATTTCCACGTCAACATGGGAGATGAGATGCCTAAATCCCGCAGTCTTGTACAGAAGCGCAAAGCCGAAGTCATTGATCTCGAGATCATAGGGGAGAAAAGGGTCCACAAGCCTTTCAAACCCGTAGTCAGAAATCAGACGCAAAAGGAAGAAGACTCGCTACTCCAAGTTTGTGTTACTGTCCACCCCAAGCTCAACGGCTTTCCAGTTGCACTATGCGAGCGCCTCCAGCAAGCTTGCCAAGCATCCTTTTACAGTCACATGTTCGCCCTCCAGACCGGTACCATGCCAAAACATCATCAGACTTACTGCATAATTACCAGCACACGCATACGATCAAAGTCGATTGAATTCCAAACTACCATGGCCATCACAAACATAGTCGATTTAAGCACGGCAAACGCGACACTACTGCGATACTTCCTCGACAACACAAACGTAGACTTGTCAAAGAGAACATTTGTGGAGTCAGAGACAGTAGAGGGAGTTGCGAACCCAGAGTTCCTTGAGTTATACAGCGTAAGGAGGGGAGACTTGGGATGGGGGTTTGACACGGATGGGTGTCTGTCCATCTATGGAGCCAAGGCTTTTGACAACAAACTAACAGAGAAGGTGTGGTATGCCAAGAGCAGTGTAGTTAAGATTGAGGATGAGGGTTGAAGTTGTCCAAGGCTGTTCGGTGGAGGGAGGTTGAAGAAATTGGGTGCAAAAGGTGTGGTTATGATTCTTGTGGATTTTCTTTTCCTTTGGCATGATCACATGGGGTAGATCAAACGGGAAGCAAGGCTGCGGTCAATCACGATGGATAATTTGGTCCAGGAAGGGCATTGTACGATACATGAAAATACAAACTACCTAAAAGTTTTGGAGGAAGATTGAGTCCAGTCGGGGTTGCTGGTCTGTGCTGCTGACAGCTAGCGGCTTGGCATCACCGCACAGCCGAGCCAAAATTACCCTCGCGAAAACCGCTGCATTGAACCCATCGACAATCGACAACATCACGACCGTCACGATGCCGAAGGAAGTCAAGCAGAAGTCTGGCCTCATCATCGGCCTTAACGCCGGCCACAGTATGTCTTTGCCGCTCCCATGCTTGCGTTCGACATGAATCGCTACGACTGCGAAAAGATGCATTAGAAGCTAATCTGGCGAACAGAGGTCACCCCAAGGACCCCCGCTCCCAGGATCTCGAGGAGGAAGGGTTTCCTGTCGAAGCGCACCGCCTTTGTCCGTGAGATCACCAAGGAGGTTGCTGGGTATGTTTGCCTCTGTAGCTGCTCATGACGCAAGCTGCGCAAGGGCTCGTCGACGAGGTACTAACGACGTGTACAGTCTTGCCCCATACGAGAAGCGCATCATCGAATTGCTCCGAAACTCCAAGGACAAGCGTGCTCGTCGTCTAGCGAAGAAGAGGGTATGTCTCCCACCAGCGTACACGACGGAATTGAGACGACCTTGGCCGATCCATACTTATACGAACATGTGCTAACACTCGACAGCTCGGTACCTTTGGCCGCTCAAAGAGAAAGGTCGACGAGATGACCAAGGTTATCGCCGAGTCGAGGCGCGCGGGTCACTAAACGGTTTCATGCAACACGGTGGATGAAGCAATATGGCGAACGAACGAGCGACTTACTTTCCGATTTTGTCCTAGGTGTTCGGTCTCTTTTCATAACGGGCGGCTCGACACAATCTCGGAACGTCACGTCATACCACAAAGAGCATGGCACGATTATCGGAGTATGGCAATGGACAATGATGGTTCCTAAACGTACCTAAGCAGTGTCACTCAAAATGATGAAATGTGACGATTGGTTCACGCCGAAGCATGTGCAGGTGCAGGTGCAAGTGCATGATGGGTTGCGTGCGTGAGGTGTGCATGTTGGTGACTGTTTAGCATGGATGTCAAATTCCTACTCTTGGCCTTTACCAATGGCAGAGTAAGGGCCGAGAAATGCTTATATTGAAACGCGTCTTGCTCGGCGACGAGACTGCTCAGGCTTCACACATTGATTGTACTTGTGTGAGGCCTCGAGCAGAGACGTGGACATTGTTCGTACTGGAGCGTTGTACAGTGTTGCTTCACGTTTGCAGCAGTGGCACGACAGGTAGAAGCAAGGCGGGTATATGAATATGTAGCATTACATGGTGAAAGTGTTGTCTAGTCTTTGATTGCTCTTTTGGTGAAAATGTGCATGCGCAACCAATCGCCACCGACACATTGGCAGAGATGTGCCTAGTCGTCGTGGCCAATCTTCTCCAGCTTGCCAATTTCGCGCTTCTCTCCCGTCTCGCCGATGAAGCGGATGCGGTCGATGCGCGTCTTCTCGCTGTCACCCTCGGCATCCGCAATGAACAGGACTAGTGAGTAGACGTTCTGAAACTTGACGAAGCGCAGCTCGAGCTTGGCCGTCTGAGTCTGTTGGTCCCAGTCCTCAGGCTTCAGCTCGATGGTCTGTGTGGCGGGAATATCTTCGGCCTCTTCGAATCCCAGATTGTGCTGGCGGTTGATCCAGATGTGGATAGTCTTGGGTCGTACAGGCGCTTCGTCATCGTCTGCGTCGGCCGACACGCACGACGTGATATGGATGGTGTGCACCTTGAGATTTGCCATGAAGGGCACATACAGCATGAGCTGGTTGTCCACATCGCTCTCGACCCAGTCCTTTGTTCCGTCCGCCGTGGTCTTGCCCTTGGTCAGCGAGCTGGGCTGTGACGTCTCGAACAGCGTCTTTACGGCGCCAAAATCGCTGTCTGCATTGAGCAGGTCAAGACCGCGGGCATCTACCGCGTCGGTGACATCAGTGTAGCCGCGTGGTAAGCTGGCACCTATCCATGCGCCGCTTCCACTTGCATCGCCGCTGCCGCCCGCGCTAGGGAAGCCGCTGCTGCCTTTACCGTCGTTTTCTGCCTCTGCTGCAAGCGTCTTGACCGCCTCGGACAGTTGTTGGGGATTGGAGCCGGCGTATTTGCGTATTTGCTGGTTGTTCTTGTAGATGATAAACGTGGGCGTGCTGTATACATGGTTGGCTAATGCGTCCAAACAGACATATCACGGCACATACTTTGTGACGTTGTAGCTCTGTGCAATCTGTGCTTGCTGCACTGTGCTGACTTTGGTGAAGGTGACTTTGCCGGGTCTTGCGAGCTGACTGGCTAACTGGTCATATACGGGCGCAATCGCTTTGCTCGACGTGTTTTCCTCGTTGTAGACTGAAGGCGGCAAACATCAGCAAGAGCGGCCGGGTCTTTTTGCACAGTTGGTTGGGGTTTCCGTACAATTGACCACGACTATGCGCGACGATGACAGCAGTGAGCTCAGCTGAGCAGGCGACTTGATTTCCACTGTTCCAGACATGTTTGGTGACCGTAGATGGCTTTTTGTTGTTGTTGTTGTTGTTGTTGTTGTTGTTGTAGTAGAATGAGGCGCGACTTGGGGACTTGCAGCATTAGTTAGCCATTTGGCATTTGGCGGGGGCGGGGTCGTGTTCGCTCGCTCGCTCTTCCGTCACCGACATGACCGTGTGCATGTACCGGTACACCTGGGTGACATAAAATACTGGACAGTGTGGGCAAGCACCCAATAGACGTGTCTGGCGACTACAGTGGCTTTTTTACACTAGTATGTCTAGTATATTTTATGATACCCGGGTGGGTATGTTGTGATGTGCAGCCTGTCCAGGCACCAACAACGAAGCTTCCAGAAACAACAAGTCTATACTGCTTAGCTGTTTTCTGTTACTGATCCGCACGCGTTTCCCATCACCCTTGAACACTGTAACTAGACGCTCGGGTTACAGGGCATTGAAGGTGGTAAGCACCCCTCCTAGCCTTCACCTGTGCCAGCCTTGCATGAGTAGTGTTCCTAATCGCCCATTCATGGCAGGCACCAACAACCTTTTCTTTAGCCCTGCCGAAGCAAAGCTCCTTCACATCGCCACTCTCGTCCTCCGCGTTCAACGCAGCGACGTAACTCGCAGAGCGCACCATTGGAACTGCTGGTACTCACGTGCCATCTTGCTAGCAAACGTCCCGGCTGTCCTCCTCCTCGCCCACGGCCTCTATAGACTGTTCCGCGCATCATAATGTCGCACGTCGTCGTCTTCAACTCGTACGCGCGGACCTTCAAGATCCCGACCACGCCTACTAAGTACTTGACCGAGGTACGGGACGAGGCGTGCCAGAAGTTTGGTCTAAACAAGGACCAGTTCACGCTCAAGTACAACAACAAACCAATCTCGCTCTCTCAACAAATACGGCTCGCGAACCTGCCACAGGGCGCCCGATTAGAACTCGTCCAAGCCTCGCGATCACCCACCGTCATCTCCGTCGCCCTACAGCTTCCAGCGAGCGAGAAGAATGTACGCCTGACCCAAAAGTTTGCGAGCAACACATCGTTGTGGGAGATTCTACGCCACTTTGAAAGCGGGGACAAGGCCAATTACAACTTCACACAGCGCGGAGTGCCTGAGATGAGTGGCACGTCCGGTGCTGGTAGATTGCACTACGAACAACCCGTCATTACCGTCATGCCAGGCCACAAGGAGCAGGCGAGCTTTGTTGAGCTACAGCAGACGCTTAGTCAACTGGGGTTTGATAGCGGATCGGCTCTGTTGAAGCTGTCCTATAGGAACAGTGGAACACCGTTGGAAGAGGCCATGGCGCAAATCACGCAGTATTTCAAGTCTAGCGAACCTGCTTCTGCTGGTGCCAAAGGCGTACATGCTTCAACCTCGGATCAGCTCGCTTCATTACCAGATCCTGCCCAGGCTGCACCAGACGCCACACAAACTATAGCAGGCGAAACTGTGCGCAACGAAGAGCCGGATCCAGAACCGATGCAACTTGACCACAAACCAGTTGCCCAACCGACGCAAGAAATAGACGTCTCGACTGAGCATTATGCGTCTGAAAGCATCGAGAATACATCTCCCGCAGCTGCATTGGCCGCAGCAACTTCGGCCACTTCGTCGGCGCCAGAAACAGCAGCTCAAGCTTCGTCAGTAACCGTGGACAAGGCATCGCAACCTTCAGAGAACAGTCGCAACGTCCAGATCTTCTCTGCGCCAAAGTCCTCTACTCCACAAGCAGCCCGCAATGCGTTCAATGAAAACGACTACCTCCCTACCATTGAGCACGCAAAAGCACACCAGAATGCGTTGCTGAACAAGACACGCAACACCCGTCTACTCTCCGATAAGGAGCTCGAGGAGCAAGAAAAGGAGCGCCAGGCAAAGATTGATGCGGCAGCTGCGAAAGGCGGTTCTCTTCGAATACGCATGCCTGATGGTACCCTTATCCAGATGTCCTTTAACAGGTCTGACACCGCAGCCGGTCTATACGACTTCGTACGTAGCTTTCTAGAAAAGAAGAATGAGCCCTTTCAGCTCAAAAACACTGGCCCAACGGGTCGTCTCGTCCTTATCCCACAAGACGACAAGCGGTTGGTCCACGACCTGCGCTTCTTCAATAATGAGCTTATTACATTCCAATGGGCTGATCATGCGAGTACTGAGGCGCGGGCGTCACGAAACACGCTAGCAAAAGAGTGGCAGGCCAAGGCGCAAGAGCTAAAGGTCGAGGAGCCGGTTCGCGACGAGAAGACGTCGGCAGCGGCAGGACAGGGACAGGGACAGAATGTTGCTGAGGGTAAGCGGAAGGCAAATATGAGTAATGAGGAGAAGGAAAGCAAGCTTAAAAGTCTGTTGGGCAAAGGCTTGTTCAAGAAGAAGTAGCCTCTTTTGTTTTGGTTACAGTCAGGATCGTTTTGCGTTTTATGGTTTCCGCGGCATTTCCAGGGAGTTTATGATCCGACTAGGTAGGCTGTGAAGCGTAGATCCATCTGCTGTGTAGATCAATGGGAACAGGATATGGCCACCTGGGTGACATAAAATACTTGACAGTGTGGGTAGGCGCCTGATAGGCGTGTCTGGCGACTACAGTGGCCTTTTTACACTAGTATGAGCACTACGGTAGTTTATGCCAAATACATCTTTACTCACTTGCTAGCCTGCACCTGGGTGTCACAAGATACTTGAATGTGTGGGTAGACACCTAATAGGCGTAGTCTGACGACTACAGTGGGTGTTTACACTATGTAGTATGTCAAGTATTCCATGATACCCAGGTGATACTTTACACGATGCTGCGTTATCAAGCCCTTGCCCAATCAGGTGCGGGACTTGAGCGAGTTGATGCGAGGCTTCGACGCCATCTATTTGCCTTCTGCCTTTGGCTATCGCAGCTCTTTTCTCTCTGTCACCATCACCTTCACCTTCACTTTCACTTTGCGATAAGAGAGGATATTGCACTGTAAAGGGTCAGTGGCACCAGCATACGAGCAAACAACGGCTTCGCCTTCACTTTCACTTTCACAGTAATTAACTAAGCCCGTGCAAATATAACATAACCTGCCCGCTCCTGCCTTCAGCTCCGTTTGCGCCAACGCTAGACTCTTCCCCACCAACCTTTGCAGGCAACCCACCTACGTTTCCGCAACATCGACCGACCTAGCGATGGACAGCACGCAGAAAGCCCCGCCTGTTCTTCCCGAATCCCAGCAGCCCTTCCAAGACGTCATGGACGATGTTGTCTTTGTGCGAACGGTAGAGAAGCCGAAGCCGAAGCGAGACAAAGTTTTGGGCCCAAAAACAGCGACGCCGACAAAGCAAGCGACACCTACTGATCTCCCGCCATATGAAAAATACTTGGGTCAGATCATTGACTTGGGTAACGACAACGAAGACATGTCAGATACCATCCCTACACCTGCACCCACAGAAGACTCGACAAACACGCTCCCACCGCGCAAGGATGACGAAGAGTCCTCTAGTACTCACCGTCCTGTGCTTCCCAAAGTGCCCCTCCCAGAAGACGGGCCAGGATACCTACCCGCAATGCGCCGTGTGCTCGAACAGGCTCTTGGAAAGGAAACGCTGGACCGCCTCGAGCAGTATAGTATTCAAGATGTAGAAGCTAAAGACAAATATATACGCAAGTTGGAGACGGAGATCGACATGCGCTACAAGAATTTCTTCACGACCGAGCAACTTCAAAAGGAAAAGATGGATATGTTAAAGGCACGCGCAAAAGGAGGAGATGAGGTCACTAGGACAGAGAGGGAATTGCTACGATTGGAAATCGAGGGGCTCAAGGGTGAGCTAGAGAACAAGGAGAGTAGCACACGTGTTCTTCGTGATGAGATTGATACTTTGAAAGCCGGGTACTTGGAAAGGGAGAAGGAGCTGAAGGCGATGGAGCTGAAGCTGTACATGGAGCTGGAGAAGACGAAGACGACGAAGTTGGAGCTAGAGAAGGTGTTGGAGGAGAAGAATGTGACGAAATCGGAGCTGGAGGAGAACAAGGCGAGAGATTTAGAGTTGGAGAAGGCTCTAGGGCAGGAAAAGAAGAAGGCGAGGGAGCTGGAGCTGGAGCTGGAGCTGGGACTGGGACTGGGACTGGAACTGGAGAAGAAGAAGAAGAAGAAGAAGAAGAAGGCGATGGATGCGGATACTAAACCCCGAGATAAGCGGTATGAGAAGCTGCAGAAGAAGCTAGGAAAGCGCAAGCTGGTCAATATTGTGTTGAGGGAGGAGATTGCGGCACAGAAGAACAAGGTCGGCGAGCTGGAGAAGGCCTTGGAAGACGTGTCCGTCAAAGACAAACGTATCCAGTCGCTCCGTTCGACGGTTAATCGGCTTGAAAAAGTTCTCTACGAACGCAACCGGACGACTAAACCCCGCAAGGGTGAGACGAAGACACAGGCTAGCAAGTAAGCATGTATGTATTCAGCATGAATTACCATAGTGCTCATGTCCGGAGGTCGAATCAAAGCTTGTTAATATGGCCTCTTCTCCTCACTTTGACATGCTAACGATGACCTTGCGGTCCACCCGGGTGTCATAAAATACTGGACATACCAGTGTAAAAAAGACACTGTAGTCACCATACACGCCTATTGGGTGCATGTAAAAAAGCCACTGTGGTCACCAAACACGACTATCAGGTGCTTACCCACAATGCGTATTTGGCGACTACAGACACTAGTATGTCAAGTATTGTATGACGCCCAGGTGCTCGGGTCACGGACGTTGCCGTAGCATAGTTAGTTACGTCATTTGGACGCTGAAACTCTGGAACGTCCAACGCGCTATGCAGAGCAACAAAACCCCAACCATGCCCTTGTAGACTGTTCTGAAGACCAACACCATCTACTGCCATCGCTCAGCCCCATTACTAGTCATGTCGCTGAATCCCGAGCCGTCCATGCCTGAGGAGCGTGCGCAGCAGGACCTGCCGCCCAAGTCGTACGCCGACGCCGCCGAAAAAGGCCTTCAGCCCGACCCGGATCCACTTTCACATGTCAACGATTCGGACGACACGATGGAGCACAGTGCAAGAAAAGTCAAGGGGCAGATTGGCGAGGTAAAGATCAATGGCCTTGAGCTAGGCTCGAATGAGGACGACATCTCGCACGAAGGCATTGGTCAGGACGGGTCGCCCAAGAGCCCAACAGCAAAAGGCCATCGTCGCGTGTCATCGCGCAGCTCTCGTGCATCTTCCAGCCATAAACACGGCGAAAAGATGGAGAATGGCGTCTATGAGAAGCATCCAACTGAAAAGGGCAGTGGCCATGCACTGACGAGTGTGAAGCCGCAGCAGGAGCAAGAAATGGCAGAGGCCGATCGAAGAACCGACCTCAAGCGCAGAAACTCCGAGTTGACAACAGGACGGCAGGCTGGCGCAGGATGGGCTCAGAGCAAGTGAGTACTAAGACAAATGCCGCCCTCTGTGCAATAGATGCTAACGAGGCCAGAATACGTTTTGCTCCCATGAACGTGCCCCTCCAGCGCCGCCTCCAGACCCTCGCCGTCCTCATGCACACGCTGAGTATCGTTGGAAGTCTTGCCATCTTCTTCTTTCTCTGCAGCATTCCCTTGCTCTGGCCCATTCTCCTTCCTTACACCATCTACGTCCTCTTCTCCAACGCCGGCACCTCGGGCGAGCTCTCTTTCCGTAGCGATCGCATGCGACGACTACCCGTCTGGTCGCTCTTCGCATCATACTTCCCCGCCCGTCTCCACCGCTCACAGGAGCTGGAACCAACGAGAAAGTACATATTTGGCTACCATCCGCACGGCATCATATCCCATGGTGCCTTTGCTGCCTTTGCGACGGAAGCCTTGGGGTTTGCCCAACTCTTCCCAGGCATCACAAACGCTTTGCTTACCCTTGACTCAAACTTCCGCTACCCCATCTACCGCGAATATGCTCTCCGTCTAGGCATGGCCTCTGTGTCTCGCGAGTCTTGTGAGAACATACTTTCCAAAGGTGGCCCTAACAACGAAGGCATGGGACGCGCCATTACCATTGTTGTAGGCGGCGCTGCCGAGTCTCTGGACGCACGTCCTGGCTCCATCAAACTGGTCCTCCGTCGCCGCAAAGGCTTTGTCAAGATGGCTATCCGCACAGGTGCCGATCTCGTCCCCGTTCTTTCGTTTGGCGAAAACGACATCTACGATCAGCTTGACACCGAGTCACATCCTTATATTCACAAGTTCCAAATGCTTGTCAAGAAGTTTATGGGCTTCACCATCCCTATATTCCACGCCCGTGGCATCTTCAACTACGACGTCGGCATGATGCCTTATCGCCGGCCTATCAATATCGTGGTCGGCCGCCCAATCAGGATAGTACAGGACAAGCACCCGGACAACGAATACATCAACGAGGTACACCAGCAGTATGTGGATGAGCTCATGCGTATATGGAACGAGCACAAGGACAGATTTGCCAAACACAGGACTGGTGAGCTGGAGATTGTCGAGTAGACTACGAAAGACTGTATGACTGAGAGGCCTAATTTCATTGTATTATGATTGTATCCTGTTATTGCTTTTCAGTTTGCTGATGGAATCGGTATTGGCATAATGTGGGGGAAAGGAGAGATGTAAGACTGGTGGCATAGCAAAGTCCAACGATTAGCAAGTAGAGTCGATCACGCAAACAATCAGAAAAACTGCGCAAACATGATTGACCACGTTGATTGTGTGCATGCCGATGAAAGGGGTACCTATAACCTCGGTGTGGTCGCAATGTCTCATTAGACGGTATTTGTAGTGATTCACTACACTACAATATAGGGTCCAGGATAGCACCCTACTTATCATCATCATCGAGATCTGCCCAGCGACCAGATAAGGGCTTAGTAGTACGCGGATCTTCACCCACCGTTACAGAACCTTTCCCAGTTCCAACACCAGAAGCCTCGGCCGAGGTTGAGGCTACTGTGTTGGAACCCTCAGACATACCTCTAGCCGTACCTTCATCTTCACTCGCAACACCACTATTTGCGCCGCTAACCCGTTCTCTCTCCTCTGCTTGCTCCTCAGCAGCCTCCCAATCTTCAGCAACCTCAACAAGCTCTTCCTTTTGCTTCTTTTTCTTCATGCTACTCAGACTAAGGACGGCGAAACCACCTTTGTTTCCAAACGACGTACCCTTTCGAACCTGGCGCAGGGGAACGCCTTTGGAGGCTGCAACTTGGCTCCAGCCAGACCCGGGTCCGGCATCTGATTCTTTACGGAGGATGTTGAGCGAAGAATCGAGGCGTGCAAGTTGGATATTGCCAATGGATTGGGCGGTGAAGGCTTGGGACAGTGGGACCTGGATGGATTCGAGCATGGTTTGCATGTCACGCTCTGGGATGCTGAGACGTGCTGCTAGGGGTGGCTTTAGGGCTACGGCGTCGCCGGGGAGAAAAGTGATTTCCAATTCGCATCGAAACGCAGTCGTTGCTAGCACGCTTTTGACGATTGGGTTGAGCTCCTCAATGGTAAGTGCAAACCGTGGATTGGGCATGAGAAATGAATTGTAGGGATCCGCATTCACGTTGTTAGGCTTGGGACGCAATGTAGAGGCCGACGAAGAGGCTACCGGGGCAGGAGCAGGAGCAAGGCGCTGTTGTACTTGACGAGTTCTGGCACACTCTGCGAGTGTCCGCATCGGCGCCATGACAAACTTTGGTGTCTTGAAGATGGCCACGTGTCGATGCGGCTCGGGATCCATGCTCTCCGAGTCCATGCCGAAATCTTCAGCGAGTGAATGAATAAAAGCACGTTGGTTGCGAGGCATAGGCTTAAAGCGAAGCCGCTTCTCGTCTGAGTCAGCAGCAAATAAGCGAAGTCGCTTCTCCTGCGTAGCTGCCCATGTAGAATTCTGCTGATACATGTTCAGTGTAGCGTCCGAGTACGGGATGTGGTCGTTCTGATGCTCCGGATCTACGTTGAGAGCGAGTGCTAGGACACGGTTGCGCTCTAGGCGAGCACACTCTTCGTCGCACTTGAGTACCTTTTTCAGATTTCCATTTCCATTGCGCGAAGCATTGCATTTGGCCTCCTGCTTGATTCGTTGGCATTCACAGGTGACAAAGATCTTGTGCGAACATGGCTTTTCCTCTTTGCATGGCCGAGGGAAGTGACAGGGATCCAAGCATGCATGGCCACATATACTGAGCTCTTTTCCGCATGCCTGCGTGCATGGTTCTTCGCACTCCCCAGGCCGGTGACATTGTTTTTGGCACTTGTGGGTCCCGCACTTGAGAGTACGCCCACAGACTTGACCACATCGAACTTCATTTAGCCAGCATGGCTGGTTCTTGAGGACACTCTTGCCGCATAGACACGGCTTGGTTGTCAAGAAGGCACACTTGGGACATGGCTGGTCGTCTCCGTGACAACTGTGGTCTAATTGAGGATGACCGCAATCCTTGGGTCGCTCACATTTGAACCGGCATGGTGGTGGCTTGGTACCACAGGGAAGCGGAGGCTGCAGAACAGTTCTTCCGCAGTGACAACTAAGCTCGTCAAATATGGCGTCGCGACATGTGCCACAGGGGCCTTTATGACATAGTTCCTGGCAGCGATGCTCGGGATTACCGCATTTCAGTTGGCGACCACAGCTACGGGTACAAATATGCTCGGCTTCAAAGTTCTCACGAGACTGGCGGGCGATGGAGTCTAGCGGTCTGGGTTTGCGACGGTTGGATGCCCGCTCGGCAGCCTTCTTCTCTCCGGCGCAGCAGCGTTCGCCACACTCGTGTCGCCCGCAATTGAGTGAGACACGGCAAATGCGCATACACTGGGGAGCTTCCTCGGTACCCTGATGGCAGATAGTCTTGGACGATGTACGACCGCACCTGCATGAGATGTCGACTTGCCTCAGGCAAGGTGGGCAATCGCCCTGATGGCAGAGCTGATTGCACTGGTGACAACACGCAAGTATTTGTCCACAAGGCTTGTCACAGTTCGGGATCGGGTCTTGGCAAGAAACTCGGGGGACGATGGACATGTCAGCCAGAGCAGTCTTGCCACAGGGGCAGCGCGTGACTACATCTGGAGAGCGCGGACAGTGTGGAGCTTCCCTATCTTGTGCGTGACAGTCCAATTCGCAGGTATGCTTGCCGCAGTCGAATAAACGACCGCATTCGTTAGGGCACTGGAACGAGCCAATCCAATTCTCGACCGCGGCGCTGCCATCGGCCGCTACATGGGATTGACTGCTCCGCTTTTCTTCTGCTCGATCGTGGCATAGAATGTCCTTTTGGATCTGGCCACAGTAACAACGTGCAGGCACGCGAACCTCACACGGCCCGCAAGGGCCATTGTGACATGGTCGCTCACATGCATGTTCTCCACAAGACATCAATGCTCCGCACACTTGCCCGCAACTCCACCCATTTTGATAGTCGGTGTCGACACAACGTCGAGTCACTGATCTCTGGCGGCAAAAGCAGTACTGTGTAGGCCCCATCAAACCACAGGGCGGGCAAGGACCGGCATGGCAGGTGGAGCCACAAGGGTGCGGGCAGGGCTTGGGAAGCAGCCGCGGGCGAGAACAAGTCTGGCCACAAGAGAAGGGTGGTAAGCCAGGCGTTGATCGTGGTTCCAGCTCTTTCTCACACCAGCAGTGGAAATTCTTGGGTAAAACTTGTTTGGGTAGATTGCATCCCGGACAACGCCATTGTCTAGGAGGGGGCAATTCTCCGTCCTGAGCCTGCTGTCGTGCCGCTGCTGAGCCCTCGTTTGTGGACCACTTTTTGATGCACCCCAGATGGAAGACAGTCCAGCATGTTCTGCACGACCAAACACCCCTCGAGCGTCTTGTAACTTCTTCGGTGCAGATGGCGCACTCGTAGTGGCCATTGTCGATATCCTCGTGTGTTCTGGTGGCGATGTCGGGCGCGGTCGATTTGGGGGCCTGGGGTTGCTTCTGGCGTGGCGGGCGTGATTTGCGAGGGGCGATGGGTTGGCCAGGCTGAAAGGAGGGTGCGTCTGCATGCAAACCTTGGGGCACTTCAGAGATTTGTGACGCAGCGTCGTCGCCTTCAGTCGTTAGCTGTCCGCCAAACTGACGGCCACCAGCTGCCATGCGCTGTGGGAACCGGTCCGGGCCAGGCCTTGGTCTTCCACCTCGTCCTCCCCCGCGTCCCCCCCTCCCGCTTTGATGCGCAGCTTGCTGTACAGATGTAGGCACTAGCTCCAAAGTGGCGGCATTGTGAACCTGTCCCCGGCCCCTTCCTCTGCCACCTCGTGTGCCGGCCCCTCTATGAGCTTGGTTCCCTGTCTGTGGTTGTAGTTGCGGTTGTTGTCCTGCTTGCGTCTGCCCTTGCTGTTCTTGCTGCTCCGATTGGGGGTTTGTATTCCGACTGCGCGGGTTTCGCCGCCTTCGCGATGTTCTCGAAGCATGTGCCGCTGGCCCTGGTGCTGCCTCCACTGTTGCCGTCGACATTGCGTGTGGTTGCAAGGCGGTGCTGTTGAGAGGAAGAAGAGGAAGAAGAGGAAGAAGAAGAAGAAGAAGAAGAAGAAGAAGGACAGTATCTACAGGCTCGAGTATTTGTATGGCCTGGTCAAGTGGGAAAGAAAGAGTGTGATGAGTCAAGGGGCACTCATATTGCGTGTCAAAGTGCAGTGGCGCAGTCGGCGACTGTGGGCGACTGTGAAGGAGGTAGTGTGGAATTTACATAGTTCAATGGGGAAGCGCGTCATACCCTACGTTAACTTAGTTAGGGCCCGGCCTCATTACCTGGTAAACCCCGGTCGCGGCTTAGTTCCGGTTTTAGCCATGCACGAGCGCGTCGACGGGGTTTGAGCTTCACATACCCATCGCCCCCAAACCACTCATACAAGATAACGATGATGATGACGATGAAGAAGAAGACTCTCGTCAGCGCCCTCGCTCTGGCCGCGCTACCCTCGGCGCTCGCCTTCCGCAACACATCGCCCTTCTTCCTCTTCTCCACGGCCGAGTAGGCATCACAGCAGCCATTGCATGCCGACAAGTCCAAAGCTAACAGCTACAGCCTGCTAATCCCAAACAACGACGCCGCCCTCGCCGAGTCATCAGAAGTCACGGCCGACGTGCTCAAGGCTCTTCAGCACTGTCCCACCAGCTCGTACCTGGTGGTTGAGCAAAAGGGCGTCTCCTCTGCCGACTACGAGCATGGCCGCGCCGCGCCACAGCTCAGTCGGTATATGGCTGGCAAACATGCCGAAATCAAGTCAATCGTAGCCATAGCAGATACAGTCGGTCAGGTTGATGGAGCCGCCATCGCCGACTATCTCATTGCAAACTGCGCCAAGGCCCACAGCAACGACGACACTTGGTTCAGCAGACAAGTGCATGCCGCACCCCCTACGTCCAAGGCGCTTCGCATCGAGCAGCTTCAGTCACATGGTGAGCGCAGAGAGTAGAGGATATGTAAAATTCCCGCTAACCCTGGCAGATGCCATGCTCGACGACTTCGTCATCAACCGTGCAAAGTCTCACGACTACACTGTCATCTACCTCACCACCCCCCAGACCGAGTCGCAAGCCCACGAATCAACCAAGCAGTACACATACGACATGGACAACTCGTTCCCAGACGCCATGCAAATGGAGCTGAAGCGCGACCTTTCTTCCCACCCCATGCGCGCAAACTCGACCGAGGGAGGCCTTTTCGAGAAGTACCAGTACTTCACCCCGGGAATCTTCATGGCCTTTGCTGCAATCATTCCGCTTTTCCTCATCCTGCTGGTCGGTATCCGAGCCCTCACCAGCCTTGAAGTATCCTATTTTGCCTTTAGCAAGGAGATGGGCCCAAATGCACAGAAGAAGCAATAAAGGCGATTCAACACGAGTGGTTGATTGATTCAAGAGAATACAACCGAGCTCAGTATCCAACATGGCACGCTATCCGTCTTCAAATGCAAAGCCGCTGCCAGGCACGTACATATGTCGTTATGGTGGGAATTGGTGTGTCAAAGTGTGGAATGTGGCGTTATAGTATTCAAGGACGGCTACAAGGGTAACTTTTAGGTATTCAATGCAACATCATGATCTTGTGTAAAGACTAGAAGAGTCTTTTATTATCCGTGAAATTCAATGGTATAGTATCCATTAACAGCTTCAATCCCCCAGGGCCGGCCCATGATGTTGTATGCTAATCACTTTTTGTAGCTTCTCTGGTCCATCCATCGCTTCTCAGAACCTGGCATGTACAGGGGGGAAGAAAAACATCATAAGCTGGAAGGCACCCGGAACCGCGCTTAACAAGCCTCGGACCAACTTGAATCCTTGCTGTGGGCCGGAGTCCATATAGGCATCGTAGACTCCCACAGCGACGTTTCCCAATATCCAGGCCAAAAGTATAGCAAATCCCATTGCAAAAAGGAACGGAGGTGCTTGGTGGGGGTTGGTCGCCCAAGCCTCCCACGTCTTCCGTAGCCAATACCTTATCACGCTGAAAAGGCCGACGTCGTGTGGGGGCTTCATGTCGGTGCCAGTCGTCTCGCTGTTGTCTCCACCGTCGGCAGTCTCCACCACGGTAGGCGCCATACCATCAAGTAAGGCCTGGAGTTGATCGATAGTGTAGGCCTTCTCGGCCTCGAGCGTCTCCTTCTCGGCCCGCAGTCTTCTGATTGTCTCACAATTCCGATTGTGCATATCAATCAGATTCTTCTTGTCTCGGCGGAGCCGCCTGAGGGCTGCGTCCTTGTCGGCTCCGGTCATGGGCCCGGTATGCGTCTTGATGAGGGGGGGTTAAGAGTGCATGGTTCAAGGGAGTTTGAAGACATGGAGAGAAGAGGCACCAACAGATGGGTCTTTGTAGCCTGATTTGATCAGTTGCGACATGGCATCCACAAACTATGGGGAGAGAACGGAGAAGTTGCAAGGGTGAAGGTGGAGAAGGTGCGGTGGACCATTCTCGCGGTTCCGGGGAAAGAACAAGGGCCGTCCCCTTTTGCTTGCACGAGGGCGACAGGAAACGGAAAGTGGCGGATTGTATTTTGGTATTGTTCGCAAGATATGCTTTGTCTGTAGCGTCACTAGGGATTCCGAAAGGAGTAACAGCATGCAAGCGGCAAAGCGTTGGCATGCAAACATGACCACAAACATGGCCACAAACATGGCCATTTGAACGGGACAGGACTGATTAAAAAGGCTTAGACATGCGCAGATGCGTTGCTATTGTTCTGCAAATTTAGATGAAAATGCCGTGGTTGCCGCCAAGCAGCGGGAACTGCCCACTGACTTGACCGACTGCCCCCACCATGGCCTTTGACTTGATTCGCGCCTGGCTCACGGCCATCTTCCTGTCGCCATATCGCCTGTTATCCACGTTTTTCACCGAGGAACCGTATTTTGTTGAAGATAGGCAGGCAGCTGTGGAATCGCCCAAGATGCCAAAATTCTACCATGACGACGAAGCATGGGCGGACATGGAGCCGCTCCCACAAGATGACGGCGGCTTGCATCCGCTCGCTGCCATTTCATATAGCGAAGAGTATAGCGAGGCCATGGGCTATCTGCGCGCCGTCATGGCCAAGAACGAGTTCAGCGAACGAGTGCTTGGGCTCACAGAACACATCATCAGCATGAACCCTGCCCATTACACCGTTTGGTAAGTCGTGCGCATACTGCAGTTGCCGAGTTTCGGAGGAGAGGCATGGCGTCCGAAAGTTGCATGTATGTGCATGTACAGCTTCAACACAAGCACTTACACGCCACAGGCTCTATCGTGCAAAGACCATTTCCGAAATTGGTCGATCTTTAAAGGACGAAATTGCATGGTTGAATCCCACGGCACTGAAACATCTCAAAAACTACCAGATATGGCACCATCGACACACCATCATCGACGAGCTTGGCTCACCAGAGGGAGAGCCCGAGTTCATCAGCTCCATGTTGGAGCTCGACTCCAAGAACTACCATGTGTGGAGCTACCGACAGTGGCTCGTCAAGCGCTTCAACCTATTTGACAAACCAGAGGAACTAGAGTGGACTCACGGCATCATCGAAGAGGACGTACGCAACAACTCCGCCTGGAATCACCGCTACTACCTGGTCGTGGGCGGCCGCGAGGGGAAACCCAGCGCCGAAACAGCCAACCGGGAGATTGAGTACGCTCCTTTTGTCTCCGTAGTCGATGCACTCTGCTAACCCTACCAGGTACACCAAAGCAGCTATCAGGAAAGCCCCTCAGAACCAGAGCCCATGGAACTACGTCTTGGGCATTCTCCACGCTGCTGAACTGCCCAAATCGACGCTCAAGGACTTTGCTGGCGAATTTGCTCATATCCAGAGGCCGGATGACGTGCACTCAAGCCATGCTCTCGATGTCCTTGCAGACATCTACGCCGAAGAAGCCGACGGCAAAGAAGATGCGGAGAAGGCTCTGGAGTTGCTGGCGACAAGGTACGATCCGATCCGAGCAAACTACTGGAACTTCAGGAAAGGATTGCTTCATCAGTCAAAGATTGCTGCATAGACTCATGGTAGTGACACGACGCGCGGATGGCTGAATAGCTGATTCGGCGTTGCAAGAATACTGCTGAGTGAAGTGTTTGCGGATCCGCACTCTACGTTTGGTTTGTGTGCCAAAGTGCACACTTTTAGCCCTGGAAACGTTGTGTCTAGTTCGACGATAGCTTGCCATGAAAAGTTTGGCTTCTCATGCAACCTTGGACGCGTCCCTTTCACTTGCAAGTGTACCGGTAGAGTTTCCCTTTCCGTCGGGGATCCCTTTGTCTATCCCGCCACCCGAATCCCGCCGTACTAGCGTCAACCTTCCAACCCAACCCTTCCTCAAATCCTTCACCGAGCTGTTATCGAGCCCGGGCTTTCTGGACAAGCTACCTGCATTTTGATGAGGCGCGTCATCTGATAGGCAGCTCGCACCAGGTTCAAGGTCCTGTGGAGGCGGTACATGCTGGCAGAAAGCGGTCCGTTGATAACCGCTTGTGGAAATCTAAACCATGATCGGACTTCCTCACCACTGGTCTCATGCTTGTGTCATTCTGCAGTCGCGGTGCGGTCGCAAGCTCCTTATCGAGAATCTATAGGGTAATATACACACTCTATAGGGTAATCGATACCAGGTATTGTGCTTTCGATGCGTTTGAATGATTTTTTCCCCTCTTGCCCTGCATTCTTGGACGCTCAGGTAGCGGGCGCATGCGGAGCGATAAGACTCTCTAGTTGAGATAAAAGTGTCGACTCTCGTAGCATCTACTTGGCACTCGACATATATTTCAGAAGCACAAGCCATCCTTTCTATCTTCTGCCCTCGTCATTCTATATTTGCTCCTTCTGTGATACCCGACTACTCCGTCAACCTTTATCAACTTTCGTCAACTTTTTTTAACTTTCGTCATGGCTGTTAAAGAGTGCTATGCTCACGAGGAGCCGCAGCAGAAACCTTGGGTTCAGACTCCGTTGAGGGAGTCGTATGCGCTTTCAGAAGCAGCTGGATGGTACGGTCACACTTACCCTATCACTGCCGCCTGCATCCCTTCCAATTTCCCACAATACTGCACCATTTCCAGATTAGAGAGTTCTAAATCGTAGAAGCAGAGTCTTTCTCAAGCTGGAGAACCTTCAGCCCTCTGGATCATTCAAGTCACGGTAAGCATACCCTTTTCGATATCAAGGAAAACACTCACACTATCCAGAGGTATCGGTAACTACATCCTCCGCCGCCTTGAAGAACTCCCACAAAACTCTCGTCCACACATATACGCCTCCAGTGGTGGCAATGCCGGCCTCGCAGCTGTCCACTCTGCCCGCGCCCTGAACCTCCCCTGCACCGTCGTAGTACCAACAGCTACAGCGCCCCTGATGGTTGCCAAGCTAAGGGCAGCGGGAGCATACGAAGTTATTCAGTATGGCGCGGCCTGGAAAGATGCCGATACCTATCTGAGGGAACACATCATGCCCACTGTACGTGCTTGGCTCTACTGGATCACGTCCTTGGAAACCATGACACTAATCCACTTACCAGGATCAAACATCGACAATTTACTGCCCACCCTTTGACCACCCAGATATCTGGGAGGGTAACAGCACTTGCATGCACGAAATCGCCGCTCAACTCCCCGGCTCCGAGCCTGATGTACTAATCTGCTCCGTTGGCGGTGGCGGCCTTCTCAATGGCATATGCCAGGCAATGGACTCGCTCTCCATGAGCAAGACAACCATTCTGGCCATGGAGACAGCAGGCGCTGAGAGTTTCAATGCAGCTCTGCAGGCCAAGGAGCTGATCACGTTACCGAAAATCACGTCTCAAGCGACTAGCTTGGGCTGTGCCCGTGTAACAGATGCTACGTTTAAATACGGCCAGCGTGGCAACGTGCGAAGCATAGTGCTTCCCGACGCGGAGGCAGCCATGGGATGCTGGCGTCTCGCGGATGACGAACGCATCATGGTAGAGCTAGCATGTGGCATCAACGTTGCCCTCTGTTACGACGGCCGCCTCGAAAAGGCGCTCGGCCGCCCTGTGCGCCCAGAGGATAAAGTTGTCATCGTACTCTGTGGCGGAAGCAATGTCACAAGTAAAATGCTGTATGACTGGAGGAACGAGTATGCGTACATTGAAGAAGAAACTGAGGAAAGGAGAAAGAGCGATTCGGCGCTTGGCAGCGAGACTCAGAGTGAGACGGGTAGCGTCAAGGACATGGACATTGCCGAGGCGATGGAGAACGTACCAAGTGAGTACAGTAAGCCATTGGCCATTGATGGCATCGAAGTTCGCTGCTTAGAGTGCTCATAAGCGTCGGAAAGTTGAGGGTGAATAGGTCACGAATTTCCTTCTTGTCAAGGCGTATGCGTCAATGTCTTGGTCCTAATTTGTCTCACCAGAGTGCACAAGAGTAGAACTTACACAACACATGATCAGTTATTCCACAGTGTCTTTGACAATCAGGAGCCGATAAATGACAAATGCAGAGTGCTCCTTTGTTCCCTTGTACTTTATGGGTCACCAAAGTTCATGCTGCTGCTCTGTTTCCCGATTCTTTGTTCCACTCGTCCTCTGCGAGGTCCACATGAAATCGTTTAGTAGCATCAAAAGTCTCTATTCCATCTCTACAATATTTTTCTAAATGCTTTATCAAGTCATTCTAATATTCCTCTCCCGCTCGCTATCAATCATAGCAACACACAAGATCATCTACAAGAACAGGTATCAGTATACGCCAAGCGTTATCAACGTACGTCATCTTACCAGACAGCAAGATAATTAACACGGCGATGACTAAATCACGAGTAGTCATCAATCCGTTTATCAAGAACGACCACTGCATGAAGAGAAACACCAACAATACTAGATGGGTGGCTGCAGAGCTCTTCACCTACCGAGCAGGACCAAGTATAAACACTCATGTAGTAACTCCTAGGCTCCGACACGATAGCCAAGAGGCGTCAATTTATGAGGAACCGGATAGTGTCTCTCCGAGAACTCGCGTTGTGACATCAATCAGAGACAATACAAGATCAGCATCACAGGTATCACTCTCTGCCACTGCTTACGCGGCTCGTAGGGACAGCCCGGTATCTGCGGCTGGACCGATAGATTTTTCAGATCTGGAACAGGTTAGAAAGGAGTCTGAGTGCACGGTATTTCCATCCTACCCAACTTCAACCACAAGGTCTGAGACAATAGCCCAGAGCTCATGGTTGAGCCACAACCAAAGAACATTCCCCGACACAATCGAAGCCGTGAAAAAGCCGGATACTCGAGCTAGCCCCTGGTATCGCACAGCAAGGCACATATACATGGCCGGACCAGAGGGTGAAGGCCAAAAGGCATGGAAGCTAATCCAAACAGTGCGCAGCAAACAGCGCATCGACGTTGCACTCAAGCAAAATGCACCGGCGCGGATAAAGGCACACGAAATGTACAATAAACCTTTACCGCGCCTACCCCTAACATCTCATCCTGATGGTGTGCTTTATCCTCCGTTACGGCCACGGCCTATTCAGGCGCGCTCAGAATCGAAAGGGAAAGAGGCCGAGGCCGAGAGTTGGAATGCTCGAAAGGACTCTGATTTCTCGCAGACTTCATACGAAGTACCTATAACTATTGACGATGATATCCATAGTACTGTCGACGCGAGTAAGCCCCTACCCCCCGCTTCGCACTTGAGTCCAGCACTCAAAGCACAAAAGACAGCTTCACAAATACAATTCAAACATGAGGTCCAGCCCAAGGTAAAGGTTGTAAACGTTAATCGCCCGGGCGGCTCTAAACATGACGCAGAGAAAGCAGGGGGGCATACATGGTGGAAGCCTTTGCCTTCCAAAGCCGCCCCGTCGCTAAAGATCAAGATATCATACCCAGGCCCGCTGATGGCTTCAGGAAAAGGCGCTGTAGTGAATATCGCGACAGAATCTGGCGGGGTAGGCGGCCCTGCAGCTGCAGTGTCTCTTCCAGTAACGCGTACCGGCGCCTTTCGCCCACAGGCCCAGACAAGTTATGATGCAAGGAAACAAATAGACAAAGGTAAGATGGGAAGGAAGAGAAAGAGCTCTGATGCTAGCTTCTGTTGTCAGGGTGTAGATGGTGAGCTGCTTGATAGATACCAGGTGAGTGACCAGGCGGCGAGTGACCAGGAGGATGACATGTTGCTTCTCCCGTTGTTTTCTGGTACGAGGGGTGGAAGGGATACAAACTTCTATCAACCCTATGTCGAGGTTTTAGACGAGTATTGAGACCGCATCGGCTCTGCATTATGATGTCCGGTTACCGATCACCGACCCAAAGTTGGGAGAAGCGCATTTGCAAGTGATTCAACTTTTGAACAAGTAATATATTGTTGTCAGTAATTAGTTTCCTGTTTTTATCATAGGGCAGCGGGAGAGGATAAACGAAGCGCACTTGCACCCAGATGGTCTAGGATATGGTAAAAATGTATACTACGATATGATATAACTTATGTGGCATCACTGCAAATAGTTGTTTTTATCGCGTTCTTGCTTTTCAATGAAGACGACCCATGGTCTTATTATGCAATGTTTGTCAGAAATGGCTATTAATAAGAAAGGCAGAATGTGGGCTCAAGGTGGTACGAAGATGCGAGCCTCAGCCCTAACGACGACAAAATCAGCGGAAGCAGTGCGTGTTGCTGCACGAGCAATATGTCAACCGAGGCGAGGCTAAATGAGGACTAAATTGTTTCGAAACAGGTGGTACGGCCGTGACGGCGGCTGATGGCCTTGCATGCGGACGGAACGGCTGGTCCCAGTGAGGGAGATTTTGGGGTAGAGTGGGTGGGATATAATTAGGTGAGTGAAGGCTTACCGAGTACTCGAATGCTGACATGTGTGGATGGACGGACGGACCAAAAATAAGGTTGCAGCAGGAAACGAAACAAAACCATCCCAAGGCAGCTAGACTGGCAAGCAGATGCCGGTAAATTCGCGGTAAATTAGCAGAGGAGACGAGGCTTATCAAGGTTGTCTCTGGGGATGATGGGGGTTTGCGGGCATGGCACTGTGTTATAGATGACGGTTTTCTAGCCGGGCAATGTCAAGGGCGACCCTGAGACATGGGTGGACAGTGGATGCAGGCTCAAATTGTCTTGGACAGACTCGAAAGGTGGTTGTGCGGCGTCGGCTTTCCTCATCGTCTTCGGGCGGGGTCCTTCAGGGCGGCGATTGGTGGCCAGGTAAAGCTGCGCGCTTCCCGCAAGCTTGATCGGCCTAGTGCGCCCACTCTGTTTAATGCACTGTCCATGCATCGTCCAACCACTCACCACCCACAACCGCCATGTCGCCTTTTGCAGGCGTCAAACAGCTGCCCTTCATTGGACATGACCAATTCTATGCCCTGGCCATTTCAACGCCAATGTGCTGGGCAGGCTTTGCTCCCGAGGGCACGAGGCCTAGTAGCATGGACCCTCCGAACCTCTTTGGTTTTCACTATCCTTTGCTGTGTCCTCGCAAAGCAAAGCCTCGGGGCACAGGCGAATACAACGTACTACCTGACGACTGACTGACACATCTCACCCTCCCCGTGGAGACATCGGGAGGACAGCCACGCTGACAGACAGCTTGGGAACCTGGTCAGATTAGCCCATAAATCAACCTCTTCGCGCGCGTCGTTTGTGCTTCGTTAATTGACTTCACCCGGGCGTCTATTTCTGGGCCACCACCACTCCCCTCTTCCCTCTGCGCGCCATTGGTATCCAGCTCGTCTCCCCAGTCAGCCTATCAGGCTGAACTCTGCAGTGGTGCCGACAGTCTTGCTCTAGCCGCCATACGTACATTTAGAACGTTGTAAGTACCCACCCGCTTTCCCATCGCCGCCTTCTCTACCTGCCACCACCCGTGCTCCCCGCTATCCAATCCTCGACCTTTGCGCCTTCGAACCGCCCGGATCTAAAAGGTCAGCGCTTCGCCCGTTGCCACTTCTCTTCTCTTTTCTCCAGCAGGTCTCTTATTGTAATACGTCGTGTATCTTTTATCAACCATCGCCCCTACCCTCCCGCGACTGGTCTAAGCTGGGCTGGATTATAGTCGTGGACGTTTCATTTCATCTCTCTCCCCACTGCCTCTTCCGTCTCCACTTGATGAGAGCCTCCGTCTTCAAGTGAAGCTTGACAAGTCTTGAAATGGCCGCCAACGATAAAAAGGTTACTACGATTACGACTGAAGAACGAAGCTCCGGAGATTCTCTTGATATCAGAACACCACGCGCAGCACGCTTTGCCGAAGCAACATCAGTACACTCGCCCGTTGACCCTCCCCGTTCACCCGTCGAGTACCCAACCAACCACTACAAGCCACAGCCCCAGATTGCAGACACAGGCTTCGGCTTCATGCAACAATCAGTCGAAATGGAGGAAACCGATCGGAGATATCTCCCTCCACCAACGCCAAAGACTCCCCTCAAGAGTGCTTTGAAGTCGCCTGGCGCTCCACCACGGACACCAGCCGGCGCAATGTCAATCATGAGCCCAACTTTTCGGGAAGAGCACCAGCTCGAGAAGCGCGAAGCATTGACAGACAAGGAGCAGGCCAAGGATCTAGTGAGTCCACCAATCGAGCATCACGTTATCATTTGTCGTTAACACCAGTTAGAAAATAAAGGTCCGAGTGCGACTGGCAAAAATCTTCCTTAGAGGCATCAACTTTGCCTGCTCGCTCATCGTTCTTTCCATGGTCGCATCCGCTTTCGCCATCTTCAACGCCACCAAGACTCTCGCACCCAGAAACGGTCTTCCAGCATGGGCCGACAACACCAAAATTTGGCCCCAGGTCCTTCTGCTCTCCATCGCTTGCATCTCACTGCTCATGTCCATCGTCGTCATCATGGCCTACTGGAGAGGAGGTCACCATCGAGCTGAAAAGGTCGCCGCTTACTACACCGTCTTCGCTGTCGCTTTCTTCATATTTAGCATCATCATGTGGGGTGTCGGTGCCGCCGTCTTCAATCAAAGCAAAGCACAAAACAACAACAAAGACATGTGGGGCTGGTCCTGTGTTGACAACAAGCGACGACATCTGTTCGAGGACGACGTGGCCTACAGCCTCGTCTGCCGTCTTCAGGTAGGCATAGACTACCAGCCTTGGACGAATACCAATATTGACATTTGACCAGAACTGGGCACTTGTATGCTGCATCATCGAGATTGTAGTCGAAGTTCTCGTCATTGCCATCTACGGCGTTGTCTTCTACCGCTTCTGGTCTAAGCGTAAGCTCCGAAAATCAATGGCTATGCGCGACCGCGCCCGCTCCGACTTGTATCTTGCTCAACTGCGTTCGCAATCCGCCCCCAACACCCCTGGCTTCGGCCCCATGTCTCCCCGTTCCGGCGGCTGGCGCCCACCTCCAGGCCACCCAATGTACGTCGACCCGCACTCCGCGGCAGAAGCTGGCGAGAGCGACAAGGTCCAATACGCATATGCACGCGAAATCGCCCAGCCGCAACCCTTTACCCTCCAGGCGCCGCCTATCAAGGTCACTGGGGCCACACCAAAGGTGGAACAAAATGGGTTTGATGCACCTCCGCGTGCCCATACCGTGTCACCACCACTCGCTTCCCCAGGTTTCCAGGAGCGGAGAAACGAGCATGTTGGCGCTGCACCAGGTGAACAACAGTACGCTGCGGTCCCCATTCCTGGTGCTTACACACCGCTGGCGTCACCCTCGTACCCACCACCCCAGCAACAATCCACAGGCTTCGACTTTGGTGCATCAGTCACAGGTCAACGATAAGGAGCTCCAAGTTGAAGCTGAGAGTGTGTGTGTTGTGATTTAGCGTGCAATGTGTTGTTCCCTTCTCTTCTATCCATCTGGAATCCTAGTCTGGCGATTTCTGGAAGTGTACATTTTGTCATCTAGGAGCAGGCTTTGGCCAGGCTTTTCATTTGTTGTTTGTCCGTGTTTCCCGCTCTTGCCTGTCTATCGCTAATCGCAAATTGGTGTTTTTTTGGGGGGAAACATATTTGGGAACTGGGATTTCTGCTTGATACCTTTGATATTGACGTAGATCAGAAAGATCTATTGACAGAGAATAAGAATGAGAGATGGCAAAAGACTGACTACTTCACTTCACTTAGTGTGTTTCTACATGCTTTTTGCAAGGCGTATGAACTCGGGGCCTCGTACTCGGCCGTTTCGTCAGCGCTTTGCTGGCGCTAGTGCTGGTGCTGTTGCTGGTGCTGGTGCTGTTGCTGGTGCTGGAACCGTGCCATGTACATCACTAGCACCGTCCCGACGCGCTGAGGAGAGTAAATTTTGCACTCTACCTGTAATTACTTGATAGCCGCTACGCCACGCGTCCCCTACATGCCATGTTCGCCTGGGTCGCAGAAACGGTGTGGAGCTAACCGCTCGGAAGCAACCGGCAAACGTCTACAGCGTGCGTATGCAGTATACATGTGTGTGCACGCTGTGGTGTACCGCGTAGCTGGGCGGCCAAGGAAACCTGGAACTAGGTAACCACATGGGGGCGGTATTTCTGTTGTCCATGTTATCACAATACAACAATGACTACTTGCTCATTTCTTGGCACCATGTGATGGAACGATGCGTGCAATAGAGACAAAGTAATTGATCCTATTGAGCACAACTTGTGCGTTAGTAGTCACGTGGAACAGAAACATCACAAGCAGACAGCAACACGCAAAGATGATCATACAATGGTTAAGCGGAACTTCACCCAAGTGAAGCCTCCATTGTGTTTGTGATCGTAGACCCGCTCGTTAGAGACAAGGTCCTGCTCCATTGATAGGCCGCAAGCTCAATGCTTGCTCTTTTGTAAGATACATTCCAGGACTCCGTTGGACCGAACCCCCCGAGACCGAAAATGCTGGTTATCGTGCAGAATCTTCACGTCGTTCCCTTTACACCCATTCGCCGACACGCTTATCGGACGATGCCCTCGAATCGGTTCTTGTACCACTTGACGGTCTCGGCCTGGTTAACGCGGTGGGAGGCGCCGATCTTGCTCTGGCACCGCCTGCGCTTGGCAACACGCTCGCCGGGGCGGGTCATGCAGACGTAAAAGTCCATACCGTAGATACTGCTCCAGTCAGCCTGTGTGTCTCGTGCTCATGGCCCATGCTTCACATACCCAATGCTAGGGTCGTACTTGATACCCAAGTCAATGTGCTCGCTGATGCCGAAACCGAAGTTGCCAGACTCTGAGAAGTTGCGCTTGCGGAGCTCGTACTCCTTGACCTTGAGGCCACGCTCAAGAATCTCCTCGGCCTTGGGACCACGGACAGTAACGTGGACGGCAATCTTCTCATTCCTTCGGATACCGAAAGTACGGACGGTGTAGCGGGCCTTTGAGTAGACGGGAGTTTGACCGGACAACTGCTCGAGCACCTTGGCGGCACGAGTGAGACGATCACCAGACTCGCCGACGGAGATGTTGAGGACGAGCTTCTGGATGCGGAGCTCCCGCATGGGGTTGGAGGCCTTTGAGTCGGACTGCCATGGTTGTTAGTTTGCGCATGGGAGTTGAGCGTGGCTTTTCGGTGCGTACCATGGTGGTGACTGCGGAGGTTAGTAGTCGTTGGGTGGCTGTCGAAGTCGCTGGTGTATACACAAGTCGCGATCTCAGAATGATTTTGGCCGCGCGAGTGGGAGCCCTAAGCGAGCTTGGCATATGCGCACGGACCATGTGGATGCTGCGAGAGTAATAGAGCTTCTGAACTTTCCCAACACCAACAGCTCCAAACGCCCCGCTCGTCGCCCGCCACAAGGGGAGAACTGCCTAGTCCTTGTTCAACACCTCCATTCCGAGTTTCAAGTCGTCTTCGGACGCGCCCCACCAAGTCATGTCTGGCGCCGCAAACAGACAGGGAAAGATGGTGAGTAACAGTGCCCAGCAGCTCGCGTCCTTGACCTGAGAGAAGACGCGCATAGAAACTGACTAACGTCTGGTGATTTAGCAAAATCTAGTAAGCGCCCCAGAATCCGCTCATGACCGCACCCAACTTACCAGTCCAGATCAACTACCGCATGAAAGTTACGCTGCAAGATGGCAGGCAGATGGTCGGGCAGATGCTCGCATTCGACAAGGTTCGTGTCGCATACTCTCGATACATGTTTCCTTCTAACCGCTTCTACAGCACATGAACCTGGTTCTCGCCGACACAGAAGAGTTCCGACGTACGCGAAGAAGGGGCAAAGCTGCACCGGGCGCAGCCCAGCAAGTCACCGAGACCGAGGAACGACGCGCCATTGGCCTCACCATCATTCGCGGCGCCCACGTCATTTCGCTGTCAGTTGATGGCCCGCCGCCCGCCGACCCCGCCGCGCGACTCGGAGCAAGTGGCACAGGTCCATCGACCACTGCAGCTCTGGCCGCAGGGCCCGGTGTAGCTCGCCCTGCTGGACGTGGTCTTCCAGTTGGACTTACTGGACCAGCTCCTGGTGTCGGAGGACCTGGCCCTGGATTTGGAGGTGGTTTCCCAGGCGCCCCTGGAGGTTTTGGAGGCCCGCCCGGCTTCCCAGGTCGCGGTGGTCCCCCAGGTGGTCCGCGTATGTCATCCGTGAGCGTTGATTCAGGTTGTAATAGCTAACGTATCACAGCCGGTTTTCCCCCTGCTGGTGGTCCTCCTGGAGCCTTCGGAGGCCCTCCAGGATTTGGCGGACCGCCCGGTTTCCCTGGGCGCGGCGGACCCCCTGGTTTCGGTGGCAGATAGACTTACGGGGACGGGGCATCATGATTTTCAACTTCATCTCAATGATTGAGGCGTTGGGGTTGGCGACAGGCGAACAGAGTGCATGTCATTGTGCATTGGAAGGGGCGAAAGAAATGTCCAACAGACATCAGGCGGAGCAAGCATCTCAGGTCTATGCCATGCTCAGAGGCCATGCAGAGAGAGAGTCCGACAGCATGGAAGTTTCGAGTAAAAGTGTACAGATTTGCTGGAGGATCTGGCATATACCACTGTTTGGATGCTGCGAAGGGCGCCAGTCGCATGAAGCCAACCACGAATATGGCTATTCAATCGTTAGCCGCTCCAATGTTAGCTGTAGTCGTATCCAAGCCCCCGCCCGTGTAAATGCGCCATGTCGATGCAGCTATGTAATCATGAAGTGATGAGGTGAACCTTGGGCTGTCCATCAACCATAATACTATGTTTGGATACGATCCGTCTGCCAATACACCAACTCTCTCAATCAATCATCAATCATGTTGTTGCCCTGTAATCTCCGCCCTGCCAGTCCGCACGTGATAGCATTCCCGTTGTCGCATCGCAGCTGCGGTCCCGGCCCCGGTCCCTGGTCGTGATCGGCCCCAATCGTGGCTTGGCAACCAAATGATCCGCATCTCGCAAAGTGCGAACCACACACCTTGACGGCCCGCCGCAACCTTTCTCAATCTTTGCCCAACGTCGGAAAAAAGCAGAGTTGAAGGATTCGTCCAAAATGGCTGCTGCGATCAAAGCCCTCAATGCGAAGATTCGCTCAAACAAGTATACTGACTACTTTTGCTCGACCCGTATGTTTTACCCGTTGTCGGAAAGCCGTAGCAAACGCTCTGCAGCTCTACTAGTGCTACACCACTGTTTTTGAGAGAACAAGTACAGAGGAAAGAGCTGGGAAGCGAATTGGGTTTGCGCGATACTAGATGCAGGGCGCATGAGGTTTTCAGGAAGGAGCGAACTGTTCCGCTGACGCCGAATGCAGATTTCTGGGGCCCAGCGAGTAACTTTGGTATCCCGATTGCGGCTATTGCGGACATGAGCAAAGACCCTGAGATGTATGTCTCTTCTACAGTTCCCGCATACAAAGCACATAGCATGGCTCTCCCTCCCCTCATATACACACTTCTCCACTACCACGTCCACACCCCGCCGTAAGAAACGAGCAAGCGATCCTAACAACTCTGCTAGTATCTCGGGCCGTATGACAGGCGCCCTAACCCTCTATTCTGCAACATTCATGCGATACGCCATGGCCGTCACACCGGCAAACTACCTGCTGTTTGGGTGCCACGCCATCAACTTCTCCTCGCAACTCGTACAAGGGTACCGGTACCTCAACTATTGGAATTTCGGTGGCAGAGAAGCATCGCTTGCGGGTAAGGCAGACATGGCCAAACAGGAGGCTTTGGGCGCGGCGGACAAGGCGGGCCAGAAGTTGGAACAGGTGGCGGATAAGGTCAAGGGTGTGATCCCAAAGTAAAGTTGTGGGGTGTGTGGCCAGGACAAGGGTGTATGAGGGTTTAGGAGTGTATGTTCTTCTGTGACATACCCACCTGATTACAATCTTCAAACTCTCGAATATGAACATTATAGTCTAGTCAACTTGATCTGAGTGTGAATTTGCCAAACATGAATGCAAACATCAATAAAAAAACTTTATCGAGGTCTCCTTACTACAAAACTTTACATAAGACTGCTGCGCCCCCCGATCTCCGTTCCTCCCTGACCATTAGGCAAATCCCCATCCCTGCCCTCTACAAACTCCCTATAAATACGTTCCAGCCTCATGCGCTCTTGCGCCGAAATACTACTACGACCTGAAGTAAGCGAGCTTTCAATGTGTTTCCACTGAATCTGCGGATCTTTCCTCTCACCACCTTCCTCATCTTCCTTCGCAGCCCCGTCCTCATCATCCTTGTCCCCACCACTACCGGGCCTATGGAGCGCCTTTTGTTTCCTCCTCAGAGCCTGCAACGCCGATATTTTCTGCGCAATCATTGCGCGTTCCGTCAGTTGTGCAGACGTTTTCATGGCGCTAGATTCATCGCCATTCCGTGGATCATGATCGGTTTCGTCTCCGTAGCGAAAGTAGGAGAATTCCGGGATGCCCTTTTCCTTGCCATCACCGTCTTTCTTATTTCCGCTGTCGATCCTAGAGGGGTCCACATCGCCAAGGACGTCGTGGATAGCTTCCAACTGTGCGTTGTATACAACGGCCTGGAGATCAGCACCGGAATAACCCTCAGTCCTCAGTGCAATGTCGCGCAGATTTTTGCCCTCAGGTCCGGATTCCAAAACGCTGGGTGCGAGGTGCAGTTTGCGCGTGACGGCACGAAGAATGTCGATTCGTTCCTCCACGTCTGGCATATCACACAAAAGAGACTTGTCGAGACGACCGGGACGCAAGAGCGCAGGGTCGATGAGATCGGGGCGCGAGGTGGCAGCAAGGACATAGACTCCGCTTAGACCTTCTGCACCGTCCATTTGGGTGAGAAGCTGATTTACCACTCGATCTGTCACGCCCGTAGAATCGTGGCCACGCTTCGGCGCGATACTGTCGAATTCATCGAAGAAGAGGACGCACGGTCGCGCTGCTTCGGCTCGTTCGAAAAGATCGCGGACAGACTTTTCAGAGGCGCCAATGTATTTGTTGAGAATTTCTGGTCCTTTGACGGATATGAAGTTTAATCCGCATTCTCCTGCTACAGCGGAAGCAAGAAGTGTCTTGCCACATCCGGGGTAGCCGTAGAGAAGTAAACCTGAGCGTAGTCGTAGCGGACATTTGGCGAAGATGGGGGCGTATGTTGTGGGGTATTGGAGGGTTTCTAGCAGAACCTGTCTCGTGGTGTGAAGACCACCTATCGAATCCCATTTCGTCGTAGACGACTGCAGGGTCACGTTTCGTAGCGAGGCAGGCGTGAACCCAGATAGTGCTTGTGTATAGTCTTGTCTGGTCAGAGAGACAATAGGAGACGTTGAGGTCACTGAGCGGATAAGGGCCTCGTTGCGAGCTCGAGATGTCAGGAGCACGAGGTCGCCAGGCATATAGCCGTCTGTTTGTCCAGCGAGATCGAGGAAATCGATTGAAGGGTCAATGGTGAAGCCATAGTCACCCGAACATGGTCTTGGTATGCTGTCAACACTAGGACTGCTGCGGTGGGAGGTACTGGGCCGGCTGGTCGAGGGAGAAGCTGGGAATGCGTGACCGTTCGGCTCTTGTTTTGTCTGGGCTTTTGCATCTTTGAAGGCGAGCATTTCCAATACCTTTCTTCTGCCATCCTTGTTGGGTGCCTTGAGACTGACAATCTCACGCACAATGTGTCCACCAACAATGACGTTGTTCAGTGCCTCTTTGCCTTGAGCTGTTGCAAGCAACACAACACCAGAGTCCATTGAGCAGTACTGTCGGACGATGTTGATTAGACACTCGCTGACATGCCGGCTTCGTCCGTTTTCGTTGCCAACTTGAAGCTCAGTCTCGACAGGACATAGCTTGTCCAGATCATCTAGAATGATGACGGCATTTCCGCCACCTCTTGCACCCCACGATGCACAAGCAAACAGTCTGTTGAGAGTTTCTTTGATAGTGGCGACTCGTGTCTCTTCTGTGACCAGCTTGCGACATGGAAAGTAGATGGTGTTGAAGAGATACTCGGTTCGAAGCTGATGAGCAAGAAGTTGGGCGCATTCCGACTTGCCGGCACCAAGCCCACCAGTGAGTAGAACAGAGGAATTGTGTGTGAGGTGCGATCGCAACTGCTGGATGAGAGGGTCGATGCCGACCAAATTCGCTGGGATCTCCGGTAGCGGATCTCCTTGTTGCCAGCCTTTGGCCCAGCTCGTCGGTGTGGAGACCTCTTGACCCAGCTCAAGCGGTGGTTTTCTTTCTGGAAAGAGTACCCATGATACTCCACCTCCACTAGTCGGCTGTGGTGGGTCGAATTTCACAATGCCTCCTTGCCAGCCCAGCTCGTCACCGGTTGGCGCAGGCAATATCATGCCGTCTGTGACTGGACCATCCAGCAGGCCGTCCTTCTTTCCGTATATGGATCTGATCCTTTGTAACGCGTTTTCCTGGTCTTGCTTGGACTCACCGCCGAATTTAAGAGATGCATTGGCTTGTGAAGCCGTGGTCGAGAAAGGAAGGATCTTGATGGACTTGACGACAGGTTCCCTGGACTCTTTCCCGCCTTGTGGCTTGATAGCGGACGGCTTGGGTGTTTGTGCTGGCGCGGCTTGGATTCGAACAAGTCCGCCTACGAAGTTTGGGAAGCCCAAGACAGCGCAGAGGTCGCTTGAGAGGGCGACGTGCTGGCTGTCTGGCGCATCTTCCCAGACAGCAATCTTGGCGACGACACGAGAAGCTGGTTTCTCCTGCTCTTGGTCTTTGGACATGTCGACGGGCTCTTGTAGACCTGCGGGTCTGATGACAGCCACAGACACGCAGCTAACGCCTCGGAGTGCTTTCGTGGCAAGTAGGTCCCTGTCTACCCACACCTTCAAGCCTTCAGGGCCTACGTGCTCGTCTTGATGGAACCATTCAGATGCGACACTACGATCGAGACCCCGCAAAAAGACCAGGCCCTTTGTGGCGCCATCTTCGCGGCCACTGCGTCGTCGGACAGTGCTCGTGGTGCTCCGTCCACTCTTCCTCGATGCAGCGCCCACGCTCCTGCTTTCCCGATTCGAGCTTCTTTCCTTTTGTCGCGTCTTGGGGGCAACGATGACTTCGGCATCGGGAGAGATCTTGACGAATGGTGATGTGTTTGGTGGGGCAGGAGCGATGGACGTCACGGTGATGTTGGCGGTCGTGGTGGGAGAGAGATGGAGGGTCAGAGGGTGCGGCGACTGGGCTTGCGGGTTCGGGAGTGCGCGTATCTGGGAGAGAAAGTTCAGTTCGAGGAATTGGGCATGCAGCTCTATCATCTCCCAGTCGACGGGGGTCAATGGCTCAATGTTGATGGTATGCGCCTGAGGCGGATCTAGATGCAGTATGATGCCAACCTTCAGCCCTTCATCGAGGCCAATCAAGCGTGCAAATGTGGCATCTACTTCTACAGCCGGGACATCCTGCTGGCTGACAGCTGGACTGCCCCTCAGGCCGTCCCGTCCGACAACAGGCGCTATCCTGCGCTTGCTCTGCATGCCCGTCCATCCGACAAAGACGGACTTTTGGGCGGCGTTCCTGTTCTCCGAAGCGCCGGGTGGTGGGGGCTGGCGGTATGAGAGTTGGACGACGACATTCTGGGCGACCTAGAGGCACTGTAAGCACTCGCGCAGTTGTCGTCGTGACAGCCATCGCATACCGTGTTGGCATTCACCAGCACCGAAACCAGCGACGACGGCAAGTTGACCAGGCAGTTCTTCAACGACTGGTGCAGGGCCACTTCGGCCTGGACAGCATTGCCAGCAGCCTTCTTTGGTGGCGGCATGGTGGTAGAGGAATGACCTGTATCCAACTTGCGCTTGAGTATTCAAGCTCACGCATGCATGCCGAGGTCGTCGGCGCCGACGGGTCAAAGGCGGTGGCCGCAGGCAGAATCCAGCCGTCCAGTCGCCCATGTGCCCTGGCGACGCGGTCGACGCGCTGCAGCAGCGCGACCAGCCCCGATTTTGTTATACCGCCTAGACGACGACGGCGAGGCGACAACAACGACAACGACAACCCTATACCTTTTGACCATCCCTCCTATCTTCTCCCCTGTCTATTCTCGACCCCAGGTGGAGATTGAGACGCAATGGCCCTCTTTACCATAAGTGCGCCTGTCAACTATGATGAGCAGGAAGGTGTGCATGCATACACGGGCGCAAAACACAGCCCATGCCTGGCTAACAGCACATAGCCGCCTTTGTTGACTTTCTCAAGAATTACAAGTCCATGTCCACGGATGCAGCCGACCAGCTAGAGAGTCTCAATCTCAATGGCCACGGCGACGACGAGTATGACATGGTCGACGACTCGGACGATCCCGCGCCCAACGCAGCACAATCGCGCAGCAAGTCCAAGCTCAAGTACATGAACCAGCTACAAGAAGTAGCAAATCGCGAGCGCGACGAGATCCAGATAGATCTCAATGATCTAGAGTCGGTCAGTCACCGACGCCATAGTGCAAGTAGCAGTGCGGGGCGCTGATGGACATGAACAGTACGAAAAGGCTACCTCAGACGATGAGCACAACTATCGGCTGATCGAGTCAATCGAGCGCAATGCCCATCACTACATCGAAATCTTCTCGCGCGCAGTCGACAAGTGCCTTCCCCAACCGACAAGGGAACTAAGGTACATCTGCAGCGACCATCTGATGGCCAGAACTGACTAAACCCAGCTTCAAGGACGATGTCTTGGATGTCATCATGACACAGCGTTCCAGGCGCAACGAGAGAATGCAAGAACTACAGGGAATCGATGACAACACAGAGGCTGCGCCCGAATCCATGTTTCCCCCAGCCTTGACGCGGCGATACACGCTCAACTTTAGGCCGAGGATACCATCTGGTGCCAGCAGTCAACGCAACACAAAGGCCCTCGCCGTTCGTAATGTCCGTGGAGAGCACCTGGGTCGCCTCATCACAGTCCGAGGTATCGCAACAAGAGTCTCAGACGTCAAGCCCGCCGTACAGGTCAACGCTTATTCCTGCGACCGCTGTGGTAGCGAGGTTTTCCAGCCTGTAACTACCAAGCAGTTTACTCCTCTAGTCGAATGTCCCTCAGATGACTGCAAGAGCAACAAGACAAAGGGTCAATTGTTTCTCTCAACCCGCGCCTCCAAATTTCTGCCATTCCAAGAAGTCAAGATCCAAGAGATGGCTGATCAGGTTCCCGTAGGCCATATTCCCCGCCAGCTCACCATCCACTGCCATGGTGCTCTGGTACGCCAGATCAACCCCGGAGATGTCATCGACTGTGCTGGTATCTTCCTCCCAACCCCTTACACTGGCTTCAAGGCAATTCGCGCCGGCCTCCTTACCGACACCTATCTTGAGGCACAGTATGTCATGCAGCACAAGAAAGCATACGACGACATGGTACTCGCACAGCCCACCCTGCGAAGGATGAATGAACTTGAGAGGACCGGTCAACTGTACGAATACCTCTCACGATCCATTGCGCCCGAAATCTTTGGCCATGTCGACGTTAAGAAGGCCCTCCTTCTTCAACTCATCGGTGGTGTCACAAAGGAGGTTGGCGACGGCATGCGCATTCGTGGTGATATCAATGTCTGTTTGATGGGAGACCCTGGTGTGGCCAAATCTCAATTGCTCAAATACATCACCAAGGTCGCGCCTCGTGGTGTTTATACGACTGGTCGCGGTAGCAGTGGTGTCGGTCTTACCGCAGCTGTCATGCGTGATCCAGTCACAGACGAGATGGTCCTTGAGGGAGGCGCCCTCGTTCTGGCGGACAATGGCATGTGCTGCATTGACGAGTTTGACAAGATGGACGACAGCGACCGGACAGCTATTCACGAAGTCATGGAACAGCAGACCATCTCCATCAGCAAGGCTGGAATTACCACCACTTTGAACGCCCGCACGTCGATTCTTGCCGCCGCTAACCCGCTCTACGGTCGTTACAACCCTCGCCTGTCGCCCATCGAGAACATCAACCTCCCTGCTGCGCTATTGTCGCGTTTCGATGTTCTCTTCCTCATTCTTGATACCCCATCGCGAGACTCGGACGAAGAGCTCGCCCGCCACGTTACTCATGTACACATGCACAACGCTCACCCTGAAGCCCCTGGAGGCATCATCTTCAGCCCAGCTGAAGTACGTCAATGGGTTGCTCGTGCGCGATCATACCGACCGACGGTGCCCAAAGAGGTCTCGGACTACATGGTCGGTGCCTACGTACGCATGCGACAGCAGCAGAAGCGCGACGATGGAAACAAGAAGGCCTTCACCCACACCTCGCCACGTACACTGCTTGGCGTACTCCGTCTTGCACAGGCTCTCGCACGTTTACGGTTCGCCGACCAGGTCATCTCAGAGGACGTGGACGAGGCTCTACGTCTTACTGAAGTCAGCAAAGCCAGCTTGTACGCGGATGAGAACCGTAGAGACGATCACACCCCGAACAGCAAGATCTACCACCTCATCAAAAGCATGGAAGCAAGTGGTGCTGCTGCCGTTGGTGATGGTACGCGAGGCGAACTGGACCTGCGCAGGGTCAGGGAGAGAGTCTTGGCCAAGGGTTTCACAGCAGACCAGTTCGAGTCTGCTATTGACGAATATTCCATGCTTGATGTAAGTTCCGACAACATACTCGGGAAAGAAAAAAGAGTTGTCACTAACATACCCCGACAGGTTTGGCAAACAACTGGCGAAGGCACGCGACTCGTCTTCATTGAAGCCGGAGAAGACGAAGATATGGACGCTGACAACGACTTCTAAGTCATGCGGACAAATTGGCAGCAAAGTAGAAGTGTGGGTATGGAGTTCCAAGGCGTTCAATATCCAAAAACACGCGGCATGTCTTCTTGACCAGCAACTATGTGCAGCTCCGCGAACAAATGCCAATGATGCTATGATATAATCATTACATGCGTGAGCCGTGTGTGGGTGATATGAGACACTTCAATATTGACACCCTAGTATAAAGAAGCTACTGAAGGCGCCAGATAAACTTCTTAGGAATGGAATAGTGGGGTTCATAAATACTGTCTGTCCCCGTCAAGTATTTCATGTTACCTAGATGCTTGCTATACACGTGCATGTGGTGCCAAGACATAGACACCTGATGCATCATCAGTGCGTGAACCGTCGCGGGGTCATTACCGAACAGTGGGAAAGCGATGCCACTTCCATAAAATCCCCTACACGCCATCACATCGATTTCTTCTTCCGGTTAGGCGCATGGGAAAATTGAGCGGTTCTACCTTCCTCAAGAGGTTACTCCCAAGGAACGAATCTCACACCTGGCTGCCCGCAAACTCGCACGATAAGCTTGCGCCAGCCTCTCCACTTTCTCTCTCTTCAACATCTCCATTGCTTGCGCATACGTAACGAATTTGCGCTCGAACAGACCACCGCAAAATGACGCAAGGCGCAGCAAACAACTTTGCGCAATTCATGGTGGTGGGCCGTACGTACACCCAGGGCTCAATGCCCATCCATAGCCTGGCTCTCACCATTGCCCGCTGCCTACTAACGTACAATGTAGCAACATGTTTTTTCCTCGGAATCCTGTTCGCACAGCTTCCATACGACTATAATGTCCTATGGACCACACCTACAGATCACGCAACCTACTTTGACATTCTGGAATCGCACATCAAATTCCTCTACGCCTCTCCGCCGATCGTCTCGCGCATCCTCAACTTAGTCATTGGTACCGGCCTGCTCGGTTTCCTCATTAAGCTCTTCAAGCTCAACCAGGCCAACATGCTCTTCGACGGCGCATCGCTCGTGCTCTATATGGCGGGCATTACTGTGTACCTGACAAATATTGTCAAGGGTTTTAGAGTCGTGACAGCAGGCATATACGGTGACCTAGAAAAGGCCGCGCCGGGGGAGGTGACTGAAGAGGATATGGGTGACTACATCTCAAGAGACGATACGCTGAGGGTTTTCGCGGCGAGCAACACCATCCTTTCGCTAGTGCTTGTGGGCGTCCTGGTGCTACAGGCAGGACAGTGGTATGCTAAGAGGGCCGAAGAGAAGGAGATTCAAGAGTTTGAGCGCTTGGCTGAGGAGAAGAAGGGTGCGGGAAAGAAGAAGCAGTAGAGCTAGGAAATACTGCAACCAAGTAGGGCTTGTGGGTAGCCGTTTCCCCTTGGCCTAGGCTTAAGTAGGCTTACTATCCAATCTTGCTTCATGGGTAATGTTCGAGATTTGGAATGAGCTGGCATGCTTGATACACATATTAGCCCCTATGGCAAAAGCACTGTAACCTCGCTGTACCTCGATTTTTACGAGTTTGTGGTTGCGACTTTATTGCCCACTAATCTATCTTTCCCCTGTTCAACATGCGCTTCACGACAACGGCCCAAAAACCAGGGGGAAATAAGATGATTCAGCGGTTTGCAGTCAGGTCGGGTAGTGCCTTTCTTTAATCACAATCATAACAAAATCCTCCTTCCTAGTCATTGCATACCGACCTTCTCCCACACACCCGGATCGAGCCTTGCCCAGCCATGTGAGCATCGATACCTGGAGAGATGTAATGAAACATACTTACATTAGTACTAGGAAAAGCGACCTGCGCTGTTAGACCACCTGGGTGTCATAAAATACTGGACATACTAGTGTAAAATAGCCACTGTAGTCGCCAGACACGTCTATTGGGTGCTTACCCCCACTGTCCAGTATTTTATGTCACCCAGGTGAGACCGACAATTTGTTGGTATCGATAACATCTGGCAATTGCAGGCCAGTCACGTGGAGGCGAAAGGACAAACAGGCAACAGCCAACCACCTTAGAAGCTAGGGCCACGACCCACCGTGGAGACTTGGTCGGCTTCAGTGACAACACTTGAATCTTCCACGAGCCAGAAAGCATGGATGACCCCAAGAAGATGCTCGCGGAGCTCATTGAACTATCCACCGAGACTAAACAGTGGGCCTTACACTTCCCTATTGAACACAATGCTCCAAACACCCTGCTTGAAACCTTGGGTAATAAGATGGGGAGTTCAGTTCCAGGAAGTTCCGATAACAATGGCGAAAATCTCGAAACTCTACGCTGCAGTCTAATGGCTCTGCCATCTCTCTCAGAGTTGGGAACTTCTTCCATCCATACCACATCTGAACTACCCAACCCCGCTGCCTTTCCACTCGATACAGCCGAAGACAAAGCTAGGAAGGAGGCTGAAGATATGATTCAGAGGGAGGAGGATAAACTAAACGCCATCATCACTTACGCTCTCCAGAAGGAGGTAGAGCACCAGGCATGGAAAGAGAAGAGACGCCGTCCCTCCCGTTTGATCCTTTCCAACCTGGCGGCCGACATTGATGAAGAAGCCATCCGTGAATTCTTTATCGAGTACAAGCGGAACCTGCAAGTCTTCTCTTCTAACCACTAATCCAACACTGCAACTTACTAACTTCCGTTTAGCTATAGCATCACTATTCATCCCGAGCGAGATCCGGTCAAGAGGACCAGGACCGCTCATGTGGACATGACTACTAGATCGAGTGCTGTGCGAGCCTCTTATGAGGTTGGTGGCATCTTTGGTCTGGTGGTCAAGATCAGACTGGCTGTGGAGTGAGGAGTGGATGTAGTCGTCTCGAGTCACTTGTTAGTTGCATGGCAAAGCCCGTGATTAGTGTTTGTAAGCGGGGATAATAATGAGGGTTATAAGGCCCAGGGAGGTGGCTATGGTGTATTCGCCTAACATTACTATACTAGTAGAGGATAGCAAACATGTTGAAAGACACAAGTATAATTCTCTGCAAGGTAAACATCCGTGACTTAAACGTATTGACATCACTACACATGCAGTCAAGTGTTACACGATGTAATGGTAGTCCTTTGGCTTGTTGTACGTAAACATGCACAATCAATGTGGAGGTGCATGCAAGCGTTAGAGTGGTAGGTTCCGAACGATCGGGACCGGCCGTAAGCTCCACGTTCAGAGGTCGCGACTCCACCGTTCGCCATCGCGCTCCCCCACTCTCGCAAACACGACGCCTATTTGCGATGAAATGACTTCACCAGCAACCTGCCTTCCTCTCTCCTTGTCTCCAGGCGACTACGGGTGAGGTGACTTGCTGGCGCACTGAACTAGACACACCAGGCACCATGGAGGCGGAAACTGACACAGCCTACAACAATGCGATCGAACAAGTTCGCGCCAAGGAGTATCCTATGCTGCAGAGTAAGTTTTCTATCAAGGCGGCTAGGATGCGTACTCATTTGACCAGATACAACCTATCTTGATCACGCTGGCACCACGCCCTACGCCAAATCCTTGATGGAGCGCTTCTCTGCCGATATGGTTGCGAACCTCTACGGCAATCCGCACTCGTCCTCCAACGCCTCCCAACTGACAACCCGGCGGATCGAAGACGTACGGCTTCGGCTTTTACACCTGTTCAACGCCCACCCGCAAGAATTTGACGTGGTATTTGTGGCCAACGCCACCTCTGGCATCAAGCTCGTCATGGATGCATTTCGTGACCAGGATGACGGCTTCTGGTACGGTTATCACAGAGATGCACATACAAGCCTCATAGGAGTGCGCGAGGCGGCGGCCGAACACCGATGCTTTACTTCGGACAGCGAGGTGAACGAATGGATCCACGACCAGGGCAGGGCGGTTGGTCCGGCACAGCTTTTTGCATATCCGGCCCAGTCCAACATGAACGGACGTCGACTACCGTTGGATTGGTCCCACCGTATTCGCACCAACAAACAAGACTCTGTGTATACCCTGCTAGATGCTGCCGCCCTTGTTTCAACCTCGCCTCTTGACCTCAGGAATGCAGACGAGGCTCCCGACTTCATTGTATTGAGCTTGTATAAGATGTTTGGGTTTCCAGATCTTGGCGCCTTGATTGTCAGGCAAGCATCAGCATCGGTATTCGACAAACGACGCTACTTTGGTGGCGGCACTGTCGAGATGGTTGTATGCCTAAAAGAGCAATGGCATGCAAAGAAGACTGATTCGCTTCATGAAAGGCTTGAGGATGGCACATTACCGATACATAGTATCATGGCGCTTGACACGGCAATGATACTACACCAGGAACTTTACACTTCACTGGACAGGATTTCAAGACATACCACCTTTCTTGCCCAAAGGCTGTACGAAGGGCTTTCGTCACTACGACACGGTAATGGTGAGGAGGTATGCCACGTCTACAAGGACCCGGCGTCCAGATATGGAGACTCGCTTACCCAGGGCCCTGTTGTTGCTTTCAATTTCCGGAATGCGTGTGGCGGCTGGATCAGCAACGCAGAGGTGGAGAAACTGGCCATGGTAAAGAACATCCAAGTCAGGACTGGCGGCCTCTGTAATCCTGGAGGCGTTGCATCATCGCTAGGATTGGCACCATGGGAGATGCGAGAAAACTTTTCTGCCGGGCAACGGTGCGGTAACGACAACGACGTCATTCGCGCGAAGCCGACAGGAATGATACGCGTCAGCTTTGGAGCAATGAGTACCCTATCAGATGTGGCAAACTTTGTTGGATTCGCGCGCGAGTTCTTCATACAAGCAAGCCCACCGGTGAATGCGTCTCCAATCAGGGCTGTTGAACTCGAGCCACCAACGCAAAGTCGCTTACACGTGGAGAGGCTGTCTGTCTATCCTATCAAAAGCTGTGCGGCCTTCAGTGTACCGCCGGCCAGCCCATGGGAGGTGCGCCCAGAGGGCCTCGCGTGGGATCGGGAGTGGTGTCTTGTACATCAAGGCACGGGAGCCGCACTGAGTCAGAAGCGATACCCAAAGATGGCATTGATACGCCCCAGTATCGATCTCGAAAAGGGTCTGCTACGCGTGAACCTATCAGGCGCTCTATTAGATACGACTGATACGCACGAGATTACAGTGCCTCTCTCGGCTGATCCACGGCTGTTTGCAGATACAGCGGTATATAAGGATGCGAGCGCCAAGGTATGCGGAGACTCGATCCAAGCCAAGACATATCGGTCCAGTGAGATATCGTCTTTTTTTACGCAAGCCCTTGGGGTGGCCTGTCACCTTGCGCGCTTCCCTCCTGTTAGCAGTGGGAGTGGCGTTTCCCGACACTCGAAAGCGCATCTACAAAAGTACCAGAAGGCGGGCGCTATGCGAGTACCCGGCGCCTTTCCAGAAACGGTTCCCAGCATGCCCGGCGCGTGCGTTTCAAAGCCCATCTTGCTAGCAAATGAGAGCCCCATCCTTACTATATCGCGATCGAGTCTCAACCGCCTGAATGAGTTGATCAAGGCAGAGGGCGGTAAGGCAGCGCAAGCAGAGGTATTCAGAGCCAACATTGTGGTTGCGGAGAATCCAGCATACCCGCCTGGGCTTGAGGACCCGTATGCTGAAGACGACTGGCGCTACCTTCAGATTGGCCAGCAGTACTTTGAAATGCTTGGAGCGTGTCGAAGATGCCAGATGGTTTGCATCGATCAACAAACGGCGGAAAGGAACCAGGAGCCGTTTGTGACGCTTTCCAAGACACGTCGATTTGACGGGCGCGTCTACTTTGGAGAGCATAGCTGCCATGTACCGTGGGGTGATGTGTCATGGCCTCTAGGGCAGAACCCGATGATTGCGGTCGGAGATGCCGTGAGGCCTATTAAAGAGGACGAGGTAGACGGGAACAGTAGGCTACAGGAGCTTATAGGCTAGCGCACTGGCATGCTTTTCTGGGCAGATGGCGGGAGAAGGCCATTGGCCGACCAAGTAGGCAGTGTGTAACATAGGCAAACGGGCGGGTCGCCGGGTACATGGCGATGAAGCAGATGGGAATGCCATGGGGCCATGTGATAGGCAACGGCGAGTTACAGGAAGGGTCGAGTGTAAGCGCTGATAACTATGTTTCAACGGCGAAGCGGAGTCAGGTGTCTGGTACGTTGAGATCAGTGACAGATGGCAGAGGCAAGGTATCAGATGGAAGCGCGCGCATTCGCCGAAGCAGCGTAGAGACGAACAGCGGCTGCAAGCAAGACATAAAAATGGTCTAATGCTCCCACGAGATGCAGCACACAATCACACATTTCCAACCTCACTCGCCTCTTTCCTTGCCACTTGGCCTCTCCGCCTTGTTTCTGACGCCAGCAACCAGTAGCCAGCGTCTCGTCAGCTCGTCTCAGATCGTCGTCGTCGTCGTACCCGGCCCCGGTTGCTCAGCTGCATCGCCACGTTCAGCTTCAGATTACGGCTCCCATCACACATCCGAATCGCAAGCCGCGAATCAGGCTGCACTTCAGGCCGGTCAAAGTCGCGAGACCTGCAGGCGCGGAACAAATCACACATCTTGTTTCAGCGTAGGCCAGCGAATCGCGGGCCAGTGGAGGTGTTCGCCAGTGCACGGGGCCTGCATATCCTAGTCCTCGGCGCTTAGAAAACGCTGGGACTCTTCGCGCCCAAAAATAACCGGACAGGACCCATACCGCGGCCAACAACAACAGCGCATCCGCCTCGAGCTAGTGTCATAGTACATACATACAATAAACACACTGCTCCCCGGCGCCAACTGAAAAAGAGAGGTACCTGTCTGTCTGCCTGCCTCGCTTCTTTACTTTTCCACTTTGTTGTGGAAAAAGGCATAGCACAGCCCGACCGCCTACAAGTCACTCGCCGACCATCATCACCCACCCCAAATCTCAACACCATGGCCGCTACCGATTCCAAGCCGGCCTTGTCTACGCTCAAGACACCCATGTCGGCCACCTATCCCTCCGAACTCAGGTCGCCCATGATCACCTCTGCAACCACGCCCATCTTTGCCAACATCAAGCGGGAAGACTCTGACCTCAAGACTCCAATCACCCCACCGACCGCCTACCTGGAGTTTCTCAAGAACCTGTCGCCTGTCCTCTCGAGCCCAATGTCCACCGGTACCAGCTGCAAGTTTGTCTTTGGGGATACTCGCCCCACCTCGGTCACTTCATCCGCCTCCAGCGCCTCCTTCACATCCACCTCGGCCCCTGCAGACAAGGAATCACCAGCAACGTCAAGATCAAGCAGCTGCAGTAGGTGCGACACTTCCAAAGAGGACCAGCCTCCCATGTCTGCACCTCCAACCAAAGTCCAAACCGTCACCATCCCTCCCCCATCACCCTTTAGGCGGCCACATTCAGCGCGTACACCCCGCCTTTACATACCCCAATCACCCTATTCGCCCGCCGCTGTACGGTCACCAGCGAGCGCAAAGTCCATTCAATCACCCTATTCCGCCGTCTCATCGCCCAAGACTTGGGATGCAGAAAAGAAGACTGGTCGAGCAAGGCGCGTCAGCGTGCGCGAAGTCGTTACAAGGACAGTGACATATAGTCGCACGCCCGTCGACGCCAAAGCGCCACAGTTTCCGCAGATTGACCCCGCACCCCGCGGTAAGAGGAGGAAGGTCGAGTAGGAAATCTGCTGCTGTTACGCAACCCTACCGCTTATGGAATGCTGGCTCGAGCATGAGCGGTTGCGCAACCCTCTGTGCTACTTCACGACACAACTGTACTGGCGCCTAGGCACAGCACCTAATTTCCATTCGCCCAACATCTATTGTCTACATTATACACGACTTGCACAAACTACCCGGCCATTGAACTAATACTCGGGTCCAGGCGATCCCATCACAACCTACTTTCAACTGCTTGCACCACATTCTCAACCTACTACCATCATCGCCTTTTTCCTTTTTCCTTTGTTTACTACTACTACTACTACTACTACTACTACTACTACTACTACCCCAAATCAATAGAGAAACGACGTTATGGCCACGTCCTTTTTCTCACGACCCTAACGGCGGAAAACATGTATTCGGCGTTGAGATTACCATTACCACATTTGTAGCGGATACCAATTATCGGCGGGTGGTGCGCCGGCGCTTTTGGTGTTGATTGGCCAAACTACGGAACGAGGCTACCTCATCGATCTGATGGATGTGAGAGGAACGCACAGGCTACTGGCACGTGGATGTGCTGGGCGGCAAGATGCTGCATGCAGTGTATTGGATGGAGCCGGGCGGCAAAAACAGATAGCCCTGGCTGTGCGGGCTAGCGAGGTCAGATGAGTGGATAGTTTTCTACGCCTATTGCCCGCACAGTGCCCCGAGACACGAAAGTTGAAATAGTATTATAGGACGAGAAAGAAATGGACATGATACCTGTTTTAAGCCATTGTTCCACGAAGAAAAAAAGACAATTAATCCCAATGCGTGTTTTGGAATTCGTCGTGGTGGAGGGAAGGAAGGATATTGGCTTGGCTATAACGAGACATCCCTAACGATAAAACGTAGTTTTCGGCCACACCGAGGAACAAAAGCGCACAGCGCAGCATCGAAAACAAGCAAAAACTTGCCAGCCTTGTTTGCTGAATCATTGCTGGCCTTGCAGACTACAGTCGGCGCCTTGTGCATGTGACAACGCACTTTTTGTTCCGCTCGAAAGAGCCATTATTTCCCAGAGACAATGCAGAAGGGTAATATAGATGCGCTTAGCACAACCAATTGAACGCACCACATACGCACGCAACGACAAGAAACAAGGAAAGAGAAACCAGGCTACGATTGCTGTAATTCTCTCCGCTACTATTGTACACGTCAAGGTCCAGCCCGACCGATCGTGTGTGGAAGCAACGCCAAAAAGCCCAATATCCTAACAAGGAGGCGTCGTCGTCTGTCAGACCCTCTCTCTTTTTCCCTGTCTTCCTGCTCCAAGGAAAGAAAAGGCCCGGGCGCCAACACAGAACCCAATCCCAACGATGCGTAACCTTCCCGCTCTCCTTAGATGTGACCAATCAGAGAGATGGACAGGGATATAGTGACTTGTACATGGGCGCTTAACCAGGGCTGTGGAGACGGGTTGCGCTAGTGGGAGAGGGGTGTGTTTGTTCAGCGGGAGGGAGAGGGTCATGTGAGAGTGTGTAATTTGTGAGCAAGTGGGATGTGGGTTAACATAGGTGCAGGTGGAGTAAGGTGAAAAGTGGTATGATTGTGAGTTGGAGTAAGCTGGTGGAGGCATTACTATTATACTAGATGCAGACATGTATCTGCTTGCAGACTTGCAAAGGTACATGTGTAGCGAGATGGTTTAATAGACAGCTACACGTATGTATGCATGCTGAACTGTACTGTTACTGTGTAGGAAAAAAGCTCAGATACAGACATTGGAAGATAGGGTGCTCTACGTGCAGACACACACTAGGCACTAAGGCAGCATACTTTCCAAATCCCATCCCATGTCTACCCCAAGCCTCAAAACTGCCCACCGCCGATCATCTTGCGACCAAGTCGAGAATCGGACCGTATCCTGATAAAGGTCGAGAAAGAGAGAAAGCGGCATGCTCGTCGTACCACTTCCCCCATCCCCGGTGGCACATGGCAATTCCGTAGTGTCGGCGCCTCGTCAAAACGGCCTACGGCGCTTCTGCGGCGGCATAGCAAAGAGAGCGTGCTTTCTTTCGCGCTTAATTGTTACCTTGACTCGATACTCCAGTCTTGATGGGGGAGGTGAGTAGAGATAGGTGTGGAGTTTGATGGGGCGTTTGGGCCGCGTGTGTTTGAGGTGTGGACGGTGGACGGTGCTACGCCGCTGGGGATGAAGATGGCGGCGCACACCGACTGCGCGTGCGGCACGTACGGTACGTGTCTACTGAGGAAGAAAGATGGGCATCCCAAGGTACATGGCTCAGGAATGGGTAATCGCGCTTGTGTCGTTTAATGGTTATGTGGCACAGTTAGGCGGGACAAAGGCGCGACATGTGTCAACTGGGCATTAACTTACAGGAAGCTGACAATTTTCCAAGACGTTTTGAAATTATCCATGTCTGTTAGACTATATTACTGGCAAGATGTAAGACTGCATTAGCAGATAGCAAGCCAGCAAGTACTTTTCGCTTTTTTCCATATATAAAGTTCACACTTGTGGTGTCATAGGATCGATGTATACCTAACGTTGTACTGCTAAACGAAAACATGCGGCAAATGGGCTTGGTCTAACTATTTAATACGATGAGTGGCAGTATCTATGCCTTGCAAGGAAAAGTGGAAGCGTGGCCAGGGCGGGCTGGAATCCGATACGTGGGTTGCGTGTCCGGTGGCGACGTACTACTCATAGAGGGCAACCGCGCAAGAGCTACCCTCGATCATCACATCATGTACGCCTCCAGATTTGAAGGAAGAGTAGTGCAAACACCAACGTCCAAGCCCCAAGCAGTTATATCAACCAGGCCAACATCTGGCCACAAAAGCAACCAACATGGCGCGGATCTGACCTTCGGAGATTATCGCATCAAGGCCTCCCTTGCAGCCCGCTCCTGTGCCGCTATCTTGCATTCGAGGCATCGAAGGACGCATAAGATTGAGATCGAGGGGCTAATGCAAGGCGTATGTTTCGGCAGTTGTTGAGCACCTTCTTACACTGCTTGTGGGTAATGACCTTGTTGCCCTTTAGCACGATACACGAAGCGATGAATTGGGAACGGCATAGCAGAAATAGACTTTGCGTGTTAACGCGCATAGGACTTGCGAAAGCAGAAGCCGGGCGTTCATTGCGTACTTGGCGACATCATGTGCAAGGGAGATTGTCAGTCATTGTAGACATCTTGATATTGTGCATGTTGCTGGTGAGGTGTTTCCGGAACTGCTGCCGTCATTGTCATTGCTCACTGGTCTTACCTCTCGGACTTTTGAAATTCCTTGGGTGCCTTTCAGCCTGCTCTGGCTATATTCTCTTCTTTACAAGGACGGTATTGTCCAATGTTCTAACAGGAGCGCGGCCCAAATACGTATATCCTCGAACCCTGTTACTCTCCCCTCTCCGGTGTCAATGGGGGTATAGAGCCCCTGACCCTGTATTTGACATGTACCTGCAGACTTCTGCAAGATTCTCACTAATCACCTCCCCAAAGCAAACACGCGCACTATAGCACGTCCTTCTCCTTGGCCAACTTCTCGGCCATCTTCTTCGCCTTCTCTGTCCTCTCTTCCCTCAACGTAGCAAACACCCAAAACCAAGCCGAAACCTCCATGAAGCCAAAAGTGAAGACAAAGCTATTGTTCAGATGGGCGCCGGCACTCATCCTGAAGTCCATGCCCCTGGGCGCAAACATGCCGCCTTCTTTGAATATATACGTGTATGCTGTGAGGCCAAAGAGGAAGAGAAGACGTACGGGCGCCTGGAGGCCCCAGAACTGGTCGAAGACGTCTTCATGAAGGGAGAGGGCGGTAAGGTCGCTGAGACCGAGGAAGGCGAAGAGCATGGCTATGAAGGCTGTGGCTGCAGAGGGTTTGTTAAAATCGCGGGGAGTTGGCTGCAACGCGTTAGAAGTCATTTGGAAGACCGAGAGAGGTAATTGGGCGACATACGAGTTGCATTGACTCTCCCAGTAGCACAATGACGCCTTGCTTTGATATCAAGGCGGGATTCTTGAGCAGGACCACGGCTAGTGTGATGTGGAACAAGGCTATGCTGCGAATCATTGTGTTTGCCGATATTATCGCCATGTTTGCGGATATGTGTAATGCGACTGAGTCAGCTGTTGGTACAATATGAAGTTGGTCGTCGCGAAGATCGATGTTGGGTTTACGAGTGTATACGTACAAGGTACACTTCAACTCGCGTGTTGTGTTCGGACGAAACCCCGAAAAAGTAAGTCCGCCTTGTCCGCCAAGCCCGCTGATATCTTCCTTACTCTTGTCGCGCCCGGGTTTTTGATTTCAAATAATCCTCACACCTGGGTGACATAAAATACTGGACAGTATGGGCAAGCACCTAATAGACGTGTCTGGCGACTACAGTCGTTTTTTTACACAGGTATGTTCAGTATTTTATGACACCCGGGTGCTCACAATACTTTGATTACCTTGCTGATGATGGAGAAGTCAAGCGGGCTCTCCGTTAGCACAGACCATGCGACAACGCAGCGCAGCCGCCATCAAAGACGGCGCCCATGCGGCATAGATGACGTCATATTCTTCATAATCATATGCCTTATCGCGTCCATTGTCTGGTGCTCGGAGTTACGAGCTTTGCTTCCAGCCCAGAAACACAAACGTGGGGGACTTGTTTCGGTGGAAGGCAGAGTCACCAAAATATTGGAAGAGAACCCCCTAATTGGTCAGCAATCACCATGTCATGATGGAACTGGGCTGACCTTCCAAAGACGGCCATAATGATCTCATGATATTCATCCGAAGCACCTACCAGAACCACATCTACAACGCTTCTGGTAGTGACTTTGCGGACAAATGGGAAAATGGGGGTCTTGCACAGCATGTTGATGTCCCACGTCTGGAAAAGGGCAAGCAGGGCGGTGCGTTCTGGAGCGCTTTCTGGCCGTGTCCAACAAGCGGAAATGGTACCGACTTCTCAGATGCGAGGTACTACGACAGTAAGACGAACAAGTTTCCCTTTAAGATGACCAGGCTGACAGTAAAAGTCGTCCAATCCACAATCAGCCAGCTCGACCTTTTCGGTCGTCTAGGTCAGCAATACCCCAAGTATTTCACGTCCTCGAAGACCAGCGCAGAAGCCGCTCACACATTTGAGAACGGGGGTTTCATTGCCCCCGTGATCATCGAAGGTCTGCACCAAATCGGCAACTCGATTTCAAACTTACGTCTCTACCACCAACTTGGAGTCCGCTACGCGACGTTGACATGGAACTGCCACAACAAATACGCCGACGCCGCTTTGCAGACTGAAGCAGCAGGTTCCGGTTCAGGCATTGCAAAGCCCTACTGGCATGGTCTGAGCCCAGCAGGCCGCGAGCTAGTCAAGGAGATGAATCGTTTGGGCATGCTAGTCGACCTCGCACATGTTAGCCAAGACACGATGCGTGACGTGCTTGTAGGAAAAGGCGAAACAGGCTGGAACGGTAGTCTAGCACCACCCATTTTCAGCCACAGCTCAGCCTATGCAATCTGCCCACATCCGCGTAACGTGCCAGACGACATTCTGCAGCTCGTTAAACAACGCAACTCCATCGTTATGGTCAATTTCAACCCAGAGTTTGTTTCGTGCAAGCCTGCGAATACTACAAACAGCCTACCGGACTTTGTTCCAGAGACAAATACATTGGCACAGGTTGTCCGTCACATCAGGCATATCGGAGAGCTGATTGGATACGACCATGTTGGCATCGGTACGGATTACGATGGCATTGAATCGACGCCTGTGGGTCTGGAGGATGTTTCAAAGTTTCCCGATCTTTTCGCCGAGCTATTGAGACAGGGAATCAGCGATGAGGATGCAGCCAAGATCGCAGGACGAAACATACTCAGAGTATGGGCTGAGGCTGATAAGGTGGCTAGTGAGTTGCAAAAGACCACGTTGCCGTTGGAAGACGACGTGAAGAATAATTGGGTGAAGCGTCGGGAACTGTGAGCTAGTTGTGGAACGAGTCTTTGTGGGCCTAGACTCTAGGTCTGATCTGGCTCCAAGGTTATAATTGTGCATTCAATAGTAGATATCAACTACAAATCCACCTATACAGTGGAATACATTCGACCTATATGCCTAAATGACTTCTAAGCTTCTCCAACACACTAGCGACAAGCTTCTCATTCTTGCCTTCTTGTCTCTTACTCTCCCTGTTCGCTACCTTTTCCAACTGCTTCGCTATATCCTTGTCCTCACCATTCTTCCAGTACGCTTCCGAACGTTCTACAAAGCGCACAAACGCTTCGAGGACGACTTCTTTACCCTCCCAGCTCTTGCCACTAAGTGCTTTGTCTAACACAGGCCAAACAACCTTTGCGTTGACGATGTCGATGTTTTCACTGCCTACGGCATTCGTGATTTGCAGCACGCAATCGGCGACTGTCTTCGCTGCTGTATGCTTAATGGCCCACTGTCTACTTTCCAGGTGCCTTTCGGAGAGCACGATGATTTCTTTGAGATAGAGAGAAACGGTACGTGGGCCTGCGACGTGGTCGTCCCATGTTTCTGTGAAGCTCTTCCGAACTTGTTCCTCCGAGTCATGTTTGGCGAGGAAGATGAAGGGCAAGAATTCTGCTTGGAAAGAAGTGAAGCGGTCGGTGGCGTAAAGCGACATGGCTCGCATAATGTCTGCCGCTAAAAGGCGATTCCTATCGCTACTTTCCTCAGACTCAAAATACATCTTGTTGACAAAGGCGAAGGTAGAAAGAAGTTGTTTGTCAGAAGCTAGACGCGCAAGATAGCCTGCCGCCGCCGCATAGGATGAGCTGACCGTTTCATTCCGATCATGGATTTGCTTCTGGACCAACTTCAAGAAGCTGTCGGCATAGGGATTGAAAACAAATCTATGGCGCGTGGCTAATGTAACCAAGATTCTCGAACAGCCAACCTTGGATGGTAGACCGACAGCGTTCTTCATCGCGGCCTCGATACGTGGGACAAGCGCAGACATGGTCTCTTCATCTGCGAGATCCAGACAGCGTTCCACAGATTCAGTCAGGGGCGATGAGCGCACACTGGCGAGGCGCATGTCGTCAATCTTCTGTTCGGTAAGATTATACTTGCTGGCGTTGAGGTGTACATAGTTGACTGCTTCGGGCTCCAAACTGCTGAGTAGACCAAGTAAGCGCTCCACGAGCTCAGGGACATGTGGGTTGAGCGTGTTCGCGTTACTTTTCTTGACGATCTGAAGTAGCGTGTGTACAGAAAAGAGACGGACTTCCTCGGCTGACGACTCAAGACCAGACTGTGAAAACAGGAAGGGTATGACACGCTCAAGCTGAATTGTTGCGGACTTGTTTGAAGCATCACCAGCTTCAAGAGACCGGGTGAGTATTCCAGTCAGGACGCGGGCTAAAGATGCAGCTGCAACGCGAACAGTCTCTTTGATGTCGTCAAGCACCTTGAATGTCTTGCCCCAGATGGCGTCGGGATACTTCTCGTACTATGGTGGACTGTTAATGCACGTTGCCATAGAGTTCGTACAAATATTCTTACCTTGTCAATGCTGCGTCCCTGCACCAGGTCGGCGATGGCTGCACAAGAAGCCTGACGGACGCGCCATTCTTTTGTCAGAATACTTATGAGTAGATCATCCATGATTGCATCGAAGTGCTTGTCGATTGTGGCCGAAGAGTCTTTGACAAGTGCATTCCAGATGTCATTCATGGAGCGCTGCACATTGGGATTTGGATCGAACCTGCAGTTCTGTCAGCATACATATTCATTTGGGTGTGAAAGAAACTTTCACGGAAAGCATACCTATAACGATAGAGCTTTGGATAAAGCTTCGGATTCTGAGCCAAGTATCCATCAACACTGGAGTCGGAGAATATATTACTCAATCCGAATCTTCCAAACGCAGCTCGGCTAGACCAGATGGAGTTGTTGGACGCCATGGACATGAAGCGGTACACCAGACTCGAATCTCCAACCTCTGCTGCAAGGTTCAATATATCCTTGTATGTTGTGATAGAGCCGTCTCCAGTCGGTAACGCGCCAGGCTCGAAGAGCTGCGTGTCATCTGTAACCGTGCCGGCCATCTTAGACTTGTTGTCGGAGAAGGATCCCACTAAATCACGGACAAGATCGTCTTTGAGCTGGCGGTCTCCCTTCTCGTATACCAGGCCAAGTCCACGTGATGCTGCTTCCTGCACGACTTCATCCCGGTCAGAGAGACAGTTCTTGAAGGCTATTTGACATTGACTGAGATAGCTTTGCATATCCGGTTTGTGACCACAGTATTGGAGGAGACACAATAGCCAGATTACAGAAGCTTTCTTTAAAGACGGTTTTGTCTGCAAACAACCTTTCAGCGTTTTTTCCATGACTATCCCGAGCGTCTTCTCCCGCTTCGGTCCGAGGGGCGCCTGTAGAGGTGCATCCCATGGTTCTTGCGGTTGATCCGGATGGAGAATGTCCAGCTCAGCAGTCAATGCCTTCGATTCCCAGCCAGCTGCAAAACAGCTTAGGGCCTCACCAACTGAGAAGTGGACTTCCGGTTGACGGACCTCGTGGAGTTCGTAAAGCTTATCGCTAATTGTCTTGTAGTCGGATGCCTCTTCAGAATGAGATTCGTCTTCCTCAGTGATCATCGACAGATGACCTAGCGCCAGTATGGCACTCGTAGTGCCTGATTTGGCAGAGTCATAGATTTGTTGGACGACAGCTTCAGCTTTTCCATGCTTGGAGAGCAACAAGGGCGTGATCACATAGAACAGACTAAGCTGATCTATACATGAGAAGGCTGCACTCTTTAGGGTGGCGTCTCGTGAGTTTTTCATGATTTCGACTACTGCATGCAGCAGCTTGTTGATTGGATGATCGTCGGCGATTGTTGCGGGCGTGGCGCTGGCTCTCCAGAATGCTCGGCTGTGGTAATAGCCCAATGCAAGAATGACACCACTAATCTGATTGATATCAGCACCAATTGCGGACTCCCAATGTTGCAGTTTGTCGAAGAAGCCAACTTGGGCGCTCTGGAGAGCATTCTGGTCGATTTCCTTATGCGATGCCAGTAAACCATATGCGTGAGCAGCAGCAAGACGTCGTGCCGGATTATTGGATACTATGGATGGCTGCAAAGCCCGAAAGTCCCGAACCACGTTTGCTAAGACCCAGTAACGCTGAGGGAGTAGAGACAGAAGTCGGACAAAGGTAGTACCAATGTCGCCAATATCACTAACATCGTCTCGCGTAAGTCTATCGAAACTAGCTCGTAGTATGACCGCAAGAGAGCGACCGTGAGACTCATTTGCTGCATATGCACGGAATGCTTGACGAGCACGCATATCTGTAGTCATTTGAGTGTCCAGTTTTCTCTCCCAGTTTTCGGGCGCATCATCACCCATATCCTTGTCAACCAAAGCAGACTGCATGGCGACGCTAGAACAGAAGCTAATAACTGTCGACAAGGCCCCTGGGTATTGCTGATAGAAGTCTTGTACCTGGAGCAGAGCGTCTTCTGACTTGTCAATGTCCATGGCGTCCTCATCCTGTGCTTGCTGTATGATGATGAAGTTGACTAATTTGTCAAAGTCTGGAAAGATCAACTTGCTCTGATCCCGTTCACCAGGTGGCGTATTTGACATCTTGAACCAATACGGGTCGAGGCCACGACGTCCTTCCTCAACGATTTCGTGTCGCTCAGCAGCGCCTCCACTGACGGCAAGAATGTCTATCCAACGAGCTAACACATCTTCATATGGAAGGCATCGATTTGCGAACCTTGTCGCCACGTAGCGAGTACTTCTTGTGAAACGGTCTGATGCTGGCGTGTTATGCTGGTCTACGGTAGCATACCGGAGCAGTATCTGTCTGAACCTATGCATGATCGATGCATCAAACGGCTTGGAAAAGGCACCCAGTACCGAGGAGAGTGCTTCCTCTATACTGACGGCTACCTCTTTGCCAGCCGAATCTTCGCGTAGGGACCGAAATAAGAATTCTAGTAGGTCAAGATTTGGTTCCAGTAGTATCTTTTCAGGGGCAGCTTTCGCCAATAGCCCGATAGTAACATAGCCGTAACCCCGTAGCTCCATGTCTTGATCACGATCCGGAGTCGGCCAGCCTTGGTCTTGTATGAAGGCCCTGAGATTGTCCACGAGACTTTGAGCAACCTGAGAGAGATTGGATGAGGCGCCATGGCGAGCGACGAAGTTGACCAACGAGAAGATGGCAGAGCGAAATTTGGAAGCCTCTCTACCTGCTGCCTTGTTGGTTGCATTTAATTCAGGTGAGAGAAGACCTTCTTCAACAATCCTCGCTATCTGCTGCGGATATGCTGTGCATCTGACTGACTTAGATAGGACATTAAGTATCCTAATCCGAAGAGGGGTCTTGACAGGTAGCGACCCATGTACGGTACTGGAGCCGAAATAAAGCCCGAGAAGAGCTTCGACAGCTTCTGATTGCTCAAGGTCTTTGGAAAGCATGACGCGTTTCAAAGTGTCTTCGCCGACTTCTGATATTCGAGAATTAGTATCAGCAGATGCGAAGAGGGCGGGCAGAAACTTTTCATCTTGGTTGAAAAGACCACTAGCCACGAAGCGTGCTACCAAAGCCTTTGATTCTGTCAAGCTCAAGCCTGCATCTGCAGTAGGGTCCCAAGCATCTGGCTTGCCCTGCAGGGTCAGGAACTTGTAGTCATCTGGTGAGAGACCTGGGCAGCGCTGCAAAGCTGACGACTGAGGCGCCGTCTCTTTTACAATTCCCAGCAAAATCAGCTTTCCGAACCATTTGGAAAGGAAAGCGGCATCATGGTCCGACAGACCCAAAGTCACCCTGAGCTCATCGTCCTCTTTGCTGCCACGCAGGGGAAGTTTGAAAAGAACCAGAAGACGCAGGATAAGATGGAACAACTGAGAAGCGTGTTGCTGCGACTTTTCATAGTCGTTGGAGATACCTTTGAGTAAGACAGGAAGAAGGTCTAGTCGCTCGGCTACTGTGAGGCGTGATATGCCCTGTTGAATGTAGAGAATGTCGAAGTGCCGTATGAGGGAGATGTCGGCATTTTCCTTGTACTGCTTCAAGAGGGCGGCTACTGGAAGTTTGATGTCTTGTGACGTGATACGAGTGTTGATGTGTTGGCAGATGGAGATGACCTTGTTGCGTACAGCGACGCTGTCTGAACCGAGCTTGAGGAGCAGAGGGGTGAGATAGATGTTGAGCAATTCTTCCAGCTTCTTCTCTGAGCTTGCTAGGGCTATGCGCATCTCGACCTTGCCGACCAGAGCAAGCTCCTTGGCTTCCGGGCTTTGTTCCGACGCCATGTCGAGTTTGTGAGGACAGTAGTGGTGGTTGTGACAGCAATGAAGCTCGACGAGGAAGCGGGTGTCTTATGGTGGAGACAGCAGGCAGAAGTGCATGAGGCGGCCCATGAGCTGCTACTGATGGGTGTGTTTGTAAGCAAGGGTAGAAAGAGATGCGCTACCCGCGGTCCCCTAATGTCGTGGCAGCACTTTCAACATTCACTTGTGAGGCGACAGGGGTCCAGCGCACGGGTACCTTAATGACGCAGCCGCAACTGCCTGCAGCAACCGCAATCGCGTCTTTTCGACGTGCTTCTTTCAACGTCCAAAGCTCGTGCTGGTTGAAGCTCGTGCGTGCAAGGCGCATCTAGGTCACCATAATTTGGTAATTTAGTCCATCTCTCGCCTACCCGCTCCTTTTCTTGCTCATCGCCTCGGTGCCTGCACACCAGGAACAAGCCTGCCTGCCTGCCTGCCTGCCCCGCCACGCTTTGTTCTATCACGACCGCAACCGCCACACGGACTTCGCGAACCACCCATCCACCCCCCCGAAGCGCCTTGTACAGCACCAACAGACTCTCGGAATCGCCCCCTTCCGACTAAGAGGCTCGTGTACAGTGCGCCAGACGCTTCAACCACGACATCCTCGCAGGTTCAAAGCGGACAAAGTTGCCCAAGATGGACGAGGACTCTATTCTCAACTTCTGCAGCATCACGTCGTGCGATCCGGACAAGGCCGCCCAGTATCTGCGCTTGACAGACGGCAACTTTGAACAAGCCATCCAGCTCTTCTTCGATGCGCCCGGGCTTGACTTTACTCCATCGGCACCTTCACAACCTTCGGCAGCCGCTTCGTCTGCACAACACGCAATAAATGTCGATTCAGATGATGACATGGACTTTGATGCCGCCACACGGGGCACCACTCCACCCACACGGGCCCAGCCGGGCGTCGAAGATGACGAAGCCATGGCGCGGCGGCTGCAAGAGGAGATGTACGGTGGGAGTGGACCTGGAGGTACTGGCCCTGACGAGGTTCGTGCACCTATGCAGCGGACCACGGAAACCCTCGTCGGCCCAGGCTCCAACTGGGGGCCTGCCGACGACGACGAGGATGTCGACGCCATGGTCCAAGAACAACTGGCTCGTCGCCGGACAGGTATGCCACACACGTCATTCATACAGTTCCCACATCTTGCTGACCCGTCTGACAAAGGTCGCGCCGGCATCTTCAACCAGCAGACAACTCAGACCAACGTGTGGGACAACACGACGGATTCAAGTACCCGCCGACGCGAGCTTGCAACCGCGACAGGCGGCGCGTCCGAGCAGTCTTCTAAGATGAGCATGCTCGCCGAGCTGTTCCGTCCGCCCTTTGAGATCATGTATCAAGGGCCGTGGGAAAAGGCACGAGACATGGGTAAAGACGAGGAAAAATGGCTGCTTGTTAACATCCAGGACCCCGCCATCTTCGACTGCCAGCGCCTCAATCGGGACATTTGGAAGAACGACGACATCAAGGCGACTGTACGCGAGAACTTCATCTTCATGCAGTATGCAAAAGACGACCAGCGTGGTCAGCAGTACATGAACTACTACTTCCATGCCCGCGACAGCTCTGATGCTTACCCACACATCGCCATCGTAGATCCCCGGACAGGCGAGCAGGTCAAGGTATGGTCAGGTCCACCAATACCCGAACCAGTCGAATTTCATGCTCAGCTTCACGAGTTCCTTGATCGTTACAGCCTGAATGTGAACGCAAAGAACCCTGTCGCGAAGCGAAAGTCCGAGTCCAAGAAGAAGGACCTGGGCCGCATGACCGAAGAGGAGATGCTCGAGATGGCTCTGAAAAACAGCATGGATAACGGCCAAGGCCCGAAAGATGACGATCCAGACGCCCTCACAAAGTCGACGGACAATGTCAAGGGCAAGGGCAAAGCGGATGAGGCTGCGTCCGAGCCCGAGGCCAGCGCACCCACAAATCCTCTATTCGCCACCATATCTGCACATGCTCCCCACACCGAGCCCACCGTTACCGATCCCAAAATCACAACGCGCATCCAGTTTCGAGGACCATCAGGTCGCCCCATCGTGCGCCGCTTTCACCTCTCAGACCCTGTACGCCGCGTCTACGAATGGATCAAGTCGGATATCCCTTGGGAGGGCAAGCAAGGCGCCGAGTTTGATCTTGCCTTTATGGGCAAAAACCTCATCGAGCATCTCGATGAGACCGTCGAAGCTGCTGGTCTCAAGGGTGCCAGTGTCATGGTTGAATTTCTTGACAACGAGTAATCAGCCGTGCTTTCTAATGGGAAACGAACCTGTGCATGTTCACGATTAATGGATTATGAAGTATGGCAAACTGCCGTTTACAGCTTAACGGCATTTCCGGGGCGGAGATACGTACTCTGGTGCCGTATGCATTACCAGGGCCGGGGTTTATAGATCTTCTTATGCCACCGCGTTGTGGTGAATACCCTTGCATTCTTTGGGGGCTTGGGGCGTAGTGTTATTCATCTTCAGCTTTGCACTGAGATGTCTAAATCCAATATATGTTTACCAGATCCTTACTCCGTGTGCGCGTGCAACGATACATTTTCTTCTCTCTACCTCAGCTCGTTCCGTAGCTTCGGTCCTTTGGCTGAGTGCTACCACACTTGTTCTGAGCTTTGCAGAGCAATGCGGCAAAAGATCATTCTGTACAATATGCATGTCTTGATTCAGTGTGTCTCAAACTATTGGATGGGTAGTCATGTTATCCAATCCCATTGCACTAATTGCACTAATTGCACCTCGCGTATCTCATTTTCCATTCTCAGGTCCAGCATCCGGCAACTCCTCGGACAATGTCGTTTGCTTAATCTCCTTCGAAGCCTCCTCCATTCGAGCAAGCAACTGGCCGGCTTCGTTCTCATCTTCCTCTTAGGTTCGTTCCTCGTCGACGTCCATTTTCCCATCATCGTCCTCCGGAGCCTCGTATTCAGGCATCTCAAGTATGTTCTCATCTTTGCCCAATCCAGCCAACCCCTAGGCGGCTTCTGCAGTAGATCTTCTTAGGAAAGAATCAATGTAGCCTCCGAGATCAGACTTGGCTTCATCCTCTGTCGTGGAGCCATTCACTAGCATCTGTATGACAATCTCCCGGTTGGTTTCGTAGTTGGTCGCGCCAAATGGACCAGAGTCTACAATCAAGCCAACGAACTACTTGGTTAACTCGGCTTCTGGACATTCTAAGAGCTGGTTCATTGCCAACTCCATTTTGGTGGCGTGGACGTCTTCATCATGAGAGTATTTTTCTCTTTTCTTATTGCCAGCTTCGTGGGTTGAATCTTTATCGTGGCCATCTCCGTCACTAAGACTCTCTTCCTGTACCTTCACTGTGCTCCCTGAGAACCTTTCCTTGGTAGGAACACCGCAATGTGGGTCTGGATCGGACGACGATGTCTCATGCCCATAGTACTGTTCCTGTATAGAACGTTTCATCTTCAGATACTGCTCGTATAGTGTCCCAAACTGAGTTGGCGGAATCAACCGGGTAACTTCATTCCCTGCGGGGTCGACAGGAATACGCGTGCCAGCATGGGAAACTCCCAACCTGTAGGTTTGTCCAGTGACCTGGGCATTGTTCCCGGATAGTACCTGGGCAAAATCTTCCGCCTCATTCTTTGCTATTTCCAATCCATCTCCAGCAGTTTCCGTGTCATGGCTGGGCAAGGTGTAATCTTGCTCGTGTGAAATGTACGTGTCGTCATCGGAGTCGTCATCGGAGTTGTCGATTGGCCGGGCAAGTTCATGTTCCTCTAGACTATCGGCCCACATAAGATTGTTGACGAACTCGCTCTGGTCGTTTGTGATCATTTTATAGCCCTGCAGTCGTCGTCGTCGTCGGCCATATAACTCGTTCATCAGAAAGTCTAAAATTCTTTCATCACCATCCTCTTCCTGACTCAAAATTCTTAAGTTTTGCGTAATGGCGATTTGGTTTGCTTTTGGGTCTTTGTTGCTCGTACATATGGCCCCGTCGCCTCTGGATGAGTCAGGAGTGACTTGCTTTTCATCTTTTTTACTACCTGTGAAGCTTATAAGAATCTTCAATGCGTCCTCGTCGAATACTATCAGTTCCCATGCCCTTCTTGCAGTCTCGTATAGGTATAGCCAGCGTTTGACGTTGGCTGCTCTGGTTTTCTCGTATCTGATGAACGTGTCCCAAGCAATAGGCCAGGCTTTGCTACGACCGGCATCGATAGCCTGCCCATGAAGTATGATGGGTGAAGCAAGAATTGGTCCGTCGTACTGATAGGTTCATTGTGAGCATGACTGTAGTTGCCAGGCCAGAATCTTGCAAATCCAGCCAACATACACGTACAAGTTTTGTACCGTGTACCCCAGCCCAGAATCTCCGAATATTTTTGGAGCCTCGTATAAAATAGGCGAAATCTTCGCCGGTAGTTGTGAAGTTTCGTATGTATACCATAGCGCCCAACGTATGTCGACTGATGTCATCGTAGGATGCCGCTATGTAGGCAGAGAGCTCATCCGATTGATAGGGTGCGTAGCGCCACTCCAACAAAAGCCTTTTGTGTGGAGATGAATCGATATTGACTTGCCTTCTCTTGTCAGCTGTTACTTCTTGTGAGATTACGTTACCTACGACACCCGGATCTCGCACGACGACTAGTTGAGTGCATCTTCAGTCCCTCGCGCCTTGGTCCGTTCTGATGGGAAAGTAACCATGGTTGAAGTGATAGCTAAGAATGTACACACGAACGTAAGCGATAGTATCTAGCAATGCGACAGATGGAGCTGCGTGGTTGTGCAGGCCAAGACAGATACAGGTGATCGGTCAGTCCATACGCAGAAGGAAGAAACACATTTGCAGATGAAGTAAGGCAGCTCGGATAATTTGGGCAGCTGCGACTTGTACGTAGCCAATGACATGTACTGTGCATGAGGAAGGCATGGGGCAGCTCTCATGGGCTTCTGTGAGAACTGCAAAGACGACAGGAACCCGAAAAACTAGCTTGGTCTGCCTGAAAAAAAGCGGTGTCAACCCTTTTCGCGTCAATGCTCTTTCATGATGTTCTCATCACCGATACGCTGAGTAAAGGTCACGGCTCTGTCCTTTATCCTCCAAACCCCGCTCGCACCCCGTACGCCCTCGAAATCACCGTTCTTTGCTTCTAGCAATACCATGTTGTCCACGTATTTGCCGAACGCGGATAGCATCTTTCCCTCGTGAGGGCCTTGCCCAAACTGTCGGAATCGATACAGTTAGCAAAGCAAGGCGTTATCTAGACTCGTTGTATAAGGCAGTGACTTACGTGTATACCGTGAAAGTACGTTACCACCCGTGCGGTTTGTGCATCGGATCTGAAGGTTATGGTCTGCGTCGTCAGGTTGTGATGTGTGCGAACCGGCCCGAGACTGCCATATCGTTAGATGCAGCTAATCGCACGAGTATGTGCACATGCCGTTTCTTGATTGCGCTCGCCACCTCCTTTACGTTCTTCATAGATGAGTTGAAAGGATAGTCAGCATCAACATCGGGAACGAACACCTCTTCCAACATATCAAAGTCTTTCGTATCAAGCGCTTGGCAGTAACGCGATACGACGTTCTTGATAGCTAAGACGTCAAGTGGGTTGATATCAGACATTTCTGGGTGTATGCGCCTCTACCTCATGTTCTGTGAGGGATTTATACCCTGCTTCTCTCGGAACCCCACTCCATGGATCCGAAACTATGGATCACCCGGGTGTCATAAGATACTTAACATACTAGTAGAAAAAGGCCACTGTAGTCGCTAGACACGCCTATCAGGTGCTTACCCAAACTATCAAGTATTTTATAACACCTAGGTGGGACAGTTCGGTAAGATGCTGTTCTTGGTTCAGTACTACTACATACCCCGTGTGTGTCTCGTCTAGACGTGCCCATCTTTTCCGCATTATTACATCATTGATACTGTAATGCTGATGCGAAAAGGCTATTCGTGCATAGTGAGCTAGGTGCATCAAAGCCGCACTGTCCTATAACGTCGAAACAGGTCAAAATCAATATTGTCAAACGCTTCTAAAACTCTTGAGGGCGAATGCAAGCTACAGTAGGGGACGAATAAGATGAACCCAGAGACTCACGGATGATCATGAGGGACTCTGAGAAGTATGGACGATAACCCACTGTGGCCCCACTTGCCGTATATGGTAACCCTCAAACAAACGTGGGTTACAGCGCAAGAACTGATTGAGAATCTAATATCGGTACAACCGAAAACTCTACATCAATAAGATTTCAATGCAAGATTTCACCAAAAGTGGAATCAGTCTTGACACTCTACTAACACATGTGAATACACCTATATCCCGCATGTCTTCTCCTCGGAATCTCGTTTCTCAGGCAGTGCTTTCATTGGAATGTACCGCAGAAGAAACTTACCTGATTGGGAAGACCCGGGTACCGATGCCGAACGGTGCACTATATGTCAGCCCCACTAGTATCGCTTATCTAACGTTCTACACCCTCAAACTTCTGAATTGTCACAAGACAGCATATTGTGTTCCAATACGCGCTTGGTCTCGACTGAAACGAACCGTTCATCCACTACGCTACGGCACGGGCCCGCCTAACGTCTCCCGTTAGGCTTTCCGTGCGCGCCTTGCATACCATCCTTGCTCTTTCTCGCTGTTCAGCTCGGTGATAATACTCAATGTGGAACGGGCATGGGATTCGTTGAGAATGAATATATGCATGAGATCCACGCCAACCAATCTGGCAAGTTCCAAGGATGTTCTATGCTCGCTGTATTGTATGCTGCAGCCACAAACCTCTCACATTATGGATAGCTTTCATATACCCTCCCCTAATGTGCAGCATCAAGTCCTAAGCACGCTTCATGAACCGCACTATGCGCACTACACATGCTGTGGGTGTGGACCCCACCGATGAAGTTTATCACTGATCCGGTCTTCGTCTTGTGGTTCCTTGTTCTTCTACTTCCCCGGAAGGTCATCATAAAAGCTGCCATCTTCCAACAATCATCCTCAAACGCTCCCATAGTTTATATCTACACCTCCGAGCATGATCATGCTAGACACAACCAACCTCGCCACGAAGGCATTCACTCTAGGTCTCGTTGGAGTTGCGTTAATTTTCACTGCACTACTATGTCACATCTTCTACATGCAAAGGCTCCATCCACTGGCGGGGTATCGTGGACCTTGGTATGCGACCTCATCCTCCCTCGCGAGCGCTGTAATCTCTGTGATACACAAAGAGCCTCAATGGCTCCAGCATTTATCGAATAAATATGGCAGTAAGTGGACCAAAGGCCATTAAAAGGATGCTCAACCCTGATATCATACAGCTGAACATCCTATTCGCATATCTCCTACAATGCTAGTCTTTTCCACGCCATCTTCTATGAAAGATATATACCGAGATCAACAATTGAATCTCAAGTCCGGATTATATGGTACAGGGGCTCTGGGACCCCCGTCCCTTGTTACGACTTTGGAAGGTGACCAGCATCGTGGCTTACGCAAAGCTTTGGCAAATGCACCATGGACTATCGGCCCGCTAAAGAACGCCTGGGAGTCACGCTTCGACGACCAAGTCTCACTCTTCATCAAGAAGATGAACGAACATGCAGAGGCCAATCGTACCATATGCATCTCAGACAAGGTAGCCCATTTCGCCGCTGACATACTGGGCATGATCTCATTTTCACATCCATTCGGCAGTGTCGAGAACCAACGCGACGAGAAAGAGCTTCTGGCGAATTTCCGCAAAGGCCTCACTTTCTTTGGCTTTGCGGGGAGGAGTCGCTTCTTCAGGGATACCATACTGCGCATTCCCGTCGTGGGACAGTGGTGGCTACCAGTTGCTTCGAATGATTCAGGGATAGGATGGCTGATGTGCGAAGCGGACCGTCAGGTATCTGGTCGCGAAAGGGAGAACGCCGAGAAGCAGTTCGAGGGCCAACGCGACTTTTTGCAATAGTAAGTCCTATTGAGCGATGAAATTGTTTCGCTATTCTAATGGCGCCCTAGCTGCCTTGATGCCCGTTATTCGGACGGCTCTTCATTGACTCCTGTACAGAAGCGTGCTCATGTCACACTTCTAATTCAAGCGGGTGCAGACACTACCGGTACTGGAATGGGCTCGACACTTCGGTTCATTCTTACTAATCCGGCGGTTCTCGCAAGAGTACGCAGTGAAATAGAGGACGCGGAAGCAAGTGGACTCCTTTCGACCCCGATTCGCTACGATGAGACACGCGAACATCTCCCCTTCTTTGTGGCATGCATCAAAGAAAGCCTTCGGTTAAATCCACCGGCTCCAAATCTTTTTCCAAGAATCGTTCCCAAGGGAGGTAAAGTCATCGACGGGCACTTTGTACCAGCAGGAACAGAGGTCACGAACAACGCGTGGACTATACAGAGAAACAAGGATTTCTACGGTGCAGACGCTGAGGAATTTAAGCCTGAGCGATGGATGGAAAACGAACAAAGGAGCTTCCGGCTGGAGGCTGCTCAATTCACATTCGGGGCGGGGCCTAGGGTGTGCCTCGGTAAAGAGGTCGCTATGCTAGAGATGCACAAATTGCTTCCGGAGGTAAGTCACCTCCCTTGGACTAAGCTTCATTATTCTCTGGGCTAATGTTTCAGATTATCCGTCGTTTTGACATGGAGGTCAAGCACCCGGGCAAGTACATTGTCAATGGTGGAGTCGCGTACAATGTCGGCTTTCTAGTGAACATGACAACCAGGAACATTGCGCCCTAAACTTCCACCAAACAGAGGCATCCATAGTCAATTTTCTCTCGTGTTTTCATACACATACGAGAATTATGTTCACATGGATCCGACCACCGCCTTGTGCCGGTTAAACCCAGGCTAATATATGGTTGTACTTGAATCACACTATTCTCTAGTCCGTCGATCCCCCGCGTAGCACTTGTGTCAAATTCAGACATATTTTTCCGTATATTCTCTAATTGGGCTATGTGATGTGGGTACGTTAAGCTCATCTCGTACGTTGACACGGGTGACGGGACTGACCTGGAATATCTACTGGCGCGGCAGCCAAGCAGCAAGGGTCTGCTTGTGATATTAACACAAACCTTGCAGCTTCTAGACTATCTTGGTCCTAGTATACGTAATTCAGCGCCCAAGTAAAAGTCCATTGAGGTTCCGAGTACCGCGATCGTGATGTAGGCCGGTGTTGGAATCGCAATCTAATCTACATATCGCAGTCTCCGAAAAAAACGCCTAGATGGGTTGGCAGAACACACAGAATAACCAAGTTGAGATTAATACGAGTGGAGAAATGCCTGATGGCTAGTCATGAATGGAACTCTACTCAAGTCATGAGACATGTGTTGCAGTATAAATGCACTGCCGTCCCTACCATATCACCCAGAGCCACTCCAGCTGCTTCTTTGGTTTCCTCTCTTGGCTCTTTACTGTTCAACCAGAATCAATATGCATATCCCTTACCTTGCCACAGCGCTGGCACTCACCGGCTTAGTTGCAGCCACGCCAATCGAACCACGTCAAGCAGCTCAGCTCAACCCAGCCATCCGGGCCAGAGGCCGAAGCTACGTCGGGACCTCCCTCACAATCCGCAATGATGCCACGGAGCAGGGAATCATTAAGAGTACAGAATTTGGGTCTATCACGCCGGAGAATGCGATGAAGTGGGACGCTACGGAGCCGAGTCAGGGAGCATTTACTTTTAGTAGTGCAGATGCTGTTGCGAACTTTGCGACAGCAAATAACAAAGAGGTATGCTGCTTGTTGGCCGGAATGAGAACAAGAGGACTAATACAAAATGTGATGAATAGCTTCGCTGCCATACACTGGTCTGGTATAGTCAGCTACCCAGCTGGGTCAGCCAGATCAACAACAACGCAACGTTGATTAGTGTCATGCAAAACCACATCACAACACTCGTTACCAGGTACAAGGGTAAATGTACACACTGGGACGTTGTCAACGAAGGTGCGTCGAGGCAAAGCAGATGGAATACAAGGGCTAGAGCTGACAATACTCCCAGCACTCAACGAGGACGGGACCTATAGAAACGACGTATTCCTAAGGGTCATTGGCGAAGCCTACATCCCCATGGCCTTCAAAATGGCCGCTGCTGCCGACCCAAACGCTAAACTCTACTACAACGACTACAATCTCGAGGACGGAGGCGCCAAACACGCTGGCGCTATGAAGATTGTTAAGCTCGTTCAATCCTATGGCGTGAAAATCAACGGCGTCGGTTTCCAAGCTCACTTGGCATCCGAGTCGACGGCGAGTGCAGGACCGTTGCCCAGCCTCGCAGTTTTGACCAAGTCGCTCCAAGATGTTGCTAATCTAGGGGTCGACGTCGCGTATACTGAACTGGATATCAGGTGCACTTTACCGGCTACCAGTGCCAAGTTGGCGGTTGCTGCGACTGCTTGGGCCAGGGTTGCGCAGTCATGCCTCAATGTCAAACAATGCGTTGGTATCACCCTCTGGGTATGTTGAATTTCATTAACCATGAGAAGAAGCTCACGTACTGACCTTTTCTCCAGGGCGTTTCGGACAAGTACTCTTGGATTCCGGGCATTTTCAAAACAGAAGGGTCTGCCCTTTTGTGGGACGCGAATTTTGCGAAGAAGCCTGCTTACACCTCGTTTTTGAACGTGTTGAATGGACAGTCTGTTACTTCAAAGTGATAAATTGACACCTACGGCAGCTTGAGTGGGGAAGTTGGATGCTTGGCTTCAGTTTGGGGGTAGATGAAGAGCACCACGTCGCACGCGCGGAATTCTTCACTGTCATTCATTTTGTAGAGATATTTTGTGAAAAGCCTCCCTTGGAAATACATTATTTGGTTCTGTCCTTTTGCTCAAAATCATCCTGCGTCTCGTTAGCCCATTGCTCCCGTCGTCGTACAGTGAAGACCAGACTCATGCAGCATATGAAGCCTGTGCACAAAACAGCCGTCTTTACCGTAATACCTGCACATGCGGCTGGTTGCTACTAACATCGCTTTATTTGTCTGTTCATGTGTTGCTAGGGAAGGTTGTCCGCAAATTATCCGGGTACCTTAACCGTCCTGTCGGCAGCCCCCTACTCCCTCTATGCCATGCCAAACAACTTTGTGAACGCACAGCCCAACAGATGTCTGACTGGCAGTTTCCACATCAAGCAACTATCATTTTCCATTGATCGCTGTACGCCTTGAGGGTTGATCCATGAACATCGTCTTTAGACGAGCGTCCTCATGCATGGGATCCGTGTGGCGGCCTGTGATTGGCCACACAGCGGTATACATGCTGAAGAGTGGATTGCCACATCGGAACACCTCCCGCGTTGGTAGTCGCGCGATACTTGGTCGTTGACCTGCCCGAAGTTAAGCAACTATCGGATGGGAGCTAATGTGCAGCGTCGGGCGACAACAATTCGCGATACACAGTAAACGGCGGCCGGATGCGGTGCGACAGCCAGGCTTTCGTCCCAGTTAGTTAGCGAGCGTCGAAGAATAGCTAGCTGAGCTGTCCCAATGCATGGTACTCACGGTTCGTTATGTATGCGCCTCAGGTCCGGCAAGACGGATGGAACCGGCTACGTGCCATGGGAGCCTCTATTGCGTTCCAGCAGCTGGCCGAGATGCAAACGTCATTTTAGGGTCCAAAGCGGCGGCTGCGGACAGAAGATGTGGACAATTTCGGCCTAGATAATGACATCCTCTTGTGTAGCGTTGACTTCTTTCATGACGGCGATGTGTGCGTAAATGCATGTGCCATGCTAACATAAACATGGCTCTCGTTCAACTCTTTTGCGTCCCGAGGTACTTTGAGTAGAATCGGAATGAGCATAAAATAGCCCAGCTCTGCACATATACGCATGTACGTAACGTGTAGCGTGAAGCCAATAATACAATCGACACGCGATGTCTTCGAATGCGGCTAGCGGCATCTACTACGTCGCCTTGGCTCTACGTGTGGTGGGATCCCTCGTACAGGATTGCAGCAGACAGGCATCCTGTAACCTGCCATACGCGCCACCCGAATATGATCGAATTACAGACACCTCTCAAGAGCATACTCAACTTTCGCGATGTCGGCCAGTTTGTCAATGAGAACGCAGAAACAGTGTATTAAAAATGGTGCATTTGCATCGCAATACAGCTAATCACTTTGCAGTCGTCTCCAAACCGGTCTGCTGTACCGAAGTGCGCGCCCTGGTATGTCTGCTGTGTGTATTGTCAATGATTAAGCTGAGCCGTATCAGACGAGGCCTCCTTTCAGGACAGACAAAGGCTGTTAAACGAGTACAGGGTGAAGAGCATCATTGATCTACGAACAAAGTGAGCTGGCCTACTTCAAACCATGCATCACCAACTTATCGTTGTAGAACAGAACACATTGAACAAGCACAAAAGCACGAGGCGAGGATTAAAGCCTCAGCAGCCGTACCCCAGACGAACAAGGATGTTGCAGAGCCTTTACAGATTACCGGCATTGACTATCACGAGATCAACTTCAATGGGTCGGCATTCTCTCGGATGCTCCTCTCCAAGCTCTCTTGGTTCGAGTTTTTCAAGCTGGCAGGTCTCATGATACTTGGGTACCGCAAGGACGCAATCAAGATTCTAGCACCTCATATGGAGGGCATGGGATTAATTGGGTTGGCCCAGCAATCTTTGGATGTATGCACGCGCGAAGTCACGCAGGTCTTCGATCTGTTGGGAATCGAAGATAGTTGGCCAGTCCTAATTCATTGCACGCAGGGCAAGGACCGCACGGGGCTTATAGTGATGCTCGTCCTGTGGTTGCTTCAAGTCGACCAGGCAATCATTGACAAAGACTATCGACTATCCGAGCCGGAACTGGAGCCAGAGATGGAGGGAAGACTAAAGGAGATGGCGTCAATTGGCTTGTCGGAGCAGTTTGCTGTCTGTCCCCCGGATGTGGTGAACAGTACATACTCTCATATCGTGGAGAAGTACGGCAGTGTTGAGCAGTACTTGGAGAAAGCTGGTGTAGCCAAGAACAAAGTGGACTTTGTGAAGAAGAAGCTACGAGCGGATGCGTCGTAGGCGTGCCCCACCAATACTATCAAGTAAGCTTGGCGGAAATCACAATCTGCTCCTATCTGGACCACCTTTTGGCGTGCTCCTGGAAGGGCTAGGCCAGACGCAGAAGATAGATAGCAGACGGGAGACGGCAGACGGCAAACGACCGAAGAGATGGTGAGGCTGAGGTCAAGGTTGTTGTTGTCGAGGCATCAAAGCATGAGATGTTGTAACCACGTTATACTACGGTATGCTACACAACAATACTACTATGATACTATTGTGCATTGCCAATCTATGTACATCATCGCCAGCGGTGTGTTGTTGTCCAAGGTTTGGAGCTAGGCTTGGAGAGCACAACATCGGCAGGGGCAAGGGCGAGACCCTGGTGCGTCTTCGCTTAGATTCACCGCCGTTAAAGCGCTCTCTCCGCAACACGTACTTTCCATGTTGCAAAATTGCCCAGTGGTGCAGGATGAGCAGCAATACCTCCGAGGATAACTTTGAGTGGGTTGAGACGCCGCCGGCGCCCTCACCCACGACGCCCGAGTTCGACTGCGGCGTCAAGACAACGTCGGTAAGTTGCATGTGGGCTGGCTGGGTCAAAGTCAACAAAGACCCCGCCAGCCATTGAGCAGCGACATGGTGAGCCAGCACGCTGATAGTGGCCAAACAACAGTACCCGACCATTGCCAATGCTCCTCTGCCTGCAGAAGGTTCGGGCCGCGACTCGTTCAACAACTATGTTCTCATTTCGCTGCTGGTGGGCATCCCCGCCTACATCACATGGAGCTGGGGCATGGGCTTCAAGACGTGGGTCTTCCTAGCCCTTGTCCTGTGTCTGCCCATCCTGGGTCCCTTTTGGTGGCTCACGTCCGAATTCGCGCCCCGCAAGAACGAAAAGGCCAAACTGCCCGGCAAGCCCATTGAGCACTACCTCAAGTTTCACAAGGCCGAAGACCGTGACGCCTACTACGGCAAGAAGCAAATCCCCATCGAGACATTCCAGGAAAAGTACTTTGACGGTGACATTGAGCTCAATGGCGACATGCTCGACATTCTCGAATGGCGTCACGACTGGTCCAAGCCCCGCTTCACCCTCGGACTGATCAAGCACTTCCTCTTTGGCATGATTCCCGAGATGATTGTCCACTCACGATCCCAAGGTCTGTACGACCCGAAACATGTCCACCAAGCTTGCATACTGACTCCACGCCAGACGAAGAGCAGGTACGCGACCACTACGACCGCGGTGACGACTTCTACGGCTGGTTCCTCGGTCCACGCATGATCTACACGTCGGGCATCATCTCCGACATCAACAAGGAAGAGAGCTTAGAGCAACTCCAGGATAACAAAATGTCTGTTGTTTGTGAGAAGATTGGCTTAAAAGAGGGCGAGAAGATGCTCGACATTGGCTGCGGATGGGGAACACTCACCAGGTTCGCTTCCGTCAACTACGGTGCGCATGTGACTGGTGTTACTCTTGGCCGTAATCAGACCGCGTGGGGCAACAATGGCCTCAGGAAGTCTGGAATCCAAGAGGACCAATCCAACATTCTCTGCATGGACTACCGCGACATACCACTCCCCCCCGGTGGCTACAACAAAATCACCTGTCTCGAAATGGCCGAACACGTTGGTGTCCGCCACTTGAGCTCCTTCTTCCGCCAGGTTTACGACATGCTTGACGATGACGGTGTCTTCTTCCTCCAGATCGCTGGTCTCCGTAAAGCTTGGCAATTTGAGGACTTCACTTGGGGTCTCTTCATGAATAAGTACATTTTCCCTGGTGCCGACGCTTCTACCCCTCTCGGCTTCGTCATCGACACCCTTGAGGGTGCTGGCTTTGAAGTGAAGATGGTGGATACTATTGGTGTGCACTACTCCGCTACTCTCTGGCGCTGGTACCGTAACTGGCTCGCCAACAAGGACAAGGTCGTTGCCAAGTATGGCATCCGGTGGTTCAAGGTAGGCTCTTTGGTTTCATCTGTCGGGCTCTCAGAAGCTAACAATAGTCCAGATTTGGGAATACTTCCTCGCATATTCCACGATTGCTTCTCGCCAAGGTACCGCCACGTGCTTCCAAATCACTTGCGTCAAGAACCTCAACGCCGTCCACCGTATCGACGGTATTGAGACACAGTTCAGTCTATCTGCCGCTCTTGCTGCTAGCAGAGCGAAGCTTGCGGCGAAAGCGCAGTAAACTCTCACATTCAACTACACGAGCTGCGTCATTTCATGGCCTTTGATTTAGCCTTTGATTTATTGGAAGATAGTGCCAAGCAGTTGAGACGATGAATAAAACCAACGATATAGGATATGCCGATATGAAGGCGTCGAGCATCGTCAGCATGAGCTGAACCGAGAATAAGAAGTGGAAGAAGCTCGTCAGAGCTGATACAATCCTGAATGACTGTCATCTCCCCGATGAATATAGAAACATATATGAAAAAATAAGACTACGATTATATATGGTCGTATTGTACGAACATCGAGTATTTTTGATGGAACATGTCTCTACACGGTGCTCGGTTATTTAATGCACACTGACTTTGGGATGATAAACTGCTCTAGTGTAAAATATCTCTGGATACGGTAGGCTAACAATAGTCTGGAAAGCTTAATCGATAATAACTACGTACGTGGGAAATAGAACCATGCTTCATGATTGTTGCGTGTACGTAAATTTACCAAGATGCCCCACGGTATTTGACTCATCAATCCACTATTCTTATCCAACGCCACGCTCCACTTCCACTTACCAAACTGAACGCATATGTAATTATGTATAGTTATATCCCAACATATTTGACTTCCATTCATCATCAGCCAATCAGAGCAGAGTACCGGGTGGTATGGTCTAGTGGTATGACGTCGCGTTGTGGCTGGCGGAGAGCATTGAAAGTTCTCCTGATCCAGATCCGCGCCAGCCTGGGTTCGAGTACGTTTGAATTCCTCTTAGATTAAGTCGGTTTTACTGAGACATTGCAAATGCTAATATGTCTAAAGTTCCCAGTACCGCCAATATTGCGACATAATTTTTTTTGCTCTAGTATTTTCATACTTGGAATTCAAGTATACCATCTCTTTTTTTTATAAATATAGGTGCTAAGAGTCTGTCTCATAGGCAAATAATAATTTTAGAACCAGGCATTTCTAGCAGCCGTATGGTCAACCGACTACTCAAGGCATACCCCAAGTAGATACAAATTAATCCTAATATCCAACCTTACGCCCCTTTCCATCCAGACTGCTCTAGCACAGCCAATCTCCGCCCTATACTCCCAAAGCAGACGCAGCTACAAAACAAGACACTACCCACCCACGTCACCACAGCCAGGCTCTCGTAGCTGATCATGCCAGCAAAAAACTCTTGCCCCATTGGCGCTACTGTGCTAGGCCTGCCCTGCATGTGTGTACTATCACTCATAGACGGGACTTGTGTGGCATTTGTGGTAGGTGGTAAGGAGGGAGAAGGAAGTACATTCGGGTTCGAGAGGAAGATGAATGAGGTGAGGATGGAGGTTACAGTGAGCGAGACGGAAAGCCCTGGTTTTGAACGGTCGAGAATATACCAGAGGGCTGGGTTTACGAGGGCGAGGGTGAGAGTCAGCTGGAGAGTAGACTGCCAGGGAAGTCGTCGCTGTGGAAGACGAATTAGCGCATGTTTCCACGATTGATGGATTGCCATGGGAAAGAGTAGAGTGTGACATACGATTGCAAATGCGATGCCTAGAAAAGCAGCCACGCTCCTCACAACATCGTTGATCTGCTCGCTGATGGGCGAGTCGTGCGTTTCCACCTCCTTCTCGTCGGTCTGACTGGCCCGCTTCTGCACGTCCCATACAAGGTCAACATATGGTAGCAGACTGCCCAGCGCGACACCAAACAACCCCCAGCTTGCAAGGTAGGTCCGGCTCTCGCGACCGACGCCATCAACGTGCACCGGCGCCAATTGCCGAGTTTCGTGCAGGTGCGAGACAATGATGCCGTAGATGACGCCAAAAGCATAGAGGGCGGCGAGCTTGCCTAGAATGACGGCATACTTCCAGATGCCCCGTCGCGGTTGTCTGGCAGTGTGGTCATGTGCCTTTCCCTCGGTCTGGCGTGTGCTTGCTACTCCCCTGGCCTGGTTCTTGAGACTCCGACCGCCATCAGGACTGCCCATACCAGGCTCGTAGGCGTGAAAGCCCATGGCCATGTGCGCGGGCGTCTCTGCGCCCGTCCCCCACGGCGTTTCCGCCATGCTCTGGTCCCCGGTTGTACTCTCGCCCGTCTCGTCGTAGATGCCAGACAAGGTGCTGCTCATGTTCAACACGCTCTTGTTCCGCGGCGGCAGGGTCCTTTCGCGCTCCGCCTCTTCCGATTCGTCATTGCGCGAGTTGCACGTTCTCAGCAGACGTGCGTTGAGCTGAGCGAGGAAGTCGGCTGATCCGCGGTTCTCGCGTGCGCTGGGCGGCGTGGATTGCAAAAAGTCGTGTGTTGGTGAATGCGCAGCGTCCTTGTACGAGTCGAAGTGGCGGCGCGGGACGGGGCGGTGAATGTGCAGCGGAGCTTGTGCCGCATTCATCTTCGAAGGAGCGTCTTCTGCCATTGCTGCGCTTCAGTCCCGTCTGAACAGGCTATGTACCTTGCGCCAACTTCTATCTAATGGCCACGGCCCCAACCCTGTGGTTGCTCTCGCCTACAGCAGCTTTGATCGTAATATGGGAAGCGACCGTGGGGAAGAAAAGATGGCGAACAAAGTGCAGGGACGCTACAGTGATAGACCCATCCGCCTCACTCGTACAGATTGTTGCTTATTGCTGTGGAATGGGACTAGAAATGACCTCTAATACCGAGTCAGTGCACGTGTCACGAGTTCTGAATGACTGCGCTCGGCCTTATACTGGAGCCTGGCAAACCCTACCCTCGTATCGGCAATCAAATTGAGTAGGTGGGTGGGGAATCTGCAAAGCTGCAATGAGGGGATGCTGCATCATATGCAAGCTAGTATGTTAAGCTGACGTTGTTGGGCAGTCTGCTTGCATGTGCCCTGAGATCTGAGATGACTTTCATGTGAAGATCGGCCGACTCTGGTGGGTCCGACCAACCTCGTCCGCATCCTCAACACTTCAAGCTGCGACTGGCATCGTACATGTTTCATTATATGTACGCGGCTACCCCGAATGGATATTGATGCTACTACTGTACACAGGATCCTGGCCCATTGCGTAAACAATATCTCACCCACTACGACTGTCAGATGCTGTCTTGTACGCACATGCCAAGGAACCCGCTTTTGCTCTCCGTCCCCAACTGCAACAGACTACAGCACTAATTGCTCAGGACCCTATGCACCTTTTTGCCCTTGTACCCTGTATGTTCGTAGCGTCATCAAGTGCCTTGTTGCCACCCCTGGTCATGTTGCCCACTACTTGTCACCCGCGCTCAATCGACGATAGGTTGGAGGATGTTACCACTGTGGACTTTGTAAGCGCATGTGTAGAAGTGGACGCGCAGTGAAACTTACGCTACAATATTGGCCCAGCCGATGAGGCGCCAGTGCTTTTCGATACGTCGGGACAGGGCTACCTTCTCACCGATCTCTGTGCATGCGGGTGAGGTCAGGGATAGGCGTGCGGCATCAGCCTTGACAGCGATAACCTTGGCACCAGTAGCGGTTGAACCGATGTTGACCATCTAAGCGAGTGAGCACCGATCTGCTGCCATTTTGGTATTCTACTTACAAGGACTTCGTTCTTTGCAAGCTTGGCCACCTTGGCCTGCTTGCCGTCGGCCGTCTTCACGCCGAGTAGTCTGCGGAGAAGGAAGTAGTTGACCTCAAGTTCAGTGTAGATATTCGGCAGGTGGCCACGAAGACCCAGGACGAAGCCGACAAGACGATCCGCACGGCACAGCGTAGGATCGACGCGTGTACCGACACCTGCCACGTGTTAGTCGAGCTGCAGATTATCGGGTCCAAATATGGCGGCCTACCAATCAATCCTCCCGGAACCGCAAACTTCAGATCGTTGTGCTCAGCAAATAGAGATACTACTCTTGAGAAGATGGGCTTGCACTGAATCTTTCCAGCGCTGTCTTTTGATACAATGCCGGGCCTGATTTCAATCTCGTCTCCCAGCTTCAGCACACCAGTCAAAATACTGCCACCAGCAACACCACCCTTCAGCTCGTCAATCTCAGCACCGGGCTTGTTGACGTCGAATGATCGAATGACAATCATGTGTGGCTTTGCAGAGAAATCTCGTACTGGGACGGGGATTTTGCTGATGAGATGCTCGTTGATGGCGTCAATGTTGAACTTCAACTGCGCCGAGATGGGAATGATGGGCGAGCCATCAGCCACGGTTCCTCGAATGAATTTGAGGATCGACTCGTAGTGCGACGCAGCGCTGTCTTCCCGCATCAGGTCGACTTTGTTCTGGAGAATAATGATGTGGTTCAGCTTCATGATCTCGATAGCGGCAAGATGTTCACTGGTCTGCGGCTGCGGGCAAGTTTCATTTCCGGCAATGAGCAACAGCGCAGCATCCATGACGGCAGCACCTGATAACATGGTGCTCATGAGAATATCGTGACCGGGACAGTCGACAAAGGAGACGTGGCGCTTGAGTCGGTATCGTCCTCCGCATCCCTCACGCTCACAGGCCGGATCGACCTCCTTGTCGCTCTTGTATGACCGATAGCATGTAGGACGCGGGCACTCTACGTTGTCGCATTGGTAGATCTTCGCGTTCGCGTAACCAAGCTTGATGGTGATATTCCTTTCGAGTTCGTTCTTGAAACGAACAGTCTGTACGCCGGAAATGGCCTTTACTACGGTACTCTTTCCGTGGGCCACGTGGCCAATTGTTCCAATGTTAATTGTAGCTTGACGGGAGATGATCTCAGGCGACAATGGGTTAAGCGTCGTAAGGTCGAGGGTGCTTGGATCTGGTTGCTCGCTTTGTGCGAATTAGTTCTTGTACAGCAGAGCGGCTCATTGAGAAACCTACGGGAGCTCTGGACGTTCTACAGGCGCCGCCGGTTCCCGGCCCTTCTTGAGTGCAGACTTTGGCTTCGTCTCCTCAATCTCCTCTTGTTCGGACATGCTCTCCTCATCGCGGTGCTCGTGGTCGGACTCGGACTCCATGCTGGGCAGTCTGGGTGAAGGTATCAAGGGCTTGGTAGTATTGTAGCGCAAGACCGAGATTGTGCAGTTTCGATATGTCGTGGCGATTGTTGTAGGTTTGACTTAGCGACGACAACTTCCCACTTCAAATCCCACACAAAGTGACTCAAACCCTAGCCAACCGTCAGTGGTGGCGGGGCTGTGCCAAGTCACTAGTCGTCGGCGAAAGGTTCCGCCGATTATTGAATAAAACTCCTCTCGGCCCCGTCCTTTCTTCCAATCTCCATTGAACAACGCAAAAAATTGCACACTCACGAAAAGCATTTTCTTTGGAGAGACCCATCGTCTACGGACGGTGTGAGGTTTCCATGAGAACGAAAACCGTCTGTGAAGTGGAGAATACAATGGCTGATCTTGGGTGCGGTTTCTCCCTGCTTTTGCAATGGGAGAGAGCGCAATGATCGGTCGTACATATATGTAATATGTGACACTATAAGTTTGCAGGCACCTACCGCAATCTGTGTGAGCCAGCCCTGTTGTCGAGATCGTGTCGCCAGAGATACAGAGGGAATGGGCGTCCCAGTTTATACCTTCGTTGTCGGGTGGTTGGGCCAGCGAGCTTAACTATGTTGCGTCTAGGGACTTGTGGTTCATTACTGGTGCTACTGTCATGTTGCTCTACACATACTGGATATCGTCGCCATGGTCCAACTCTTCGAGAATTTGGTGAAATGCTGCGCTGCACCTATGACGTCCTCTTGTATGACCTTTGTTGTTCCTGTTCAGAACGGAGAAGAGTTCATAGTAGTAGTTTTAGGGTACTTGGTGTGACTTTCTTATATGACTACATGTTCTTATATCTCAAAGGGCCTTGAACACTTTTCTATGTGTCGTTTTGAGCCCCGAAAGTGATTTCTCGCCCCAAAGCTCACAACACCTCTGAGAGCACATACAAGAGGCTTTGAGGGCGGAGCATTGGCAGTCCTTGTAAGTATACGAAGTCACGCGTCTGCGGCTGTCTCCGGTTGTCTTAATGAGGTCTTCAAGGCGGGCAAGGGCAGATATGACGAATCTCGCTGCAAACCTTACACTGCCTTTCTATATGATAGAGAGCTTGAACTATCCGGTAATTCCGCAGCCCGTAAGAGGTACTTGCTTCCTGAGGTGTGGCGGTGCGAGCCATGATCGCCCTGATGCCTCTGTTGAGTTCCCTGCGTCGGCTAGAACGGGGGCAGATCGGCACGGCGGGTGTAACTCCACACGAAACCTTGCGCACGCTTGTGTACTAGCACTGCGACTGTCGAGAGTTGCTATGACATCATCGTCTTCATCGTCATTTAGCCATGAAGGGTGCCGCAGTCAGTAAGCTTTGCAGGTGTTTGGCTAACCACCAACATTCCTACGATATTTGTATACCCCAAGAACAGTGCTCCGTTGTTTATCGCCCTCACCATGGCGACTACGACTACAGCAAATGCGCCCCCCACTTCTGGCAGTATGCCAATGAAGACAACGGAAGAGGCGGGTCCACCGCGATTCCCTGCTGACACCAAGATGCACTGTCCTGACCCATCGGCGCATCAGCCAAAGAGCAGCGCATTACAAAATCAGGCATCCGCAGCTGCGCTGTACTCACACAACCCGCCTAGCACCCTCAAGACAAACGCGTCGCGGAGCAGCACAAACCTGCTCGGGGCCGACGGCAAGCTTTCCTCCGCAAGTGAGTGCCTTTGATTAACCTAATGATATACGATCTGACCTGATTTCTCAGGCGCTGCCACCAGTCTCAAGTACGCAAAAGCGCAGGATCTTCCCAGCTATCCCGTCATTGGCATCGACACCAAGTCGTCTGCTGGCGCCGCCGCTTTACTGGCTGATCAAAACAAGAAGAGCCCAGCACGATGGAAACCCGAACAGTCGTCGGCGGCAGGTAAGGCAGCATTAATCGCAAACGGCTACAAGATGGCCCCAGCATGGCGACCAGAGGCTAGTACGGCTGGCTCAAAGGCAGCTCTACTTGCCCATAGAGATGCTGTTAAGACGAACGCATGGCAGCCTGAGGCTAGCTCCGACGGTCATTCGGCTGCGACTATTGCAATGCGCAAGAAAGCACCCGGTCCCAACGTCGATCATGGATACACAGACCAGAGCAGGAAGAACGCTTTCACTGCAGCCACGGATGCTCACTCTGCTTCGCGACGGCTGCGCTCTCAGTCTAACCCAACACTCCCGCCACTGTATCCAGACGCTCATAACTCGGCAAAGAATGCATTAGGCGCAGCGACACTTGCACACAGCGCATCCACGCGAGCCAAACCACAGGTCAGTGTAGTTGATTCCAATCGCCATGGCCACGGCGCGATGGAGGCAGCTCGTATACAGCATGCGAAGAGCATATCGCGGGACATGTACACCAGTACCCCTTCTGTATCGCTGGAGACAGAAGAAAAGAAGCGCAACGACGCTCTTCGTGCGTCTGCCATCTCCATGGCCAAGAAGATCTACGATGTACAACAGCAGAATATCGATGTTGCATCTGGAAGATCTGCCGCGCGTACAGGTGCAACTGCTGCTCATAGTCAGCAGCCAGCAACTGGCGAGGCTGATATTAAGCAACAAGCGATGCGCTATATTGGTATCCAGGAAGCTGCTCAAAAGCTGGCCCAGGAAAGACTGGCCAAAATTGGATTTGATGAGAATGCGGCGTACAGAAGTTATTATGGCTATGAACAGCCAACTCGCTCAAAGCTCAGTATGCGCCGTGGCCGCAATCGTGCACACAGTGCATCAGAGACTGCAGCTGGAGAAACATCAGATTCGGACGAAGATGATTTCCGTTCGAGGCGCATTCGCTCGCAAATGGAACAGTTCAACAAGCAGTTGGCTGATGTGGACGCAAAGAAACGTGAGAATGATCGCAAGTCTTTGCTTGCTGCGGCCCAGCGCAGAGTTCAGGCTCAGATGCAGGGCATGGACAAGAAGATCTACGACGAGACCGGCAGAATGTCGTCTACCATGATCGACGAATGGGATGAAAAGGCCCGTAAACGTGCCGTTGCTAACTCGGAGGCTCGTATGGAGAATCATGGCAGAGTGCATATTGGCAACGGCAAATGGATGGACCAGGCGGACATTGATGCTATTGCTCAGGCCAGAATTCAACCCACTCTAGATGAGATTACCGAGAAGACCGAAAAGCGTTTGGCCGAGGATGAGAAACGGCGGGCTGAAGAAGAGGAGCGTCGGCTTGATATGGAACATGAGAAACGCCGCATTAAGACTGAGAAAGAGCGTGCTGCCGAAATCAAGGCCGAAGAAAAGCAGGGGAGGGGTAAGTGCACGTCGTCATCTTCATATCAGGCATTACTAATACTATGATAGAGGAAGAGAAGAGGGTCGCTAAAGCACGAGCTATTGAGGAGAAGACTGCGGCAAAACAAGAGAAGGAAGCTGAGAAAAAGAGAATAGAGGAGGATAAATTGGCTAGAGAACAACACAAGTCGAACGATGTTCCAGTCGCTGAAGACGTCGATAACGATGGCTTGTACAACGAGCCGACGCTTTCCACCGAAGCCCGAAATACACCCGGACATGAAGCTGCCGACATGACCTCACCGACGTCACCTGGATCCTCGAAAGGATTCAAATCGCTCCTTAGCAAGCTAAAGCGGCGATCGAAGCACTCATCCACAGATGGGTCCGAGGATAATACCAAAGAAAAAGAGACGGCTTTCGTCGGTGGTGCAGCACTTCGGAATCCTGCATCGAAGGATCCATCGCAGTCACATTCATCTACAAGCACTGTTCTGCCAGGGAGGGCTGTAGAAAGCCATGTGTCCGCCGAGGTAGATCGATCAACAGAAGCAAATCTCACCAAGCCCGTATATGTCCCTCATGTTGACAATACTGATGGAGACCGTTACTCGGATGTTTCTTCCTTGTCAAGCGATGGAGATGAGTTTGACATGGTTAGGGGTCGCTTAACAAAACGCGTTGTTAGCGGAAGTACAGACATGTCTGGAGCGGAAACTTTCGAGGAAGCCAGAGACCACTTTGATGAAAACCTCGTACCACCTCCAGCATTTGGCTCTGAGGTGGCGACTGCACGAAAAGGAAGTCCCAGTCGCGAGTCGAAGTTCCAAGAAGTCGGACTATAGTTCACTGTGGCTTGCAAGGGTTGGAATTACACCGTTCCACCTGGGTGTTACAAAATACTTGACAGTATGGGTAAGCACCTAATAGGTGTGTCTGGTGACTACAGTGGCCCTTGTAAACCAGTATATCAAGTATTTCATGACATCCGGGTGGTTCGGTTCAGCTATCCATTCGTACTTTTTTTTTCGTGAAGTGTTACATGGGTTATTTTCGAGAAGGCTTGGTACGAGTAGACGAGATACATGATTTTGGACATATCGCAATGCAATAGTTATAATGTTTTGTTCTGCATAAATGATCCCAAATTTTTTTCCCCAACTAATGCGTTCACGTGCAAGAATCACAAGAGTTACTTACGACAATATGTTGTGGTGAGTTTCTGGGGTTCCGGTGCAAGAGGGTAATAGACAGTGGGTCCTTGTACCACAGAGGTGCAAACAGTCAAGGTAATTGCTACCGAACTAAGCTGGGGTCCAGGAAGGATGTATATAACATGTCCTGAGCCTTGAAACTATCTTGCGACTCTTAACAAACCAACAGTACAAATTGATAATCTAGTGCCGACCTGCTCGCTGTAATAGAGTGGACATCACCGCGGCTGTCCTTAAGCTTGCCTGATCGGGTGATTACATCAGCAGTATTGGGCGATCCAGCGTATGTGGAAACAACACGAGGTAGCTCCTTTCTCGAACAGCATCACCAACCCACCTCTACACCCCACCTTATACACCCGTCTCTCATTTCCTATTGCGCGCCTCTGGAGTTGTGCATCTGGGTCTACTTCTTCCTTTCCTTCCGATACCCACCGTTTTCGCGCTCTCTCACTCCGGTGAGGTCGGAGCTGGACTGTCGCAAACATGGCCCAGCGACAAGTTCCATTGCACGTCACGCAGCCGACGCTGGTATGTTCCGCATCAATCAGGGTGTAATATTCTGCGAACAGAGCTAACAATTGACAGCTTACGAACCTCAATATCCTCGTATGTTGATTCCCAGCTTCGTTCTCCGTGAACAAGGCAGCAAGGGTCGAAAAGCTAACACAAGGTACAGCCGGCATCGATATCATGGCAAAACTGTGTATGTAGCCCATATGGACACCTCCATCCCCGGGGATTTGCTGACAGACATAGACGCTCGAGTCGGACAAGTACGTTTGCGTGCGCCAGGTCAACAACGAAGCCAACGCGCCCGCCGAGACCGTCATCATCGACCTCAAGAATACCAACAATGTAATTCGGAGACCGATCCGTGCTGACAGTGCCATTATGCACTTGACCGAGCCCATCATCGCTCTCAAGGCACAAGGCCGAACACTGCAACTGTTCAATCTCGAGACCAAGGAGCGCCTACAGACATATAGCCACCAAGAGGATATCCAATTCTGGAGGTGGATCAGCCAGACGACACTTGCACTTGTTAGCACCAAGGCCGTATACCATTGGGACGTACTCGACTCCAAGAACGCTGTTGCGCCGCGCAAGATCTTTGACCGTCAGGAACAGCTTGAGGTAGGTAAACTTGCTCATGCCGCTAAATACATCTAATTGTTTGTACAGAACAACCAAATCATCAACTACGTTACCAACGATGATGAGAGCTGGTCTTGCCTAGTGGGCATCACGTCGAACCCTGCCGGTGGTATTCGGGGCAACATGCAGCTCTTCTCCAAGGCGAGGAACGTCAGCCAGCCCCTTGAGGGCCATGCAGCCACATTCGGTACCCTTCGTCTCGACGGCGCATCGACCGATACCAAGATCTTTGCCTTTGCTGTCAAGTCGTCTACGGGCGAGGCCAAGATCAACATTGTCGAAGTCGACCACAACGCCGCGAACCCAGCTTTCCCGAAGCGACTCATTCCGATCCATTGGCCTGCTGAGGGTACTGGTGACTTTCCGCTCGGCATCCACATTGCTCACAAGTACGGCATTTTAATCGTAATCACAAAGTTCGGCTTCATTCACCTCCACGATCTCGAGACTGGTACGGCCTTGTTCCTGAACAGAATATCCGAGGAGACAGTCTTCACAACGGCGCGCGATGACGAAGGCACTGGTGTAGTCGTCATCAACAAGCGTGGACAGGTACTTCACACAACCATCCGCGAAGACACCTTGATCCCGTACATTATGGAGAATCCGGCATGCGCAGAGATCGCGTACAAGCTCGCTTCGAAGGGTGGACTGCCCGGTGCCGACCAACTTTACTCGCAGCGATTTGAGACGCTCATGACACAGGGAAACTTTTCGGAAGCAGCAAAGGTTGCCGCCAACTCTCCTCGAGGCTTTCTGCGCACCATGAACACGATCAACCGACTGCGACAAGTCCCTAACCAGCCCGGCCAAATAACTGTACTTTTGCAATATTTTGGTCAGCTGTTGGACAAGGGTGGATTGAACAAGGAAGAGACCTTGGAGCTGGCCCGACCCGTCTTTGCACAGGGCCGTAAGCACCTTATCGAGAAGTGGCAGAAGGAAGGCAAGCTTCACTGCTCTGAGGAGCTTGGTGATCTGGCTAAGCCCCACGACCTGAACCTGGCTCTAGCCATTTACAAGGAAGCAAACGTATCTCAGAAGGTTGTCGCAGCACTCGCAGAACTTGGCCACTACGACCTCATCCTCCAGTACTGCAACGGCGTCGGCTACACCCCCGATTACAATGTCCTGCTCCAGCATGTCGTGAGAATTTCACCTGATAAGGGTACTGAGTTTGCTTCTCAACTGGCGAAGAACGAAGGCGGACCGCTCATCAGCATTGACCGCGTTGTCGACATCTTCCAATCTCAAGGCATGATCCAGCAGGCGACGGCTTTTCTTCTCGACGTTCTCTCCAACGATCTACCCGAGGAGGGCCCTATGCAGACCAAGTTACTCGAAATGAACTTGCTAAACGCCCCCCAAGTTGCGGATGCTATCCTAGGCAACGAAATGTTCCACCACTACGATAAGATGCGCATCGCCCAACTCTGTGAGAACGCTGGGCTGCTCACACGTGCACTGGAACACAACGACGACCCGGCTGCCATTAAGCGCATCATTGTTCAAACCGACAAGCTTCCAGAAGAGTGGCTGATCAATTACTTTGGCCAGCTTACTGTAGAGCTTTCGCTCGAATCGTTGGATGCCATGCTTACTACCAACATCCGACAGAATCTGCAAGCTGTAATCCGCATTGCGCAAAAGTATTCAGACTTGCTAGGCGCTACCCGAATTATCGATCTACTAGAGAAGCACCGAACTGCTGAGGGACTGTACTTCTTCCTGGGTTCCATCGTCAATGTAAGCGAGGATCCAGACGTACACTTCAAGTACATCGAGGCTGCGACTACCATGGGCCAACTCAACGAGGTTGAGCGCATCTGCCGTGAGAGCAGTAAGTGTTGCCACTCTACATCCTGCTACTGGAAATGATGCATGACTAACTCCCTATCCAGACTATCTCAATGGTGAAAAGGTCAAGAACTTCTTGAAAGAGGCCAACCTCACAGAACAGCTACCCCTCATCATCATCTGTGATCGGTTTAACTTTGTGCATGATCTAGTGCTCCACCTTTACAAGAAGCAGCAGTTCAAGTCCATCGAAGTCTACGTTCAACGTGTCAACCCCGCCAGGACCCCTGCTGTCATCGGTGGTCTCCTCGACGTTGACTGTGACGAAAGCATCATCAAGGGCCTCCTGGCTTCGGTAACGCCATCCTCCATCCCTATCGATGAACTGGTTGCAGAGGTCGAATCGCGAAACCGCCTCAAAATGCTTCTGCCATTCCTCGAGCAGACGTTGGCGAGCGGCAACCAGCAACAGGCCGTATTCAACGCCTTGGCCAAGATTTACATCGATAGCAACAACAACCCGGAGAAGTTCCTCAAAGAGAATGACCAATACGACACTCTGGTTGTAGGAAAATACTGTGAGAAGCGAGACCCCAATCTCGCAGCTTTATGTTACTCCAAAGGAATGAACGATCTTGAGCTGGTCAACATCACAAACGAGAATGCGATGTTCAAGATCCAGGCTCGCTATCTTCTGGAGCGTGCTGATTCCGAGATCTGGGATTACGTGTTGAGGTACGTTTGCTAACAGACACCGGTTGGTTCACCCTGGCTAACTTTGATGCAGTCCAAACAACATCCACCGTCGATCTCTAGTTGATCAGGTCACTTCGTCAGCAGTTCCTTCGTCCACTGACCCGGACAAAGTTTCTGTGGCTGTCAAGGCATTCATCACTGGTGACATGCCCGCAGAACTGATCGACTTGCTGGAGAAGATTATACTGGAGCCATCCACTTTCAGCGACAACCCATCACTTCAAAACTTGCTAATGCTTACTGCATGCAAGTCTGACCGTGGCAGGGTCATGGGTTACATCCAGCAGCTTGACCAATACACCCCCGAGGATATTGCCCAGCAATGCATTGAAGTTGGAATGTACGACGAGGCTTTTGAGATCTTCAAGAAGCATGAGAATCATGTGGAAGCTGTCAATGTCCTGATCGATCACATTGTGTCCATTGACAGGGCCCAAGAATTTGCAGACAGGGTCGACAAACCAGAAGTATGGAGCAGAGTTGCAAAGGCACAGTTGGACGGCCTGCGTGTTACCGACTCTATTGAGTCTTACATTCGCGCTGGAGATGCCTCCAACTTCCTGGAAGTTATCGAAATTGCGACCCACGCTGGCAAAGACGAGGACCTCATCAAGTTCTTAAGGATGGCGCGAAAGACACTCCGGGAGGTCCCCATCGATACAGCTTTAGCTTTTTGCTTCGCTCGTACAAACCAGCTATCTGAGCTCGAGGACTTTTTGCGCGCTACCAATGTTGCCGATGTTGAGGCTTCGGGTGACAAGGCTTACGAAGAGGGCTACCACGAGGCGGCCAAGATTTTCTACACAAGCATTTCCAACTGGGCTAAGCTTGCTACAACCCTTGTCCACCTTGACGACTACCAGGCTGCCGTTGAATGTGCGAGGAAGGCCTCGAGCGTCAAGGTTTGGCGTCAAGTCAACGAAGCCTGTGTTGCAAAGAAGGAATTCCGCCTTGCCCAGATTTGCGGTCTCAATCTCATTGTTCATGCTGAAGAGCTTGCCGATCTCGTTAAGCAGTATGAGCGCAATGGCTACTTCGATGAGCTCATCAGTGTCCTTGAAGCAGGTCTTGGGTTGGAACGAGGTATGTGGATACTCATGAACTGTCATATTACATCCTGTAAACTAACTGAATACCTCCAGCGCATATGGGGATGTTTACCGAATTGGGCAATGCGCTGGCCAAGTACCACCCGGAACGTGTTATGGAGCACCTTCGATTGTTTTGGAGTAAGTTGTATCCACCCCTCCTTCCTCACATGTAACTGACAACCACTCTAGGCAGAATCAACATCCCCAAGATGATTCGCTCTTGTGAGGAAGCCCATCTTTGGCCAGAGCTAATCTTTCTCTACGTACACTACGATGAGTGGGATAACGCCGCGTTGGGGATGATGGAGCGTGCTGCAGATGCTTGGGAACATCAGGCTTTCAAGGACACCATCACAAAGGCCACCAACGTCGAGATCTACTACCGGGCCTTGGGATTCTACCTTGAGGAGCAGCCGACTCTCTTGACTGATCTCCTACAAGCACTCACTCCTCGGATCGACGTCAACCGCGTGGTTCGCATGTTCGTCAAATCTGACAACATCCCTCTTATAAAGCCCTTCCTTCTGAACGTCCAATCACAGAACAAGCGCGAGGTGAACAACGCTCTCAACGACCTTTTGATTGAAGAGGAGGACTACAAGACACTCCGCGACTCAGTCAACAACTACGACAACTACGACCCAGTCGAGCTTGCCCAGCGCCTAGAGAAGCACGACCTTGTATTCTTCCGTCAGATTGCTGCCGACATCTACCGCAAGAACAAGCGCTGGGAGAAGTCCATCACGCTTTCCAAACAGGACAAGCTGTTCAAGGATGCCATCGAGACTTCGGCCATGTCAGGCAAGCCCGATGTTGTTGAGGATCTGCTCCGCTACTTTGTCGATATTGGCAGCCGCGAATGCTACGTCGGTATGCTGTATGCCTGCTACGATCTCCTTCGGCCTGACGTCATTCTCGAGATGTCATGGCGCAATGGCCTTCACGATTTCACAATGGTATGTTTTCGCTCCTGACCTAGAAGTAGATATCACTAACTTTGCATTAGCCGTACATGATCAATCTCATCTCCCAGCAGACAGCTGCGATTGAGTTGCTGAAAAAGGACAATGAGGAGCGCAAGGTTCGCGAAGCTTCGCAGCAGAAGAAGGAGGAAGACACTCCGATCTTGGGCTCGCGTCTCATGCTCACGCAGGGTCCGATCGCTTCGGCACCTTCCCCAGGTCCCTACGGACAGGCTAACGGTATTGCCCCACAGCCCACTGGAAGCTTCAGGGCTTTCTAAGTTTGGGTAGTCGTAGCATGGGATGGCTGCAGTGAAAAGTGGAGCGGGTTTGGTATCTCTTCAACCTACATATTTGATGCTTGGTGGAGCGAAAAAGCGAGGGGTGCATAAATCTTGGGTAGTGTGGGACCATGTACTCTATAGGCGTTACAGGTGAAGCGTGAGTCTGGATGCTTCGATGAAGAACGTGTCCAGCTTTGTACGCTAGTTAATGACTTGACTTGACTATCACCGATGGAAATCACATATATGCAAGTGATATGTCCGAGATGCAGACAGATTACGTAGCCGAGAGTAAAGGTACGATGACGATGTAGCAATGACAGTCAACAGATCAGTGTCAAGACATGCAGTTAATCGATTAGGCGCAAACTGTATGTGGCGCGCAAAGGCACGGCTCCTGCTGCGAGCATTAGATTCTTGTATCCGTGTGTCAAGATGCCAAGTAGCGAGTGTTTTAAGCTCCGCCGCGGACTGCTGCATGATGTCGGTCATGACCAGCTATCGAAAAGCTCAAATGGTCGATATGCGCTAGCTTGACCGGTCTGGAGGATGCTTGTAGCTTCTCATGGAATCTAGATGCACTTGTGTGTTATCTGGATGAGAGAGCGAATCAGGGCTCAGGAGCTTCAATGTACACGTTCAGGTTGTGCAGACGCGTCACGATGCCGGCCACCATCATGGTCACGACAACGGCTAGCCACGCAGGTACACAGAGTGAAGTGATCAGCAATGTTGGGAAGGTCTGTAGCAGCAAGTGCAGACCGGAAATGGAAATCATGTACGGGACCGAGTTTACGCCGCAGAGGGCCAGAGGCTGCATCGGAGCGGAAAACAGCCAGGCAAATGGCTTACCTGAGGGGTTGCAGTAGTGGGCGGTGAGGGTTTTAAGTTTCAGTGAGCGTCTCTCGTACCGGACAAGATGGCTTGGCTGACTGTTGGTTGGGGCTTGACGGCGTGGGATGGACCGCAGACGGCATCGTGTGCGTTTGAGAGTCCGGTGTGGGCTGCGTGGCATGGCACGTCCAAGAGGTGACAGTTTCGATGGTGTCGCGCATGTATGGGGGCGCTTTGTCGGCGGACTTCAGAATTGCCCCTCCATTATCTCCCCCGCGCTATGGAGCTCTGACCACGCGTGGCATGCAGCTATAGCTTCGTTGCTTTTGACGCCGCCGACGGGGTCCAACAGAGTCGTCGAGCGACGAGCGTGTTTCGATCTGGCTTGGCTCTGTGGATCAAAGTTTGGGATTAAACTCACGCTCAACCCTGGTTGCATATTCCATAGTCGGGAACTAGAATAAATTGCCCTCGAGCTGCCCTCTTCCACCACTTCCAGTCCTCTCCGTCCCCCCTCTCACCTACCCCTCGTTCCTCTCACACACTGCACACAGTTGTCATTCGACATGACGACACTTGCAATTGACCAGAACGCCTCGTCGGCCATTGACGAGAATGACTTTGACGAGGACCATGGCGAGCACCACCCCCACAGGAACTCGGTCCACCACAAGTTGCGAGCGAGCAGCTCCATCATGCAGCTGAAGAAGCTCCTGGGTACGTTGACAGCGCCAAATCTCAGCCCCTCCGCTCTTGTGGCCCTCTAACGTCGACCAGTGGCCAACCGAGGAGAAATCCCCATCCGTATCTTCCGTACAGCCCACGAGCTGTCCCTGCACACAGTGGCAGTCTACAGTCATGAGGACCGTCTCAGCATGCACCGACAGAAGGCTGATGAGGCGTACGAGATTGGTGCGCGCGGCCAGTACACGCCCGTTGGTGCTTACCTTGCGGGTGACGAAATCATCAAGATCGCCGTCGAGCACAATGTGAACATGATTCACCCGGGCTACGGCTTCTTGTCCGAGAATGCAGAGTTCGCCCGGAACGTGGAAAAGGCTGGTCTCATTGTGAGTAATTCCGCTTTTCATGCCGAAATTTCTTCTCGGGGCGCTCCAGATGCCCATTCGAGCCTATCAGTCCCAGACATGCTGCGGCTTGGCGGGGCCAATCACCAGGCGTCCGGCTTCGCAGACCAGATCGCTCTCTTTGGCCGTGGCACATGCATAGGTTGACTCATACTGACATCCACTCCAGTTTGTAGGCCCTTCCCCTGACACCATCGATGCCCTTGGCGACAAAGTCTCTGCCCGAAAGCTTGCTGTCAAGTGCAACGTCCCGGTAGTGCCTGGTACTCCCGGCCCTGTCGAGAAGTTTGAAGATGTCAAGGCATTCACGGACGAATTTGGCTTTCCCATCATCATCAAGGCCGCTTTCGGTGGTGGTGGCCGTGGCATGCGTGTAGTCCGCGAACAATCCTCGCTCAAAGACTCGTTCGAGCGCGCAACATCAGAGGCGAAGTCGGCTTTCGGTAACGGAACCGTCTTCGTCGAGCGCTTCCTCGACAAGCCTAAGCATATTGAAGTCCAGCTTCTCGGTGACAACCAGGGCAACGTTGTCCATCTGTACGAGCGTGACTGCAGTGTCCAGCGCCGTCACCAAAAGGTTGTCGAGATTGCCCCGGCCAAGGATCTACCGGTCGAGACCCGCGATGCCATTCTTGCCGACGCTGTCAGGCTGGCCCAGAGCGTCAAGTACAGGAATGCCGGAACCGCTGAGTTCCTGGTTGACCAACAGTAAGTCACTATGAGCAACATGCCATATTTGTACTGACTCTCTACGAGGAACCGATACTACTTCATCGAGATCAACCCCCGTATCCAGGTCGAGCACACCATCACCGAGGAAGTTACGGGAATCGACATCGTCGCTGCACAGATCCAGATCGCTGCAGGCGCATCCCTTGAGCAGCTCGGCCTGACTCAAGATCATATCTCTACCCGAGGCTTCGCCTTCCAGTGCCGTATTACCACAGAAGACCCGGCCCAGAGCTTTGCCCCCGACACCGGAAAGATTGAGGTATACCGCTCAGCTGGTGGTAACGGCGTTCGGTATGTTCTGCCTTTTCGCTCCCTCAGACCCTGAATGTAGACTAACAAGAATCTAGTCTTGATGGTGGTAACGGTTTTGCGGGAGCCATCATCACTCGTAAGTATATGCCATATTTCTTGTTGTTGCTGTTTATTCGCTGTTTCTCATTCCCTTCCCATTTCCCTTGCCCGCCGAGAGCTCTGTATGCCCTTCGATCCTGGATATCGGCCTATTCGACACAATACCATCACATCGGAGCGGCTTATGCAGTGTGCTGAATACCCCCCGACGCTACTATTCTGTCCTCCTTCGACCTCCGTCAATATCGCGGTAGTCTCCACGCATAGCCAAGGTCTCATTTCACTACTCGATACACTTTGAGCCTAGTTTGAGTTTTCTATCGAACTTAATGCTAACGTATTTTTTAGCTCACTACGATTCTATGTTGGTCAAGTGCTCCTGCCGTGGCTCTACGTACGAGATTGTCAGAAGGAAGATGCTACGTGCTCTAGTGGAGTTCCGCATCCGTGGTGTCAAGACCAACATTCCCTTCCTGATCAAGCTCCTCACGCACCCTACGTTTGTCGACGGACAATGCTGGACAACATTCATCGACGACACACCCGCGCTCTTCGACTTGATCGGCTCCCAGAACCGTGCCCAGAAGCTCCTCGCATACCTCGGTGACCTCGCTGTCAATGGCAGCCAGATCAAGGGCCAAATCGGCGAGCCCAAGTTTAAGGGTGTCATTCCCATTCCAGCCATTCACAACCAGAGTGGCGAGAAGGTTGACACTTCCGCACCCTGCACTGAGGGTTGGAGAAACATCATTCTCAAGGAAGGTCCGGAGGGATTCGCAAAGGCCGTCCGCGCCAACAAGGGATGTCTTATCATGGACACAACCTGGCGTGATGCCCACCAGTCTCTTCTTGCAACCCGTGTCCGAACCGTCGATCTGCTCAACATTGCCAAGGAGACTAGCCATGCTTTATCTAATGCCTGGGCTCTTGAGTGCTGGGGTGGCGCCACCTTCGACGTCGCTATGCGGTTTTTGTACGAGGACCCCTGGGATCGTCTGAGGAAGATGAGGAAGCTTGTACCCAACATCCCGTTCCAGATGCTTCTTCGTGGAGCCAACGGCGTTGCATACTCGTCCCTGCCTGACAACGCCATCTTTCACTTTTGCGAGCAGGCGAAGAAGAACGGTGTTGATATCTTCCGTGTTTTCGATGCTCTAAACGACGTCGAACAACTTGAGGTTGGTATCAAAGCCGTTCTCAAGGCGGGTGGTGTTGCCGAAGGCACTGTGTGTTACTCTGGTGATAGTGAGTGTCATGAGTCATTGAAGTGTGTCAGGCCTAACTTTTGCAGTGCTCAATCCTAAGAAGAAGTATAACCTAGACTACTACCTCAACGTCGTCGACAAGATTGTCAAGATGGGCGCGCACGTGTTAGGTGTAAAGGACAGTAAGACAATGCCCATGCCTTTTTTCCTTATGGGAAGCTAATGTTAATCAGTGGCTGGTGTTCTCAAGCCGCGCGCTGCCCGTCTTTTGATTGGGGCTATTCGCAAGAAGTACCCCGACCTACCAATTCATGTTCACACCCACGACTCTGCCGGTACCGGTGTAGCCTCCATGGTCGCCTGCGCCGAAGCAGGCGCTGATGCTGTCGATGCCGCAATCGACAGCATGTCTGGAATGACCTCACAACCTAGCATGGGTGCCATTCTGTCGTCGTTGGAGGGAACCGACTTCGATGCTGGTCTGGATGTTCACATGATCCGCAATCTGGATGCCTACTGGGCACAGCTTCGTCTGTTGTACTCGCCCTTTGAAGCTGGTCTTACTGGCCCTGACCCCGAAGTGTACGAACACGAAATCCCCGGAGGTCAACTGACCAACCTCATCTTCCAGGCTTCACAGCAAGGTCTTGGTGAGCAGTGGGCACAGACCAAGAAGGCGTACGAACAGGCAAATGACTTGCTCGGTGATATCGTCAAGGTCACTCCGACTTCTAAGGTTGTTGGTGACCTGGCCCAGTTTATGGTATCCAACAAACTTTCGTACGACGACGTCCTAGCCAAGGCTGAACAGCTTGACTTCCCATCGTCAGTGTTGGAGTTCTTCGAGGGCCTCATGGGTCAGCCATACGGCGGATTCCCAGAGCCTCTTCGTTCCCAAGCTCTCCGTGAGCGAAGGAAGATGGACAAGCGTCCTGGTCTCTATCTCGAACCAGTGGACATTGTCAAGGTCAAGGCGGATCTCAAAGCCAAGTGGGGCGATGCTACAGAGTGCGATGTGGCATCATACATCATGTATCCCAAGGTGTTTGAGGATTACAAGAAGTGGACGACCAAGTACGGCGACCTTTCTGTGCTACCAACTCGGTACTTCTTGTCGCGGCCTGAGATTGGTGAGGAGTTCCATGTGGAGCTAGAGAAGGGCAAGGTTCTTATTCTTAAGCTCCTCGCCGTCGGACCTCTCTCAGAGCAGACGGGTCTACGTGAGGTCTTCTACGAGATGAACGGTGAGACCCGTACCGTCACAGTTGAGGATCAACACGCAGCCATTGAAAACGTTTCCCGACCCAAGGCCGATCCTACCGACAGCAGCCAGGTTGGATCGCCCATGTCCGGTGTGTTGGTCGAGGTGCGTGTCCACGACGGAAGTGAGGTTAAGAAGGGCGACCCAGTTGCTATTCTCAGTGCCATGAAGATGGAGATGGTTATTTCGGCGCCACACTCTGGCAAGGTCAGTGGACTTTCAGTGCGCGAAGGAGACTCGGTCGACTCTGGTGACCTCGTCTGCAAGCTTGTCAAGTGAGGTTGGGGGCAGCAAGCTTTGTCTGATTAATGAGATTGAAGAATGTAAACAATTAGATACATGTTACGAGTAACGGCGTCAGAATATTAGAGTCTCTTACAACTGCTTGGCATCACTGTCGCAATTTGTGATGAAGAATTTAACTTCAGTGATGACATTACTTTGGTCAGGTAGTTCTATGCTAACAGTGTTTCAAAGACTAGATTCAAAACATCCCGGCCATTCAAAAGGTTGCATATTGAAAGTATTGTCTAACCCATGGAGCCAAAGTCGAGCTTTCGCGCAACCTTGTCGGCACGGCCATTGGTGGGTGTCTCTCCTCCCCTTCGCTTCAGGTCCTCTCCCATTGCCTTTGGCCCTCCGCCCTCTTTTGGTAGATTTTCCTTTTTTGTTGGACGGGGTGCATTAGCCCACCACTTGTCCTCGAGTGCTTTCCGGGCCGTGTACCGCTTCTGTGGGTCCAGAGTCAACAGGCCTTTGATGAAATCACAGCCATCGTCTCCGAGGGTGGGAAATTCTTGTTTCCACCAGCTGCGGGGGCGCGTTTGGCGGAAGGCAGTTGTGCCCTGTGGGCCAGTTTGTTTATCCGGTGCGACGTAGTAAGGGAGGGCGGAAACGCCAGGCCAAGTATCCTCTGTTGGGGTCCCAAATTTTTCGCAGATGACGCTTACTTGGCGGATGTCAGTGTCAGAGTAGAGAAACCAATCGCGTTTACACAGCTCTGCCATGAGAACGCCGATACTCCACATGTCGGCAGTTCCGCCGTAGTGTGAGCATCCGTAGAGGAGCTCGAGCGGACGGTACATGCGTGTGATTACCATGGTAGTCATCTTGGTACCGGGGTCGGCGAAGCTTCGTGCAAGACCGAAATCGGCAATCTTGACGGTGCCGTCAGCGGCAATGAGGGCGTTGCTGCCCTTGATATCGCGATGTAGGACATAGTTCTCGTGACAGAACCAGATTCCCTGGCACATCATGTTCATCCATGCCTTGATGTCCGCCTTTGTGTATGTGATTTCCTTGTTCTTCCAGAGCTGTTCCAAATCGCCGCGCGGGAGATGTTCAAGTACCAGTGATAGGTTCTGATCTCTGGAGGAGAAGACAGCGTGTAACTTGATGACGTTGGGGTGGGATAGCTCAAAGAGGAACTGCATTTCGCGGATGGCGTCCGGAGCGATGCCATTGGGGTACTCTGCGTTGACTTTGATCTTCTTGATTGCGACAACGTGTTTTGGGTTGTCGCGGTAGTGCGCCTGCCAGACAATGGCGTAGGTACCTTCTCCCAACTTTGCACCCATGACGAATTGGCTGCGAACTTGGTCGTTCATCTGTTCTGCGAGATCCATTCCGCCAGGGCCTGAAGTCGGCATGGCTGCTGCCGCCGGCGACTTGCTAGGCTTGGATCCGTGACTGGGGAGCGCGAGCGTCCTGGCAGGGGGGACTTTTGCGCCGGGCGGGTTGGGCCGTGGGCTCAGGACAACGGGAGATGCCATGATAGGGGGTGAGGAGGCGTGATGATGAATGTCTGTCCGTGGGAGAGGCCTGGTAATTGAAAAGGTCAAAGAAAAGTACTTGGGGGGTTGGACGTGTCTTCGTTAGCGGCTATCCCACAGCTCTTGCGCGTGAGGCAAGCCCATTTCCATGCCTATCTCGTCTTGGCCGGGTAGGTGAGCGTGTCAGAGGTGCAGACGTCATAGTGAATGTCGGCGTTGCAGGAGCCATAGCGGCCAGCAGATGCACGTCCCCGACTCTTTTGACTTGGCCGCGGTTTTCTGCGGGGAGCTCAACCTCACCACCGACGCCTGCCGTACGCAGCTGCCCACGACACAACCATGGCTACGTCTGCCCGAGGCCCGCCAGGCGCTGTTGCCGTGTCAAAGGAGGGGATTCCGAACCGAACGTAAGCAAGCACCCCGTATCTTCACATACATGTATGGCAACCGCTGACAGCAGGCAGATTATACGTGCGCAACCTGCCCGACAAGCTGCAAAAGGAAGATCTCAAGCGCAATCTATATATGCTCTTTGCCACCTATGGCGTCATTCTCGACATTGTCGCGCTCAAGACTATGAAGATGCGCGGTCAAGCGCATGTTGTTTTCCGCGATGTCGACTCGTCAACGCAGGCAATGCGTGCTCTGCAGGCCTTCACCTTTTTCGGCAAAGACATGGTGCGTCTAGCTCGATTCTACCATGGCCCAAAGCGCATACTAATAAGTGTAGCAAATTACTTACGCAAAGACAAAGTCCGACACCATCGCGAAGCTGGACGGAACGTACAAGATGCCTGAACCTGAGCGGGAAGATCAGCCTGAACAAGCTTCTGCACAGGCTATCGGATTCGGCGTTGCACCTGAAAAGGCTGTGCCTGTCAACGCTCAAGATGCTGCCAAGGGGCAAAAGAGAGCGCGTGAGGACGAAGACGAAGACGAGAACTCGGATGCTGAGATGGAGATGGACGTGAGCGACGAGGACTCGGACGAGGACTAAGCTTCGAAGATGGCGTATGCCAGGAAATGATACCCACGAGCAACGAACCAGACCCACCGGGCACCTCGAGAAGCCTTATTTGCCATGTCATCGATTGCCGAGTACGAGGCTGCATCAGAGTCACTGCATGTCTGTGCTAACATGGTGCAGACCTGTTAGATATCTGACGAGATAAACACTCGTTTGTGCAAAAGCTTGTGCACGGACAAGACGACTCTGAACACTGGAACACGGACGACTCATCAGCACATCCGCTAGCTCTAGCCGAACATGCATCTTGTTGATTGCATGTAATGCGCCTTTCCAAATTCATAGGTTTGACTACATAGACAGAGTCGAATTGCCAGCATACTTGCTCATGCAAGCGTCAAGAGTAGCAAGCAATTCAGTCTTCCTCCCCTCTCCAAGCCAGCTACTGTGAATCGAATTCTTAGCCACTGTCTTCCACTCGTCCATGCTTAGGTCAAAAGCTTCCTGTACAGCGCAATAGTTGCTCAATATGTAGCCGCCAAAGTACGCAGGATCGTCGCTGTTGATGCTGAACATGACACCAGCGTCCAGAAACGTCTTTATGGGTACCTCGCTGACATGCTTCACAGCTTGTAGGCAAACATTACTCAACGGACAGACGGTCAAGAGCACCTTATTCTGCACTACTCGGCCAAGGAGCTCTGAATCTTCAATGAGCCGGATTCCATGGTCGATGCGCTCAGTGTGCAATGTGTCGAGTGCGCCACTAATGTACGACGGGTCGCCCTCTTCTCCCGCATGCGCTGTCCTGTGCAAACCCCGTTCCTTGCCCTCACGGAACTGATCAACAAACAATTCTGGACGGAACCCGACCTCTGAAGAATCCAGGCCGAGTCCAGCAATAGCCCTCTCTTTGTTGCCTTCCTTGACATCAAAGTGGCCACCTGCAACAGCTGCAACCATGGTTTCCGCCGCAGACTGAACAGGCATATGCCGGAGGAAACACATGATCAACCGACTCGTAATCCCCAGCTCTTTCTTTGCACGCGCTCTCGCAGCATTGAATCCCTCAACCACCAGGTCAAATGAAACTCCCCTCTCCGTATGGCTTTGTGGATCAAAGAAGACTTCTGCATGGTGGACTCCGTCTCTTTTCGCCGTCGTGAAGTACTCCCACGCTAGCATCTCAAAGTCCTCTTGGTGGACAAGGACCTGTATGCCGCGGTAGTAATACTGAAGGAAGTCGTCCAAGTTGGTGAAATGCGAGTAGCGCTCGTTCAGAGTTTCTGGAGACGCGTACGTTGCATCTTCGTCTGCTGTTGGCAAAGAGATGTTGTTCTTTGCAGCCAGTGTGAACAAGAGGCTTGGACTGAGACAACCTTCCAGGTGAAGATGATGTTCGCATTTTGGGAGATCCGCAAGGAAGTCATGTAGAGGTGTTTTGCACATGTTGGAAAGCAATTAAGTACAGTAGGGCGGAATGAAGGTTGTAAAAGGAGACTTTTGCTGGGTATTGAGATATTGAGTAACTATGGGGCTTTCTTTGGGGGCTAGTTTTCTTTCAGTGGTTTCGGAGGCTGACGGCGAACGTCGGTGTTCGCCGCTGTTGCTGGGATAATCCGCATGCTCCTGCCCTAGAGGGTGGATCCTAAAAACTCTTAACAAATCGACTATGGTGGAGATGGGAAAATAAGACTAGAACATGTCATGCATAGACTGTCAGAGTCTGCAATTAGTACAATTTCAACAAGTGAATATTTCCGGTTTTATATTGTCTCTGCGTACTCTTCCAGCAAGGCTTCTTTTTCAGCATCGTACCGACTTGATGATTCCCTCCTCACTATTACATCGTCCATGGCTGACATTGCTTCGTCGCCAATTGTTCTCTCTCCATCGCCAAATGTACCCTTGAACACGCTGTCGTAACTCATCCACATGCCGGCAAACAACAGAGCGCTAAGTTTTGCAAGCCATGATGGGGCCCGCCCATGTTTATCCTGCATCTTCCTCGCTAGTGTAAATACAAACATGACGAATGGCATCCAAATGCCCAGGAATATCATTTTGCCAATTTTCTGCTTCTTAGTTGTAATGGTATATGTACGAATCTCGTGCAGGTAGTCCTGGTATTCGGCAGGCAGATTCCGTTGAGCAGCGCCATCGGTTATGAGTTTGAGGTAGCGCGCCGAAGGTTGCGCATAGCTAGGGTCGGGTCGCGTCACACGGTCGCTTGTTTGCGGCTGGTGGTGGTGGTTGTCTACAATGGGCGCAAAGAGGGTATGCGCCTTGAAGGGCTTTGAATCGGGCGAGGCAGGGACTGTGGCCGCGGGTGGCAACACATGGCAGTCGACGAGGATATCGTTGTAGGCGCTTCCTCCTCCTTCTGTGGCTATGATGTGCGCATAGTCGGCAAGCGTGACTTCGTACACGACGCCTACCAGGCCCTTGTGCCAGCGGTCCTTGTGGTAGTCCTGCGCGTCCGGCACCCGCAGCGCTGTATTGGCGAAACAAGGCTCTTGGTAAGGAATGCCGGGGAGGTCAAACGTCAACTTCAGCGAAGGGACCAAGACGTTGACCTGTGATAGTGGATGTATCCCACGCACGCCCCGAAACGTCTCGTCACACAAGTTGGAGCCATAGGCCAGGTACAGTACTGTCTTGGCCTTGTCGTCTGTAGGAAGCAGTGGCTGCGATGCGAGCGTCTTCGCATCCAACGGCGCGTCCGTCAGCGAGGCATCCAGACGTGCCTGCGATAGTCGGGGTACATGATCAAAGACGACCATGGTGAGACTGCACTGTGCAAATGTTGTACATGTAGATCTTCACACCTTCATCAAGCGCGTATCCTTCGGCGTTATAGGCAGCAGAGTTCGTCCGTAACCCGGCCGGTTTGACAAATCCGCCTTCTCATCGTCATCCGGATGTGGCCCGAGCCTAGGCTACTGCTTACGGTAAGCCACTCCAACGTGGAGCCATGCACGCCACGCACTTCTCCTATGTACACTACGTATCTTATCTATAGGCAGATACTGCAGGACAGACGAGTATCCTTTGCGCTTGCAGTAACCATGTCAGCTCCTATATATGTTGTACTCGCGCTCCTACTGCCTGTCGTCTGGCTTCTGCACCAGCAACTGAGCCATTGGCGGTTCAAGCGATTCGCGCATATACCCACCATACGGAGGTGACTTTCAAAAGTTCTTGCTGACAGGGGGGTCTATATTACTGCCGTAGTACCACCGAAGCTTGGACTGTTCGGTCGCGCCGCCCCTCCTTGTATTCGTTGCCGCCTTCAAGTCTAATAATCTCCTTTACATGAAACTGTATACGCTCTATCCAAGCCTGGATTTGGTGTTGAGGTAGCTCATCCCAAGCCTCCAGCCATGCCTTTGTGCCCTCTGCTCTATTTTTTAGAGCGCCTTTCCTGGTGGTTCTCCGCTTGAGCCATGGCCAGGCTGCTTCAATAGCGTTGAGGTCAGGTGAATTGCCACACCATAAAAGCTTCTCTACTCCCTCTCTACTGTATACTAGTTGTTGGGCGTAGTGGGCATGCGAAGGAGCCTTGTCCTCTTGAACTACAGTACATGGTCTCCCTTTCTGGCACTCCTTAGCGAAGGGAATGAGCTTTGGGATTAGAACTTGAGTCTGGTAGCGCCACCAATCTATGCCTCTTCCACTATCACGAGACAGCTTGCCGGTCTCTTTTGTCCATCTCCATTGCGGAGTCCTGCCTGGCTTGTTCCTTAATCCCATCCTCTTCATGCCAGTTGTAAGCTCCCACTCCTGCCTCATAATAGGCTCAAGGACCTTGTTCATCTCTTCAATTTGAAGAGCTGCCTCTCTCTTCTGCTGTGCAGTCTCAGGGCACCAGATGTGGCATGGGCCCTTGTGATCATAAGAGAAGCAGCCCCAGAACATGAACTCTGAGTAGCCTTTCCACTGCTCGCGAATGACTGTTTTGGTGAAGACCTCATCAGGTTTTCTCCAGACCCGATAGCCACCACGGCGGTGGTTGAGCACGACAGAGGTCTCATCAGACCAGATGACATTCTTCCAGTCCTCCAGAGTCCAGTCTTGATGGGCAAGACACCACTCAAGTCTCTCCTGTCTCATCTTCTTCGTCAACCCAGGCTTCCTCGTGGGCTTCGTCTTGTTGTAACCGGCTGCTTTTAGGACTCTCCACACTGTGGTGGATGATATGTTGTAACCGTGAACACTAAGATCACCAGCTATATCAGCACAGCTCTTCTCTCTCCCATATCTATCTCGGCATACTTGTGAAAGAGTGGCGTTGTGGATAGCTTCCTGCTTATGAGGGCGACCAGCGCGAGGGGCGTCTTCGAGGTACTCGGGGAGGAGTTTAATAGTGGGTGAATTAGGCTCAAATCCACGTTGGCAGGCTCTACCATAAATTGAGTCAATAGTGCGTGGTGAAATACCTGTGATAGCGCTGATCTGGGCGGTAGATTTGCCACCAAAAGGTGACTTCAGCGTCACAATAAGCGCACGGGTATAGGGATCAGTGTTAGGAGCCATAGTATAGTTGAAAACACCAAAAAATTGAGTATATAGACTATCACCACCATTACCTCCAGCTTCAAAAAATCTGGATGGGTGCCAAGAAAGTCGGGCCGACTGATCGGCCGCTAACAAATACGCTAGCAAGAACTTTTGAAAGTCACCTCCGTATTAAAGCCCAATTTCCTTTTTGGGCATCTTGGGCACATCACGGCAGAGATTAGGAAGCTTGGAAGTACCGTGCACCCGGGTAGGATCGACATGCTGGCAACCGAACGCCACTGACAGTGACACAGATTACGCGTTAGAGAACATATGGAAAGCCCATGGTCACCCCGAATTCATCTTCTTTGACACAAGGCCTCTCCAGTTTCCACTGCTGGTGGTCACCTCGCATGAAATTGCGGAGCAAGTCTCCCGAGCAAGTAAAACGCAGCCGTACAGCGTCGACAAATCTCCTACCGTCCAGGATGGGGTTGGCGGCTTGATCGGGAAATACTCTTTGCTCAGCGAAAACGGCGAGGTTTGGAGGGGGCTCCGCAAAACGTTCAACGCTGGATTTGCGCCCCAGCATTTGCACTCGCTACTTCCTGTCATCGTCGACAAGACGTGCAAATTCATGGACAAGCTTGACGACCTGGCCAAGTCTGGCCTTGCAATCGAGATGGAGCCTTGCTGCACCAACGTGACTTTCGATATAATGAGCCAAGTAATTACCAACATCGACTGCAAAGCACAAGCGGCAAATGACGAAGCCCATGCCATCGTCCGCCATTTCCGCACGCTCAAGGCTCTATACAATCAAGAGAGTGGTCTCACGGCCAAGTGGCTGAACCTGCCAAAGACCCTCGAGAAGTACATTTGTACTAAACGACTAGATGATGCCATCAAAAAGTGTGTTCTGGACAAGTATGCAGAGGTCAAAGCCAACGATAGCTTGGAACACAAGGCAACAAAGGATTTATCTGTTCTTGCGCTAGCACTTCGCGATGTTGAAGAAATGACGCCACACATTTTGCAGTCCACAGCAGACCAGGTCAAGACCTTCTTGTTTGCTGGACACGATACGACTTCCATTCTACTACAGAGGTTGTTCTATGCCCTCTCGATACATCCACATTGTCTTGCAAAGATACGTGCAGAGCATGACGCCATCTTCGGTGACGCCGATCCACGCCAAGTGTTCCTTGCTCAGGCTGATGAGACCATGCAAGCACTCAAGTACACGTCTGCATGTATCAAGGAGGGACTGCGCCTTTGGCCTCCAGCAGGATCAGCCCGTATGTCACATAATGGCTTCAAGATTCGCACATCAGAAGGAGACGATGTGTGCGTAGATGGAACCATCATCTACAACTGCCATTGGGTTATTCATCGGGACCCAAACGTGTATGGGGAAACAGCAGAAGACTTTATTCCAGAGCGATGGTTTGGTAACGTCGATACAGGCAGCGCCATGGCAAACGATGACGGCGTGTCAGTTGGAGACAGCAAGTTACCAAGCGGCGCATGGAGACCATTTGAACGAGGCCCACGCAACTGCATCGGCCAGGAGCTTGCCAACATCGAAGCGAGGATAATTCTTGCATGCGTCATACGACGTTATGACTTTATTAAAGTTGGGCTGGGCGAGGTTGAGACGGATAGTGAGGGGAAACCTATTGTAGATAAAAAGGGAAAGTACAAGACGAAATCGGAGTTGCTCAACGTAAGTGAATTACCTGGACTTTAATGAACAACTAACTTAAATGACTTTGGATAGATAATATCTGTTACTGCTAAGCCCATGGACCACACTGTAATGCGTGTCAAGATGCGTTGACATGGTTTGATGGCTAATAGGGATCAACGAGCACATTATCAGGGGCACCAGCAGCGCAGGAATCGCCACATGCTCAGATCTGCGGGGCGGTTTGTGTGTCACGGTGTTCTCCGCGTTAGCATAAACGTGTTGGAGAAACAAAGACTACAAGTTGTCAGTACAATCCTTGTAAAACGTAGTTCGCACAGTCACGATTCCCCGGCCGTGAAATTTGCCAGTCAGCGTCTTGTGAATGATTTGGATGTGTGGGTTGCTCGAGTCAGTGGCAGGGTTGGGCCGACGAGGAGTATGTGGGCCAAAGATTCGCTTCTTCCAATCGCGCCTGAGAGCATGTTTGACAGCCGGCTTGAACATGAAGCAGCGTATCTTCAAGCCAGAGGGGATGGTATCTCGCAAGGCCTTGCCCGAGCTTTTCAGTTTCCGTAGTTGAGCTAGAATTTCTGCCCAAGGCTCTATATTCTACCTCGTCGTCAAGTCTTCCTATACTTGACTGGGATGTTCTTCTCCACCACCCCCCTAAGCTCCAACCTTTCCCAGTCCTCCTGCCTGGCCTCCTTCTCTTCATGCATTTTGAAATGCGCGATATCCTCTGGGTGATTCAAATCCTCCTCCTTGACGTCGTCCCCGCTATGGTACTTCTCCCAATGATGAATTTCATACTCGTACTCATCGTCTCCGTGGTGTCCTGGGCCCAAGCCGAAGTCTGGTAACTTGACGCCCTCGGAATCTCTACGAAGAAACTCGGCGCGGGTGATGGCGCCGTCTTTGTCAATATCGAACATGTCCAGAATGGTATGGACAACGGACTCTTTCCTAGACTCGGGAATAGAGGCACTAGAGACGTCTTCGAGACCGTATGTTCGGCGGATGTCTGCAGCTGTCCACAGCCCGGTACCCTCGTAGTCGTGGAGGTTGAAAAACGTGGTGGCGTCGAAGCCTGAGATGTGGTGTTCCTCTACCGGGCTGTTAGCGCGAATTTCAACCATCTACTTTATGGAATAGAAACGCGGGGGGAAGTTCATACCAGCCATGTGTCGCGTCGCCCAATCTGCATCGGGTGCGACTTCAACTTGCGCGTGCTCGTGACTACCGTGTGCAGCGGCATTGAGTGCGCATGATAATAGCAAGAGTGCGCTGAACGGCAACCGTAATATGGGAGACATGTCTGGCGACTACAGTGGCTTTTTTACACTAGTATGTCCAGTATTTTATAACACCTGGGTGGTAAGGTATTGAGAGGAAAAGTGTAATGATTGCGCTGGATGGTGGTGTTGAGGGCCAGGGGATCGGACCAACAACTGTCTAGCCGCCGACACTATGTCATAACTCAGGGTCTGAAACACTTCGGCGCGCACTTTCAGCCTTGTGCATCATCATCATCATCATCATCTCGCAATGAATGTGTTTCTGCTTCTCAGCTTGCTGTTCTTCATCCCATTATTTTTCTTCTTCGCATTCCTCGCTGCATCGTCATGCATGGGCGATGGCTTTCGTGCCAGAGTGGCCGGTGTCACCTTCAATCCTCGAAACGCATCTTTCGGCCGCAACTACACACGAGGCTTTGGTTCGGGAGCTGGTAGCGCGGGGTGGGAGCAGATTGAGATGGAAGACATGCTAGGGGAAGATAGCGATTCGGATTGAAAAGTTTGGCTGGTGCAGAAAGAAGCATGGGCTGCGTTGGCCATGTTGTATCTTCCACACATCACAGCGCGACCCAAGTGTTCTAGAAATCTAGATCCTGCTTCTTTGGCATTGCACTAGCACCGGCTGCCTCTCTCACTGCCTCCTCCTGTGCCTCGGTATCGCCCTCCATTGGTGGTAAGCTGAACTTTGCAATGACGAATTTGCGCCGGCTCAGCGTAAATGCCATGTCCTCGCCTAGATCCTCCGCACCGCCACCGCCACCCTTCTCGTTGAATACCGGTAGCTTGTGCACTGCAAGCATACCCTGTGGTCTTTCCTCGTCCTTCGTCGTACCTGCCGATTGGGCGAGCGCCTGTATACGCGAATATGGGAACGGAGACAGCTCGAATACACCATCAGACAGAATCTCCATCCATCGCACAAGACCGGTGGAGCGTGGATATAGTGTCAGAGGGAGCGTCATCATCGCAGTCAATCTCGTCGAATACTGTCGGAGTAGCGCGCGCAGAGCGTGAAGGAATTGGAGCACAGCTGTTGGATGCGTCGATCGAGGAGGATACAGCGCTGGCGAGAGGAGAGACGGTATCACGACGCGGTGAATGATATGTGATGGTGTCGACTCTAGTTGCTGTCGGACGCTCTGCAATATCGGGGGAAAGGGTGACATGGAGGCTCCTGTGGGTATAGCGATATAGTTGATCGCGGTTCCTACCGGGAGCGTAAGGCGCTTTGCAAGATCGAATTTGTGGCAAAACACCGTCTTTTCTTCTTTCGTTCCATCCCCCTGGCTTGCTGTTCTTTGCACGTTTGGAGAGCCTATCCCATGCACTGTCAGAGTCGCCCAAGATGGTATTTTGCATTGCCAGACTAAGTGTACAAGTCAAGACGCACCTCTAGCACTCTCGAACTGCCCCAACCCTTCATATCTCCAGGCAATCTTCATCTTCTCCGCCCTCTCCTTCCCTTCTTTCCTCTTATCGTACTTTTCCTCTGATATGCCTGGCAATTCTCTTCCCCAAACCTCGCCCATGCCTACTACATGCACTCTGTGGCCCTGAACTACTCCTTCCGCGGCATAGAACCGCAGTAATGCGCCTGCATAGTCGGTCGTACCGCTCTCAGCTATCAATATCGAATGTCCGAGAGCCAAGCCAGCGTGTCCAGCTAGCACACCGTCTAGCGAGGGTGTGCCAGTTGAGGTAGTAGGTCGGCCATCAATGGGTGAAGGGCGGATGCCTGTGGGTGTCAGCGCTGGAGGCGCCATTGAAGGAGATGACGGTTCATTAGACACGTCATCTACTGCCGAGGCGCGTGACAAGGCTACGTTGCGCTTGCGAAATGCCATTTTGGGCTTTGGAGGGGCGTGAGTCGTGACTTTTGGGAAAATGCTGGAGGGACTATCGATAAGACTAGCGTTAGACGTCATCCCTGTCCGAAGCATTACCAGAGGAGGATAGGACCGGGACGGGACGCACTAGCGTTCAAAGGACCTAGCTCATCCATACCAGCCATGTTTTCAATCTCCTCCACATCAACCTTATTTTTTGTGAAACTTCACGACCAAGACTTCACATGGCGGGAGAGGAGGATGCAGATTCAGCGCTGATACCAAGCCTCTATAAACCCCCTGCCTTGTTACCTATAGCACAACTCAAGGATCAACTGCTCTACACCATCGAAACCTACCCGGTGACAGTCGTCGTAGGCGAAACGGGAAGCGGTAAAATCCCTACTTGGATGTGATCGGGCTCTACTAATCATGGATTATCAGGTAAAACAACCCAGATACCAAAATTTCTGCTCGAAGCCGGCTGGTGCAACACAGGCCAGCAAATAGCAATTACCCAACCGCGGCGCATAGCATGTACCAGCGTAGCAGCAAGAGTAGCAGAAGAGCTAGATACTCCGCTAGGTCAAAATGTGGGCTATAGTATTAGATTCGAGGACGTTACATCTGCAGCAACGCAGGTCAAGTTTGTGACTGATGGCCTACTACTACGCGAAATGCTCGTTGATCCCCTGCTATCTCGGTACTCTGTCATCATGATCGACGAAGCACATGAGCGAAGTCTATCATCCGACATTCTGCTTAGCTTATTGAAGAAGGTGTTGCGGAGGAGAGAGCATCTACGGGTCGTCGTAAGCAGCGCTACCTTGGAAGCAGAGCGCTTTCTCGACTTCTTCAATCCCGACGAAGGCGAAAAGATTCACGGCAAGAGCAAGGAGGAATTTGGCTACATCTTCGGTATTGAAGGTCGCACATACCCCGTTGATATCCAATATCTCGAGAAACCCACGAGCAATTATGTTGAAGCAGCCATCGACTCAGTCCTTAAGATACATGAGCACGAAGCCGCAGGCGACATACTCGTCTTCTTAACTGGCCGCGAGGAAATTGACGACGCCATCGATCAACTCAGCGAACACATCGCCGACATGACACCCTCCCAACAACGCCTCATGCCCCTTCCCCTCTACGCCGGCCTCCCAACCGAAGACCAAAATCTCATCTTTGCAAAACCACCTCCCAACACTCGTCGCGTGATTCTCAGCACCAACATAGCCGAAGCATCTTTAACCATCGATGGGATAGTCTACGTCATCGATACCGGCTATGTCAAACTGCGCGCCTACAACGCCGCCCTTGGTATTGAGAATCTTGCTGTAGTCCCCATCTCCAAAGCGAGCGCCATCCAACGCGCCGGTCGTGCAGGACGAACACGCCCAGGAAAGTGCTTCCGGTTGTACACCGAGGCCGTGTTCAATAGCTTAGAGGAATCTACGTTCCCTGAACTCGCACGCTCAAACCTTGCACCTGTTATCCTACAGCTTCTGAACTTGGGCATCACAAATGTAATCCGTTTCGATTACCTTTCTGCTCCTCCCTCGGCCCTCGTAACCAGAGCACTAGATACCTTGTATTCACTCGGTGCACTAGATGAACATGCTCGTCTCACAAAGCCCCTCGGTACACGCATGGCTTCACTCCCGCTCGACCCCATGCTCGCACGCTGCCTGCTCAAATCGGCTGAAACAGAGTTCTCTTGCCTCTCCGAAATGCTCACTATAGCTGCCATGATGACTCTGCAAGGCAATGCCTTCGTGTCACACGACGGTGGCAAGAAAGCTCTAGACGCTGCACGCCGCAAATTCGCAGTCGCGGAAGGGGACCACCTGACGCTGTATAACGTATATGAATCGTTTGTGAAGGCAGGGATTGGGAATACAAATTGGTGCCATACGCATAACCTCAACCACAAGAGTATGGTGAAAGCTGTGAGTGTGAGAAAGCAACTCGTCGCGCATATCAATCGCTTCGGGATCCAAGAGTCCTCCTTAGCCTCGTCGGATGTGCTTAGGGTGGGTGGTATGCCGCTTGCCGAGCGGGTCCAAAAGTGCCTGGCCAGCGGCTTCTTTGCACACGCAGCGCGAATGAAAGCAGACGGCAGTTTTAGTACCGTTGACGGAGAGACTACGTTGTGGGCACATCCCAGTAGTGTGTTCTTTGCCAGAAAGGTCGACTGGGTAATTTATACGGAGATTACGGAAACGAGGGATAAGATATATATTCGGGATCTGACCAAGGTAGAGATGGATTGGCTGATGGAATGTGCACCGGAATATTATGAGATTCGGCAAGGGCGGTAACGACGTGGGAAGAAGAGCATAGTTTGCGGGTATCTAAGAAGAGTAAAGAGCAAGCAAAGTACGTGACATAAAGACATTACGAGGAAGCATTGGTTCATGACTTGCAAGCTTCCACGAATAGCTCGCGCATACCCTTTAGGAAGCCGGCCAGATCTCGTGTCTCGTTTAGCCTCTCAACGACGCTTTCTACTTCGTCACGCTCCACTTTGGGTCGCATCTCGAAGACTTTGTAGTCACGCTCACTCGTGTCCAACTCAAACCAGGCCTCGCGATCCCATTCGCGCTCATCGACGTTTGTGTAGACAAACTTGAGTCTATCGTCTTTTCCGAGCCCTTCAATCCTCAGCCCCAGGTAGCTCTCCCAAAAGTCGAGCTCGGGCTCGTTGTACCTGCTCTGGCCGTCGAGGTATCGGCGGTGCTTGAGCTGTGCCTCGCGGCGTGCTGAGATAGTCTTTTGCACTTCGGCAATCTGGGCGCGCAAGTTGTCGCGGTGCGCCAGGCGTTCGTCGCGCTGGAGGCTCAGGGCGGAGATGGCTTCCTGCATCTCCGACGTTTCTTGGGCTTCTTTGGAGAGAGTCTGGCTGTGTTGGGCGGTCTTGAGTTGGAGAATCTCAATGTCGCGCTTTTTCATGCGTTGGTCCTCTTACCTCTTGTTAGTTGTCCGATGTTTTCTTGTGGTGTGTAGGTGAACATACCGTGTAGCTCTGCGACGTTGATGCGGAACTGGTTTCGCTCTTCAAGTACCCGTCTGCGCCCATTTTCAATGAAGGCGTCGAAGCGGGTTGTGAACTGGTTCATACGACTGCGTAAGTCATCGAACCCGAAGTTGATGCTGGGGAGTTGGTCGGCCATTGATGGCGCATCGTGCGCAGACGCGCGCATCGTGGTGCTAAGGGAGGGTTCAAAAGTCGTCATGGTCAAGATGGGTGTCGCAGAAAAATCCGGGGGAGGGGGTCTTTTTTTCTCTCTTCGTCAAGTGCGGTACATGTATATGTGATCGAGTGTGCTGTGCTGTGCGGTAAGACGTTGCCCACCTGGCTTGTTTTGGTTGCTGTGTAAACAACACACGCATGCTAGCGGCCATGGGGAATCTTGCGCCCCACATGCACGCACGTGCCGACGTGACTTTTGGCGCTAGTGAACTTTTTGTGCCAATGCGACTTCCATCTTTCTGCTTCACTGTCGCCTTTCCCTTTCACTTTCACGCTTCACCACTTCTGTCTGGAACTATAGCGACTACTAACGCTCAACTATCGCGCACGAACTATGAGTCCATCTCCCAGCGCTGCTACGGATCGAAAACCATACGAGCCAGATGGCTGATAAACCTCTCGAAGATGGGAACTCGGGCCGTCCTGGTATAGCGAGCTACGATGTGGACAATAGGGAATGGGTTTTTCCCAGATACTTTGCGGCCCTGCAGTTGAAGCAAATTCGCCCCGTTACCGACAAACATACTGCCACCTCACTTGCGACAACACCAGCTCGATTCCCACTTCCAACAACCCATGCGAAACGTTCAAAGACCAAACAGCGCACAGGCGTACGGAAACGCATCAAAGGCCTAGTTAAAACAGACCCTGTTCTTTGTGCATCCCTCGGCCTTCTTCCCGACTTGGACCTGTCATCCGCTGCTGTCTCCTCAGCCCGCGACCCTCTCGTTGGCAACTTATTATCCTTTGGCTCCATCACGCTTGGGAACAGGTACGAGACACCCCGAAGAGTCGCCGCGCTGGCTACAGGAGAAGCGGGCAACATTCTACAGCTGGCCATTGTCAATAAAGAGATATACGACTGGGGCCAGGCAAAGAAGACATGGGTCGACGGTCCAACGCTGAAAGAGGCACCCCTCGGATATTGGAACGAGGATGCTGCGCCTATACAACAGATATGCTTTGCCCAGTCGGAAGACAGGAGCTGTTTACTTGCTGTGCGGCTCCCTACACGCACAGTCCTGTTGCGCCCTTTGTACCACCGCCAGGTGCGCACGACTCCCTCCTCATCCTTCTACGATCTCCCTAAATCTGTGATTGAACCACACCCGGTACTCACTATACACCACAAGGAAACTGGCGGATCTCCTCACGTCGACTTCGCTTTCAACCCGGACAATCAGCTACAATTTGCTCTCGCTCATCAGGACCACACATGGAGCGTATGGAATATGCATCATCCGCGCAAGGGTGACAAATACTCTCCTTCTCGTTTGGCCCGAGGGCGAATCAACAAGCTCAAAGATAATGATGTCGCTCGTCAAGATGAGTGGGCAAGGATACTCTGGGTGGCCAATCCACATACCCTGCTGGTTTGTAACCGGCGTCATCTGGGGATCATTAGTATCAAAACTAGGCCACATTTCTACCGCCCTTACTCGGGTATCTTCAGTGAGAAGCAATCCGAAGACTGGATTCTTGACGTCAAGAGGCATCCCAAAGATACATGTCAATTCTTCGTTTTGACCTCATCTCTGCTCATTCTGATGGCGGTCACGACTTCAAGCGGCGCTGATACGGGTGCTGATGAAGCAGTGGTGACAACGCTGCAATCTTGGAAGCATTGCAGGGACGCAAAAGACTTCACTCTTCAAATTCAAGTCCAACTGGTATCAGACACAGAGTCATTTGTAATTGTTTACTCTACGCTGAACACACGCATCCAAGTATACAGCTACAGCAAGAGTTCATCGAGCTCTCCGGCCCTTGTTGCGTGCTCTGATCCCAGCCTACTCAGCCTAGGCCTTGATGAATCTATAAGAATCAACACAATCCACACAGAGACTATGCAGCAGGAAGGCGTGCAAAACGACGTCAATTTCTTCCGCTTGTTTGTAACGCTGTCTGATGGGGATATGCAAGAGTTGGTCGTGTGTTCCTCTTCCTTGGAGGCCACTGGGAGCTACCAAGTAATCATGGACTTTAAGAAAAGCACCATAAAGCATCCCAGAGCTGGCAATTCGAAGAAGGATATAGTCCATGTGGAGGATGATTTCATTGTCCCCAATCGATTGGCTTTCGCAGGTGCTCCCCGCGCTAAAATCACCTCGCAACTGCCAAGATTACTCCCCCCTTTGGAAATTGTCGTTCGGCGACACTTCCGGCGTCACGAAACAAGGAGAAGAATTGGTCGATCTTTAGTCATGGCCCATAGGGTATTTGATGGGGTTGATGTTGTTGAAACTGCCAGTGAGGTGCGGCAGATGCTTACCCACGGCCTTGATGTCATATCTACACCCTTCCGCACCTTGTAAGTAAGCTCCAAGAGTACTATATGCAATGCTAATTTCTACAGGATGGAGCATGCAAACATGAAAGTTATTTTCTTCGATTTCGGCGAGGCATCATCAGGAATAGAAGAGCTCTTTTCTTTGCAGAACCGCCATGCAACTGCGGAAATTCGACACATCGCATCTGGGAGCCGGCTTGAGCTTTCAAAACAAGGCAATACCACTCCATCAGATGTCTACGACGATATAGTCGAAAAATGGGTCACGCCTCTGTCACCAAAAATTGCAGTCCGCGTTCGACTCGCGAATGAACGTCTCGCTCAACAGATCGCAATGGAATTGGTACTTTCAAGTACTCGCGTACGAGAACATGGAGTCGATGACCAGATCATTGGTCCTCAATCACAAGACTCTGTTTTCCATTCTTCCTCGCAGTTCTTTTCCTCTCAACCGCTACCAACGCCCCCTCTGTCATCCTTCTCAGGGTCGTCACCGCCCATGCCACCTTCCACAACATCGAACCTGTCAGGCACTCTTACGCGCCTGGGGATGCATCTATCGCTTCGAGAATCGTCTCAAACCTTAGCGAGCATCGCCAGCAGCAACCCCCGAGTTCTCGCGCGTTGGCAACCGGGAAATGACGTACGTACCTTCATTTGGGCCGAATCTGATGTTCAGCTCGAGGCGATCCAGAAACAGCGCAAGAAGATAGAGCGCAGAGAGAAGCGTCAGCAGCGTAAAACCGAGCGGATGCGACTCAAGGATATGAGTCAATTTGTCAGCTTCCCGCAGAGTTCTCCCGGACCCATGCTGGGTAACATGGGTAGTAGTAGTCAGATACTGAGTCAGAGTCAAAGTCAAAGCCAAAGCCAGTTGTCAAGCCAAAATGACGGCTTCATGATACCGCACAGTCAAGTTGAGCGGGGGAAATTTGGTGGGAGGTTGGAAAAGAAGAAGAAGAAGAAGACGAGGATAAGTGGATTCTAGGACGCTCATGTATACGGGATGTCACGGAAATGACCAATGGGTGTTCGCGTGACAGCCTGTATAGTCAATGTCGTCATAGGACAGCGACCCTCTTCCCCGAGAAGTGGGGTGGGAGGGGTAGCTTCCCTAGAGAGCCGATATCATGTTAGCCCATTGCCGGATCCGACCTCAAATACTTCTGAACGTCTAAAATTTACTTCAACTCAAACCCCTTCGGTTTTCTTTGTCACCACTTCACCGTACCTCTTCGATTGACAATATTGCTTCTCCAGAATGGCCGGCTTCCCCTCCCTCCAGCCCGCGTTCACAGTCCGCGTCAACATTGATGCACCGATGCAAGTTGGGGGTCAATCAGGCCCCGGGCTGGTCATCGTGCCCATGGTTAGTGGAACGGTAAAGAGTGAAAGGGGTTTTGAACCAAAGCTAGACGGGGAACTGTATGTCTATTCGACTAGAAGGTAAAAGTATACTGTGAATACTGATACCAACACAGACATGGCGTAGGATATGACTACATCCATAACGATACGAATGGAGGCAACATGCGATTAGACGTCCGCTCGCAAGTCAAGTATGTAGACAACCTATCTTCTCCTGTATACCCCCTCCCTTTTGTGCGTCCCCGTTCTTAGAGAATAAATAGAACCGACGATGGCACTATTCTGGCCATGTACTACAAAGGCACCGTTGCTCTCACACCCGGCGTCGTCGCTATGTTGTCTGGTAGCCCCGATGCAAAGACCACGGACTACGGTGACTCGTTTGTAACGTTTTCGTTTGAGACGGGGAGTGATAAGTATAAGGATTTGCAAAATGGGACATATGTTGCTGCGGGGCACTTTGTTAAAGAGGGCGATGGGGTGATTGTTGAGTACAAGGTTAGTAAGGCTATTGTCTGAGAAAAAACAGGCATGGAGATAGTGGACGGTGGACATTGGGTAGCGTGAAATGGAAAAGGTAATTCTGTTTTACATGTGTTCCTCTGTCCCAAGATGCGTCAATTCTTGCTGGGTATCTTTCAGTGGTATACCGAAGGGAATATCACATGTTGAACATGGATCGGTTACACAAGAAGACCTTTACCGCTTCAAGTACAGGGCGCATTGGCTCTTTCCCAATGTGTCGAAGTTTGTCCTTGAATTGCTTTTGTTTACTACCGATATATTCCACCGCAGACTGACTAGTATAGCGCACACGTGACAGGAGCAAGAAATGTGACCAGTAATGGCGAGCATGTGGCGAAAACGCCTGAACTGATACCGGAATGAGATCCCCCTTCCCCCCTTTTTCGCAGATAGGCGATCGGGTCTTTGGGCCGATGGGCAAGAGGAAAAGATGGGGGTATGGGGAAGGGTAGCAGAAAAATAAAGGAAGAAGAAAAGAGGGGAACGATGGATAGGGGGTGCCGGTGGGGGCGCAATAGTTTGTTATTCATCATGCTCGTCGTACGGAGGGATTGACACCGCCTCATTTGGATAAGACGTGGTTTGCATGTGATTGTGATAGCCGACCAGAGCCACATGTATTCTGGTGGGATAGATCCGCGGAACGGGGTTTGAGATCAACGCTGCAAGCTGAATGAAACTTGGCGCGCTACGGGAACTGATTACAAGGATTTGCATTGTATGTGGGTATTGACATTACCATCTTGGTATCGCTATAAGAAACACGCATTACCACATTGGTAATCTAAAGACTAGAGCAAGTACGGTTAGAGGGGTCGGTAGAATAGACATTACCGTTACCGAAGCCATGTACATCAGCGGAGCAAGGGAAAATAGAAAGAGAGACATGATACAACGCCTGCAGGTGATGCGAGAATTGTGATATGTGAAAGCTGATGCATATTTAGCATGAGAATCCTGCCCGCCAACTGTGAAAACAAAAGAAAGAGTCTTGGTGTTGAATGTTGATGATGGTATTGGTGGTGGCAAAAAGAGAAATGGTGATGGAAAGCCTAACGTAGAAGCCGAGTCATGAACACATTGGGATGCCGATAATCGAGTGTACCCGATCCGGTTGTGCTTCGCTTCGCATTCTTTTGTATTTGTACGTGGCGTGTTTGTGGAACAGTGGCGTGCTACTCATAGATAGCGATTCGATAGACCGACACGTGAAACTTAACGTCCGCGTCTCAAATTCAGGCTACCAATCATGCTTACATGATGCCTTTCAAGCCACGAAAGCCACCAGTTTTAGTCGACGTCTGCTTTTTTTGTTCCTTCTCTTTGATCTTTTTGCTCATGTTCTGCGCCCCGCCTGTTGTCACTGCGTCAGTCTCCAGTCTATCGTGCCGAGGGAGATAGTACTCACCACGGCCGTATATTCGCACTTCGGGCTTTGTTCCTGTCTTGTCTTTTCGATCGCCCCTGCTCGAACTGCCGTCTGTGTCATTTGAGTAGCTGCTTTTACCGCTCGATTGGGCTTGTTGGACCTGCAGTTGGTTGGCGTCGTGGTTTGCGCTGTACTCGGGCCCGTAGCCGCCGCCGAAACCGGGGTACGGTGATGGCCCGGCCTGGGAGCGTTGGAATTTGTTTTGTTGGAGCGAGTCGAGACGAGCAGGTCCAGCTGGTGGTACAGCTGATGTGGGACTGTGTGTCGATTCGGGGGAGCGGTGTTCGGGGTAGTAATCCTGCTCATCGATCTGTGACGATTCTGTCGAGAGAGGCGCAAAGTATCTCGAAGTGTAGTTGGGGTGTCGTGCAGTGGAGTTGCGGTTCGCTTGCAATGTGCCAAAGTCCATCTGGCTAGTCTTGTCTCGAGAATAGAGCTGCCCCATGCCAGCCTGCAGCTCGCCTTCAAGTTCTTGACATTTCAACTGCAGCTCCGTGTGCTGTTCAAGAAGGCGGTAATGGGTCTTCTTCATTTGCTGAAGTTTGGCGTTGCTCGCTGCAAGTGCTGAGTCGAGCATCTGCTGGACCGAAGACGGAAGCTGCCCAGGTTTACTCGTGTTTCTGTCTGACATCTGCAGTCGCGTCTCAAGCTCCATGATCCGACGCTCATAGGCCTTGATTGAACGATCGCGTTCTTGCTCGCGACTATTCAACCGCATATTCACAATCTCCAGATCATTCCGCAAGTCGTTCCGCTCCTGCATGAAAATGTGCAGCTCTTTCCTCTGGTCCTCGAATGCCATGATCTTGTCTTGCGCAGCTTCAAGCTCGCGTCGAAGGTCGCTGTAGTCTTCCAACTCGTATTCCAGCGCCTTTGTTCGCTGCTGAGCCTTGATTTGTTCTGCTTCCGCCCTTTCCACGATCTTCTTGAGCTCCTCATAGTCAGCTTGCGTCTTCTGCAACTCGAATCGCAAACCGCCCTCATCGCTATGCCATGTTTTCTCGCTCTCCTTGTAGGACCGCACCTTTGCGTTTAGCTCGCCCTCCCACTTCTTTGACTGACTCCGACTTGTAAGGGTCTCCTTCTTTAGCTGGGCGTACAGTTCGTTTGCCTTGGCAAGGCGGGCCTTTAGGGTCTTGTTAGTGTTGATCAAATTCTGTGTCTCTGCTTCAGCCGTTGCTTCCTTGATATGTTTCCGCTGGAGCTGTCCAATGTGGGAAAGATGCTGCAACTTGAGATAGCGTTCAAAGTTTAGATCATTCCTGAGCAGCATGATCTCTCTTTGCAGGGAGGCCATTGTGGAATTCTGAAAGTCGCCTTGGGTAGACTGGTTCGGCCCAGCGATTGACTGCGCAAAACTCTCCAAATTTGGCTGCTGCGTTGGGGATCGCTGGTGAGGGATTGTGAGTGAAGTGGGCAAATCCGGCTTCCTGGTGTCTTTCGTAGGCGGTAGTGTTGGGGAGTCCATGACGTCGCGACCTTTTAGCAAAGGAGAAGCCATGGATTTGACGGATACAGTAGACTTGAGTGACCTGCTACTCGGCGGAAGTTCGAAGGCGTCAGGAACGTCTGGGATATCACCTGAAGGGACATTCATGGTTGATCGTGTGTTTCTCCAGCTTTCTTCTGGATCCTGCACTGTGCTGTCATCTTGATCGTCCAAGGTAAATTGTGTTTGGATTGCTGGCACAGGTGGTAAGGCAGCGTTGGGCGGTGGTCCCGGGTCCTCCAAGGTCGACGATACTGCTACACAAAGGTCCATGCACTCAATTACGACATCTGCGGGGTCACTCTTCAGCCATCTATTCTCAATCAGTTCTTCCTCGACCGTGGTGCTGAACATGTTTGGGTGAAGTAGGTGAACCTGTCGATAGGGCTCTGTCCGGCTGTGAATCAGGCATTGGTCCAGGTCGAAATCGCGAGCGCCAGGAAAGTTGAGCGACTTGAGATACTTTCTAGGCTTTCGCACAAAGCTCATAAAGTTGAGCGGGAACAGTCCGTAAAGAAAGGTAAAGTAGTGCATGAGCGTGGGTGGTGGTGAGTCTGGATAGTCCATGGTGGGTTGTACTTGCTCCCAGGCCTGCTCGGGCTCGTCTTGCTCTTCATCCTCGTCTTCGCTGTCATCGTCTTGTATGTCGACTTCGCCGGCCTTTTCATTGCCGGTGCCTAGTTTATCCCAACACAATATCCTGCAGTAGACAAGGAACAACTTCTCCAGATGGTGATCCGAGGTCAATGCTCCACATATGTGGGGTAGGAACATGATGAGAACGACAAGGGCGAGCTCGATGACGGTAGAAGAGTTGTCGATGAGTAGACATTTCTCGAGATGTTGTATGAGCGGGGTGTCGAGGACTAGGTGGAGGTGCGGCGGCTGCAGACGGACAAAAGCGCTTAGGAGGTTCAGTGCCTGGATGCGGTGTTGCTTCTGGACGAAGAGGGTGTCGAGTGTGAGAAGCAGTCGCTGAAAGGGTTAGCTTAGGGGTGGCGTATAACACGATGCGGTACCCACCTTGGGCATCTTTCGCCCGAAAGCCAGCAGGATGGATTCAAGCTCGCGGGCCACAAACTCATTCTCCGGGGACACGACATGGTCGGTCGAAGAAGGTACCGTGGTCCTCGCTAGGTATGTGTCCAGTATCTTTTGGGTGAAGAGGGTGGATAAGCGGGCGTGCTCCCCATCTCTGTCCAGGTCTGGATCATAGACCAAGATGGTGTGCAGAAGAGCCCTGGCATCTTCAATCTCCGTCTTCTTGTGGCCTATGCCATCGATGATGGGCTTCAGGATCAGATTCCACCATGTCGTCAGGCGCACCTCTCCGGTTATGGCAGGACGCAGCAGTCTGAGGGTGGACAGGAAAGCGCCGCGCTTCTCGGCGTTATTCGCGACGTGGCGCCAGTAGAGGGCGTGGAGATCCTCGTGGAAGCGTTGCGAGTCGTGTTCATTGATGCCGTCATAACGCTCGAGGAAGGCTTCTATGGTTGCGCACAGCTCGAAGGGGAGGGGAGAGGGAAGGTCGGGTGCGGAAAAGGTCGTGTTGAGCGCCTTGAGCAACTCGCGCATTGATCTGGAGGGCAGCGTCAGCCATGGCGTCAGGCAATGCTTGCTACGGCGTAGGCCTACCCAGACATGTCGATATTGATATTGTGCTCCTTGTCCACTTGCGGGCTTGGAGAAGTTGTAGTGACTATAGACTATAGACTACCGACTACGGTTGTACTATGGCAGGCATTGGCGGGCAATTGTGCGCCAGGTCTACAGTATCGGTATGCAATCGTCTCAAGTAGAGCACCAGTCGTGTTCGCAGGCAATGGTCGACATGTCACTGCGCAGGCACGTCTGGTCTTCGGAAGAGCCAAAGCTTTTGGACCAGTCTGTTGGCGTGGGGTGACGTGACGGGTGAGAGAGAGAGCTCGAGCAGCGACGACAGCGACAGCGACGTCGACCGGTAGAAGAGAAATTTCACTTGACTTGACTTGACTTGCCACACTGCTCACGCAAGCTTGGTGGTGCTTTTGGGGGCAGCATGCCCTCCCCATATTTGGCACGCTATTGGACGTCGCACGTCGCCTTTTGCTCTTCGCACCGCCAAAAGAAATGCGCGCACGCGTCTTACGACCGGCAATGGCTATCCATAGGTAGGTACGCCCCTCCACGCCTGGTTGGGTTGGGGGTCCAAGTGGGCCCGGCCGCGGCGGCATAGGAAAGAACGACCCTGCACGTCGCCATAAACGGCAGGCTGCAACGACCGGCCGGATCCACCGTGCCTGCCTGCTCGCTTTTGGCTGTCGTCACACATCCCTGAAAGCACATCTCGTCCCATATTCCCCAATTGCGTGTCTAACAATCTCACGCCCTCTGCATCTGTGCGATAGAGTGCTGACAGGACTGTCCTGGCCGCATGCGGAAAAACTTATGCAACCCTATCCCTCTGATTCGCACTCCAGAAACAGTATAGTCATGTGCAGGGCGCTACAGACGGCGTATCATGAGCCTGCGAGGCCTGCCACCCATCACATTCCATCCTGCAATCCAACCTGTCAGCCACACCGTTATCTTACCGCAGCCCACGGCTTACACCACATCAAAATTGCCCAGCTATGGCCTACTAACTCTAGACTCAGGTCCCACACTAAGCTGCACGCGGCAGTTGTGTTCGCACATCTTGTCCGCTACTCCTTTACGTCTTACTCAATCTAACCACCCCCGACTCGACGGCATGAATATCTATGAGAGCTTCCATAAACAGAGCGTCGCCGCCGAGTCAGCCAAGTACGAGCAGACACCCCCTACCACGCCCAAAGCTTCACCAAAACCCGCCGAAAATTACTGTCATCCCAAGCCAAGCTACCTATCGCCAATCACCGGTTCCGAGAATACGGTACCTTTGGTCCATGCGGGGTGCCTGCATCTGCACGCGTGCATCCTGTGCCTCTCTCCATCCCATATCCGCTCTCTTATCACAAGGATGCCACTGTTTCGATCCATTTCGCTGACCATGTCTCACTCGTGGATTCGATTGTCATCTTGATGATATTCTTCTCGCCACACCCATCGCTAACCCCATCTCAACCCAGATGCGTATCAGAAGCTCTTCGTGACAATGTCAACCACCTCTTAACATCGCATATCCGATACCTGCCGTAATCATCGACCTCGCTATCCAGACCCTCGGGAGATTCCACAAACCATGATACGTGACGGACGGAGTTCGGTGCATCCTGAGCGGGAACAGCCTGTACGCAATCTGGAACTCTTTGGGAGAAGTATTGGCACATGAAGCGTCTAGGCCTCAGAAGATCTTGAACACTTTTACTCGTTGTTTCCGAATATTGCCTATTTTTCCTCTCCCTCCTTCCCTTACAAGAACGTTAGCTCTGTGGTAGGTTCCCGCCGTCTTTGCCATCATAAGCATTACGTCACGTTGTACCGAACTTACAGACCAGTCTTCTCATCTCACGCACACCAACTTCATTGTAATCTAAATACATTAATGATATTTTTGGCGGGTTGGCTGACAACCTCTACGATTGTGTCTCGCCACGTAGCAACAACGGCTGCACACTCGTAATATCCGACAATGACGCGCATTTGACCGAGACGGGAGTATAGACGTAAATTGAACTGAAACAAGACCTGTCACAAACGAATGCATCTCTATTCAGTTATGTAGCCTTCGCTTTCCTCCTGAATTTGACTGGGCTTTTGGGTGCAAGGAGGGGGTGGATGGTAGTAGTACTACAAAATGTTGTAATTCAGAAACCTACCTTTCCCCACCTTCCCCGTACCCGCTTCCGCTTCCGCCCTTGCCATGAGATTCGTGACAAAATATTTGACAGTGACAGTGTGAGTGAGTCCTCAAGTTCCATTGCTAATAGCCGTGCCTGGCATCTACAGTTGTCTTCATATACGAGCGTGTCACCTAGGTTTGGTTCATTCAGGTTCATTCCGTGTCTACCTGCACCCCTCCTCCTCATTCTCATTCTCATTCTCATCCAGTATTTCATCAGGCTCAAGCAGCTGCTACAAGCTTGGCTTGGTGTTTGTTGTTGTGGCAGTGTATATCCAGCCCTCACTGAGCCGTCAGATTGGTGTTACATAGCTCACATCTATATGGCTTTGCTGCCTTGGCTGCACCCGTACGACTTCTCGTCCAGTGTGAAGTCTTTTCGATTTCGAGCTTGTCTATGTGCCTCTGGGTGGAGTTATGCGATTTGAGCCTAGATGGTCTGTCGAAAGAAAAGTCGCAGATCTTGCATGCATGTTTCCCCATGTCTATATCGTGGCGTCTCTTCGCAGCTGCCAAATTTCGCGCCGCCCTGTATGCCCTAGGGTCGAGAGTCTTGATCACACCATACTTGGCAATCTTCTGAACACGGCGTTTTTCCCTGCTTGTTTTGCGCTTGGCCATGTCGTCGGCAGACGCGGAGTGGATTTTGGCGCCCCCACGGATTCCTTCGGTAAGGGCAGAGTTCCCACAAAGACCATGATACTCAAACGTATCAAGGGACCAACGGCAGATATTAGGCATTCCGTAGTCTTTGTTTCGATCGGCCATAGCCCAGAAGAGAATAGCAAAGGCCGCTTCCATAACGAGGTGAAGGGAGCGGAGTGGCAGTACGTCACCAAGGGGGCCTAGTGATGAAGACGCGAGAAGTCCTTTGTGTGTAATCTTGAAGCCTTCAGCCAGCGCGACTTCCATCTTGACTGATACTGCGGACAGACACTCGTAATGTAAAAATCGCGCATGAGTTCCATCTTGGCCGTCGGTCGCGGAACCGACATAGATCAACGGGGAAAGGCCAGGTTTCTCGAGCGTGACGACATAAACTCCCCAGCATCGTTCTTTGGGGTTCGGCAATGTCTTGAACCACGCAAAGGGCGGCGGGGTAGGAGAGTTGAGAACCTCGAATACGCCTGGAATGACGACGACAGAGAATTGGTTGTGAGCTGCTCCACTACCTTGAACGAAGGCAAGTAATCTGCGAATTTCGGGCTCTTCATGCTCGCGGGGGTGTTGGTCAGAAAGTTCCAAAAGAGCTTAGCAAAGTGTTCGTGGTCCTGGTCGCCAGTATCGTCGTCGTCGTCGTCGTCGTCGTCGTCGTCGTCATCTTCTTAGTCTTCGTAGTCGTCATGATAATCTTCGTCATTAACATCATCGCTGTCAAAGCCGTCGTCGTCATAATCGTTGTTGCCGTTGTCATTATCCTCGTGAGCAGCCTTCATGGGACGACCGCACGACTTGTGGCCTCTGGACGGGATTACCACTTTAGATAGGAAAGCCATCTTTCAAGCATTACCAGTGGCTGGCAAGTGACTGGTAGCCCGGAACGCGATTTTTGAATTGGTCAGGGAACTTCAGACGAGGTAACCTAGATATTTTTGTAAAGCCGTCTGGTTCTCAACATGAAGGAGAAGGAGTAAAGTGGGCAAGCCTCGACAGCGATTGCAGATGCCCATATTGATCTATGCAAGCCTCGATATCGACGACATAATGCTATGCGGCTAGCCCGATAGCCCCTCTCTATCTGTTGTCCCAAAGTTGGCATTGCAATTACTCCAGATCAGGGAGGTTGGGCAAAGGTCAATGTGGGCGAATCCAAATGAGGAAACAACGTCGTCGATTCGTAACAAGAAAAAATGGTTGTTTGGTTAGAGACGAGGTGCATATCTGCATGGGTGTGACTATCCGCGAAAGCAGTGTTTTTATTGCTGATGCTGTCTGCCATGCAAGTCTTCCACTGTAATCGTTTGGTATTGTTGAGGGTGGTAGCTTACGGGAATGTCTTAGTGAGGTTGGCTGTACCATGGTACGAATTTTGTCTCGCACACACCAGGATGTAACCTATCAGCAAGTACATATCCTCATTTGTTGGCGAGGAAAGTAGGTATAAACACTCGACATACAGTTACAGTGGTTAATTTTCTTCTTAGGTTCTATAATATTTCAGTTGAACAGTTCTGCGACATGAGCAGTAAGAGCCAGCTATATAGGAAACTCAACAGCTCATACCCTCCCTGTCATATGTGAACTGCGGTAAAAGCGAATCGTTTGGGTCTCAGACTTGGCAGCCCGATGCTCTGGTCCACATTGAAGAGATTTGTAGCATAGGAGTAAATAAGCGTACGGCACGCGAAATTTACTGCCTATCACCCCTCTCACCCAGCCCCTCCTTGCCCCCCTTAACCTCTTCCCCACCCCCAATCCCTGTCGTGCGCTTCGGCTGCTCCTGAAAGTCGGGCTGCTTCGCCGGATGTTCATCCCCACTCTTATGTTCTTCTTGCGATGCGCTAGACTGTGGGTCCGTGTTTTGTGTCGAGTTGCGTACTTTGGCGTTGGGCGCGGCGGATGAGTTGGGTTCTGGGTCCGGTAGGTGCGATGGAGGTTGGGACGAGGCTGTGAATTTAGAGAGGGGAAGAGTGGTGTGGAAGGGGCGTATTGTGAGATTTAGAAGTGAGAGATGCGAATGCGTGAGGGTTCGCAGGGTTTGTGGTGGCATGACTGTTTGCTGGTGGATGTATGCGTGTTGTGGCTATTCGCGGTTGATGTAGCGTTCTCGTTTGCTGGTGCTGTTTGCGAAGACGTAAAAAATACACGGGCCGGAGCTGAAGCCCCTCGAAGTCTCTTATCAGGTCCTCCTGAGTACTGCACTTCTGCGATGACGATGCGTTATGCAGCTTTTGCGCGGTCAAGGATGACCGAGTGATGTCATTGTGACAGACGACTGGTGCTCCTACCCAATATGTATTTGTCAGTGAGACACATGGAAGCATTTCAAATCTCATAATCTTGTCACCTCTCAACTACACCATCGAATATATACGTCAACTCCCACTATGTAGCCTCCAAACTACCTGTGCAGGTAGTTCTCAAACGAAGTTCTAGAGTGTATACTTCTTGATCAAGTTAGCGTATAAACCACGCCGCATCACGCCAACCATCCCCACATATGTAGAGTAGGTATGCACGACACGTGCCTCGCTCCAGCGCATTAAGATGCTAAAATGGTAATGTGAGAAAACAAACAAAGACGAACGACACCCCCCTCATATGCGCCGCTTCCTTCTGCAGCTACATCATGCCTGAATTCGTGCTCTTCGGTGATTCGCTCACAGAGTAGAGCTTTAATGCGGAGTCGCAGGGCTTCGGCTTCTTTCTTAGGCAGCAGTACAAAGACAAGGTGCGCATCGTTAACGAAGGTTGGTACTGCATTTCACTTTAGCGTATCAATTCTTTGGGTTCGTGTCTGTTTGCATTGGATATCCCACCGCCGAGACAGACTTACCGTGCCGAAGACATGGCTTCCAATACTGTTCAAGCACCGCTGCCAGAGATTGTCGTATTCGGTGCCTCCATGGCGGAATGGAGTTTTGATAGAAACACACAGGGCTATGGGTGGTTACTTGAGAACATATATGCGGGGAAGGCGAGGGTCGCGAACGAAGGTACTGATTGCGGTCCAGTTGTTTAGAGGACGCTGACGCCTTACCACGTTAATATGTATACTGACACTTTTCCACAGGTCAAGCTGGGTACACATATCCCTGAAAAAAACAGGTTTAGATATCTGGAAGATTTCGTCTATACTCACGAACAGTCCACAGTTACACCACTTCCCGCCTGAAAGACAATTTTGACCGCATCATCGACCGCGCCACTTCCCCAGGTGTACCACAAACCCTACTCTTCACGATATTCATCGGCGCAAATGATGCTTGTATGATAGGCGATACACCCATGGTTCCCTGGCCCTTCTTCTCAGCCAACATCCGCAACTTCCTCGACACCATACTCACGGAACGAGCCATGGAGGATACGAAGATCGTCTTGATTACGCCCCCTCCCATAAATAGCACAGTTGTGGAAAAGAAAGACGATAGTACGGCGGAGAATATAGAGTACATGAACGAGTTCAGAAGAGGGGCTGCAAGGTTCAGGACGTACATGAACAAGAAGAGATATGCTGAGGGCATCATGCAAATTGCAGAGGAGTATACGGAGACGGGCAGAGTGGTGGGGTTAAACTTTTGGAAGGATATTGTCGATGCTATGTTGGAGGAGGAGGGGGAAGAGTACAACGAAGATATGCCGCCAGGGTGTGGACTGTTGGGGTCGAAGAACTTTCCAAAAGGCTGGTTCACGGATGGGCTGCATTTAAATGTCAAGGGGTATGGGGTACTTTCAAAAAGCTTATTTGAGCTGGTCACGAGTAAGTGGCCTGAGTTGGCGCCTGAAAACCTATAGTCGATTTGGTGCTGTCGTCGATACATGAGCGACGAGCACGTATGGTAGTAGAACAGTGGATTGAGATGATTTTGTATCCAACTATTGGGGTATTCGCTATCATGCACGAATCGTACTTATCCTCTATTCAGGGTATTACCTGAGCCCTTGGGGTTTGCCTCCACATATTCGTCCCACGCACGCTGCTTCATCGTTTCTTCGTCCGCGGCGACAAGATCGTCCTCGTTGGGTTCGGGCTGAACCTCAGACTGCGGTCCGCCTCCCTCAATCATGCCGCCCCTTCGCTTCTCCTCCTCCAGATATTCATCGATAGTCATGGTTGGCAGACTATGATCTGGGCGGAACACGTTCTTCTTCAAGGTCTGGCGACTGTCCAGTAGCGTAAAGGGCCGCATGGGCTTACCGTCGCTGCTGAGGATGGGCCCCGAGTATCTCAATCCAGCATACTGACCATCGAGACGTTCAGAATAGCCGTCCTTGTCTCTGCTATCTTGTCGGGCATCTGGGCTTTGTGCTTGCTGTCCTTGGGGTGGTGCAGGTGGTGCTAGCGAAATGATGTGCAGCTCCTGGGCCATTGACTCCAGCGAAGCAAACGTCTGGTGTACCATGAATGCCAAGTTGGTTAGATGTAGATCTCGTACCACTTGTTCGTCCTGTTCTGCAAGCTTGGGATTCTGTCGTAGATACTGTGGTCGCGTGCTTTAGCCCCGGTATGTGCTGCAGATGATGCAACGCATAGACGTACCTCTAGTTTTTGTCTCAACTGTTTTTCCTCTCTGAAACGGGCAATCTTTGTATCTCGTCTCGCGGCAGCATCTTTTGTGCTGGCCGTTGAGAAGTTGTCCTTGTCTTCGGTATAAACCTCAAAAAGCCTCGCATCTGCTTTGCCAAGCACTTCGTAGGCATCCAAGAGCTTCAGATATCGCTCATAATGTCCACGAGCACGTAGTAAATTCTGCTTGCGTGCAGATATGTCGTTGTTGAAAATCCTTTGCCCCAATTCCGCCAAATGATAGTTTATCGCCATGTATCTATTGGAAACGTAAGTAGAGTCCACAACTTTGAAGATATGATCGGAAGAGCGATCATTAAACTAACACACATACTGTAGGTCTGACGACGAAATATCTTCCAGAGTCTCATTTGGACTGAAGAGTGAAACCTGCTCTGAGATCTTCAGACATTCTTCGTAGGTGGCGATGGTTGCGCTAAGGTTTTCCTGGTAAGTGGGACTGTTTGTCTCGTACGAAGAGGACAGCTCTTCGCGCGCCCTCTCAGCTTTCGAGAAAAGCCTTCGTAGGCTTTGCGGTTCTTCGGACATTGTGTAGAGGATGAGACTAAGGCGTGGGCCGGTGTTGAGAGGACCGCTATGCTATTGCACGTGAGAACGTGAGCCGGTGCTGATGAGTCATCAACGCTCTTGCTCCACAATCGCGTACCCCGCCATCATCGCCCGTGTATCGCCTGCCCCGAGGCGGTAACCTCACGGGCAGCAAACACTCGATGGTGCGATTGTGCCCGATAGTAGCAAACGGATGCCGCTGCTTATTGGTCACGAGACTGGGAAATAGGCATCTTTTTGAATTTGCGGTGACAGGTAGCTGCCCCGTTTGCGCCTGTGTGTCGTGCGACAGGTCGCGCAAACAACAGCAGCCTCTCCTCTTCGGTCATCAGCCCGAGCGGATCTTCTAATTCTCGAATCCAAACTCTTGACTAAATCCACTCACTCTATCTGTCTTGCCTCTTACACCTGTGACAAGCCTCATTATTTGCGCCTTGTGGGGACTAACCACAACTGCAACAATTATGGCGTGGATCCAGAGCGACGAAGAGCAAGAGGATTTTCTCTCGTGCGATGGAGAGTCTGATCCCGAATCTTCCAATGACGAGTCGCTCAAAGTAAAAGATAGAGTACACCAAGTCGAAGACGACGATTCCGATGTCGATGCTGACATTGCGCGTGCGCATGGCCCAAGGACTACGACTGAGAGACGCCGAGCGCAGAACGACATCATGAAAGCCTTTGCTGCTAACATCAGTGCAAGTCTAACACAAAAGGAAGTCGATGACGCTGCCGCAAAGAGTGCCAATGAAGAGCAGCTGTCGATCCGCGATATCCTTGCAAAACAAGATACGACAGTCCGCATCACGAACCCTCGCGACTACCAGACGGAGCTATTCCAGAGGGCAAAGGTCGAGAATGTAATTGCGGTGTTAGACACTGGTTCCGGGAAGACTCATATTGCAACCCTCCTGCTGCGACACGTCCTGGACGCAGAGCTCGAACATCGGGCCAAGGGCGACGCCCCCAAAATGGCCTTTTTTCTTGTAAGTGTCCAATCCCATTTGATGAATGCCTCGATTCAGTTCTAATGTTTTCAGGTCGACTCAGTAAATCTCGTGTTTCAACAATCCAACGTTTTGAGATGCGGTCTCGACCAGAACGTGGAAGGCATATGTGGTTCCATGGGCGCTTCGTTGTGGTCTAGGAAGACCTGGCAGACCTACTTCGATACCAACATGGTGGTCGTGTGTACAGCTGAGGTCCTTGTGCAGTGCATGATGCACTCTTTCATCACCATGAGTCAGATCAATTTGCTGATCTTTGACGAAGCTCACCATGCGAAGAGCAATCATCCTTATGCCCGCCTAATGAAGGATTATTACACACATGAGCTGGACCTCTCCAAACGACCCCGTATCTTTGGTATGACGGCATCGCCTGTAGATACCAAAGGACTGTCTGCGGATCACATCAAGCAAGCTGCTAGCGATCTTGAGAAGCTCCTATATGCCAAGATTGCCACTACCACAGAGAGCACGCTTGCTTCCAACAGCATCAGTCGGCCAGATGAGGAGGTTGCGGTATACACACGTCTACAGGACGAATTCGAGACGCCACTCCATCAGAAAATCAAGGCCAAGTTCGGGGACCTGCCATCGTTCAAGAAGTTCTTCGTCGCATCCAAACACCATGGTGTCGAGCTCGGACGTTGGGCATCCGACATGTACTGGTCGTTTGCTTTTGCGGACGAGCAGAGTCGGAAATTCCAGGAGCGGGAGCGCCTGAAGCATAATCGCGCTAATGTGGACGATGATGTGCAGAAATGGGACGCAAAATTGAAGCGTCTGCAAGAAGCTGCTGAGTTTGTTCAACAATTCGACTTTGGAAAATGCACGCTGAGCGATAAAGACGTGAGTTCCAAGGTTTTGAAACTTCATTACTGGCTCCACCGATACTATGAGCGCAGCGACGAGGCCCGATGCATCGTTTTCGTTGAGCAGCGACAAACCGCCCGATTGCTTCAACTAATCTTCGCCAGTCTTGGTGGGTCAAACCTTCGATGCAGCGTACTAGTCGGTGTCAACAATCGCATCAGCGAGCAGAACATCTCCTTGCGGAACCAGATTCTTACTGTCGCAAAATTCCGGCGCGGTGAATTGAACTGTCTCTTCGCAACCTCTGTTGCGGAAGAAGGCCTTGATATTCCACAGTGCAACCTGGTCGTCCGATTCGACCTCTACCGCACCATGATTGCATATGTGCAGTCTCGGGGTCGGGCAAGGCATCGTAATTCGAAGTATTTACACATGCTTGAAGACGGTAACCACGACCACCGCGAGAGAATCATGGATGTTAAGCAGGACGAACAAGTGATGAGAAACTTCTGCAGGGATCTTCCACAGGACCGTCAGATCAACGAGTTTGACAAGGACGGCACGGATCTGCTGACGTTTGAAGACAAATTATTCCCGACCTTTGTCACCAAGCCTGGTGCAAAGCTCTCGTATCGCTCCAGCTTGTCTATCCTCAACCACTTTGTGGCAACATTACCAGGGCCCGACAGACAGACCATGCTGCAGCCCACCTATGTCATCAGTTCTGAAGTTCAACGAAATGTTCTCGACCCACAACGTAGAGGTTTTGTGTGTGAAGTGATCCTACCAGAATACTCGCCGGTGACTTCTATCATCGGGGATGTCCAGGGGAAGAAAACCATCGCTAAATGTTCGGCGGCCTTTAAGACCTGTCTTCAATTATACAAGAAGGGGTACCTGGACGATAATCTACTCCCAACAACCTTCAGGAGCTTACCGGCTGGAAGGAATGCGCTGCTAGCGCTCAGCGAGAAGAAGAAGGGCATGTATTCCATGCTAATCAAGCCGAATTTCTGGAAGCTAGGACGCGGTACAGTCCCTACACACCTGTATCTCACCGTTGTCGACCTCGATTCTGGCCTTGACCGACCTCATCAGCCTTTAGGTCTGCTCACTCGACATCCGTTTCCGCAATTACCAAACTTCCCCATATATCTGACCGATGGAAGACCGTCCAACATTGTCTCCCAACCATCTGATACTCCGTTGCCTTTGTCAGAAACGATGCTAGACGTACTTACAGAGTTTACCTTGCGCATATACCAGGATATCTACAACAAGGAGTATGAGAAGGATGTCCAGAAGATGTCCTATTGGGTGGTTCCAGTAGTTTCTAGCCAGATGGCTTCTCTGCCTTTTGTCACAACCATCAATCAAATCCTGGATATGGATCAGATAAGTCGAGTCTACTCTAAACCCACTTGGAAATGGACAATAGACACCAAGCCTGAGGATTTGATAGATCAGTACTTTGTGGATCCTATGAATGGGGGACGGCGTTACTATGTAAACCGTCTCGCCCCTCATCTCAAGCCCCAAGATCCTGTTCCCAAGGGTATACCTCGCCAGAACCACAAGTTCATGGACAGCATTCTTGACTACAGCGATAGCAAATGGCTGAAGACTAGAGACATCTCCAAATGGAACCCATCACAGCCTGTTCTTGAGGTTGAGAAGATTCCTTTCCGCCGAAACCATCTTGCGCGTGTCGAGGACAAAGAGAAGGGCGAGCTTGATGATCTCAAGACATACGTCTGTCCCGAGCCGCTGCTGATCTCTAATGTAAGTTTTCAATTCCACTTTATATTGTGCGATGATTTGCTGATTTGGTAGCTTGCGACACCCTTTGTAGTCATGTGTTACGTTTTGCCGGCCATCATTCACCGCTTCGAGAGCTATCTCATTGCTTTGGACGCTTGCGGGGTTCTTGACCTGAAGGTCAGTCCAGCACTTGCCCTAGAAGCATTGACGAAGGATTCCGAGAACTCAGAGGAACATGGCGAAGAAAAGATCAATTTCAAGAGCGGGATGGGCCCAAACTATGAACGGTATGTGCAGGGCTTGTATTTCCAGACTTGGGCTAACATCGACCAGTCTTGAGTTCTTAGGAGATTGCTTTCTCAAAATGGCTACTTCTCTATCGGTGTTCGTTCAGCAACCAGACGAGAATGAGTTCGAGTTTCACGTTCGCCGCATGGAAATGCTCTGCAATAAGAATCTCCTGGAGACAGCAATCGGCAAGAAGAAGGTGACATCTGTGGATGGCACGGAGCGCGACATAAAGCTTTACAACTACATTCGCACTGACTCATTTTCTCGGTATGTGCAATAACAGTACCTTGAACAAACGACTAACTTTGTGTAGTCGAACATGGTATCCAGATGGAATGAAACTTCTCAGGGGCAAAGGTGTAAACAAATCCGAAGACGACTGGCTCAAACTCACACACAACCTGGGTGACAAGAGTATCGCCGATGTATGCGAGGCTTTCATCGGCGCTGCTTTCCAGGAACACTACAAGGGTGGCCGGTGGAACGCTGCCGACTGGGACGAGACGGTCAAAGCAGTCAAGCTCTTCGCCAACAGCCCCGATCATGAGATGTCAAAGTGGACCGACTACTACGCCGCGTACCAGATGCCAAAGTATCAAATCGCAGATGCCACTGCAGCTATGTTGGACATGGCTTGCAAGATTGAGGCGAAACACCCTTATCATTTCAAGTACCCTCGTCTGCTTCGGTCGGCATTCGCACACCCTTCTTATCCGTACATATACGAGAACATACCAAACTATCAGCGGTATGTACACTCTCTGTTGAATGAGACAAGATCTAACATTGTATGTAGTTTGGAGTTCCTCGGCGATTCCCTCCTCGACATGGCATTCATCACACATCTTTACTACAAGTATCCGGACAAAGACCCTCAGTGGCTCACCGAGCACAAGACACCTATGGTCTCAAACAAGTTTCTCGGTGCAGTATGCGTAAAATTAGGTTGGCATGTTTATATCAAGCAGAACACCGCCATCTTAACATCCCAAATCCGCGATTACGTGTTGGAAGCACAGGAAGCCGAGAGGGAAGCCAGCAGTGCAGTTGACTATTGGGTCACCATCAGCGAGCCGCCAAAGTGTCTGGCTGATGTCATCGAAGCATACACTGCGGCCATCTTCGTCGATGCAGAATTCGACTTTAGCGTTGTCCAAGACTTCTTCAATATGCACCTCAAGCCATTTTTCGAAGACATGACACTGGAAGCCTATGAAAACTTTGCCTCTAACCACCCCACCACCCGTCTCAGCCGCATCCTCTCCATCAACTTTGGCTGCAACGACTGGCGCATGGGTGCATTGGAAATGGAGACGCTCATTCCCGGTAAAGGCAAGGCCATTGCGGCTATGATAATGATTCATGGGAAGGTACATTTTTACTCCCTCGGCCAAAGCGGACGGTACGCGCGTGTTAGGGTGAGTCATGCGGCGTTGGAAAAGCTGGATGGTCTACCGCCGTTTGAGTTTCGGAAGAAGTACGGATGTTATTGTGCTGAGCATGGGGATGAGATGGCGAAGGGAGACCAGATGAGGGAGGCTATGGGGACGAGCATTTAGGTTGACGGGATGGCTCTGCATCAGCGTCAAAACTGCTTGAGTGATTTTTGATCATTACCTCGTAGGTGCGAGATAACGACCGCGTGAATGGATGAAATCTCTCTGTGAATCTGTTACAAGGCGTGCATGTCGTGATTGCACAGGCTGCATTCTCATGGTCCTTTGTTCCCGGGCATTGCACTACAAATCTGAGCATTAGCGGCGACTTGATATTCATAGTAAAGAAGGCAGAGATGAAGGAATGCATAGATTTGATGTGAGCCGAATGGAACTGGAGTAAGATGAAAGTAAGGGCTAAGTAGGGAGATTGACAATAACATTGCGCGTTGCGTATAGGTTAACAGAGACAATTCGAGATAATTATACATTCGGTAGAGGAATCATACCTAAACTGCCTGAACTTAGACTATCTTTATTTACATGGCGCCAACACCTTAATCCAAAGGCCAATACTCATGAATCCCCTTCTGCGTCTTCCACCTCATAAACCAGCAGCAGAAAGGAAAGAATGCGGTATTCACAGCGCCCCAAGCAATCAAGATACCAAAGTCGAGCCCAAGTCTAGAGTGTAAATCGAAAAGGATAGATCGACTGCCTTCGACGACTGTTGTGAGAAAGAAAACGCGTTAGTTTCAGTTTAGGTTCACCCAATCCACCGACCAGCACAGGTTGAAATGCTAGAGAGGGAGACTTACTAGAATGCAACGGCCAAGCATAGCCCCACCTGTAAAATCCCGGTGCAATTTCAATATCATAGAAGCTCGTGCTAACATTCGTAATAACCCAAAAGATGAGAAACAGGCCCATCCACGGCATCCCCACCACCATGGCCACATTCTCACACGCGAGACCCAATGCAATCATGCCGAAAAAGTTGAGCATCCAGTACACGAGGAAGGTGCCACTGCCATACGAAACTGGGTTGCCAGCGCTCTGGAGTGTAGGTAGTGTTTCGTTGGTAATGGGGTTTGTGTGGGAGAAGTTTATTTGGAAGGCGAGGGAAACGAAGGAGTAGGCCAGCGAAAGCATGAAGTAAGCCGAGAGAGTAGCGCACCAGCGCCATATGATCAATTGGCGGAATTTGAGAGGCGGATGGTTGCCCGGGGTGACGTACTGCATGTGAATAGGCATGTAGAAGGAGAAGGAGAAGAAGGAGATTATTATAAGGTCTGTCAGATCATCCTGGTTAGCGTTTTGTGCGCAAGATTAGAGAAAAAAAGAAGGGAGGAGACAACGTACAGATGAGTCCAATGGATACTGCAGGTATAGCAGTGTATGGATAAAAGGGTCGGAGATTATACTCTGAGAAACCAATGCTGGGGTTAAGTGCCTGCGGTACATTCTGCATGCTAGAAAGAATATCAGAGTTGGTACTTGCGTTCCGCAGCACCATCTGCGCCCACTGTTTCCCAACCTGGCTCTGCGCCTGCGTCATAAACTGGCTGATGATCGGGAGCATGAAGTCAAACCAATTTGTGTCGTCGCGCGAATCCTGATACACAAGTTGACATGCGCCCAAAGGGTCGTAGCTCGCATTTCCAGTCGCAATAGCAGAGTACAGGAGCGCGCTGGCATTGGGGTTGATGATGATAGCCGCCCAGGCGTCGAAGTTGTAGATTGCTTGATGGACAGCCAAGGGGTCGTTGTTGAAGTCTGAGGCAGGACGAATGCCCCAGCCAAGGGTTGGCTGGCCGCTACTGATTTGTTGCTCGACCAGTTGGGTGATGGTTGGGCCGACAAAGGGTGCGGTGCCCGTGTTGTCGTAGGGCGCGACGCCGTCCATGTCTACAACATAAACCAGAAGGTGGGTAAGCCTGTCTTCTACTCTGAAGAAGACAGCCCAGTATAAAGAGAGGATAGCGAGGATGAATGCCATGAGGAAGGATGTAGTGATTGTCCATTTTACAAAGGCGCGGTTACGGACCTGTCGTAGATCCGGGTGCCAAAAGCCGACTGGTTCCATCTCAGATCCATCTTTCGACTTTTCATCTTTTTTCCCGTTTTCAGCTTCATTAGGCGCAGTTTTCCCGCGATTAGTCTCTGGGTATCCATTTGTGCCTTCTTCGGCATTGATCTGAGCTGGGGGTCGGAAGGCGCGTGGCAGGCGGATTCGGTTAACCAGCTGTGACATTTGCGACATGGTATTAAGGCGGGAAGTTCACACAGGAAAGAAACACAAAAAACAAGAAAAAGGTTGCTACCGTCAAGAAACCAAGCATGGCGGCCATTCCTTTTATGACATGGTAATTGGGCCAGGGACGGGTGTCCGATGGTACAAAGATCTATGACGTACTGTCATGTTTAGATAGAGCGTGCCGTAGTGACGTTTGCGTGCACGATAGTCTAGCCCCATGTTTAGCTCCGCGGGTAAAGAAAATCAATTCTTAGTGTTGAAGTCAATTTTTTAAACTAAGCGTTTTGGCTATCAAAACCTGGTGTCTGCCCAGGTGTGCAACGACTTTCATGGTGCAATTTCCTATAGCTTCCAACGAAGTATACCTAACTCGTCGTATGCCTTGAATGGCACGATATGCTCTTCGACCATCTGTTTCATGACAAAGGAAAATAAAGAAAAGGGTATATCGTTCGTTACAGGGGGGTATATGTGGGAGCAAAGCGCCGCGCCATTCTGATCATCCATCATCCGTCAACCATTAGTGTTTTCATGTATCTCAATCTCTTCGTGCCAACGTTGGTCGTTCCCAGCGTTTAATTTTTGCATCGTCTCGGTCTCACTCATGTTCGTCGCTCAAAGATCGGGGTCTTCCTCTGTCGAAACCTCTGGTTCAGACAAACACTCGGTGAGCTGCATCATCCGGTTTCTGCAGTGGATGATGAAGATGGCCATTGCGAGCGAGTTCCAGACATCGTAGCCCTCCTTTGCAAAGTCGAACATGGCAATCAATCGCAGCTGGGGCTGCTCCTTCATCTCGGTCGGTGGCGCATAGCTGACGAAAGCCATGACGGAATGCGAGGCTGTAATGCCGTACAGTGTAGGGACGTCTGGTACGATTGTGTCGCCACGCAGCTCGGCTTGTTCAATCTGCAAAGCTTCGTACCAAAGCTCGTATAGGCGTCCAAGCTTCTCGACCATTTTTTCCTCTCCAACGGACGGGTGCACGTGGCGAGAGAAGGTGACGGTGTGGAAAAGCGGAAGGCGGGCCCAGAGGTGGTCGACTCTGCCATCCTTCATTGCCCACTTGGTGTAGGCCTTGACTGCTTTGCCGATGTGGAATGCCGGAGTGCGCTTCGCGCGCGTGTGCCAGGCGTCGCGGACGAAGCCTCCGAGATCAAAGAGCCTGTTGAGAGCGTTTTGGGCTGTTCACTGTTAGTCATGTCCTTGCTTAAGTGCTGTGCATGTCCATACCACTGTAGTCTGTTCCAAACGCGGGCTTGATGAAGGCTTTGTCGAGTTTCTCGGTGAAAAGATCTTCAGGGACTGTCTCAAAGTCGTTGATCCAGGAAATAGGCAAGAGGGGCTCAAAGCCGCGCATGCCCAGCTTTTGAAATAGGAAGACAGCGTCTTCTGACCATCCCGCGTCGCGCAAGTCACGGCCTTGCTGGTCTCGCCTGACTCTCTCAATCTCAACGTCGATCCTCTTGTGCTGCTCCATGTAGGTCCCATCGTCCACGACCATGGTCTCTTCATTGGCATCCCATTCATCCGCTGACGACCCACCAGCTTTGACACCGATGGGCGACTCTGTTAACAAAGTATCGCCTTCCAAATCTTCCGAGAGCATAGCTGAGGCAGGTGGTGAGGGAGGCAGAAACATGGCATCGAAGTCGATTTGTTGAGGGCTGTCTGACCGGGGTTCCTGTTTCGTGGCGTGCGCTTCCGGGCTGATTTGTCTTGTGGGTGCTCTCTCCAAATCCTTTGGCGGAGTTGGGTTTCTGACGGGAATCGCAGGCTTCTTGAAAGCAAAGGGCTTCTCTCGCTTCTGCTGCGTCTTGCGCGGACTCACATAGTTCCACAGGTGGTTGGTAATTCCGCGAAGGAAGGCCATGATGGGAGTGAGGTGGATTGGATGTGTCGAGCGAGTTGAGTTCGTTTGCGCTGTGGGTTGCCGTGAGAGTGACGGGATGAGCAGCGCCTTTGTTTCCTTGTTCCCTTGTTGGCGGCCCTTCACCATGAAAGAAAGAGGCTGCCTCGGCGCTGCCACGCTGTCACATGGTGTCTAACCGAAAGGGATTAGCTGCGCCGGGGGAGGATGCAGACTGCAGACGCGGTGAAGATCTAATCAGATGCTGAGGCACCCCCCCCCCCCTCCCCCCACCAAATCTCAGGACCCCGCTTTAAAAAAAAAGAGTTCAGTCGTATTGTCTATTATCTACAAGATTCGCAAAATGGCAGTCACCGAACAAGACACGCAGGTTTCAACCCTTCGCAACATCCTCAGCTCGGAATCTGAGCCACTCGCCCGCCGGTTCCGGGCTCTCTTCTCGCTGAAGCATCTTGCAGGCCTGCAGCCACCCAATGCGCAGACGGTGCCCGCCATCGAGGCCATTGCCGCCGCCTTTTCATCGCCGTCAGCCTTGCTCAAGCACGAACTCGCCTACTGCCTCGGACAGTCTGGACACGATGCTGCTATTGCGCCTTTGAGAGGTGTATTGGAGGACAAGGAGGAGGATTCCATGTGCAGACATGAGGCAGCCGAAGCACTGGGTGCATTGAGCGACAAGAGCAGTCTGGACTTGTTGCGAGCGTTGCGTGACGACGCAAACGAGGTGGATGTGGTGCGTGAGACTTGTGACATCGCAGTGGAGCGCATAGAATGGGACCACGGGCTGCAGAAAGGGCAAGAAAAGTTGAAGAAGAGGTGTGTTTTGTATCGAGTCTGTATTATATACACGGGCTAACTCGTGTCTAGCGACTTCACCTCGATTGACCCAGCGCCGCCACTACCACAGGGTGCTGAGAAGCCATCGATAGCGGAACTCGAAAAAACACTGCTCGACACGGCGTTGCCATTGTTTCAGCGCTACCGTGCCATGTTTGCCCTGCGCGACCTTTCCTCGCCGCCAGATCTTCCGACCGCTGTCCCAGCTGTGCAGGCACTTGCTCGTGGCTTTGGCGACCCATCGGCTCTCTTCCGCCACGAGATTGCCTTTGTTTTCGGACAACTCTCGCACCCCGCATCCATTCCCAGTCTGACAGAGGCACTGAGCAATACAAACGAGGCAAGCATGGTCCGACACGAGGCCGCCGAAGCACTGGGAAGCTTGGGCGATGAGGACGGCGTGGAAGACACGTTGCGCAAATTTCTGAATGATCCCGAGCAGGTTGTGCGGGACAGTGTGGTTGTAGCGCTCGACATGGCTGAGTTCGAGAAGAATGGGGAGGTAGAATATGCAATTGTACCGCAGGCCGTTGCGGCGTGAAATGGCAGGGGTACTGCATGCACATGGCGTTTGGGTAATGTTAGATAGGAATCCCCACGGCCATGATAGGTACAGGGACCAATTCAGTTGTTCGTGTTCCATCTGTAAAAATATCAATTAGCATCAGCTCAATCTTCAATACCAAGGGCACACATACTTGTGACCACACTCGCACTCGTAAAAGACGGTCGTTCCTTCGTCGGCACTTCGCAATTGCTGTGTGTAGTAGCGCACCTGCTCCCGACCGCACTTTTCGCACGGGTGGTTGATGACACTGGTAGTCTGCACGTCCTCTTCGGAAATAGTCTGTACTTCGGATCTCTTTGCGCGCAACGAGGAAGGAAAGGCCGTCGGTTTAGAGACGGTGACAACCGTCTTGGAAGATGTGTCTTTGTTTTGCGCTCCGCACACGCCGCATGTCAGTATCACACTCTGCTTCCCTACGGATCCATCAAGCAGATTTCCGCAGTCGGTGCAGAAGACGAGCGAACCTGCGAAAACTGCCTTTAGTATACATATCCCATGCCATTTTGGGTTGTACTGACCGATGGCTGACATGTTGGCCGAATTATCGTCTTGAGGCAGGTGGTGATAGGCGCTGTTTGAAGTCTCTAGAATCTAGAAAAAAAGTTACAGGGAATCGCGACTTCCGCGAGCCGTAGCAAGCTAGCACCAAGGCGGCAGGCGGTGAGAACGCGTCGGCACCTATGTCACCACCAATCCAACATGCTTTCACTCCAACCCTAGCGTTTACAACAGCAGCAGTGCGACGCCCCGAGCGCACCGCTTGTTTGCATGAAGGGCACCTAGAGTGAAGGATCGGCTGCAGAGACGATGCGCGCCCAAATGACCTGATAACGAACAAACTATTTACACCCACCACTCTTACCACGGACTGGCACTTCGACGTCGTTTGATGCCTACAGGTTGACGGTATAAGCGAAACTGCAATGAACGGAAACTGGCATAATGTTAATGGAGGGGGCCTCCCGATTCGCAGGCCCCCTCCAACAGTGGACGAGGCCCTCCCGTATTCGCCTTTTACCTCCATCATCCCCTTCTCGCCGGGTCAGTCGTTCTGCTTCACCTGAGCGTCTTGCTTGCCTGTTGCGCCCTCACCTGTCTGGCCCCAACTAACAGTCGACAGATATCATACCCTTTCCCATAGCCGAGCCTCCCACGCCGCCTTCGACGCTGAGTTCAGACCAACAAAAAGCTGCGAAGAGGGCAGTGGCCATCTTGAACGACGAAATCCAGGGTCAATCCACAGCTCAGCACTTACACGACACACTCAATCAGTTACGCAATCTTCTTAGCCGCGACAAACTTCCTGAGTAGTGAGTCGCTATCGCAATACCCATTGAGAGGCGTCTCTAACGCTCATAGTCACTTCAAGTCGATGCCTCAACTAGCCACCCCTCCACCGGATAGCCCCGTCAAGAATGCCAATGGAGACACATCCACGTACACGCCCGAGTTAAGCCCTTTTGCGCGCATGCTCCTGAAGCAGACCGACGTGCCATTTACGAGTACGTCTTTCCACCGTCTTTGCCCTATATCTGCTAACATGGACAGCGTCAAGCACCAGCACGCCCACGCCAGCTCGCAAGGAGCAAGCTTCTGCAAGGCAACAGTCTCATTTGCAACAGGCTCGCGCAGGGATCCAATCACCAGCAACGTCAAACGGCATCGCCCACGCACAAAACGCGAACCTAGCATATCCACCCAGTACTCCTTCATCCGCTCCTAATAGTACTCCCGTGCGCCCGCCGGTGCGCCCTCCCGGCCCTGCAGTCATGATCAAGCCAACACTTGGGGCTCGTGAAGACTATAGATATATCGAGAATATTCCCACACCTGGAAGCCTATCGCAGAAGAAGGACGATAGCAGAGCTGAAGGTGGTGTCGCTGTTCTGAGACCTCATGAACGCGACATTGCCGACGGGAAGATTGAGCTGCTGAAAAAAATTGTAGCAGATCTAATCGAAGACAAGGATGACCTCGATGGACCACTGCAGTTTACCAAAATCACGTCTCCTGAGGGCGACTTCAACATCCTCAAATCGCGCTCTATGGATAACCTTTCCGAGAAGATTGCGGGCGTAGTCACCCTCGGCCGCTTTGGTACGCTTCCTGTCGACCTGATCATGCAGATGCAATCGCTTCTGCAACCAACTATCCTATCAACGATCAAAAATGGACTTTTCCCACAGGAGGACGCTACACTAGAACTGACTGAGAGCATTACGTCGGCGAAGCTTGCCCTCAAAGCATCCAAGCTTTTGCTAGAGACCATGATTGAGGGTCACGATGACCACCGGATACGGCGAGAGGAAATTATCGATACCATCGTCGATCTTATCAAACTCGTCAAGGATGCATGCGTTATTCCCATTGTCCAGGCCCGACGGTCAGGAGAGTCACAAGAGTTGTTCAACACAGCCTCAGCTGTTAGGCAAGATCTGCAAATGGTGCTGCGTTTGTGTGGAGCTGTTCTTGCCCGCTTTGCTACACTTATCGGCAAACACAAGCTGTCAGATCGAGCTGTCAACGCATTGGAATACTTGACGCTTGAACTACTTGTGGAGCAAAATAGCGAGCATGAGAGAGACTCAGTCTTCACTATCAAGAAATTTGAACACTTCCGCCAAAAGGCCATGGATGTCCTCGCTCAGGTCTTTGCTCAACATTCAGATCTACGATTATCTATCCTCAGCGGCATCTTCAGCAATTTGGAGAAGCTGCCCGACAAGAAGGCGAGTGCTAGACAGTTTGTTTCTGCTCGCGAGCCATCCATAATGACCATATCTGCGCTCTTCATGCGTTTCGTACAAGTAGTCGCGACGAACCCAAGTACTCGCACCGCGCTGCAGATTAGCGACGTCGACATCGCCGAGGACGAGGCCAGCGACTATGAGCCTGGCACGTCTCCTTCGAAGAAGGCGAAAAAGGGCAATCACGACAGCGCAACGGCGGCATCGACTGCTCAGAAGCTTACGGCTATCGCCACTAATACAGCTGCTTTCATCGCAGTGCAACTTTGCGAGAGGGCCTCGAACACTTCCAAGTCGGGTGATAAACCATTTCGCAATCTACTTGATCTATTTATAGACGACTTCTGCAATGTCCTTGGTTCGCCTCAGTGGCCTGCTGCCGTTATGCTTTTACAAGCATTATTGGTCCGCATGTCAAATATACTCAAAGACGAGGAAGCAGCAAAACATTCGGTTGTCGACAAGGATATGGCTCTAACGACAATGGCGAGGATCGGCTGTGGTGTGATTGATTTCAGAGATCGTCTCAAGAAGATGAAGCAGAGATTGGATATTTCCCAATCCGATCTGTCCTCGAGGCTAGATCGATTAGTAAATGATGCCATGAGCGACGACGTAAAAGAAAGAGTCAACGACGTGGACTTGTATGCGTTTGATGGACCTTACCGCATGGTCATAGAGTCACTGGTTGATTATCTCGACTTGCGGCCATCCCAAGAAGACCCGCACTTGGCGGCAGTGACAGGCTACTACGTTAGTCTATGGCTGACAGAAGTCCTGAAGCTTTTCCCAAAGGGAGAAGAGGATAATCGACCACAAGCAATCAGGACCGTCCAACAGTGTTTGGAGAACATGATCGTAGACTCTAAGTGGCTGGCTCGAAAGTAGTAGGTTCCCTTTCTGATTCTCAAGTCCGTTTACAGCTAACAGCACTCGATAGTAACTTCCAGTCTGTGTCAGACGACCAAAGCAAGCTAGCCGCTGGTGTCATCACTTTGCAAAGCCAGGTTTGCAGGTACCTGCCCAGTATCGTCACGTTTATGCAACGTTATGCGCAAGACAAACACTCCTCAAAGCTTCGGACGAGAGGGACGACAGGATTGCAGCAGCTCCTAGACAAAGATCCACGCGTCATCTCTGAAAACCATGTCATCAACATGATACCCTCGTTGCGAGACACCTCACCAATGGTACGGGAGGCGACGCTTTCCCTACTTTCGAATTGTTTGGCAAAGGAGCCGTCACTCGAACGCCATGTTCTACCTCAGATCCTAGAGATGACGACTGATCCCTCAAACGGACCAAAGAAGAAGGCCATCAAATTGCTCAAGGATATCTATCTCCGATCTACATCAAAGCAGAATCGCCTTCGGATCGCTGCCCCATTGCTCCTCCCTTCACAAGACGACGAAAGCACTATTTCTGAACTGAGTAGGAACGTTCTCGAGGAGATATGGATGACGACTGCTAGCACCAGTGCTAAGACTGACGATAGTCAAGACAAACTCAATCGTGCTCAGCGAGCTTCATTCATGGTAGACCTTGTTGAGTCTATCGATCGGAGTAGAGTCCACATGGAGGCATTCGAAAAGTTCTTTGCTCACTGTTTGTCCCCTGAAGCCAAGTACCCGGATGCAAACCTCAAGATTTGCGGAGAGCTTGTTGTAGATCTCATCGACGAGGTCATTGACCCCGGAAATGGTACAGACACGGAATCCCAAGCACGTGTCATGAACGCGCTTAGTGTTTTTGCAAAGACGAAACCGACGCTGTTCAAAGTGGTACACCTGAACCATCTGAAACTATACATCAAGACTATCCAAGATACGGGTGACATAGCCTTGGTGCAGCCAACAGTCGTCATCTTCCGCCATGTGCTACCAACGCTATCTTCACTCGAACAAAGCCTTGCGGATGAGATAAGGCAGAGTCTCATGCGCAACCTATCTAAGCTAGCCAGTTTTGCGGCTCAAGATAGGCGTGCGAGTCGGGATACGCTTCTTGACGTTATACATTGCTTGTGGGCCATAAGCGGAATGCCCGGCATGAATGCAGACCGGATATTCGTTCCTCTTTGTTCTGTCATCTGTCAGCTACGGCCATTTTTGCAGTGTACTCAAGCAGAGGCTGCCGAGCGACGACTGAGTATCCTATCTTATCTGATTTTGCTCGGCACATTTGGTCAAGTCTGCAGCGTTGACCAACACACCGCAGCTTTCGTTGCGAGGCTTCGCAATACTCTTAGCACTCAAAATGCGACGCTCCGGGCGCAGATGGAGCCGTTGCTCAATTCAAAGACACCCACTCCTCCATCTCTTCTGTTATTGGATACCGCACGACCTTTCACGATGCAGAATTGGGAAATCAAGATTCGCGAGCAAGCGTTGCGAAGTATGGGGGGCATCTGTCAACAGTCGCCTCAGCATTTCATGCGTGATGAAGTCCAGGAAGTGGTCAAACAAGTCTTCAAGAACGAGGGTAATGACTCACTAAAGTACATTGCACTATCCTTTATCCGGGAATTCTTCTCAACCGCTGAGCGACGCTCCGAGACTGGCGCACAGATTGCAGTCGGAAAAGGAGCTGTCACCGGCTCTAAGCGTTTGGAGTCCTCATTCACTGCCACTGGCAATGACCGGGCCTCACTACAACTGGCTCAGACATTCTTGGAACACTTCGTCAATGCAGCATTCCGAAACAAGAACGAACTTGCAGTCATTGCGACAGACATCATCGCCAGTATCAGTCGACAAGGTCTGGTTCACCCAAAAGAGTGCTGCACTGCGCTTGTCGCTCTTGCCACTTCACCGATGCCGAGTCTCGCTCAGGTAGCTGGTGATGAACACAAACGGATTCACGAGAAGCAGGAATCATATCTGGAAAAGGAATACATGAAAGCAATCAGACGGGCTTTCGAGTACCAGCGAGACCTATACAACGATCCTCACGGAATGGTTGAAACTACCCACGCCCCCAAGCTTGCGAAACTTCTCGAGGCACTCAAGAGTGGGAAGAAGGCTAGTCTCAAGAAGTTTATCAACAACTTCTGCAAGCAGATCGATTTTGACTTTGAAGAACTGGATGCTAGTGGCACAATACCCGGACACGTTCTGTATGCTCGTTTCTGCTTGGAGAACTTGGCCCTGCTTGACTTCCCTCACTTCGAAGAGTTAGCCGTGTTTCTCAATGCAGTCGAGGCAATGGTTCTCAATACTACCGGGCCAGCTGTGGGACTGGTCATTGAAGATGAGATGCCAAAGCACTATGTGAATGTGGAAACACCATTTCAACCGGACATGCTCCAGCAACAGCAGCAATTTGCAGCTGGACAGATGGGTGGCATGATGCATCTACCGCCAGCTGTAGCTCTTTCCGTACCCAGGCTTGCACCGCTGAGCATCGCCGACGACCGTCTTCGCAAGATTACTGCAGCTTGTATGATCTTACAGATGGTATGGGAAACACGAACCTTCATTCGCCGATGCTACACAATCAAGAACAACGGGCCAATTCCCTCGAAGGACTATCCAAAACTTGCAAGCCGCAACAACTTCATCACCGGCAAGGATCTATGGGAACGCTTTAACCCCATCATGTGCGCTCTCGATACGCGTGAGAGTATGATAAAGCAGTGCTACGACTTTGCAGAGTTGCTGGACGTAGATCGCGACATCTTTGTTGACGTAGACGGTGTTGATACCCTTGGTACAGGCTACGAGACGCCAAATGACGATGGCGAGAATGGTACGCCGCTCCCTACTAGCGGTCGTGGTAGGAAGAGAAAGAGCAATGTAAACCTTGGCAACACACCGAAGAAGGCGAGAAGTAGAACAAGCGGGTCAAAGAAGAAGGGTAGGAATTCCAAGACGCCCGATGGCGATGAGGACTCCGATTAGGCGCCGTGAATCACATCTGACCTGGAATGAAGACTGAAAGGAAACACTCCTTTTATATTCCTGCACATACGGAAGGGTACTATTTCGAGGGGGTGTTCTACTGCATTAGCACGGCGTTACGCGGCGAGATGTACAATATTGATACCCTCAGCATCTGGGACTGGCGTTTTTTTACTACAAAAAGATCGATCATCTTGATCTACTTGGCGATGTGGAGGAGGCGTCGCCACTGTCAAGTCAGGATCACATGCAGCGTCCTGGCAAGTATATAGCAAACAAATAGCATTGCATGTCTGGCCGAAACGTGATAGTGCACCTAGTCGTGCCTGTCTGCTGCTTGTTTCCACATCACCGTAGATCGGTCTTTTGCTGCGTCCTAGACTACGTGTGCAGGTACCCGCTCCACCACGATTTACTACCAGACTTCCCAATCACCGACTTCTCATTGCAATCCTCCGTAACCGGATGTGTAATCGTATATCTATCCGATCAACCAAAAACCGAAAACTTCATATGTGCAAGCTCGCCTCGGGCCTCGGAAGCTCTCACTGAACCCCAAAAAGCGCATCATCTCCGCAATTACAGATTCCTCCTGCAATCCATGGTCATGATGCCTCTTCGCCTGTACCCGCGTCATCCATCTATTCTACAGGACGACATTGACTACGGGCCATGAAGCCATAAGCGGCATCGCCGTACGTCGCGCCACTAACACGGCCTCTACAGCGCGACGTAACTTCATCCAGGATGGACGCTGCATTGCTTCCGTGTTCTTTCTAGAAGGTCTCATCTTTTCAGAAGGTCTAACCTTGTAGCACAGAGAGCTAAGTACCTTTGGGGCGCGGGGTGGTGCACAGCGTATATGTTTAGAATGCCGTGAGAGGTGCCGATTGGTGGATAAAACAACATATTCTGCTTGTGGCGTTTGCGCTTGTGCATTGCACGTTCATTGAGAAATTTAAAGAAAGATAGATATGTTTCAGGTTTGCGCAACTCAGGACATCTTTGGGGAATAGGGGAGACAATAGAGTTTTGAGATTGGGTGTGGGGCTGTGGTGGTGACGTGGATGATGTGGAATGTAGATGCTGGGTGTTTGGTTACGGGTTACGGGTCACGTAAAAATTGGCGTTCAAGAGTGAGGACTGCTTAAAAAAAGAGATTCTGGTGGAAAGAGGATAGGAATGGGTGGCTAGAAAGAGTGGATGAAAGTTGGAGCGGGTCGGAAAACGCCACCTACAGTACCTGATGAAAGATGCTGCCCGATAGAGCGGCATTCCAAAGATACAGTCATGGTATTGACTTTGATTACCCGGTGACATCTGTCATGAGGGATTTCAGTGTTCGTCGATGTCCTGGACGCGACGGCTGAAGTTAGTTGTACCGAACCCTTTCTCCGAGATCCCAGGAGGAAACCGCAAGTCACAGCTTCGCTTCTTACAGACAAAGAGCTAGAGAATTGAGGTTGGTTGATAGAATCGCGCAAGAGATCGTGTTCGAGGTTGACTTAACAAGATGCATGTTAGGTTGGTCGAAAACTCTCACGTCCCATCTGCAGCCTCATCGGTTCGCGATGACACTTGTAATCGAGGGGAATATCAACTGCAACATCCGTCATTATACTTTGGGAACACTGTAACGAAGATAGGAAGGGTTATACGAATGTCTATACGGGGGGTTGATGTGAAAAGTTTGTGAAGTTGAAGGCATTCAATCTCGAATGGAGGTTGAGTCATAACTGTTGTACAAAGACATCATCGACAAACCGAGCGACGCAAGCTTCGGCTTCTATGGTCAACAATCAGATTTTATCGCTCTTAGTAGAGCGAAATGATCCTGACGTACTGGATACTATCTCGAGGATTGCCATTACGAACTTGATGTTGACACACACACAATTCCTACACATGGCGAGAAGTACGGAATGATCGACAATATTTTTTGATGGATTAAAGAAATGGAGAATGGGGTTGAAAAAGGGAGAGAAACCTTGTCTGAAGGCCTTCTCAATTTTGCCGGTTCCCACTGACCGTTCGGACGTGGCGGCTTCAATGAACTTTGGAATAATCGGGCTGTCATCACTCACATATTAAGGGAAACCATTCGAATAACAAGACAACGAACGTCCTCAGCTTCCCACCTAGTATAGGCGAAGAGAAAAGTCGATGTCCTAATACTGGCTGTGTCATTCACGTGGACCTGATGGCGAAAGTCCTGGTGTTTTTCAGTTTTTCGGCCATCTCATGCTGAAACAAGATGCTAATAGAGCTCACTACGCCATTTTGAGAAGCATCTCCTATTCGTCTAGTGCCGCCGCAAATTGATGACTGTAAGTTCCACACAATTTTTGCTCATCTGAGGAGCAGCCAACCTTGATGATATCGTGTAGGTACTTGACCAATTCTGGAACTGTAGCAGGACTCATAAGTTCTCGTTTACACTTGCCCTGCCATTCGAAGCAAGCGAGGGAGTTAGTCGACTGCCACAAGACACGATAACTGGTTTCGGAGACCTGTACTTGTCAAGCGTGCCATATCAATACCTCAACGCATTCCTGGAATCTCAAATATGGTCTCGACCTTGATCCCGTTACCCTTTTTATCAACTGGGTACTCAACCCGTTCTCATAGAGTACCTCGAAATTATTCTGCATGCTTGCAGCTGCATCACAGTCGAGCCAACGCAGTCGCTCTTGCTGAGCACGCAGATTTACAGTACTATAGTCTGTAACCTCACATATATACCTATAAACTGGCTTCTAAGGACCCAAGAACCCCAGCCTGAGGACACATTGCGGGCTATAACAGCTGATGTGAATTCCAAGGATTCCTCCTTTCGGTCCGGGCTGTGAGCAGAAGAGCTGAGGCCGAGATACGTGTCAATGTAATCATATCATACTGTAGTTCCACTGTATGAAATTGAACAAAGGAGCTTGGCGACACGAATACGGGAAACATTTGCAGACACAAGACCGATGATGAAATTGACGCACACAGGCTTCTGTGCGCAGCGATCTTCCTAGCGCCAGGGTCCAGCCCTTGTACGGACACCAGGCTTCTCTGTATTGCGCATGATCTGGTCGCGGCAGCCAGCCAGCCAGCCAGGCTCTTACCTGGTAACGGCGGCTAAGCTCATGAGCTTGCCCCTTTTAAGCTTCTTGCGATGTTTGGAGTAACGTCTCCGCAATTGTAGGACCTTTACATGACTTGGCAATCGTCCAAGGGAAAGAGCTGGATACCACTCATATCAGAGCGGAATATACTCCTAGGCCGCCATACAGCATGAATGTTGGAATACAAACACCTGTTTAAGCCGATGTACTTGATCCACACGGACGACACGGGAGTCTCCTGGCAAACGTGGGGAGTATTGCCGGAAACCCTGCAGCCGACCTGTACCCCACAACTCGGCGAGGAGGCAGAGTCATGCCAATTGCTTAATCGCTCGATTGTATGAGATGCTAAGACTCGAGGAAAGGCTTTGGTTCGGAAAGTCTTCTGGAAGGCGGTAGCAGCATATGGGCGAGAGGGCCGAAGATCCACGAACCTGTTCACTTATTGCATATGTTTCAAGGATGATACACTAAGCGTCTCTTACAACCTGGTTTTACGTACCTCCAAGTCGCAGTCGGTATGTGGAGATTTGTCGTGGCTAGTAGTTTAGTGTCGGTTGCTGACTGAGGTTCGGCAGTCCTCTGTTATAGCAGTATGGTTACCACTATAGTCAGGCCACGCTTTGTCGGCACGTCTTAGGGGCTGGGTTTCACAGCTGAATCCCGATGCAATTGTATAATGTATCAGTGCTGTTTACCAATACTATCGCAACCGAAATTTGTCGGCCCGACGGAATGCCGACATTGCAAGAGGCTAGGTACCGGGACTATGCTGTGTTGGTGACGTCAATCAAATCTCCAGGAATCACCATCTCGCTTTCTCTCAAAGTGGTTCACGAGTCGCGAAAAGTGCGAGAACGAAAGCGAGAAGACTAGTAGCGGGAACTTCCACTGTATGTGCGAAGCGAGACGTACCAAGCTTGGGAAGTCGCCTAGACTTACATACTCGACATGACGATCACGCACATGAGTGCCTCCTCGCAGTCCAGAGCGGCCGGTGTAGAGTCTGGATATGGTTCTCCGCCCGCGAGGCTCAGTCGAGCACCATGCAACCATTATCAAGCCAATTATCGATGATGAAAGCGCATGATTGGTCGAAAAAAGCGTTTTGGTCAATAAATGACAACAGCAAGTGATAGTTGGCGTTTCTACTGCATTAGCGACGGCTACGTACCGTCCAGATTCTCGGAAACAGGAGCTTTCTGCACGTGCTAGGGCCGTGCCGTTGTTGTCCCTTTCAAGTACCTTTACGTACCGCCTTCGTCTGGTGGCCTCGAACGGTACGGACGAGCTTGCTTGGCCCCGAACAGTCTCCACATCAGGCCAGCGCAGACTAGGCGCACTCTTTCGGAAGAGAATGCTGGCAACCCATGTGCTAGTCTGGTGTGGCTGCGTGATCAGATTTGCAAGCTTCACTCTTAGTCTGACATAACGCCAGGATAGTCCAAGTACATCGGTAACAAGGCCGAGGATATCGAGCAGTGACTACAGAGTGCTCTGAGCTCAGATCTAACTACACTACTACAAGGTAGCGTACCGGTGGTTCCGAATGTAACGTCTGCCGTCTATTGATTCCATGATGTTTCGCACATTGAAGCGAGTAGTGGGTTGCAAGGCTAACATTTGAAAGGATGTCGGTTGACGGAAGGATGGCGATGCGCTATCTTCCGCAAAGAGGCGTTTACAGCTTTGACACCTGGTGCTTGGCTGCCTTCTCGGGATGACGCTCCACAAGGCGAAGTGGAAGTGGAAGCATCGCCAAACGCCCTGATGGGTCAGTGCAGTGGCTTCCACGTCGCGAAAATCAATGTTACGCATCCAGTAGGATTGGTAGCAGCTGTATCAAGTTCTGCTCGACCTGACCGGTTTCCTATATCATAGGTCGAGTCTATACTTGTGGCTGACGCCCGCCTTCACTTACCTCGTCTTACTCCACCGGCTAATGTCAAAAGGCGGGCCCCAAACGGTCGACCATACACTTCTCGCACCCATGTCGTTCCCATAACGGTCAACCTTGCGCAAGGGGGCCTACCGAGATCTTGACGAATTAACACACGAGCACCTAAGTGTAAGCATCAACGAGGTACTCGGGGGTACAACCGAGCTGCACCCATGCGTCGAGACACCCCTACCGACCACGTTTCCCACATCTTCAACTGTCGATCAGGTAGGTAGGTAGCCACAGCCCGCACTTCGTTACGATTCCATGTAACCACCATCGCATCTCGTCTCTTTCTAGGCGTAGGTAGCAGTAGTAGGAGCTCGGTAATCCTTCTAAGCCAAACAGGCGCATACATTGCATAACGCATGCAAGCCTCACGCCAGCCGCACGCCATCTGATCGATCCAGAGCCTTCACTTCCGACACTTTCTTGTTCCGACGTCGTCTTATCCGGCATGACCTCAGACCAAAACTAGTCAGAAGCAGAGCAGGCCGACATTCCGGTTTGTGGCTTCAATCTTGAACACCGAACAGCCAGTCGCCGTCAACGGTCGCTCACCGCATTCCGAACTTCTGGCACCCACATGTTTCATTGTACCAACGTCACCGCACAACTTGCTTTTTCACAAAACTCTCGCTTTTCTCCGCATGCGCCGCCCACTCATACGAGTGTGCATGTGCATGCAGGACCTGCGGGCTTTGTGGGGTCTTTCTTTACTTTTTCCCCCAGGACATACCCTTCCTCTTCATCTAAAGAGATTGAGCCCCTCAATATCGCGACCCTTCTAGAGATTCTTTAGAATGTGGACAAGGCATGGCGTTTGCCGGATACACATGGGTCGAGAACGTGGTGAAGAGAAGGCTAGATTGAATCCTGGTGGCACATGCAGCTCTGCCGTGAGAAATACTGTAGTGTCACCATGGTTTGACCCGGGGTTGCCATGCCTCTACACCAGGTTCTGCTCACTTGTAGCGGAGAAGAGGGAGGAGACTCCGGCACCGAGGTGTGTAAGTGATGAAGGGGGCGCAGCTTGCGTGTGCAGATGGCTCCTCGATCTGGTAAATCGCAGAGCTGGTAGATAATTTTAGACTCTTAATAGCACTGTTAAGAAGACCTTTGTACACACACTCTCTCTCTCACACACACATCAGCTACCCGAACAAGGCCTTTTGTGCATGTGACTCGTGCATGATGAAAGGTCATGGATGTGCTTCAGTCAGAAAAGCTTACCATTACCTACGAATGGTATCATTCCCCGACGCCCCATAGCCAAGCTCATCTTCCCATGCTAGTAGAAGCACCTATTTGGAGGTACCAATGCGGTCATAGTAAGTAAGCAAGAAAGAAAAAGGCCTCACGGTCTCTTTGACTCCAAACGGCATGCTGATCGCATGCAAGGGCTCAAGCTGCACGTAGCGGGGGAAAACAGGGCTCTTCGGGATATGCGGGAGGTCGCTGACCCGTAACGTCCCAGGTTCCCCAGTCTACCCTGACCAACCGCTACTTGCTACCAAGGTCTCAACAGATCCGGGGTGCATGACAGGAGCAGTAAACTTCGCTGGCATTCCTTTCGCGGCACCGGTGAAGATGTCTCCGTATCGGATTCTATGTAGCTCTTAGAGGAAGAAAGGCTTTACCTGAGATGAGAGGCTGTCACCGTCTACTCGCCTTCCTGTACTGCACAGATGATCGGTCATGCGTCGAACCATGTCGTTTCCATGACGCCATGGCGTACGTGTGTGCTGGGGACGTTGTTTTGTGCTTTTCGCTACTCAACACACCCACCAGATGCCCATCTGAAACGTGTGTTAGGAAGTCATACCTAGTATTTGTTCCGAGGAAAATAGCGGAAATTTTGGTGTGTCGGAGGTTTGTCGAATCCTAGAGAAGACCGGGTTAGGGTCTTGGACCGGGAAGCCGAGTCTTGGTGAAGCCGTGACCGAGGCAGCGCCTGCCACTATGAACAAAACATCACGTCACCTCATTCATCCATCATCCAAGTATTGGCTGTGTGCATCTCCTCATCAGGATACATGGGCCTTTTTGGCATTCAGAAAGTGGCAAAGAAGACTGTTGGGAAATTTGGATTAGTCAACTATACAACTATAGGGCAACAATCATCATGCTAGAATCAGATCATTTGAACAGGGCGTGCGTGTGCAGTGTGAATCCTCTTTCCAACGTGAGTTTGTGGGTCTGCACTGGCCACCCGTGTCCTTCCTTCATCTGCAATCTTCCCGAGAGATCGACGACGCTTGGTCTTATGCTAGGCTATGGGCGGAAGACCCGAGAGTGGAGGTCCATTATGCTAATATCTCTCCACCTTCCGACCTAGCTATGACAGGTGTACCCTATAACCCTTCTCCTTCCTCCACCTTCAATCGGCCCACCACACTGCCCTACGGCACGGGTGTCAGCACAACACGCGCCTCTTTGCATGGCCAACCAACTGCAGTTAACACGGCGTTTCCACCCTGTCTCAACTATAGGTCTGTGAGGCCTGGTATATTGAAGTACCTCTGCATCCCTTTTGACTCTCGACTGAGGTAAAACATCCTGCCAAACCCTCGATTCAATGGTAAGGTACTTAAACTTCACCATATGCAGGGGTTCACAACCTCAAACTATGATCCTGGACATGTATCAGAACACGGGGAGAAGGTCGAAAGAGAGGTAACTAGGGCCGACTATACCTGGCGATCATAGTCCAATGTATTAATCAGCTGGGTCATGTTTATAGATGTTTAGTCAAACTTAATCATGTGATGCTCCAATGTCTATTGTTACGCACGTAAAAGAATGTGAAGTTCATCTTCTCTTCTCTGATATTTGAGATTACTCATACACGCGTGATAGGAAGGCAATCAAGTGCCGAATTATTGCCTATCCACTATTCTGCACTAGCTGTAGAAGCGAAAGCAAGGAGATGAGGGGTATAATGGGTAACAGATATACGTATCGAATTCAATACCAAGACCACCATGCCACCATGGAAAATGACCAGGTAGCCCATACGCTTTTAGAAAGGATTGTGGTATACAAGGGGGAGAAACAATGAAGAAGGGGGTTGGGTGTACGAAAGTTTGGTACCAGAAACGCCTTTTCGCTGCCATCGTGCCGCAAGGCCGACTGCCAATATCTGCAGGGGCGGGAACGCGATTTCGAAATGCCGAAAAAAACCAGTATACGTCAGATCATACTCCGCCCCTGGCTAACGCTAACACCAACCCATCCAATGTGTGCGACCCGTGCGCCGGAGGAAAGGAATAGAAAACCAAGTTGCAACAAGGAGACTACGTCAGGGTATACATTCATGCTCAGAACATAACATGTGCTGCAAATGATGCGATAAAAATGACCGAAACGGCAGATTAATCAAGAGATACGCCCAACTAGACCGTAGATAGGAATCGAGGGGTGTACACGGTTGTGTGGTTGAAAAGGGCGGGGTTATGAATCCGGCATAGAAGGGGGGGGGGGGGGGGGTTGGATGACGGCGCCGAAGCGAACATCAAAATGATCGAATGCGACTCATAGTGCGAGCCCAGTGCCATCACCAGTCCAGCGGTAGAGGCTCAACATTTCCCTGCGGGCGCTGCTGCGCAAGCTCGGCATGCTCATCCATGCCGCGACCACGCACTTGCTGCAGGGTTGAACGCATCACCTTTCGGAAGTTCCGCTGTGGTTGCTTGTTAGCATGATCTACCAACCTCGGCTAAACTTGCTGAAACACTTACTTGGTATTCCGTGTTGAGGGTGACGATGCAGGCTTCATGCGCACGGACAATGACTTCACATGCTCGCACAATGTTTGGGTTGGCGTCTCCTTGCAGCTTGTCGGCAATGAGGAGCAACAGGAAGCTGCCCTGCAAAAGGTAGATGCCAAAGAAGAACGGCATGAAGCTCAGATCTGGGTCGTACTCTAGGATCTCATTGAGTGCTTCGGCAGCTGATACCGCATGGCCGGTGGCTTCAACGAAGCTTTGCGAGGATATCCAAAGGTCGTTGTCGTCCAGGAGTGAGATGGGATCCCATTTTCCATTCAGCAAGATGTGCAATGTGTGCATGAGATGTGTACCATATGCTTCAACAATCTTGGCATGCATCAATGACTCCTGCGCCCTGGATATTGTAGAGTTCACAGACTGAACCGAAGGTGTACCCGGATGCACCGGCTCTTCTGCATTTGCCTCGTTGACGGCGCGATTCCGAAGCTCTTGCAAGGATCGACCATAGGCATCCAGTTGCTGGCTGATCTCACGCGCATGATCGTCCCAGTCGGTCTTGGTACCGAATCGGGGATGGTTACGAGCATGATATAGGTCTGTGATTTCTCCGAGTATAGTCATCAGAGGAAGGAAAAATCCGAAAATGGAGTGTCCGGTGCACTCAAAAGCAGGGCCTCGTCGGCGAAATGTGGAATCTGAAAACGGTTGAGCGGAAACCTCGAAGAACTCGCCAGATTGCCATACGTTATCCTCAAGAGGCTGCATGAGACCTGAGCACTCCACGTCGAGTAAAGATAGAGGTCGGTTGTAGCATAACGCTAGGTGGCTGTTCAGCGATCAGCGTGTGTTGAGTTGGGCATTGGCTGAATGTGCTAAAACGTCGGAATGTGTCGAACGACATCTCTTGGTGTGTGCCACAGGTAACAAAGATCAGATGGCTTACCGATCAACAGTGAACAGGAGCCACCATATACGTCTGCGCTCTTCTCTTTGTTCCTCAGTATAGTCGACGGGGGTGTTTTGGCCAGTCGGATAGCGTCTGCCCGTGTGTCCCGCATCAACATCTACCGGTGCATCGTCGTCGTTTGTCTCTGGTGGGGGTGTTACAGGCACCTCCTTGCCCAGCTTGAGCTCCCTCGCCAGTGACCATGCAGCGTTCCACCAACGGAGTGATGCAGCCTTGTACTCGCTTGCTGAGATGACAATGGCTAGATGCATATAAGTGGCTACATCGTCAAGTCCTCCTGGTGCTCCCGCTGTTGAAGTCAAAGTTAGTTTCCTAGCTAAAACCAGTGGGTCTGTGTCTGACTTACGTAGACCTATTTCGGAGTCATGTGTAGGCATACCAAAAGCTCCCATGGTGACACCATTAACCATACCGCCATTGGCGAACGCCGTAGGACTACAGTCAGGGTCACCTGGTGTCTGATGCACAAGGGGTTTCAGGAGGCTGATGGTCAGGTTGATCAATCTCTCCGATAGCTGACTCCGTGCAGATGGCGATGATGACAAATATGGTGACTCGCTCGTCAAGCAGCCAATCCACAGCATACTGGCGAGTAGTGCTGGGCTGCACACGCGTGGGCTGTTTGTTCGAAGGAATGATCGTTTCCGGAAGACGTATCCGAGTACATATGGGGAGACAGGTTGCATGAAAGCGGATGAGGAACTCTCAAAGTAGAGCTCTAGTAGGTCGCAGGCCAATGATAGGGGCATCATGTTTGCGATATGTGGGACTAACGGCTGCAAGACGGGGTACCTGAGTTGCTGAGAAGGGGTTTGGTGTGGTGCGCCTGAGTACATTGTTGTCGAGGGTGAAGGAATCATCCAACCGGGAGATGCACCGACTGGTGATTGAGCCATGTAGCCCATGTTTGATTGTTCTTCTGCTATCCTAAAGGGGTTGGATGGTACCTGTCCATGTGCGCTTTGCGGGCTCATCATGCTGTACGGGCTATCAGAATACTCGATACCGCGGTCATGGGAGGAAACGCCAGGGTGCATTCCTGGCTGCATCATTTGAAGTGGTGACTGGTACGCGAGGTTTCGGTGGTACTCTTCCATGGATGTGTATTCAGCCATGGGGTTGGGGTTGTGCATAGGCAGTCCGTCAGTCCGGATGCGATGTGGCTGCATGGGCTGCATAGGGTGCATGCTCTCGCTCATCTGATGGTGCATGTCGACTTCTGGGATATTGTCAATAGCGCTCAGACTCATGGTCCTGTTTGGGTAGATTGGTGTCGTGTCCATGTCTGGCCTGGTTGTCGCGATGCTGGCTGATCGGCTTGGAAGTTCTGGAAGAGCTCTTTGGCCTTCAGGGAGCTTTGGACTCTTGGCTGCCTGTTTGGATTGGGGAACTTTCTCTGGGGCTTCTGGGGTGCTGGACTCTTCAGATTTGGGCGCGCTGTTCCCAGCAGCGGCGGCGGCAGCTTGCTGTTGGGCTATGTCCTTTCGCGATGCCTTTCCGCGTTTCTTGCGCTCACGAATGTACTCGCACGTCAAGCCAAATTCTAACTTTGTGTTAGCGCAGCTGTCAAACATGGTAGTACTCGGGTAACGAGATATGGACGACAGCGCTAGCCCCTTGACCAAGGACCGCTAGCAGACGCTTCAGAAGACTATCCCGATGACGTCGCCAAACAGCCCGTCAGCATATTGCGGGGCTTGCAGCCTGTCGGTGCATGTCCCAAACGTACCTATACAATGCGCGCACTAGCCTGCACGTCAGTCGGTTGTGGGAGGAATTGAGGGGTGGGGGAAGGGACTTACGGATTGTCTACCATCACACTTGGTACGCAATTGATTACACTGGTCACAGGCTCGGCTGATTCTGCGTCGTACCGGTCCAGACGTTGAATTGGCGCGACCTGATCGCTCTTGCAGCATGTCCCGATGGTTGCGAGGCGCTAGAGGGCCACTGGCGTAGGGCAGCCGATGGTTCTTGACGAGAGATTTGCCGCTAGGTAATACATGGCGGTTCTGGTGGAATTGCAGGGCAGCGTATTGTGATGTATGCGCCAGAGTGTCGAGGGGCGAATGTCCCATGTGCGGGGCGGCGAGATGGTGATGCTGGTGCTGATGTTCGACCATGTTCGGGGCGGGGAGGTGGCTGAAAGCCGAGGGGTACTGATGGAGATTCGTGGAAAGCATGGTTGCGATTCTAACTTAGTACTTCCGTCTCCACCAAAATCCCACCACTGGAAGAGCAAAACTCGTCGTCAACAAGTCAAGGACAAGAGGAGAGGACGTCTTTTTGGGCTGAGATTATCAAGGGCGTGGCAAAGGGTGGAGAAGGGTCAACGAGGCTGCGGGCTGTCAGCGTCGGGCTGAAGTTCCAAGGTTATGTCGTGAAGGACGTCGAGAAGATATGCAGATGCAGGTCATTTGTCCAACCGTCTTCTTCTCCGTGTGCCTGGGGTACGATATAGCACTCGGTTGCTACTGCCTCCGGTTGACGCTTCAGCTTAGCGGACGTGGTGGGGTATAATACACTTTGTCCAGTGCCTGATGTGAGGTGCAGGGTGACAATACCGAATTGACATGGGCAGACCTGACCCTTCTCCCGAACCAGCTGCATGGTGCGTCAGAGATGCCTCTGGCCACCTGCTGCAAACGAGATGGACAGCAGGGCACGCAGCTTCGTAGGTGCGTGCGGCCAGGAGTCAAACATGGTCGACTTGCCTTCCGTCCGCCATGGCCACTTTGAGTAATTCACCCCTGCCCCAACCGGGGTTCTTCTGCACACCAACATTCCACGTTGAGCACAGTCCACAGACACTGCTGGATCGTTGGTGCCGCGGACTTGAACGGATGCATCCTACAAGACGCGACGCGGCTTGACTTCTCAATCAAATCTCATATTGGTTGATCGGTGCCATCCCGACCCTATAGGCGACCAGTACTAAGACAAGTGGCGCACCGATGCCGGCTCAACAAGTACCTTGGGGTACCTACTTGTACCCACGACCCACTCGTTACTCTACTGCCTTGTCCGCTTCCCGTTGCTGAGCGATCAGACGCCTGCTGGCCTGGTGATTGGCGACCGCCGCCCGCACTGCAGTGCGCCCGTTAGCAGACGAGCCGCTGACTGCGTGGGGCCTGGCTATGTGTCTCCGCCATCACCCAGACCCATCTTCTATACTGGCGCAGGCTGGCGGGATAGCTAGTTGCCGCCCCAATGCGTCTTCCCTGTCTCGCCACGCATTCGACACCACCCAGCGCGCTTCGCCATCGTGCCATTAATCGCATACAGCCCTCTCGTACCGACAATTCCGCAAGAAGCCCTCCCCCGAAGGACATGAACCATGCCAAGTGACAAGACGAACTCCCTGCCGACTTTAGAAGACGACTCGCTTATGTCACAGCTGTACATCTTGAGCGTCCATGCATAAAACCGCTTTTCCATACCTACTTCGGTCATGCCTTTTATGAACCTCTCCACATTCAGCAGCGACTCAGGACCGCCACCTGCAGTAGGCGGAGCGAAGTACAGTATGCCAAGCAACTTTTGTGGACGCCCTGATATGCACAAAATCTGGCCCATAACATGTTGCGTTATAATCCCAACTTGATGACTAGGCTGTCGTAGCTTGTTCCTGTCAGCTACGCCTGGCTGCACTCCTTCGAAGCGGGTGGCGCCAGAGAAACCGAGCCTACAAATCCAAGGGGCGGCCTGCTCCGCTCAGTAGGATGCAATGGCTGTCAATAATTTGATAACAGAGGCACATTGCCTCAGTGGAGAATCCAAATTGATCGTGACTAGTTCTCTCGATAGCTTGTCGTAAACTTCAGAGTTCCACATCACGAGACCATTAGCTGACCGGTTTGAACATGGATGAATGCAGGGCGAGAAGGCCGTGAAGTAAGCGGATCGCTCCGCGTTCTGCCCGTCGAATGCTGTCCGCCGTGGCTTAGAAGCGCCCCTCTGTAGCTTAGCCTGCGCTTGAGGTCAACGTCCTACATAACAACCAGAATATTATGACATGACCATGTTCAGCGAGTATATCCATCTCCACAAGATAACCATCTTTCTCGTCTTCTTTGTTCAAACCTGGTCTCTTTTGGATGCAGTTCTCTGTGACTCACGTTCTACTGCTAGGCTAACAGTCCTGGCTTTCAATCAAAATTTGTCTAATAAGATTGCCCCAGCGATATTGAAAATTCTTGATAATGATAGGCCTACTCGGAAAAGCACAACCCATGGCTTGATACCAGTTACCGGGATTATAATAGCAAAAGAAAAACAATCCCTGCTACGTACATCTGAGTGTAATTGCCGATCGACTGCAACCTGAAAACATGCGACGTGTTCAGTTCAGCTGCTGTGAAAGCAGTCTTGTCCTTGCGTAAATTGTATGATTGATCAACTCTGGGGAAAGGCTACAGGGAGTGTTGGGTTGATCCAATCTTACTGACCTAGACATAGAGATGAGATTTGTATACGACCAGAGAGAAAACGTTCGGCATCATGATTCGCATCTCCCCGCGCATTTGAGGCCCAAGAGAGGGAGGGTAATGCAAGCAGAATGCCATCAACCAAGAACCACCATGTAGATAGGGTGCAGTGCGTCCTCAAAAATATGCAGGCTTAACGCTAGTTCGACTGGTTCCGCTTACTCGTAATACGTTTCCACACAGCTATGTCTGTATTATGATCAGTATCACAGGCATATGTTTTTATATGGCTACCCATGGGAGAGGTGTTGACATGCTGTTCAGCTAGGTGAGTTTGCCCTACGGCAAAGCCACCAGAGACGATGCGGGATTTTTCTTAGAGAAACCACACGTGCCTGCCCTGCTTTTACTTTGGTGTAACAGGATCGCTTGCGTAGTAACAAGCTATGGGGCGCTTGGACGTAAGACGTGCCGTGTATGCAGCAATGATCTTGTGCAATGGGTTCATGGTCCCATTCGTGAAAGAATTTTTGGGGGATGTGCGACTTTACGAGCTATAGGCTGGACGTAACACGCATATATTGATAGGGCAGCCCTTTTGTGGGCTTAGTAGGCTTTCAACAGGCCAGTGACAGGAGATTGAACGTGGCCGGAAGTACAGACCAACACACCATGATGACTTTCGAGGCCCTTGTTAACAGAAACAGGCTAGGATGACCGCAGCCTAGAACAAGAAAGAGAGACAAGTACGCCAGGCACCACGGCTCCCCCCCAGTTCCGACTCGAGCTTGGCTTGTCGATTTGCACATATTGCGTGCGCAGGCCTTGACGCCGCCGCCACATGCATGCGTCTCGTGGGTTTTATTGATGAGCGCAAGCGAAGACAGTCCATGCCACCAAGACATGCAATGTGGAAGAGATCACATGCCGTTTGTGACCTGCAGGGTGTGCTGACGCTCCGTTTCCAGTCTGAGTCCTTGTAGTCGTCTATTACTCGAGGTTACACTAACTACGACGTGTCCAAAAACTGGGTGCAGGGGGAAATGCCGAGCTATTTGCGTAGCAGGCATACTATGGAGTCCATATGACATGATGGGTCAGTGGTTAATATCTCGCCCCGCAACTTAGTGCCGAGTGAATCAGATCAAAGGTTCTTCGGCAGCGGCTTCCTAGGCCGTAGCGGAAGGGTCGTAGGGTCCTTGTTCCCGCATGTTGCTCAATTTACACTATTTGGGAACGTAGCCAGGCCATCCAGGGCGGAGACTGCCTTTCAAAGAGTAGCAGAGTGTCGACACACTTGCCGGGCTTTTGTGGCAAGATATCGACCAGTTTGGTTCACGATTCCAAAGAATCAGCAACACCACATCCCTATTGCCACAAAAATCCTAGACTCTCAACGTGACCATCATCTCTAAACCCGTACCAGTGCATTGCCGGCTGTAGCGCTGGCTGGATGCCGTGGCACGCTTTCGCGGCACGTCAGCAAGGCTGCACGAAAAGGCCCGAAGCTACGCCGTCGATATCTAGCCTCTTCAGAATGAGCCATGGTTATGTCTGAGTTGAGATATGGTCCTGCGTCATTCTGTAGATTACCAGGTGACCGGGTATGTTCCTGGATGCTGCGATGCTGTCTGTTTAAGGAGCTTTGAGGCGGTTCCGGTGCATAATCTTTAGTAGCCGCTACAGCTCGAGTGTCGAGACGTCTATCGCAATGGCTGTTGTTGATAAGCGGACACTGGAGTCCGTTTTTCGGCGTGAAGATGCGAATGTCCTCCACAATAATGGCACGTGCGTGGCCTAGTTTTAGCGCTATCGTACGTCATCTCCGATCTGGCGGCGCAACGCTGCAACTCAAAATTGACTGCTGTCAAGACACCACTGAAGCAACATTGTGGTCTTTGCTCATCGTGCATCTTCTGTTCAATTGACCCAGAAGTATTACATACGCCGCCATCATGTCGCTGGAAAAGATAACTACAATCTCTCCCATTACGAACAAGCCGGTCCTTACTCGCAACGGCCTTTCAGATGCTGATATCAAATCTCTGCCTGAGACAGCTGCAGCCGCGTTCGAATCCTATCGACGCACTTCTCTAGCCGAGCGGCAGAAGATCGTCAAGCAAGCCTTGAAGCTACTCAACGACCGCCAAGATGTCTTGGGCAAAGAGATCACCGAACAGATGGGTCGTCCTATCGCCTATACTCCCAAGGAAGTCACTACCGCGGTCATGCGTGGTGAGTACCTACTCAAAATCAGTGACGAGACACTTAAGGACACTGATGGAGAGCCGGAGAAGGGTTTCAAGCGTTACGTCAGGAAAGTTCCTCTTGGGCCTGTCTTGATCCTGTTTCCGTGGAACGTGCGTTCATCACAGGACATTCTAGTTTCTTACGTGCTAATTCTGCCTCAAGTACCCATATCTAACCCTCATAAACTCACTAGTACCTGCCCTACTAGCAGGAAACTCGGTGATCCTCAAGCCTTCCCCGCAAACGCCAACCAGTGCCGAGCAAATTCAACAAATCTTCAAAGATGCCGGCCTACCTGATGGTGTGCTTCAGATCTTCCACAGTGGATCCATTAGCCATATTGAGTCGATTGCGCGTTCGCCACAAATACAGCTCGTCTGTTTTACTGGATCAGTGGCCAATGGCTTAGCAGTACAGCAAGCTGCAAATGATCGGGTTCCGCTTCGGGTCGGCCTTGAACTGGGAGGCAAGGACCCCGCCTACGTACGTTCCGATGTCGACGTGAAGTGGGCTGCAGAGGAACTCGTTGATGGTGCCGTGTTCAACTCAGGTCAAAGCTGCTGCAGCGTTGAGCGAGTATATGTGGACGAGAAGATCCACGATGAGTTCGTGAAGGCGCTCCAGGAAGTACTCAGCGGGTACAAGCTTGGTGATCCATTTGACAAGAGCACACATGTCGGTCCCGTGGTCTCGAAGCGATCAGCAGAAACTATACAAGCGCACATCAAGGACGCTTTGGAGAAGGGCGCCAATGACGCGACCCCGGATAATGCCACGTTCAAGAATCCACCTCCCGATGGCAACTACGTTGCGCCAACGCTTCTGACGAACGTCACGCATAATATGGTCGTGATGACAGAGGAAACCTTTGGCCCTGTCATTCCAGTTATGAAGGTCAAGGATGATGCGGAGGCAATTAAGCTCATGAACGACAGCCAATTCGGACTCACAGCCAGTATCTGGACCAAGGATGTGAGCAAAGGACACGAGCTCGCGGATGATGTCGAAGCCGGTACTGTCTTTGTAAACCGATGCGACTACCCTGCACCTGTAAGTTTTCCTACCCCTATACAGACTAGTTACTGACATATGTAGGATCTAGCATGGGTCGGCTGGAAGGATTCTGGAAAAGGTCAAACGCTGAGCAAATTTGGCTTTGATCAATTTGTCAAACTCAAGAGCTACCACGTCAAAGATTACCCAAAATAGACAGTACCGCATTAGACACATAGGTACCACCAGGGAAAGGAACACGAAGCAATCTGTCTCTCCCTGCGAAGAAAGAAGATGACCCCCTGCCATCTGTCAAAGGCATGCCACATAATCCAATGAATCTTTCATCCCAGTGCTTTGTACTATCACTGATGCTTGCCTTGTGTGCTACTGGTGTCGGTCGCGACCGCTCCGTGACGTTGAGGCTACGAAAATGTCACCAATTGGTGCTACCAGAACAGGATCAAAGCGCGGTGCGCGCAGTCACCTGAGCACGCGTCTCGGGAGTGTACTACACTGTCACGAAACATGTTGGACCCGCTATGGCTTCATGCCGCAAGGTGAAACATTATATTCCATACATGCAGCTTATATGAAGCCGGCAGTAAGATCACAAACACGCGTTCCCTCTGGTACCTGAATCAAGAATGCGACACGAATGCAAGGCCGGTAACACATGGAAGAACGCCGCCGCAACCCGAAACTAGCAAGTGATTAACTTTTGCGATCACAGTCTCAGGTTAGTACGCCCATGGCACTATTAGGAACAGTGCTTCTTCTACGACTTATCCTTTGATTCTGGAAACAAACACACTGTGCTCTTTAAGCAATGCTCTTAAAAAGTTCTATGCTTTGAACGCTGGTGCAAATTCCGCGGTTACGAGACCCGCGCCCCATCACCCCTCAACGAAAACAAAGGAATATCAGACGGAACAATGACTACAACCCGCAAGGGATGAACCCAGCGCCACGCGGTGAAAGTTCTTGCCAAACGAGTCGCTTAGGAAACCAAATTTCTCGTCCTTCTCTTATACTTTGAGTGGAGCTCTTTTCTCCATTACACATACCTGATCCTACGCATCAGATACACTCCATGATCTTTTGGTATCGTAGTTTGTCTCTTACTCTCCCCTCCTCTCTCGTTTCTTGACGTTAGCTTCTTTGTATTGTTAGCGTGTATCAAAGTGTCGATCTCTTGCTTACATTGGCCTTGTGTTGTTGGTCGCTTGCAGCATCTTTCATTAGATCACTGCATATATTGCTCCATCCTACCTTCGTTCATTCGGATAACGTCTTTTGGAAGATCGGGCCAACTACCACACACACGTGCGCACACACACATCCACCTCTGGGGGCCATTCTTCTTTTACAATGACATTCAGAGATATCGTAGGAAAGTTCCGAAATAGCCTCCTATGCTGTACCAAGCATGAGCGAAAGCGCTCCCTTTCTATCGTATGTAACCGCCGCCCACCTGTCTACACCAAATCCATCTGACAACATCCCCAGGGCTCCCCAACTGACGTCCGTATAATCGACATTTCTGATTCTCTCCCCGGCCTCATAGATGCCCAGCGCCGTCAGATCCGCGAAAAAGCATCCACCGACGCCATCCGCCTTTTGAGCCTACAGTCGCATCCTCCCACTACGCCTCCTTCCCCCACAGCAACTTCGCACCCCCCAACACCATCCTTGCCCACAAATCCCTTCCAAGCTACTTCCCCCTCATCACCCACCACCACCTCTTCCACAGCCCCTTCCTTCCGCGAACCATCCACGATCCTCCTAAACGCCGCATCCAAGGATCTCCCCATGAGTGTTGCCACGCCGCCGCACCACACGCACAAAGAAGACAGTCCGCCCGCTATGCGCATGAAAAACATGTGGCATAGCGAGCGGCGATATAGCAGCGACTCCAGCGGCGAGGATGAGGTCCCATACAAGACACTCCACAAGAAGGCGGGGGAGAGTGCGATGACGCTCAATTCGGAGTGGGATTGGGAGGATAAGAAGGAAAGGGCGGATTCGCCAAGAACGTTGAGCTTGACGGGGAAGGACAGAGGGAAGGGAAAGGAGAGGATTCGGGGCGAGAAGAATGACCGTGTTGATGGGGAGGCTGGAATTGAGGATAGGGAGACGGATAGTTTTGTGAATGGGGAGCGGGAAAGGCTGATGAGAGTCAGTGTCTAGTAGGCAGTGCAAGGATCTCTGGATTTGGGAGGTTTTATGAACCTGATAAAGTTCAGAAAGTTGATATGCTAAAGAGCTTCAGCGTGTACTTGTACGAATATACTTGGAACATTTGTGGGAGAGCAAATTGTTTGCTTGGTAATGTAATCATCATGTCAAAGGATATATCATCAAAACACCTTATTTGCAATGCCGTCGGGATTCGTGTGCCTTGCCGCACATGCCACTGATTTGTAGGATCGTATCCCCATCTTATCATCAGAGTTGTCCCTTGTCAAGAACAGCATCACTAACCATTCATCCAAACCAGCGGAACCCGCCACCCCTTGCTCTACCACTAAACTTCCTCTCCTCCTCCTCGTCCATTTCACGCTCCCAATTCGTCTCGCTACGCGCTGCTTTGTACTTGGGCTTGGATCGACATCCAGCACTGAGCATCCTGTATCTTGATCAGCGCAATCCTCATTTCCCAGCCAATATGTCCCACCGCCAGATACACAAGGGCGAAACATGCAACTTACCACCACAGTCCGCACAGCAACGGAATCAGCACCACCATTCCAAACAACGCGATCACGAAAATCCAGAACTTGAACATGTGGTTTTCCTCGTCTTTTTCGATTTGCGGCTGCCATTCCACAGGGACCTCAGATTCACTGGGGACCCAGACGGGGTTTGTAGCTTGCGGGAAGAAGGGATTTGGTGTTATGCGGCGTGGGGTGAAGGAGGCAGGAGCAATGTTGTAGACGTGGGTGAACGAGGTTGTGACCACTGACGTGAGCGCGGTGGTGAGCCTCGAGAACGTGGCATCTTGCGCGCTGGTGGTCGCAGGCGACTGATTGGTGTACATTATTGGGGTGAAGGCAGAAAGTTGATCGAGGAAAGAGGTACAAGGTGGGGTGAGTCGGACGTCGAGTGTTTGTCTTTCTAATGGACCCTGCAGCAGAGTCGTTGCCTACCAGAGAAGAAAAGTCTAGGCTGACCAATAGAGAAACGTTCGAATGAAAACAGGACCAACAGAAAGACTTGCGACAGGGCAATGAAAGTGTAATTGGACACTTAAAGGACGTTCAGAACTGTCATGCATATTCTAACTTTGAGACTCGCGAGTGCAAAATGCATAGATTCGGGCCTTGACCTATTTACACGAGCACTACTCATCTCATTGGTGCCAAAATGGTGTTGTCAATCAATCGCACTGGAACTTGTTGACCGTTGGCATCCAACTGTCCCAGCTCTTCGCCTTCCTGTGGTTCCTCAACAGGCAGCATCTTGACTGCCCCGCTCAAAATGGCCCCCTTACTATCGTCGATTACGTCAATCTCGTCCATTGTATCAGGGTCAGCAAGACTGATGTAGTCGACTTGGAACTTGGCGCGTTTGCTCGGTTCCATCTGCTCTTGCTCAAGCAGGGTCATGTTGCCGTGATCGAACGCAGGCCATAGGACGTCGTTCCGTAGCCGCATACCGTTCTTATATTGCAGTTCTGCCTTGCGGAGCGCCTCATTCAGGACGATTCCGACTTTGCGACGGCGTGCACCCAGGTACACATTGCGGGAAGAGAGGGCAAGTCCGTCCGACTCCCTTGACGTAGGGACGATGCGCAATTCCATGTCCATGTGAAAATCTGTAATTAAACGCTTGATGATACGAGTTTGTTGGATGTCTTTCTGACCAAAATAGACGCGGTCCGGTGCGCAGATGTTGAAGAGCTTCATGCATACTGTTGCCACGCCGCGAAAGAAGACGGGCCTTGAGGCGCCCTCAAGGAGCTGACCGAGCGGGCGCATCTCGATGAAGCTACCTACGCCCGGTATGCTACTGTCTGGCGGCGATGTAGGGTACATTGTCTTCGTGTTCGGTGCGAAGACAGCCGTGACCCGTCCTTGTCCTGCGCTCGCCAGCTCCCCATTCAGCTTCTCTAGAAGTTGCATGTCTGCATCCCATGTCTTTGGATACGAGTCCAGATCCTCATTTAGCCCGAATTGGGTGGGATTCACGTAGATTGTCACGAATACGTCCGTGTTCTCTGCTGCCGCATGTCGCATGAGCGAGACGTGGCCCTCATGCAGGGCGCCCATGGTGGGGACCAGACCAACAGTACGTTTGTTGAAGCGCAGATCCCGGCGATATGCGCGTAGAGGTGCTACATGGCGAAAGATATGCGCCTGTGAGGCAGAGGGAGATGCGGTCCGGAAAGATGAGCTTGCGGAGAGAAAGCGGATGCCATTGCCCCTCGCAGAAGCTGGCAATGCGCGCGAGAAGTTAGATGAGACACGTGGATGCACAATAAACACTGCATGCTATTAACTTGGACTCATTGTCATGTATCGAGGACTATCTTCACCAGCTGTGTGTCGGAGCGATGGCATTGCGGAGAGTTGCGGAGGTGTCGGGGAAGGTGCTGACTATTACCCTAGCTATGCAATCACGCAACATTGCCAAGGGCAAGTGAAGAGCTCCGCAACGACGTATGAGTAGAAAAGGCCCAAGGCATCAGCGAGCAGACAGACAGACAGGCAGCCATGGCTACGTACAAAGTGAGAAGCTTGCAGTAGTCAAGCCGACTCGTTTCTGAGGCATCATCTGATTGAGCCTAGTGCCCCACTAAAAAAGATGGCAGAATGGGTTTGATTTCCATCCGTCTTGTGTCGCATTTCACAGCCCCACCAACTCGCCATCACACCCGCCGACATAGAGCAACATGGCTGACGATGGCATGCTCCTCAATTTCTCCATACCCGACAGTGGTATTCTAGCCAAGCCGAGTTTCAAAGGCGGCAACTGGAAAAGTCGTCTTACCGCGAAGAAGGCGGCGCAAAACTGGCACACCAAGGCGACTGCACGTTTAAATGGAGAGACGGTACCGAAAAAGGCCGTGGATAATGCGACCAACGTGAATCGCATAGAGCTGGGGCCGAGGAAAGCACGCACATCCAAGAGCCCAGAACTACCCGACACCGGCGACAGGCCAGTGAAGAGAGCGCGCGTTAGCGGAGACTTCAGGCCCAGGACGACTGAGAAGACGGATAACGCAAACTTCAGGCCGCAATCAAACTCAGCTGCGACTAAGAGACCTGGTGAACAACAGAGTGCGCCAAAGGGAGGCAAGCAGGTTATTTCTTCTCTGTTCACCTACAATCCCACCTCGACGACGAAACTGCAGGCCCCCGAAAAACACGAAGACGATGCGCCTGTCGAACCGTCCAATGCGCCACTCAGCAGCGAACTCGATACGTTTACCTCACTCGGCATATCCACAACCCTTGCTACACATCTGCTGAACAAGATGGAGTTGAAAGCACCCACCGCTATTCAGAAGGCGGCCATCACACAACTAGTCAAGGACGACTCAGATGCCTTCATTCAGGCAGAGACTGGTTCGGGAAAGACATTGGCATACTTGCTGCCGATTGTACAAAGACTGATGGAGCTCTCTGCGAACATGAGGAAGCGGAAAATCGACGAGAATGTCCAACGAAATTCGGGCTTATTTGCCATCATCATGGCGCCAACGCGAGAATTGAGCAAGCAAATCGCATTCGTGCTGGAAAAGTTATTGGGCTGCGCTCACTGGCTAGTCGCGACGACAGTCATCGGTGGTGAAAAGAAAAAATCTGAGAAAGCGCGACTACGAAAGGGTATTAATATTCTGGTTGCAACGCCTGGTCGACTGGTTGACCATCTTGAACACACCGAGGCTCTGGATGTGAGCAACGTACGATGGCTGGTTTTGGATGAGGGCGATCGTCTGATGGAGCTCGGGTTCGAGCAGGAGATCCAGAAGATTGTGGGTGCACTGAACCTACGAATGCGCGCGAAGAAAGATGAGAAGTCGCGGATACCGGGACTGCCTGAGAAACGCACGACCGTACTCTGCTCTGCAACCATGAAGATGGATGTGGAGAGGCTAGGGCAAATCAGTCTGAAAGATGCAGTCCACATTCGAGCCGATCCATTGGAAAAGGGACCGGACGTGAGCGACACAAAGGACGACCAAACGTTCTATGCTCCCGCACAGCTGAAACAATCGTATGCGGTAGTTGCACCAAAACTACGACTGGTATCCTTGATGGCCTATCTCAAGCGGGCTTTCGCGCGCAAGGGCTCAGTCATGAAGGCCATTGTTTTCATGTCATGTGCCGATTCGGTCGACTTCCACTTCGACATACTGACTAGCGACCTTGAAGGAGGCGCAGAAAAGAACAAGGAAGATACAGAAGAGGAAGACGCCACGGATTCCGATAAAAAGAAGGCAAAGAAAACCAAAGCGATACAAGCAGATCCTACCAAGCTCGAAGTAACGCATGCAGAAGCCCCGATACTGTCCGCAAAGACACATTCAGTAACAGCATATCGCCTCCACGGCTCCCTCCAACAGTCCCTTCGAACGTCCACCCTTGCCCAATTCGCGAAGAACAAGGAACCCTCCGTCCTCATAGCTACCGATGTAGCATCCCGTGGTCTTGATCTCCCGAATGTAGACTTGGTTATTGAGTTCGACCCTGCGTTTGCTCGAGAAGACCATTTGCATCGTATCGGTCGTACAGCTCGTGCGGGTCGTGATGGACGCGCATGCATCTTCTTGATGCCCGGCTGCGAAGAAGGCTATGTCGATGTTCTGAAATCCGACCGCAAAGATTCAGAAGCAGGGATTCACATTTCACGGCAAGATGCAGACGAGATCCTCAATCGCGGCCTCATTACTAGCGGTGTAATGGAAAAGAACGCCTACATGGATAAGGCTACCGATCTCCAACTGGCTATCGAACGCTGGGCACTGGCCTCGCCATCCCGCCTCGAAGCCGCCCGTCGAGCCTTCCAAAGCCACATCCGCGCCTACGCAACCCATGTCGCAGACGAACGCAAGTACTTTGATATCAAATCCCTGCATCTGGGTCATCTAGCCAAAGCCTTTGCACTCCGTGAGCGACCATCTGGTATGAAGGTGCCCGGACAACGAACAGGAGCCGGTCGAAGTGATAGGACGCCTGCCAAAGTCCGTGGAGGTGCGAAGGCGGATGGGGCGAGTCGGAAGAATGAAGGGCCACAGAAGAAGGCTGTGGATCTGGACTTGCCCGAGAGTCATGATACGGAGGAGGCAGCGAAGATGAGGAAGGCAGTTCGCGCGCGCGAGAAGTTTATGCGTCATGCTGGTATGGCCAGCGAGTTCAATTTGGGCTAAAACCGTTAGAGGGATAATTTTTTGCGCCTTCTACGTCATACATATGTTGTTGTTTTTTCACGATAATCTGTTCATGAAGAATAGGTAAAGCATGAATGCGCCTTGCACCCATGTTGCTTACCACTGTCGCTAGGTCAGAACGCATCTAGTGCATTGTTTTGTCCAACCTTCTAAGTTGGAAAATAATACAACCATTTACCGACCTCTCTCTAGCGTTTACTGCTACCAAAAAATTCTAATGGTGAAAACAGATGACTGTTATATATGTATAACGTGTACGTCCCACTTATTTATAGGTTTGTACAGCTCGATCGTGATACTCGTTGTAGTCTCTAGATACTTTCCAATACTAGACTTGAAAGCAATCACTCTCAAATAGCGGTACACATTTCTTCTGGTATGTCATAGACACTTCGAGGTCTCAACCTGTGAAAGATGCTGGCAAAGCCTGCCCGTATGTCTTGCATCAATAACATATCCCACATTATTTACGAGACCTACGCTCAGCTCTTCATCACAGGATACGACTCTAGTATAGCTGTATAATTGGCTCATTCAAGTCTCTACATAGTGTTTTAGCCCGTCTTCTGATATTAGAAGAGTTCATGTATGTATTCTAGTGAGGTAGACCCTGTAAACTTTCGCTCGGCAATCTTCACGTGCAAGGTCCTGTGTCCTTGAAATTTTGCTGTAGGGGCTACTGTTGGGATTTGCCAGCGGCACAGAAAATCTAATCTGTGGTCGATGCAGGGTTTTGAGGGGAATTTCCCGCCCTTGTCGAAAGCCGTCATGTGTCACGACAGAAAATGGCGAAGGGAGCACAACTGCAAACCTCGTGCGTCCTTGCCCTGATAAAAGTAAACACAAAGACGCCCCCAACTGCATATCTGATGCTGGACGACGAACTTGAAACGTCCCCTTCCAAAATTGACGCCCAACAATCGGATACGAGTTTTGCGATGTCATCGTTGCCCCGGTTCTACGAATGGCAAGTGGCCGTAATTTTGGATTTACACTCGGCTCCCGGTAGCGGGAAGAAGGTAATGAGGGCGGAGACGCTTGGTAGCAGGCCGAGATTGTAGTGCGGAGGGCTCATCATTGCGACATATCGGTCAGCCTGGGCCGCCCCGAGACATCCATTGATTACCTACTACTACATGACCTCCGCAAACGCGCTGTCGCAAAATAGCAAGCTCCAGAACGCCCCTCTCTCATAAAAAAACCAATGTCCGGCGTGTTCGACCATGTTTGGCGCTGACAAAAGGAGTGGGTGCGCTGGCTCCTGACAGGATGGATACCCCCGCTTTTTGATGTTCTACAGAGTCTGTTGGACTGCACGAGGCCACGCGCAAAGGTCGAGAAACATGTTTAATGAAGGCGCGGTACCTGAGTTAGTGGCGTCTGAGAAGGCGCCATGTCAATCTAGCGGGTGAACCATTCCGCAACCTGTACTAGGCGTCTTGCTAAAATCGTCCGTTTGTGTTTCACGTTTCAGCGGTACGACCCCCAGCGTGTGCTTATTGGGCGAGCGTTACTCAAGGCTGACCGCACGCTTCCGAGGCCAGCGTCACTGCTAAGGATACGACCCGAGTAGCGGGCTGGATAGGCTCTGCGATCTGTCGCAAGGAACCTCATCCGTAGTGGCGGCAATGCGGATGCGCTGCCAAGGGATGCCGTGTTTGCAGGAGTCAGATGTGATCCTGGTAACGGGGGATTGCGCACCAGTGGGCTGGTTTGAATCAAAAAGCTACGAAGCGCCCGCCCTCGAAGCTGCTTTCCTTCTTCTGTTCATCCTTTGGACTACTTTCCCATAAAGCCAACTTGTCGTCTCTCTTTCCAAGGCGCTTTGCTGCCTGTTTCGTTCATTCAATTGTCGCTAGTTCGGCATATTCATTCATTTTTGAGTCCTAGTGACCGGTCGTCTTCGTTCGTGTGTCATACTATCACAACTACCCTTTTGGATCCACAATCTACAACCTTGTCTACGGATCATCCATCACTATGAAGACTCAGTCTGTTCTTCTTGCAGCTCTGGCTTCGGCCCCTGCTGCTCTTGCTCACACAGTCTTCACTGACTTCTTCGTCGATGGCATGCCTCAGGTACGGCTTTCATGACCTTGGAATGAACAAGTTACTGACAGTGAACAGGGTGATGGTGTTGCCATGCGTATGAACCCCAACATCGCGAAAGCTAGCAGTCCCATTCCTAGCCTTGATAGCGATGACATGGCTTGCAGTACGACTCCTAACCTCCTTGTTCCACATGCATCACTGACAGAGATCTCCAGACGTTGGTGGTACCAAAGGTGTCTCTCGCGTACAATCCGTCCCAGATGGTGCTCTTCTGACATTCGAGATCCGCTCCTGGCCCAACAACCCCTCCAAGGAGCGTCTTGACCGCGGCCACAAGGGCCCCTGCGCCGTCTACCTAAAGAAGGTTAACAACGCCGCGACCGACACTGCCGCAGGAGACGGCTGGTTCAAGATCTTTGATCACGGTTACAACTCTGCCACGGACCGGTGGTGCACCGACGAAATCATCGACAACAACGGCCTCCTCTCCGTAAACCTCCCCAAAGGCCTAAAGGGAGGCGACTACCTCGCCCGCCCTGAGATTCTCGCCCTGCATGCCGCAAAAGACGGAGACCCACAGGAATACACCGGCTGCGCGCAAATCTTCCTCCAGAGCAGTGGTAACCTTGTCCCAGAGAGCACAGTCTCCATCCCTGGTATCATGAAGTACAACACTCCCCCCACCGACTTTGACATCTACAACACACCCGCTTCCAAGTACCAAATTCCCGGTCCTCCAGTTGCGAAATTGAGGTCAAGCCTTGGACAAAACAAGGCCACTGCTGCTGCCCTTGTGCAAACCGCCGGCCTCAAACCCGCGGGTTGCATCATGGAAAACGCAAACTGGTGCGGCAAAGAGGTGCCAGATTACTCTACCGAGAAGGCGTGCTGGGCGAGTGCGCAAAACTGTTGGGACCAATCTGATGTGTGCTTCAACACCAGCCCGGCGACTGGAAATGCTGGCTGCAAGATCTGGCAGGACAAGTGCACTGACATCAACAACAAGTGCACTGCAGGGCAGTGGACCGGACCACCAAACAAGGGCAAGGTGCTTACGCCTGTCAAGAAGACTGTGGATGTCGGTCTAATCTTGGGAGGAGGCTCCTATGGTGGCGGCTATGCTGCGGAGCCCGAGACGAGTGCCACACCCGCACCCGCGACTCCTGCCCCGGCACCTGCTGCAGGCGGCAATGGAGATGGGTATGGAGGCAACAAGGGCGTTGCTGCGCCCGCAGCTCCTAGGCCGAGTGGCTACGCAAGCGAGCCTGAGGATGATACAGACGCAAACGACGATGACGATTCCGAGGATGTCGACTCTTATGACGCTGCTCCCATGCCAACACCTGTCAAGGCACCTGCGTCAGATGTCACTCCTGTCTCTGCTCCCGCAGATGCCCCTCAGTGCCCCGAGGGCATGCATTGCGTCTATGAGGTCGAGGTTGTCACAACGACAGTGTACGTGACCGAGGCCGGTGCTGCCCCTACGCCTGCGAGTTATGAAGGAAGTGGGTATAAGAGGAGGGCGGTTAGGAGGTTTTAAGCTAAGCTAGGCTCAGCGGTCTGCTTTGAGGATAAAAGGGAATGGCTTTTCACTTCTGCGAGGGCATACATCGCGAGCTATTGTGCTCTGTTCTTTATTTCTTTCTTCTTCTTTTGAATGGAACTATGCAAATTATGGGACTTGAAGACATGGAAATGTGGATCATGATTTTGTTCTCACGCTTACTTGGTGGTTTGTGTCGCTTTCTGTGGTGTGATGTCAAAGGCAGACGTGCGGCACGGCTCATTATGCTGTGTTGCTATCCGTCGGTATCTGATAAATGCCACTAGCAACGACTCATTTTATGCAACCTCTCAGTTTTCTGCATCTATTTCTCGCCTTCGGCTGTTCGCACCTTGATGCTGCCGTCTTGCATTCCAAAGTAGACAGCAACGGGCTTTTGGCCGCCCTTTACGGCCTTGGTGGATTGGTCCTTCTCACGAAGAGCCTGGGCATCGATACCATTCAAGCCAGCAAAGATGCCAACTTCGAGTACACCAGTGAGGCCCTTGATAGCCCGGCTGATGTTGTTGACTTCCCAGGTACCATCACTGCCATCTCCCTTGCCCTTGCCAGCCGCGACATCAGCCGAAGTGAGCAGTGGAGGAAACGGGGCATCGAGAATGTAGAAATCCTGGTCCGTCTTCAGGGGCCCTGACTTCTCCAGTAGCGTAGTCCTTAGCTTGGGCCCGGTGGAACCCAGCATCTTAAGCGCAGCGGCGACCTTGAGCTGAGACAGTGGCGCAACCTCGATGGGTATCGTTGGCCAGTTGGTCAAGAGGCGGTCCTGCCTCTTTCTATAGTCTGCTACACACACAAACTTCTTTGCGCGTTCAGCTACTAGCTTCTCCTGGAACAGACAGGCGCCGCCGCCTTTTATGCAGTTGAGTTCGGAGTCGACCTCGTCTGCGCCGTCAAAAGCTACGTCAAGCATGACGCGGTCTGGCAGGCTGTCAAAGGAGATGGCAGTCAGGCCGGCGTTGATTACGAGTTGGCGCGACTGGAAACCAGTGGGTACGAAGAGGATATTGGGATTTGTAGAGCGCTCCTTGATGGCTTCGACTACGTAGACAATGGTGGTGCCGGATCCGATACCGACGTGCGTGGCTGCTGGGTCGAAGTGATCGGCTACCGCTTGGTGTGCAGCGGCCCGTTTGGCGGCTTCAACGTTTGTGTCGGTCATGGTGGTCTCCTTCCTGAGGAGTGGAGCTGTGTGGAAAGCTCTGCGTGAGGTTTCCGGCTGGCGGAGAGTCTTTGATAACAATACCCTGTTGGTGCCAAATGGTTGTACTGCAGGTCTAGACTCGTGCCGTCTTTGGAGGGGCAACCAAGGCCGAAGATGACTGATGCTGCGTGGTTGATGGTTTATATTGACCGTCCAAAACGCGTCTAGCTTCAGCCGCATTAACAGGGTCTGTGCAATTGTCAAAGACGTGGGAGCAAGGCGTCGCAGGTCGGTCAGTTCAATGGCAAACGAGATGAGATTGATTGAATGAATGATTTGCTCGTGACGAACTGCGAATGACGATGTGTGCCCCACCAAGCAGCCGACCCCGCGACAGGGATGTGCTTAGCGTCGAATGTCAGCCCTGGAGCGCGTTCGGTGCCTGGCAGCTCTGAGCTCTTGTTGCCAGTATACGAACAACGTACACCATTCTATCCACCATTTCTAGAGTCGCGACAATGGAGGATCTTCCCCCTCCCGTCCAGGGCCCGACTGCAAAGGAGAAGAAGTAGGCGTACACGTGAAGAGATCATGGGACGATAGCTAATCCAAGCAGATATGATCGTCAACTACGTCTCTGGGGGGCTACCGGCCAAATTGCACTGGAGAAATCGCATATCCTGCTGATCAACTCTGGACCTGGCGTTGTCGGCGTTGAGACACTCAAGAATCTGGTCCTTCCTTGCATCGGAAACTTTACAATCCAAGATTCCGCCATCGTCACCGAAGCAGACCTAGGTGTCAACTTCTTCTTGGAACATCAGCATCTGGGCGGTTACCGGGCTGAACACACGTGCAATCTGCTCAAAGAGTTGAATCCAGACGTAGACGGCCATTTTGTGACTGAAGTAAGACTACAAAGGCATCATTGCCGGAAGTAATGGCTGATTGAAGTAGCCCATAGAATCATGGCTCACACAACCTGATGCCCTCCGACCGTACACGCTCATCATTGCAACTGCACCTATCCGCCCTGAAATTCTTATTAAACTCTCCGATCACGCAAGCGCCGCACTCGTCCCGTTGTTTTACGTACACTCGGTCGGCTTCTACGCCCATTTTTCCGTACACTTGCCGCCCGCTTTCCCCATCGTAGATACACACCCCAGCCCTGAATCTACATCAGATCTGCGACTACTGCGACCATGGCCTGAACTTCTACAGTACGCCGAAGAGAAGACGGCTGACTTGGATAACATGAAGCCTGAAGATCACGGACACGTCCCATGGATAGCCCTGCTATTGCACTTTCTCGAAAAGTGGAAAAAGGATCACGGTGGAGAGGTGCCACAGACATACAAGGAGAAGACGGAGTTCAGGAAATCCGTGGCTGACGCTGCACGCATAAACAACCCAGAAGGTGGCGAGGAGAACTTTGACGAAGCAGTAGCCGCAGTACTGAAGTCACTCAACCCACCACAGCCGAGTAGCTCCGTTAAGGAGATCTTCACAGCCCCCGAGTGTCTACTGGTCCGCGAAGACTCGCCTAGCTTTTGGGTCATTGCCAACGCCATCGGCCTATTCTATACAAAATACAATGTCCTCCCGGTTCCTGGATCTGTGCCGGATATGAAGGCGCGCTCGGTAGACTACATTCAGCTGCAGAATGTATACAAGTCCAAGGCACGAAAGGACTTTGCCGAGGTAGTAGAGAGTGTGCGATTCCTGGAGCGTAATGCTAACCGCAGTACGCCCATCGATGAGAAGGATATCGAGGTCTTCTGCAAGAACGCTGCACACATAAAGCTGGTGCGCGGCCGGCCGTTCCACATCGCACAAGCTGGTACAAAGATCAAATGGGGTGATCGTGCCAAGTCTATTGGTAAGTGAATGCTTTTTAGCGGTTGGAATCCAAAGCTCACGTCTTGCAGCTCAAATGCTTACTTTCCCCGAATCGCAAATTCCGTTGTACATTGCTTTTCTAGCATGGGACGAGTTCGTCGCAACGCACGACAAAGATGGCTTAGCAGGATCAACCCAGGTGGCCGGAGAGAGTGATCCAGAGACAGACTCGGAGAAGCTTAAGGGCATTGCTTTCAAGATTACCGACGATCTTGTCAAAGAGGCCAATGCATCCATCGACGAGGACGAGTATACACTGATCAAAGGGCAGATCGGCGAGTTTACACATGAACTGTAAGTATTCAGAGCCCCCACATTGAACAATCAGCCTCGTCGAGAACAACTTGCTCACATCTCAATAGTGTACGAGCCGGCGGCGCCGAATTACATAATATTGGTGCTTTGACTGGCGGAATAGTATCACAAGAAATCATCAAGGCCATCACCGAGCAATATGTCCCAGTTGACAACACCTGTGTCTTTGATGGCATCAGAAGCAAGAGCACAGTTTTCAGGGTTTAATGAGGGTACATATAGGGTTCGTTGGTGGTGCGAAGAAACCGATAAGGTGTGGCAGCGCCGGCTTTCCCGGCACAGGCGCCTTTAAACTTGGTTCACAGAGGAGAGAGTCTGACGCAACTACAGAGTGGGATTACATTCGTAGTCGCGTTGCAAATCCCGTGATTGACTTTGAAAACTAGCATAAGCGGAGTTGATATAGCACGGCGTCATACAAGGATGATGCAATAGCATGCGCTGAGTAGCGCTGTACACAAATAAAAGGTCCATAGAAGATAGACACGCATCAGAAGTGTAGCACGTAAAGTGAAAGCAAAGCCAGTCTAAGTGCTATCGCTCGGTCCTTGTCCGATCATACCGTGACCTTTCACCATTGCTACTGCGCCTGAACAGCCCCCGATTCTGGTCTCTCACTCGTACACTGGATCAGCAAAGAAAATCTCGGTTTCTTGAAGATGGCTAAGAAACGCAAAATAACATCGGGCCAACCTCTCTTAACCTTTCTGGCTACTTCCTGGCCTGCCTTGGAAGAAGACAAAGCGGCTAGATTGCCGGCGGCATCACGTGATGGACGTGACGCGACGAAAGCGGTCGGCGCGTCGCACGCCAGCGCAGCCGTTTCCTCCGTCAGCACTCAGCCATCTCCAGTACTTGCAGTTTGCGACAGAGCCATGGATTCTTCTTTCGATCTCCCTGATTCCACCGATTGGATACAAACGACGCTGCCTTCGTTTGAACCGCTCGAGGCTGCTTTGCGCTGCGAAATCTGCAAGGAATTCTACAACAACCCCGTCATCACATTGTGCCACCATACCTTCTGTTCAATATGTATACGGAGATGCATTACGATGGACGGAAAATGCCCGAGCTGCATGAGCGTGTGTTCCAGTGACAAGCTGGGCCCAAACATTGCCATTAGAGAGGTGGTGATACGGTTTCAAGAGGCGAGACCAAAGGCTATGGAGTTGGCGCGCGCAGACAAAGAAGCGGCAGATGCAGATAGGAAGAAAAAGAGGAAATTGGAAGACATGGATATGGACGACGACGAAGATGGCCGGCATACGCGATCGCGGACAAACCGAAGTCGAGGGCAGCGCAATGGTGGAGCCGTCGTGGTTGCAGATAGCGAAGATGATGACGATGACGACTTCTTACCAGATGGCATGGTCAAGTGTCCAATGTGCAACAAGGGAATGAAAGAAGAGCTAGTCTATAATCACCTAGATGTATGCAAAGGCCCAGATGCATCGCGGGGACGCAATACTCGGTCTGGGTACGCGCAGCATTGTGTCGCAACTCTTGAGAACAAACTGACCCTGCAATTATAGAAACTCAACAGCATTTCCAGCTGCGTTGCAAAAAACACAGAAAGACGCCTCGCCTCCGCCCCCGCCGACCCGGCTATCGCAGTTCAACTACGCCATGCTGAAGGAGAATGCGCTGCGGAAGAAGCTACAGGAAGCTGGCATACCGAGTTGGGGGAGCAAGGACTTGATGAAGCGCCGCCACATCGAGTGGCTAAACATTCACAACTCAAACTGCGACGCCGAGGACAACATGAGGAAGAACAAGAAACAATTATTGAGAGAATTAGAAGAGTGGGAAAGGACACAAGGTGGAAGAGCGGAAACCAAGGAGAGCAAAATCATGAAAAAGGATTTTGACGGCCAAAGCTACGCAAAGTCGAATAAATCCGAATTCGACCTATTGATCGCTCGAGCGCGGCAAAAGCGAGAGACGCCAAAGACCACCACCGAATCGTCGACTGGGCAAAGTACACCAGCGGGGGAATCCCAAGGCAATCCACCCAACGGTACCGACATTTCCTATCACCAACCCCCACCCAACCACGGTTCATCGACTACACCTCCACCACCCCTTACCCATCCCTACGAGAACAACGAATCAGCACTCACGAGCATCCGAGCCAGAGTCGCAGAAGCGAATCTCACGTCCCCCAAAGCATCTACACTAGCGTCTGAAATCTCCAATGGAGAACACAAGAAGCCGCGAACCAGCAATTGAGGGGTTTCAAAATCAATTGGGGACTCCAAGTCGCAATCTACCCATCTTTGCGCTACCCGAGGATCCGGTATTAGATGTAGAGGGGAGTACGGCTTTACAATGAATTGGGTAAGTTGATGATGGCAATGTCTGGTAGCGAGGCGAATAGCCTTTTTATTTTGTATTTTGTAGACCTGTAGTCTACATTGTCTATCCATCGTAAAGTCCACCTTTGCAACCATGTTTTCAGGTCCGGTAGCCATGAAATGATTTTCCCTACACAGTCCATAAATCATCCAAGTCCTCTTCGCGTATTTTGTTCATCTCTTGATTTCACAAGAGACTAAGAACTGCCTAGCTTTCTTACTGTTCTTTTCATCTCTACCCTTTTCAAGACAATCATTGCAAAAAGCCCCATCACGGATATGTCGCATCGCAGCCCAACTGTCTCTTTTGAAGAGGGTCCCTCACTCGACTCAGGAATAGGCATGGACACGAACACACGACGCAAACCAAAGGAACATGCCGCCATCCCATCATCGTCCTCTATTTCACTCGCAATTAGGAAGACGCGCAGCAATAGCACTCTTCATGCCACCAGCGATATCGCATTATTCCCTTCCCGTGATTCCAACCATAGTCCTCTCTCTCCGCATCCAAGAATGCCCACCGTCCCCCGCTTCCACGCCTACTCGAGCATTCACGACCGCCAGGAATCAATTAGCGATCAGCAAACCATTGATCGCGTGCTCGAAAGCTCACAAGGCCGCAAAACGCCCACATTATTTTCTGCACCAACACTGCACTGGGATCTCAGCACTCCTTTTCTGGTGAACCCGAGTGTGAGCACGCTGGATAGTGTAGCCGAAGAGGAAACAGAGACAGATAGTGGGGATAAAGAAAAGAAGCAGGAGCCAAAGGTGAAAGGGAAGAAGGGGGATAGAACGCCTCCCCCCTCCTTCAATCCCAATCTCGCGCGCGAGTTAGAAACGAGGCAAGCGCGACAACGAGATGTCGCACTTGGAATATCGTTGCAAGAGGAGGAAGAGGAGAAGGAAGAGGAAGAGGAGGAGGAGGAGGAGGAGGAGGAGGAGGAGGAGGAGGAGGAGGAAGAGCGCGATGCAACTTCCCTATCCTCCTCCTCTTCCTCCTCATCTTCGGAAACCGGAACCGGAAACAGAAGCAGAAGCGGTAGCGCAAGCAACCACCATATCCCCTCTCTCAACCGCACCCTCGATGCTAACCTGCGTCCCCAACCCCACTGTCTATCTCCCGTAAGCGAAGCATCTGCTTGCAACGCCATCCCGCATCCACGATCACGCGGCAAGAAGACTGCAACAGCAGGGGGAGGAGCTACCCGGCGGGCAAAATCCAGCCATGTGTTGACGGCGAGGGCGAAAGCCGAGTCCGGTGATAGCTGTGCTCCTTCTGCTGGAAAGACCAAGGAAGAAGACAAGGCACAACAACTGCAACAACGACCACCCAGCAGTACAGCATCCACCCTACACTCTCTACGTACTGCCTCCGCCCTCCCCGTCACCCGCATCACCCATGCCGACGTAGTACGAAGCCAAGTCACTCTTCCCCTTCCTATCCCGCGCATTGTGATTACATCGCCTACGGATGAGCTTAATCTTGAGCCCCTGTCTGATCATGTTGATGATGATGATGATGAGCGTGGTACGCAGCAGGAGCAGGCCGAGGAGGTAGAGTATAGACGGCTTGTTGAGTTGGTGCGGAAGCGGGAGAAGGAGAGGGCTAGTCTCAAGGGGAAGTTGAAGCGTGTGGTTGGGAAAGTGCGAAAGGTGGGGGGGAGGTTGCGTTGTAAGAGCGGGTGAGTAGGAGAGAAGGAGGGAGGGGGTAGACATATACGAGCAGGAAGAACATTACGTTTCATCACCATAATTTGTGCATGTATCCATCTAGCAGTGATCTGAAGAGTACAAACTGTAAATTATGTATCATTGTAGTCCATAAACCATCACATTCCATATCCCTAATCCTTATATATCCCATCTAATCTGAGCCTGACTTAGCCTACGACGCCCCTTTTCCTGAACAAAACTACCCAAACAAACATGACTCCTGACCAAACCAAACCTAACCTAGTAAATGCTACAACCAAAATGACAACAAGGAATATACGTATAGATGAATCCACCTACTGATACCAACTCTGCTCATCATACATCAAGCCCTGCAATCCGATACCCCCAAGTCCACCTGGTGCCGCGAATCCAGTCAAACCAGCAGGATTTGCAGCACTCGAATGTCCATTCGGGTACCCGGCATTTACCGCTGCACTCCCAGCAGTATTCAAATTGACGCTCCCCCCAACTGGTCCACCATTCATCTCACTGGCCAGCAAAGGTGCCGAGGTGGCACCAGAAGTGAAACCCATGGCCACCGGACTGGCACCCGCCGTACCCGCGAACCAGCTTGCATAGTCGTCCATGCCAATACCGTTGGCGGTCCAATTCTCAAAGTCGGTAGCTAGTTGGGCTTGGTCTCTGTAGATCCAGTCCTGGCCTTCACGGAGCAATTGGTCTACACCACCAAAGAGCTGACTGGGAGAGCTTTCATCTGGCGTGCCCGCGTCGATGGATTGACCGCCTTGTGTGGATGCTGGAGTCGGTGCGTTTAGGGTAGGGCCTGTGGTCTGCGGTGTTGCGATATGGTGCTGCGTACGCATGTAAGCAAGGGCGTTTGCGTCCGAGGGAGGAATGGAGTGGTTGCTGGAAGGGCGCATAGAGGGATCATTGCTTACGGAACTGGTGGTATTGGCTGCTGCGGCTCGGTTGAAGAATTGTGGTGTAGACATGTTGGCCATATTCATGCTATACGGCTGGAGGCTTGGTGATGCTTGATCTGCCGGCGATGGCTGATCCTTGATTGACACAGAAGTGTGGCGTCTCACTCTCGGAGTGCTTATTTCACTCCAGGGGCCGAATTTGGTGTCGGTCCTTGACAGTACTGCAGCGGCTTCTTCGGGCATCTCAACTTTCCAGCGATTGGCCAGAACACTGAGGATGCCGAGCGTCCGTCGCGCGCATAGCCAACCCTCGGCTATCTCCTCGAGATGCTTGACGCCATGGATTATGTCGCGCTTTGCATTCTTCTCTGGCAAGTTGAGAAGATGTATGGTGCATGCCGAGTGCGCAATGTACACGCATATGTTGCAAATTTGTCGCAGACCATGCGATCGCTTGTATAGTCGTAGCAATTTTGAGATCATGGTGGCAGCTTGTGTGCAGAGTTTGCGAGGGGAAACGTGCGCAGGTAGGGGCGAGTTGTTGGGGTTGTACTTGAGGAAGGGCCGGAAAAGGTGAATGTATAGCAATTGGAAGAACATACTGATCTTGTTAGCATTAGCAGGTCTACATGAATGTGATACTCACTGCATGACAAGCATGTGCGGCAACCCGCCCTCTTTAGGCTCAAGCTCCTTGGGCAGTTCTCTTCTCCAAGTCTCCAATCGCATGTGTATCTCGCTCAGCTTCTTCAGCTCTCCCTGCTTACCCTTGACTTTGTCCATGTCAATGGGGTTGTAGAAGGAGTTGATGAGATCGCTGGAGATTTCGCAAAGCTTGGATATCTGTAGAGCGACCGCGCGCGTCCTACTGGGTTGGGAGTGTGCTTGACTGAGTCCCGAGTCTGTGGCGGCGCTCCATGTTTCGGCATCTTCGACAGGAAAGACTTCGAACTTGGGGACTGTGAGATTTGTGTTGGGCAGCTGCGGCATACGCCCCAGGTAGTTGCTCCAGCACTTGTCGAACAAGAAGCAGCCCCAGAAGGTTATCCTCCGCGCATCCTCTTCGTTCTCGTCGATTGTGTCTTTGCTGTGCATGCCGAGGTTGAGGCCTAGGTCACAGGCCATGCGAAAGGACATGCCACTGTATACCCACCCCTTGGCTTCGCGCCCGCACCCGGCCTCTCGTACCGACATGAGTGCCAGGGCTTGTACTGTCGTCAAGGCAGGGACCTCGTGCAGGTCGTCTTCCATGATTAGCCGCTTGGCTTCTTTGAAGAAATGGTCGCCAGCGGTTGCAGAGTCATCGCGGATGGCCCTAGCGGCAGGCCACGAGGTAAAGTGACAACCTAGGGCCAGCATAGCATTGACAAGCAGCGGAGAGCAGTACTGCATCTTCCTCCCGGACCCGGGCAGCGGCTTGCCTGAGCGGAATTCGGCCAGGAACAGGTTCTTGGATAGGGTGGTGAAGAAGCTATAGTGCCAGCAAAAGTACATGCTGATCAAGTGCTGCACGAGCTCTGGGTCGTCGGTAACGGTGGTCCATGAGCAAAAGGGGTCCTGTATTTCATGGTACTGGTCGTCGGCGTACGTGTCCTGGGATTCGGCCGTGTCGTTGCCCTTGCCCAGGTAGATGAGGTGTGAGGTGCCGCCAATGTAGCGCGTCGAGCCATCCTCGAGCCGCAGCTCGCCCATCTTGCCACTCAACTGGCTCTCAAAAGTGCCCCTCGTGGCCGCCATGACTGGAGTGGTGACGGCCTGGAGCGGCTCGTCATCGTCGTCGTCGTCGCCATTTTCCTTTGCAATGATGGCCTCTGCGACGGAATCGAGACTCTCGCAGGTGCGGATCTGGTGCACTAGGTCTGCGACATGCTCGTCCGGGTAGTTGAGAATGGCCTGGATCAGCGTCTGCAGCGTCGAGTTGCGCGTCTTGAGGTTGTCAATGTCCTTTTTATACACGCCTTTGCGGCGGTGGTCCGAGTTGGGGTCGTAGATGCACGGCGTGTTGTAGACGGCGGCACAGGCTGAGCAGGCGGGCGTGGTGCCGTCGCACTGCGTGCCAGGTTAGCGCACATGGTCTCACAAGGGGTGCGGCTGGCTGGCCAGGTGCTGATTGCTGGTTGCTTGTTGCTTGTTGCTTGCTGCTTGCTGCTTGCTGCTTGCCCTGCTGCCATGCTCCGGAGAAGGCGTATGTTGACCGGAGAAAGGACATCGTCCCCCAGTTCCCGTTACCTAACATACCTTTGATTTGCGCTTTCGGCATGGAACACACGCGGATGAGATGCATCTCCTCTTCTTCGACTCATCGCTGCCCCCGTCGCGTTTCCCTCTGCGTCCCTTCTTAGCCGGCGCGTCGTGACTCGTCTGCGCCTCTGCAGTGTTGATGGTCTCCATAACACGTCTGGGAGGTTTGCCGGATGAGCAAAATGTGGGGTGGAATGGCGGGGCCGAGCACTCAAGTCCAGCCCGACATTAATCAGCCGCCGGCGGGAGCCGTCTGTTGTGCTTCATCTCTCTACAGGGTCCACGACGAAGCAAGCAAGCATATCTAACCAAACTTTTCCATTAGGTATGGCTAACATGTCGCAGTGCCCAGATGTTCTTCAGTACACCATCACGGCCAAACCGCTGTCGGTATGATACCCTGAAGTCCTCCCGGCCCCTCCAAAACCATGCCAAAACGCCAGCAAAAAATATCACTCGAAGACCTCCTGGCCCTCCTAACACCATGCCAAAACACCAGAACTTTTTCCCATGAAGACCTCCTGGCCCCTCCATAACCATGCCAAAACGCCAGCAAAAAAATCACTTGAAGACCTCCCGGCCCCCCTAAAACCATGTCAAAATCTAGGATGAAATGCACTTTTGAAGCCGCCAAACCCAATAACCACCTCACCCTACATGAGGATGAAGCCCTCGGTATCCGCCTCGGTGTTCCCGAACAACCGCATTAGTGCGCGGGTATCCATCTTTTTCACGACGCTGCCGTCCTCCTCCATCACCACGTCTATCTCCTCCTGCTTCCTCTCTTGCATTTGAACAAGGTGTTCGTCCACCGTGTTCTTGACGCAAAGTCGGCTCATGAACGTCTTCTCGTTTTGGCCGATCCGAAACACGCGGCAGAATGCCTGCTGCTCAGACGCAGAGTTCCACCAAGGATCTATCATGATCACCTTGGAGGCCATGGTCAAGTTGAGTCCCACTAGAAACATGGGTCAGCAGCTTGTCAATCGTCATTCTGGGCATGGGTATACGTACAACCGCCGCAGCGGAGAGATGCCAGCAGTATCACCGGACCCGCAGTGTCGGCGAAGGCAGCGATTGCGTCGTCGCGTTTCTTTAGGCTCATCTTGCCATGGTACTGCGTGCGCTGTCAGTATATACTCCTAGGGGTGAAGCCACCCAGCCAGGAGGTACTCAAGGACTCATTAGCCCTCAAGACGTCCGGTATGGAGACCATGTCGTTGCCTGGGGGGTACATGGTCACTCACCTCCTCACATGTCCAGCCCTCTGTGGCAAATACCCGTTTGAGAATGCGTATCCTAGAGCTTGTTAGCAATCGCAAATGTGGGAAGGTTGGTGTACTCACATGGCCAGAAACTGCGTGTAGACTATGATCTTTACGTCTGCCTTTTCTTTCTGCCAGTTCAAGATTTGAGACTTGACCGCAATCGTCTTTGCCGAGGGAAAGACGTCGTCACCAACCGCATCAAGCCAGTCTTTGGGAATGTCCTCAGTTGTCACACGCTGGCTCTCTTTCTCTTTCTTCTTCTTGGCGCCGCCTCGTGTGCCACGTGCCGGCCCATCTGGTACGTCAAACTCACCGACTTCGCACTCGTGGATGTATGTGGGGACTTTGTGACAAACCTTGCATGATGCTGAGTCTTGGTCGTCTGCGGCTGCGTTAACATCTGCCTCGGAACGACATGCAGTGCAGATGAGGTGACCGCAAGAAGGCATCAAGGGTCTCCGGGGAGCCTGATCGCAATAGCTGCATTTTGCCTTCTTTATTGCTTTTCCCCAGCTCTCTCCAGACTGGAGCTTTTCGAGATATGGCTTGAAGTTGAAGTTCTTGCCGAAGCTACCACCGGACTCAATCTTCTGGTTGGACGGTTCCTCAGGCTCGATGACATTCTCAGGTTCATCGTCGTCGAGCAGGTCATCGCTGTCCATCTCGTTCACATGTCTGTCGTCCTTCTTGGACTTATTCTTAGTCTTCTTCTTCTGGTCAGCTGCAAGCTTCTCGAGCTGCATGCTAACAGCAGTAACCGTGTTCCTGTTGCGATTGTTCGTGCTTGATTGCTTTTCATGATACTCTATCATCTGCCTGATTTGTTCGATATCTCGGACCTCGAGCAGATCCTGCATAACGAACTGCAGCATGAGGATATGCGAGGTTAATTGTCGGAGTCGGAGAAGCATCCTATAGAGTGTTAGTAAGCTCGTTAAAAACCACACAGTATCACACTTACACCATCGCATGGCTGTACGACCTCTCCATGGTCCCGTCCTTGACCCACGAACTAATACGCTGTGCGAAGCGCTGTCGAACAATCTCATACACGGTCCTCTCAATCGAGTTGAATTCGCACCAGTATGTCGTCTGATCCGCCTGTGGCAGTGTCAAAATGGGCGCCCCAAACATCTCATCCGCATGCGTGCGACGGATCATAAACTGGGAGAGTCGAACCAGCAGGCGTTCCGTATTCTCCATGTTCTTGGTGTCGCAGTAGTTGTGCTTGAAGATCTTGAAACTGCCGGTATGGGGGACATTGAGGAACTTGAAGTACGGGTACAACTCCGTTATGCTGTTGAGGATCGGTGTGCCGCTGAGTGCCCACCTGTGGTCCGCCATGAGAGCTCGACACGCAATCGATGTGCGACTCTGGTGGTTCTTGATGGCTTGCGCCTCGTCGAGGACGACGCGGAGGAACCTCATGCGGTGAAGGGGTCCCCTCTTTGTCTCGTATTGCTCAACCCACCATGCCATCTGCTGCTCCGGTGTCTGACACTCGATCGGAGGTTCGTTCTTCGGATAAGAATGCATGATCTCAGTGTAGGTAGCGAGAATAATGTCGTGTCGTCCCAGGATTTCCATGCCATGAGTAGAATTAATACGAGAGCCGTGGCCATAGCGCATAACTGTGAGTCCGCAATTGGTGTGTTGCTCAATCTCGCTCTTCCACTGCGTTAGAAGTGCTGGGCTGGCAATGAGTAGGGTCGTCCTAGGCCTGTCTTTGTCCTTCTTCGACGGTTGGCCATTGACAATATTTGCTGTAACTCATTAGTTAAGTGTCACTCGGATTCAATCAGTCTGGTTCACTGACCTAGCATCATCAGAGTCTTTCCAAGCCCCATTTGATCTGCCATCAGGCCGCCTCTAGGGTCCTCGAGGCCGTTCTCGCGCCGCCGCATGAATGCGCTGCCAAGTACTTGGTAACTCTTCAGTGATGTTCTCATCCCCTTGACCAGCCAGTTGCCTTTATCCGCTTTGCAAGCACCGTGCCCATCGAAGGCCTTGGTAGCCTCCAAGAGAATATTCATGTCATCCTTAGCCTTTTTATGATCACTATTTACCGGAAGGCTTGCAAGGAGTTGCTTCAATGCGTCTGTCTTGTTCCGCGAACTGAATGTCGGCTGGTTGGGCGCGTTCGCACCAGCTTGTTGCAGGAAAACGTCTGATTGGAAGAGCGAGGTTGCTTGCCTGACTGCGTGTTCGACTTCCCTCTTCTTTTTAGCTGTTCCTCGGCCACCGCTATTGGCGGCTTTCCTAGGAGCTGCCTTTGCATTGGCGGGTTTGGCTGCGGCTTTGCCCTTGGCGCGACCAGACGGTACAGGAGCTTGGGAGTCGTCATCAGCTGCCGCTCCTTTCTTCTTCTTGCGTGGCTGATCAGCCTGGGCCTCCATAGCAACTCGCATGCTCGCGAGTTCTGCGTGAGCCATGGAATTCGGATTGTATGCTGGTTCGGGACTTGATAGGGGGCGCTTCTGAGGTCTGGATTGTTCGTCGGAACCCTCCTCTTCGGCGTTGCGTGCAATGAAGCCTGTCGAGAACAGATCCGTATCGTTTTCGCCGTCTTCACAGGATTTGGCAAGATCACGTGCGATCTTTCTCTTTCGCGCTTCTTCATTACCCTTGATCCTCATCCATTCGACGTCTTCTTGGAACGAAAGGATACCATTTCGCTTTCTCTTGAGGTCTTCATAGTATCGCTGCTGCTTGAGAAAATGCCTACTGGCCATAGCATCTTCTGATGCGGCTGGAGCGCTTGTAGAAGATGACGGCCTGTGCACAACAGCATCGAGAAATGCTTCGGCATCGGGGATAGTTCTGTTTGGATGAGGTGCAGCCTGGTTGCGGGTAGCAATTTCCTGTTCAAGTCTCTTCTGTTCAAGTCTCTTCTGCTGTATGCTACGGATCCTGGCGTAGACCCCAGTACCTATGGTAGTCTGGCGGGGCGTGGCTGTGGCGGTATCTTGCAGACGTTGGTCGTTGCGAATGAATAGTGATGAAGGACCGCCGGCATCTTGCAGAGGTTGGCTGTTGCATGAGGCTGATGGGCGTCCTAGAACAAACGGTGAACAAGGATCGTTGGTATCTTGCAGAGGTTCAATGCTAGGTGAGACAAGCGGGCCTTGTGGAGTGGATAGTGGCAAAGCATTTTCGGTATCCTGCTGATGTCGGTTCCTAGGTGAGGTGGACGGGCCCTCTGGAATGAACAGTGACGAAGGGTCCTCGTCCTCAGCATCATGCATCGGACTTGGAATCTGGGTTCCAATCATGTCGGCGTCTATGTCGTGTTCCGACATGTTAGCGTTGAAGCCGAGAGCCAAGAGTAGAGGTTGTAGAGTTGATTGGAGGTAGTAGTAGAAGAGAAGTATGTGTAAGTCAAGGTGGTGAGGCTAGAGAGAGGTAGTATGGTGTGGTGTAGGAAGGAAGGAGCAAATCCTGTAGAAGGCGAGCTTATATGTGTGGAAGAAGAGTAGTGGGGACACCCAGTGAGAGGGTGAGAAGATGTGCAAGTGGAGAGCACAAGAGAGAAGCTGTTCGGTGTGGTGTAGGAAGGAAGGAGTAAAGCTTATGAAAGATGAGCTTATATATACAGGAAGGGTAGCGGCGAGGCCAGGTGAGAGAGCAAGAGACGATACGCAAAAGGAGAACTTGAGCAGGCAAGTCGGTGAGAGGGGGAAAGAGGATATGTAAATGCAGAGCGTGATTAGGTGAGAGGTGCAAAGCAGCGGAGTGCTGTAACTTACAGACTTAGGGTAAAGGTTAGCTAGACAAACGTACATATCGGTATCCGCAAGATGCACAAGGACTTCCTTCAAGTTGCCCTTGTTCAGAATTCGGAGCAACAAGATATCCTATGTAGTTGACACAGGTATGCGCGCAAGCTCAGTGGACCAAAAGTCGTCACCCGTCAGAATGCATTGTCCAACTCAAGCGTAAAATTTTATGGATGCTAGCTTCTTTTTTTTTGAAAAGACAAATACTCCAGGTGGTGAACATTACCCTGGACTATTAACATTACGACTGTGGGTATCGAGATAGATGTTTCCATACAACGCACACACGACTACCGCAACCGGATAAAAGAAAAGAAACTAACAGTGTTACAGCCATGTATACGTATTATACTCCAAACATTGATGGGCTGGATCGGAACCATACTACTTGATCAACAGCCACATCTCATGGTAATAAAAAATCTCTACTCAAATATGTACAAAATGAAAAGAAGGATGTAAATGAGGGGGACGGCATAAGGGGAAGCAAATAGAGTATTTCTAGCACTGGTTCTCCTGAAGTTCAGGATAGAACCAAGCTGCAAGCGCGATAATGATATAACTCGCCATGAGCAGTATACCTTCGAGCCAATCTACGAAATGTTAGTATCAAATTCGATAAGCAGACAAGCTTGATGGGGATCAACTTACGTGACTTGCCATCCTGAATGAGGTAGTTGACAAGCAACACCGAGACGAAGAGTGTGGCAATCTGGAAAGTGTCGAAGTATAGTGTCATGCAGTCCTTTCCAAGAATCCATCCGAGGATGACAATGAGCGGAAAGACGAGAAGGGCAATTTGCATACTGGAACCGACTGCGACACCGATGGCCAGATCCATTTTGTCCTTGATAGCGACAGTGACAGCAGTAGCGTGCTCGGCTGCGTTACCAACAATGGGCAGGAGGATGAGACCGACAAAAGTGGTAGAAATATGGCCAGTAGCTGTAAGACCTTCGATACTGTTGACCATGAACTCGGAACAAAAGGCAACTAAAGTGGTGGAGATGGCGAGAGTGATAAGGGCGCCGACAACGGACAGTGATGGCGTTTCAAAGTCGTCCTCGTCGTCTTCGTCTGAGCCGTCGGTGTTCTTCAACAGCGCTTTCATGTTGACACCGCCGCCAGATGCTGCAGCGGTACCAGCCCCAATGGCTGCGATGCCGCGCGATGCATCACCCTCTTCCTTCTTGCCAGACTTGCGCTTGGGGACCTTTTGGCTGGGCTCATTGTACATGGTGACGTGCGTCTTCAACTGAAAGCCTAGGTAGCAGCAATAGACGAGGAAGAGAATGACAGCAGTTCCATGGGATAATTCCTGGTTCCTGACGGCATCTTGGGCTCCGTTATGTGCAACTGCATCATCTTCAGCGATGGTGTTGTGGAAGACAGTCGGGATGATCAGCGACGCAATGCAAAGGGCCAAGAGAGATGCGGCTGTCTGAGCAACAGTCACGTTGAAGAACTGCTCCATCCGGTTGATACCTCCAAGGAAAAAGGACATTCCCAAGACCAGTAACAGATTCGACAACATACTGCCAATGAGCGAGGTCTTGACAATAGTGATTTCGTCTTTGATCAAAGCTTGGACAGAGACAATCAGCTCGACAGCGTTTCCGAAAGTCGCGTTCAAAAGTCCACCTAGGGTTTCTCCAACTCGGATGGCCAGCTCTTCAGTTGCATTGCTCAGCATGGCTGCTAGGGGAATGATGGCGATGAAGTTGATGATGAAAACGGGCACTGGCTTGAGACCGGCGTAGCTGACAGCAAAACCAACGGGAACAAAGACGAGTAGGACATTGATCCACGCTCCGAAGAGAACGAAGCGAATTTGAGAGCCAATGGGAATCTTCTTCTTGAAAGCCTTCTTTTTGCGCTCCTCCAATGACAGATCATCGTCTTCTGCGTCATGTTCTTCTGCATTTGCGTCGTCATGGTGGTTTTTTCGGAATATGCCCTTGATAGCTCGTCGCGTAACACCACCGCTGGTTTCCTGGGTTGGCGGTGCAATGGTGCTATCACCAGACAGCTTGTGAGGACTGTTGGACTCTTCAGTCATATCCTTGTCGACTGAGGCTGTTGGGAGAGTGGTAGATGCGCTCGCATGTGTTGGCGAGGACGAGGAAGGTTCTGTGTTGTGGTGTCCAGGCATGCCAAACTGTTTCTCCGCTTCCCTGGTTTCCAACTGTCTTTGTTCTTCAATGGCTGGCGTGGCAAAGGTTTCCGACCGGGTCGATCTCGTCCTGTGCACACCATTCTCTACGTCCGGATACGCATCCCGAGACCGTTGCCGGGCAAACGGGTTGAAGTTGTTGGCGCCATTACCTCCGTGCTGCGACGCAACGCGATGTGCCTGTCTTCGTACGGTATCTGAAACCATCGATATATGTTAGATGGTGTTTCCATACTGAGTGGCATCATTGATGACAGAGGGGTTTGGTTCGTTGATCTGGATGCCTGGGAGATGGGGCTCCACTTACGCATGGGTTAGCTTTGGCGGCGACTGTGCCGTCTTCTTGCACCTGTAGGTGGGCAGGTTTTGACACCAACCGACGTCGGCGTTGAGGTGCGACTCGTAAGCCGATAGGACGGTGATCGTTACTCGGAACGCGATGCAGGATATTTCCGAACAGTGGTTGGGGGCCGAAAGGACCTCTTGGGGGCGGGCTCGTATTTGGACGAACAGACGCGCTGTGTTGTACCTGAAAGTAGATGCAAGGATTTGAACAAGGGGCTCGGGAGATTGTTGTTTGTTGTGAAGGACGACCCTGTAGACGGGGAACCGGTGAAGAGAAAAAGGGAGAAGCGCCCACGGGAGTTATTAAACCTGGCTCTGGCTGGCTTATTGACGGGGAAGACGCACGCCCCGTTCTGCGCGCGTCAGTTTGTGGCTGTTGTGGCTAACACGTCCATAGACTCACGAATGAGTGGGCGTGGCGAGCTTCAGCCACACTTTGCCATGTGCGGAACTTGAGCGATTGCCAGAGGTAGTGTCAGTAGCGCAGCAATGGAAACACAAATCATCAAACCCGGACCTGATTATGACTATTGCGATTGCTTTACCTTGTTGCTTAATTATGCCATGGCCCAACGTCATCGTGTTCAAGCCTTTTCCAAGCAACAAGCAAGATGCCTACCCTGAACTTGACTGGGCACAAGCAGGGAGCCGGCCTGGGCACTGACGACCTTGTGCATGGCACGGAATGCTTAATTGGTCGTCCTAGGAATGGTGCGCTGTACAACAACCATAGTCATGATGCAGTCTGGGGAAGCGTCCGGTGTTTTCAACCCTATTTAAGCTTCTTGTTTCGTACAACGTGTGCTCTTCTGCCACGCACTCTGTCTTGTCATCACCGCTGCACCCTTGGAATATAATATGTAAGCTTGACAAGCCGACGAGACGTGTTCAACAAGGCAGTGCCATCATCTCAAATGGCAAATCAGAACCTACCAAGTCTGCCTAAGCCTACCCAAACAGGCAGGTCCGGCCAACAGTCATAGATTACTGCGGGCACGAAGCAGGAAATCTGCCGGGCCGTCCTCGTAGTATTGGTGCACAGTCGCCGAGACGATGCCGCCCTGAGTACGTACGTGGCGCCGTAGCACAGCGTCGCGTGCACTTTGGACCTTTGGACAAGCGACCAACCGGACGTTGGGTAGTATGCTACCGCAAACCATGATCAATCTAAACTGGTCATCTATCTATATCGCCAGATTGTCCCTGCAGCTATACAGATCATCTCATGCGGCTGGGTGTAACATCACTTGCATATTTTGGGGCACAGTCGCCATCACGTCCAAAGTGTTGCATTCTTCCCCAAGAGAATGTGCAATAGTTCATCTCGAGCCTCTGCTATGATACACAGTAAGTGCTTCCTACCGCAACTTCGGAAATCATTACCCATGGAACGCCCTATTATCCAAGCCCTTACGCCGCTACCTCATACGGTATTATGCTGTTCGTTCCCCCTCTTAGTCGTACCAGTCTATCACTTCCAAATCATCAATCTTGCACCTTATGGTCGCCCTTGATGACATCGGCGTAGGTTGGAGGCGGACCTTCGGGTTGGCTTGAACTGCCCTCGCCACCCTGGTTTGATGGACCTGGCGCAGCCGATGCACTGCTCTTTGCCGACTTGTGGCCCTTTGGCTGTACGAAGCTGTTCGTTACGCCACTCTGCTGTCCAGGAAACTGTCCATTGCTCGGCTGGCTGCCTACGGTGCCGTAGTTGGCCGGACCGCGAGCTGGCTGCTCGTGTGTAATAACGTAGTATGTAGTTCGTCCGTCGCCGCGTCCACCGCGCTCGCCGTCGGCTACGTGCTGGTACGAGTCGTATGGGTCCGGGTTCTGGAGGATAACGTACCAGGCGTGCAGGAGGCCTGGAAGGAAGGCGAGACAGCAAAGCGCAATGTTGATGAGCGAGTCGGCGCTGCAGATTCCTTTCTTCACCCATACACCTATGGGTGGGAACTAGTTGACGTGTCAGTAGCTGAAGCTGAAGCTGTGAACCCCGCGTATGCGCCGGCCTTCTGCATTTGCTGCGCGGGCGGGGACGTACCAGGACGCTGAGAAGCATCAAGAAGCAGTCGGAGCCACACATTATGGCGGTTACGTGTCTTTTCGAGTCTCGGTTGGGCACAGTTGGCTGTCGGTGGGGTATTGGAGAGCTTATGGGCGCGTTGGAGTGACGCCTGGGTGAGAGGTATGGGTATGAATCGACTGAGCAGATGACGCACCGTGTGGCTGAGCGGTGGCGCATGACGCATCAACCCACAGGACATGGCTGATGGCGAGAACACGGAAACATGACGGCAGAATATTTTGGAACGCCTTCTCGATAGGGATAACCATGTGCTTTTCATTTACTATACTACTCTTTACCGCCTAGGTATCGGTATACGACCGAAAAGTCCTTTCCTTTGCAGTTGTCCGCCTGCTCCGCAGCATCGTAGAGCGCTCTTGCAGGCTCTCCCAGCGCGAGTTTAACCTTGGCATCAGCAGCAGCCTGTAGTGCGAGCTTCAAGTCCTTATTGGCAAGCGATATTCCGAAACCTCCCTCGTACCCTCTGCTCGCCGGCGAAGTCTCGATGACGCCGGGGACGGGATTGTTCACCTCGCTGGGCCAGCACTTGCCCGTAGCTGTGTTGATCATGCCGGCCAACGCCTTGGGGTCGAGGCCCCATTTGACCCCCATACTCATAGCTTCTGCTGTAGCGATGTTGTTGAGAGCGAGCAAGTAGTTGTTCGCCAACTTCCCTTTGAGACCGGCACCGGGTCCGCCAAGATGCACAACTCTCTTGCCCATCATAGAAAGCACTCGCGTCGCCCCCTCGACTGCCTCGGGCTGTGCACCGATCATAAACGTGAGGGTACCAGCCTTTGCACCAACAACACCACCCGACATGGGTGCATCGATGAACTTGCCTTGACCAGATGAGCTAGCGGCTTCCGCCACTTCACCAGAGGTCTTGGGGTCGATGGTCGAACAATCGATGAAGAATCGCTCCTTCTTGACGGTTCCCACACTGAGAAGAGTGGCTGGCTCCAGCATCTCCTTGAAAACAGCCTTGACATGCTGTGGAGCTGGCAACGAAGTAATGATTGTTTCCTGCAACCAGTTAGCGTACTGCGTGCGTGACTTTTGACATTGAGCATGTATAAAGAGTATAAAACATCAGAGGATTGGCTATAATTTTTTGAGTAATCAGAATAAGGGCCACGAATGGCCCCCAACTTAGATCATGGATAGAACAATTAATTCATCACAAGACAATGGGTGAGCAAAGAGAGAGATATACATACAGCGTTCTCTGCGACTTCTCGTACACTGCTCGCGACGGTCACTCTATGTGGATATTCTTCGCTGAACCTCTCAGTGGCAGCGGTGTTGACGTCGTGCACGAAGAGGGTGTCCTCAGCTGGAATCTTTGCTCGTAGGTTTTTAGCCATGGAGTAGCCTGCCAAGATTGTTAGTTGACATGTAATTAGGTGACCAGCAGTAGTACTAACCCATTTGTCCTAATCCTATAAAGCCCCAGGAAGCTTGCAAGTCCCGAGAGCTTGAGAAGCATCTGCGCGTCCTCCGACATGCCGCCGTGGGGTGTATCTTTCGCAAAGGCGAAGCAAGTGCCGAGACTGACTGCATTGTGTAGTTGTGCAGGTCGAATGTTGTTGCGTATCTTCGATTATCGAGATGGGGTGCAGAGGGCGGTTGGAAGCGGTTTCCAACTCAATGGATCGTGTTCAGCCGAGGTAGAGGTACAGAGCCGTGGTACCATCACCAACGGCAGCGACCCCGCAACTAGCTAGGCAAGTCGAGAGCCGCATCATGAAAGCCTCGTGCCATCCCAGGTTGCTGGAGCTGGTTTGCCGTGAGATATCCGTGAAGCTTGGTGCTGAAACTGAGCGGAGAGATTAGAAGAAAACTTTCGGCGCGTGGAAAAGTAAATCCGGCCGGGTCGCGCTAGTCCGAACCGAGATTCGTTCTACCACCTGGGTGTCATAAAATACTTGACACCTAATAGGCGTGTCTGGCGACTACAGTGGCCTTTTCCCCCTAGTATGTCAAGTATTTTATGGCACCCAGGTGCTACCACTCTAAGCCAGAACAATCTCATCGTGTCAAGAAATGAGAAGACAAGATTTGAAGAAATGCGAATTGCACGCGGCCCTGAACTCGTGTTATTAACGGATAATTGCGCAGTAACCCATCTTCATCAGCCAACAGCAAGACAAGCTTGGAACTACACCACGCTCAACACACAAGGAGAAGATGAATGCTTAGACACGTACGATGCGACAGTTTACATAACCAGAATTCAAAACGTTTCAGTTTAATATGTCCATGTCATTCTTCAATCTGGCTCTAATATGTGCACTTGAAATACATCGTCCCATTTCCGCCAAAAAAGCAACAAATATAGTAAATCCTAATCTCAACCCCTTTCCGTCTATTTTTCAAAGCACGCTGTTAAGCTTAAGCAGGTGCAGGTGCAGCCGCTGGAGGGACGGGAGCTGCAGAAGAAGAAGAAGCTGGAGGGGCGGCAGCAGGGGGTGCAGGAGCTGCAGAAGATGCAGCAGGAGGAGCCGCGGGGGCAGCCGGAGGGGCAGCCGGAGGTGGAGCAGCGTCTGCCTCAGGAGGAGCAGGTACAAAGCTAAACCAACAGTATCAGCATTCGTTACAAACAACATACACAGTCTAAGAAAAGAAACTTACGCAGCAGCTCCCAACGCAATCCTCCCTGCCGAACCACCTGTCACTGCCCCACCATCAACACTCTTGCCACTAATCTGGCTCGCCTTTGCATAATTTGCCAACTGATGCGAATCCGCCGGGTTCACAATCATAACTTGTCCGAGCTGGCAATGCGGGCCCGTTGCGCAGTACAAGAACATTGGTCCAGTGGTAGTCACCGGCATGTTGAAGGTACCGACGTCGGCCTGGCCATCGACAAAAGGTATGTGACCACTGTGTACTCCGCCTTGTTTCGGGGTGCAGGCAGCGTCCCCGGTGGATTCAGTCACCGTGTGGTTGCCATTCGCGAATTGGAATTGGATTATATCGCCTACGGAAGCTTGGACAACGTTGGGGGTGAAGGTTACTTGGGGGCCGCCGACAACGACGGGGATGAGTTGGTTGGCACGGCGGAAGGGGTTGGCTGCGAATAAGTCAATATAAATGGAGGAGATGAGAAGAGCCAGACTGACTTTTGACGCCGGGTAGTCTGTTGATGGGTTTGAACGCTGGGCCCGGGATCGCAGCAGCACTTGCGGCTAGCATGAGGGATAGGACAAAGGACTTCATCGTGAAAAAAGGCGATATTGTGGGTATCTTTAAGTAACTAGTAGCCGAAACAGACACAAGTACCGTTCAACGGTAGAGAAGAGGAAGTAAAAAGATTAGGTAAAGACCGGTCTACGGTTCCGTAGCAGAACAGAAAGCAAAGAATGATGGAGAAAAGACTCAAGAACGAACGATGTAGCGAAAGCACGGAGAAGCAGACCAAAGTATCCTACCTCAGCTCACCTTTGTATACACGCCCGTCACACACCTGAAAGCTGCCGAATTACCCACCCGTGGCATCCACACCACCCCAAACTCTCATACATACCTAGGTGCTTACCTTCTCCTACGATACCATCTCAAACATCATGCCTGTCAGCCTGAGGACCACAGTTCCTACAACCGCACCTATCACCAAGCCGCCAAGCCCTCACATCAGCTGAACGATGTTTGACGGTTCTCCTGTTCATCGGAGGGAGCCTCTCTAAGCAACAAACCCACCTGGGCAACATGGGTAAACGGCTTCCGCTGACCTTGTCTATTGTTTGAAGATAAGTGGGGCGCACAAGTGCCGGATCAAGTAGACACATGCAGCATGCAATAAGACGTTTGGAAACCTGGGCGCCTTGCCGTCGGACTTTCGGACTTTCGGACACTAAGTACAGGCCGCTTGGGCGGTTAGGTGCGAGAGAAAGAATGGATATGGACGTAGGAGGGCGGAAGAGCGGAGCGGGAGGCGCTGCCCAGGTATGGTGGAGACGCATGTTTTGGCGATGAGGGTGTTTCGCAAGGGGTCATTGCCATCTACAGCGGAACCAACATCTGCACCATCGATCTATCTGCGCGTGGCCACGCCAACTCGCGCAGATAAATAGAAAGCGCAAATCTAGTAGAACGGCGTCGTTGGCAAAAACCTTAGGCCTCAGTCGCAGTACCAGTAATTCGGCGGTTGTGGCATCGAGGTTTTCGCCCTTGAACGTTTTATCTGGTCCCACACAGTGCCAAGGTTGGAAACGGCCTAGGCAGGGGGTTGGCACGCAAACCACCACACCACATCTAGGCTGAGAAAAAAAGAAAGTGACTGTAGAGGGAAAGATCCTAAATCATCCCTATCCTTCATTTCAACCTTTCCCTATTCCTAGACGAGTAACCAATAAACGCTAATAACAAACGTATCTTAGCTCACCGCAGCCCACGTCTCCATCCAAAGTTCTATTAACTATGACCTAGATCCCAAACACCGCAATCCCGGCTTGGCTCCTCCTCCCCTCCCTCCGCGGCATAGACTATAGTGGGGACGAGTAGTGATGCAACACACCAGAAGGAAAAACAAGTCGGATATCTGATTAAAGGAGCTAGGTGTATTGTTGTCCGACTAAATCGCCTGGGTCTCATAAAATACTTGATAGCGTGGGTAAACGCCTAATAGGCGTGTCTGGCCTTTTTACACTAGTATGTCAGGTATTCCATGGCACCCGGGTGAAAGTGTATGATCAGCAGAGTTGTGATACTCACTCCATATGCCGAGAACCGAGTCTGCTTGTGCACGTACGTATGCCTAGGCAGGTAACTGTGCATGGCATTGCGCGCGTGGCTCTTGGCTCCATAATTAGGCTGAAATTGCATCCCATTATACATCACTGTCCACTCACATCCATCTATGGGAACTCCGTAGTGACTGACTACACCACCTCTCACGGTTCCTACCCCTCCTTCTCTCCCTCTTCTTCCTTCTCATCTTCGCTCTCACCACCCTTCTCCTCGCCAGCTGGCTCTCTCCCTCCACGCACCGAAACATCCATCTCTCTCGCCTTGATAGGCTTGCTCGCCTCCTCAGGAAACAGCTCCTTGAACAGTGCCGGCTGGAATCTATTAATCCTCTTCCACGTCTCGATCCAGAGACTCTCCCGCTCTGGCTTCTCATCCGGCGGCGCTAGATACCCACCAGTGCTAAGCACGAGTAACATGTTCTTCAGATTCTCATTCACTGCCTCTTCCATATCGCCCTGACCTGAGTTACCTAGTCGATCCATGATACCTACAATGGTAATCCAGAGATCCTCAAACAATGCCTTTTCGCCGATACCATCTAGCAGGGTGAGGTAGTGTAGAAACACTTTGCTTAAAAGGGTAGCGGCGCGGACACGCGTCTCGCTCATGCCCAGAGGGTCGGATTGGTAGACTTCTGGTTTGAGGAGCTGGGTGACGAGGGGGATGAGGACTTCAGTGAATATGGCCGTCCATTCTTTGTGGTCGGGGGAAGCAAGGTCTGCGGAAAGAAGGGTACGTTGGAGGGATGAGAAGGCTTGTTGGCGGAGGGTGCGGCAGGGGTTGAGACATTGGTGCGCCAGTGTTTTTAGAATTGGAGACCAGTATGCTGTCCATGCTGTGTCGATATTAGTAACTGTACGCGTAGACTCAAGATGTATTGGACTCACCCTCAGTTGTCTCGAGATGTGACTGCTCGATAAAGTTTGGCACTCTGCTAGAAAGTTGGAAGACGATGCTCATAGCTGTGATCCCACGTACTACAACCTCGCTGTTCTCGGGCTTCTTGGTCTTCTGTCCTTTGTTGCGCCTTGCTGCCTGGTCATACAGTTGCTCTTCTCTAGCGCCTACTTGAGCGGCAGTTGCAAACTCATTGAGAAGTGCAATTGCGGCCTCGTAATTGTCCGCTGTTACGCCGGGTTGGGATGAAGTAGTGAGATCTTCGACAAGCTGGAACACGTCTCCAGCGGCGTTGGGCACACTAGCCAGCCTGTTCAAAATGGTCCAGAAGTCTGGCGAGCCGGCGAGCTCGCTGCGTAGCGCATTCGGCCCTTTGCAGCAGTCTGTGAGACCCTTGAGGATTGGTTGCGCGCACTCGTGCAAGAGTGAATCATTGAAGCTCGAGAAGGTGTGCATGAGGACGGGTGCTCGGATGAAGTCGTAATCGTTGCTGGCCTTGAGCAGACTCAGCAGGTAGTACACAGATCGCGCAATGACCACGTAGTGATGTTTGGGAGCATCGCGAATGACGGACACCAAAGCATCCGTCACATCCTTCGCAAGCTCCTTCACAGTCTCGTCATCCCGTAGGGCGAGTACAGTCGCTAGCTCGAGAACGAATACCAGACTTGGATCATAGAGTGGACCCTTGCCCTTTTGTCTTGGGCCAGGCGCTCGCGGACTCGTCCCTGGTATCTCTGGCTTTACTACCATGACTCTTGGTGAGCCATCTTCTGGCAAATGCTCCAACAGCGACATGAGCAAAGATCGTAGTGAATCCACGGGGAGTTGACTGATGTTGGCAAGAATGTCTTCAAAGTGACATTCCTTGACGGTATCCACAGTGCAGAGCGTGTACTCGACCTCTTGGTCTGAGGGCTCAGGGGGCTCGTCATTCGCAAAACTCGAGACATATGACGTCAAAGCTGAGAAGATACCAGTATCGGCCGGGCGTTCTGCCCGATCGATGACTTGTGCTGGGTTCTGGAGTGGTATTGGCGACAGTGCGAGGGTCTTCTGGAAGGAGAGGAAATAGGGTGGTATCAATGAGTTGACGAATAAATTGACCATGATGCGGATAAGCTGGAAAGAATTAGCAGAGTGATAGAAACGGGTATGGCAGACTTACATGTTGCCAACCATCTCGTATTGATGCCTCGTTGCCCTTGATGACCTGGAATAATACAACAGTTGCTAGCTGTGCTCGGCCGTCGCGACCAAATCGTACTGCTGTCTCACTGACCATGACGCTCTTCTTATCGGCTTGCACCTCAGTATTGAGTGACGTGCTCGGTGGCACATCCGGCGCCAATGTACTAATGTATGACAGACACGAAATAATTCGATCCAAAGCGTCAGTTAGGCCATATTTTGCTGCGATCTGAGCGCACTGATCAAAGCCTTGTACGACGCGGGAGAAGACAGCATCGTCGGTGGCAGACATGAATACATACGACAGGGTCGCAATAATTGGCTTCCAGGTCGCGGCAAACATGTCGGCATCGAATATGTTAGTTTCGCAGATTATGATGTCCGAGGTTGATTGACACTTGACTAATAGTTCCTTCCATGCATGGTCATAAGCATTGCGGTCGCTATGCTCCTCTGGAAGAATGATTTCGCGGTTCTTGATGGAATCGTAGATTGCTCCCAAGAACTCCGGGTCAAAGTCCTTTCCGTCATTCACGCCACGCACGTTCTTCCTGAAGTCTTCCAGCTGCATGCGTTTCTGCTTCATGTTTGGGTTGTGCTGATCAGTGTTCAGCATAATGACTGCGTATGTAAGAATATAGATGGCGTCAACGTTGGCAATATCCTCTGGTTGTGCCATGGAGAAGTATTTTTCGGAAAATTCCGTCAAGATCCTCTCAATCAATGCGGATTCGCCCGGAAGACGGAAAGCATGTAAAAGCTGTCGAAGCGCTTCATCAATGCGTTGTCCAGTAAAATCAAACAAGCTGATGAAAGCACTCAGTATCGCCTCATTTCCCTTTTTCGAGATGAATTCTCCAAGAACTTTCTTGTCAACTCTCGTAGTACCTTTGACAAACTCGGCAATGCACTGAGGGTCGTCTGGATCCCTGATAACGCCTTGCGAAGCTAGATAGGCAATACCGGCCTTGGGCTTCTCGTTGAATTTGGTTGCACCTTTGATAATGATGGCCTTACGAGCTCGCTGCGCACGCAGAGACTCAACACTGGGATAGCCTTCGGTTACAGGCTCGTCATCCAATCGATCTGCCATGGATTGGACGAAGCCGAGCAGGGCATCCAGACATAGGGGAGGCACATTGACTGTGCTCCATGTTGCGGAATCTGGGAAAGCATTCCTTGAGAGGAGGCCTACGATATCCATGCAGACATCCCCGCGATCAATCTCGCAGTCGTAATTGACGAAGAGCTCTGCCATGTACGATGGTATTCGTACTAGGCCACCCAAATTCTCTACCATGGCTTCACGAGCGTCAGGTTTTCGGGCGCCACCCTCGAGCCCCAGCTTTTGTCGGTCCTTGACAGGTACCGGAGTCGCACGACCACTCCCATTCGGTTGCTTTGGTGGCTGCTTGATAAGACTAGGCGCATGTGGGACGCCTTCGTACAGTGAAGGTTCGATGCCGGGCTCTGATGGTATTTCGACGCGCGGGAAGAGACAGGCTACCAGGTATGAGAGGTAGAGCTCCTGCTGTAGCTTGAGCACATTTCTGCACGTTGCCAACAGTGTACCGGCAACTCGTAATGACTCGTTCAAGATTGCCATGTTATCTGACCTGACCAGTTGGAAGATGTGCCGGCACAAGGTGTCCTTTGCCAAGTTTGCTAGGCTGGGGTGGCTTGCTATCGAAGGCCCGGCGACTTCAAGGGCAACATCGACAATGCGCAATGCCATGACACGCATAGTATCAGTATGTTGTCGGTCGTGCGGATCAAGCAAGTCAACGAGGACTCGGAAGAGCTCTCTTATGGACGGTAACGAGTATGGCTTGATCTCAACAGGGACTTGTGGCTGTCCGTCCGCAGCTGTTGCGGGAAGATCTAGAGTACTGCTAGCCGGATTCGCCGCGTCATTGTCTTCAATACCCTTCTCCGGGTCGCTTGGCTGCTGAAGTGCCTCGACCTTATGCTGTGCAGAGTCGCTTTCGCCATTTGCCGTTGGATCCATACGTAGACCGTCTTGATCATCCTTGCCGTCTAGCTCTTCGTCCATGGCCTCCAACTCCTCTGGCGACTGGACCTCGAGTGTTTTCAGTCTCCGGAATATGACCTGGCACATGGACACCATGGCAATCTCAGCAGACCTTCGGAGCAGCTCTGATAGCCTTGCCTGACAACACATGCTCAGGCCCGTCTCCATCATCTCGCACACGCTCTCATCGCCCAATACTTCTCCCCCACGGCCAGAGATCATGACTTCCATAAGCCTCAGTATGCGAAGCAGGACAATTTCATCGGCGGGAGAGTCGCTAGCCTCGAAACGACAGTGTGTGATGGCGGAAGAAAGCTGCTGCATAGCTTCAGGAAGGCGTGGGGAGTCATGGCTGATGATGCCGTATGACAGGAACTTTGTTATAGCGATGAGGGCAAGCGAAGTTATGGGCGCCGATGTGGAAGAGGAGCGAATGACCTGGAGGAAGGGGTGGAGCATAGAGGGAGTGTCAAAGGTCCCGATATCTAGTGTAGGATTAGCATTCGCATAGCCTTGGTGCCGTCTCGACGATGCCATGTACCTTTGCAGCCTTTCAAATCATTCCTCAGGCGCGCGAATGCTGACATGAGCGGGTTGTCTTGCATGCTCTTGCCCTTCTTTCCTCGCAATCCCCACCTGCTCGGGACGGCCTCATCTTGCTCTCCTGCGCCTGCAATGCCCTGGCCAGTACGATCGCGCCGCTGGACAGCTGGTGTCTTGTTCGAGGAACTCCCCAGTATCGCCGCGACTGACGAGTGCGCCCAGCGGGCATGCTTTCGCATTGCCGACGTGACGGTAATACATTCCGTGACGACGAGAGCTACCGGGTTGACTGCTACGGTAATGCATCGGGGCTCTAGGCTCGCAATCGTCTCTTGCAGCCGTGAGGCGGCATTGTCGTCACTGTCGGTGCTCGACATGGTTATGGCCGGTTTGGTGTATAGTTGTGTATGCGACAAAGAAGCGGTGCGCGCAAGGCTTATTTGTAGTCGATGGCATATGGACAGCTATGTGTTTAGTTCAGTCGAGTTGCAACATGACACGCATCATCCCAATGACGGCTGCCTGGTGACAAAGACAAGTGTCCTGCTTCAGGAGGTACAAAATAACCTTGTCCGCACGATATTCGTCCTCAATTACCAGTGCAAGCTGCAGTTGGCCTCATCAAACATTTGGCCGATAGTATTTAGCGGAGTTTCGGAGGTGTTGGCGCAACCCTCACTGTGCAAGGGTCCAACCAGCATCGAATGGGAAGTACATGCAACAAGCACATTGACTGAACCAAGCCATTGTATCACGTGTCCGGCCATAGCCACGTGCATGTTATTGCCACACACGCCATGAAATCATGTATAAGTTTGGTACTCTTACAGACGCATGCAGCGCTCACGTCTACTCTGGAGCTCTAACGCCCATAATGCAACAGCTAATGTCTAATGTAATACAATCCCCCAAATGCCTCCCCAAGCGCGCACCAAGCGACAAGGAACATGCGCCAACAAGAACAGAAGAGACCGGCTCGGCGAAAGGTTGCTGTCCGGGGTAGCTGTAGGCTCCAACAAAGAAGAGAAAAAATCAAGTACATCGAAGAAATTGACGTCCGGATCTGCGCCCAGATGCACCCGAGTCGTTACTGTCGTCGCTTTCAACATAGATGCGGACCTAGGTATCATGCTCCTCATATCGACGTGTGTGAATTCTACGAATCTCCCTTCTTTTCTTCTGCTCGCTTCCCTTCCTTCACTGGCTCCTGGTTGCCATGCTCCTTTGCCGCTGCCTCTTGTTGTTTCTTCTTCTCCGCCTCGGCCTTTTCTTCGTTCTTTGCTTTCTGTACCAGGTCCTGGACCGCCGCCTTCTCCTTTTCCCAGTCGCCCTTCTTCTCGTCGAACGTCTCCTTGATCTTGCTCTCTTTTGCCTTCTTCGCCTCCTCTTCGGCCTCCTTCTTCTTACGGTCCTCCTCCATCTCCTTCATGTGTCGGATATCGTCAACGCTGGGCTCGTAAAGATGCCAAATGGTGTAGTGAGGAAGACCGACGACGGAGAACTTCATGCGCTTAGCCATCTGCCATGTAGTGTTAGCTTTGTACCATGTAGAAGCAGCACATGGCGTACCTTGCCGAAACCCTCCGTCTCGGCGTGTTTCTCAAAACTGAAGGCGGGGAAGTGGACACCAGCACGGAAGACCTTGGCTTTGGCCAGGATACTGACACCGCCAACACCGTCGATTTCCATCTCCATGTCTGGGTCCCCGTAGGGATCGCGAAGGTAGGCCAAATGCGGGCGCCATGTTGCGTACTCGGCGTAGCCCTCAACAATGACGGCATCCTCGTCAAGAGTGTCGGCGAGAGCGAGGGCCGTCTCGGATTCTTGCCAGGAATTCAAGTCGTATGGCTGTTCCCCTCCAAGCCAGTCCGGAAGTGGTCGCCAGACGTCTGCGTGATATGTTAGTAATCGAGACTTGTGCTTTGCATGTCAAGTTCAACGTACTTGGTACAATGACATCCTTGTTGTGCCTCATCAGATCCTCGAGAATGGTGAATGGAGCCGTCTCGACGTCTACATCCCTCCAGTATACCCAGCTGTGCGTTGGTCGTAGGGCAGCGCTCAGCAGCCAGTTACGTGCCTGCGCCATTGACTTGCGGCGACCGGCCTGGGCGGCAAAACCGTGACGACTTTCAACGTCCTGGTTGACCTTTTGGCCAAAATCCTTCTCCATGATGGAGATTTCGCCAAACTGCTGCTTTGGGTCTGGGTTGGCTTGCAGCTCCTTGAGCTTCTCCGTCAACAGCGAGATGGTGTTATCCTTTGAATCTCCGACGAGGAAGGCCAGATCGATGAGGTTGTGCGGATACGTGAGATTCTTAAGATGGCCAAAGAACATGGGCAGATGCGGTGCTGCGTCTCGCAACGGAGCGCAGAGCAAGATGCGCTCTTCCCTTTCCCACCCCCTGGCTGTACCCTGCACATTGTTCAGGTCGTAGTATCGCACCGTCTCGAGTTGCGCATCGTCATTCGAAGAGAGCAAGCTGAGGGGCCCGGGACCCAGATTCGGCCGCAGGTCGGGGAAGAAGAAGAACAGGACGGTGAAGAAGATGGAGCCCACCAGCAGTATGCGCTGTATTAGCGCTCTCCGCCGTCTGAGCGTAGGCTGTGAGCGTGGTTGGAACCTACAAGTGCAGTGAAAGTTAGGATCATGCTTCATGGGGTCGCCAAAGTACATGTAGACAGAGTGCGCAGGCACGTGGCGTATGAGTGTCGGGCTGTGCATTGCTGGTGGACGTACTTGTGGGGTTGAATTGAGAAGGTGCCTCCTCCTTGTGAGGGATATGCCCCGTTCGAGAAGGCATGGCGGTGCATCTTCCCTTTGGACGAGGAATGTAAGGGCAACATTCGAGAGGAACGGGCGCGAGATATCGATGGATCGCTCCCTTAGAGACCCCCGGTCACCTAGGACCCGCCAGATCACCCAGTTGCTGCACCCAGGTACCCCTCTTCGGTCCTCGTTGGATTCGGCGCCTTCGGACCGTGTCGGACGCGATAATTGTTGGGTTGCGAAGGTTGGAATTGTGGATTGAGATGACAGTTTGCCTGGATTTGAAATGTCGCGCGTCTTGATGCCCTGCGTTGCAAGACTTGGCGTGGGATTAATTCGCCAAGACGACGGTGACGTTCAGAAGGGGGCTCGTGGTAATTTAGTGGCGTCCGGTAGCGGAGATTTTGATCAATCGAGCTCTTGTATCGACGCGCGAGTCTGGCGAGATGCAGTCGTCGTCGTGGCCGCGATGCATGTGTGTGCAGGACACTTTGCATCATCGCTCGACTTGTGAGGCTAAGCCGAGTCAGCTAGCATGGCTCCGGGCTTGTTTCAGAGGCAATCATGTACACGAACGCCCATCTCCGGAGAAGCGGCGGATGCCATACGATACGCTGACGAGCCCGGTTCTTAACCTCCATCATTTCACAATCATCCATCACTACCCTGTGCGCATTTGCTTGACTGACTACAATCAAACTTGACGCGTCCAACGATACTGAACATACCATGTCACCTTGCACAACTGCTGGGCATAGACACGTTGAGCAGTCACATGTGAGGCCGACCAAGCACAAGGACCTCATCTGAATGAAGGAATCTGATGCAAATCTCGACAGTGCTTATTATTTAAACAAAGCTTATTCGGTATTGACTACAGCCACAACCGTCTTCCTGCATCGAGTCCACTACTGACTATCACAATTTCATCAACCTGCCAATCGGATTCCATCTGGACACTGTTAGCCATGCGCAGACAGTGGTGTCGCAATAACATTTGCAAAGGCATCTTGCTCAGACAGCCGTTTTAAATCATTCCCCATCACCTGGCCCCTGATCGCAGCGCTCCAAGACGGATTGCTGCAAGCATTGGCTCAAAGACCACAATTATGCGGCGCTGAACAAGCCAGCAGTGCAACTCCACAACCCGTCATCCCAGCCGAGACTGGTAGGGTGCGGGAGGGTGACCCGGCGACAGATGTCGTTGAATGGATAGACTAGTTTTCCTCCTGGCGAAAGGGAAGGAATCAGCTGTGCTTACCAGGTCGAAGGGTGCAATGCGCGGGGTGTACTATATATCTGATTGCCAAGTTAGCATTGCGCCTTTCAAGAGCTGAAATGCAGAAGCCAAGGTAGCAAAGTGTGATCAGACAAAGGTAAGCGGTATATGTTTTCTTCAATGAAGTTCAGTAGCAGAACTGAAAAAATACGTTCATCATATGAGGTAGGCATGAGAGGAGTGGATGAAACTTACCATTAGGCAGAACCTTGGACGTTACTGAAGTTAGTACTGGGACAGCATATCCACCACCTACGTCGCAACGACTGAGGTGGCCTCGTAGCAAAGGTATATGCAGCCTCGGAGCTACCGCGAAGGTCATATCATGGCGGAAGGAAGCCGGCGCTGGACAATGTCTGGTCTGGGTTAGCTAGTATCGCAGACGTTGTTGCAAAACCAGAAGCTTTGGGGACAAGATCAGAGGGTGGTGCATGTGTTCAAAGCTCATTTGAGATCACAAGAACTATTTCAAGGGTATCAATCATGAAAGCGAGAAGGAGAGAAGAAATGGTGTAAACATACCTTGGGCGCGGATGTGAGTAGAAGAAAGAAAGTTGGTTTGGACGCGAAGGAAAATTGATCTTAGCTGCGAACTCTTGGCAGTCTCGCGCTTAGTCAGCCGTTTTTCCGCAAACACCATGAGATCACTAGCACCCGCAACACCGCAAGCTCAATACACCCACAATGGCGGCAAACATGGACAGAAGGAGGAACAATGCGCCAAGTGGCGGAACAAGTGCGCCAGTATTTGCGCGAACCATACGGGACCCGCAGTACATTGAGAAGCTTAGGCCGACAAGGTCAAGAGACCCGAATGAGCTTCGCAGGATCTGTGAGTGCTTGTCCCCTTGTTCTCGACTCCCTGCATGCTTCGCAGCTTCAATTGAGACTCATCAGCTTCGACTGAGCGAAATGCATTGTCCAAGCTCCACGCATAGCGCATTTCGTGTAGTTTTCAACTGCTTACACAACATCAGTCCTTCAAACGTCCATCATACCCTCCGCGTCCGGATCCGCCTACCTAGAGATTCCTTCCTCGTCTCCTTCCGCGACTTCTTCACTCATACCGCCCACTTCGTCCCTCAAGATTACTGCCTCAATACAGGGCCCGAAGCCCCTCCCCCGCAGCGCACCCTTCAGTCCGTCACTTCTCCTTACGACTACCGTCAAGTTTGCCCCGTTCGCAACCAGGCATAGACGCGGCTATATACGCGACTCAACGGAGCGTGATCTTGGGGTTCACCTAGAGACAGCGTTACGAGGTGTCATTATTGGCGAACGATGGCCAAAGAGTGGAGTCGAAGTCGTAGTGACTATCTTGGAAGGTGACGAAGACGGCTGGTGGGGAGATTCCGGGAGTGAAGGAAGCGCAAGCGGCAGTGGATGGGGCCTTTTGAACGTTTTGGCGGGATGCATAACAGTTGCGAGCGCTGCCATAACAGATGCAGGCATCGACTGTGTGGACATGGTGTGCGGAGGTGTCGCAGCCATCACACGTAATCCAGCATCAAAGCAAGAGCAAGGGCTCGCAAGGATATTGGATCCATGTCCAGCAGAGCACAAGGATGTGGTCGCGGCATGTGTGGTCGGCTACCTTGCCTCGAGAGACGAGATTACCGAAATATGGATGAAGGGTGATGTTGGTTCCAATCCCGATGCTCTGATCGAGGGCGCCATACATGCGGCTGTGGGTAGTCTCGCGGTAGTCAAGGACGTCTTGCTTGAAGCGCTCCAAACCAAGTTTCAAGGTCAGATCGACAGCAACGAAGGCGGCTTGAAGAGGAAGGCACAGGATGTGGATATGACTGGCTGAACAAGTGCAGCAATGTACCTGTACTGTGTCCAGTATCTCTTCACAGGAATGACGACGTTGGACCAATCATCAAGCAATTGGCAAGCCGGCTATCGGCCCGAGCCTACATTCAGCCAAACCACACTGCTAGTATATGGACAGCCACTGCGAACTTTTGTAGCATCAACGGTCTACAGCACCGCCTACATCGCATTCTTAAAATGCATAGCGTCGGCGTTCGGAGCTGCCATCTAGCTCGATGCATGCGGATCTCAAGGCCACGCACGTATCCAAAACTTGGCAGGCTAAGAAGATCCACAAGTTTTCCAACTGAAAAGTTGTTGGCTCAGGCTATCTTCGCTAGCAATGTGAAGACATGTGTTAGTTATTGCTGTTCCCGATCAACTGGCTTTTACTGGCGAGGTGGATTTTGTGTTTGATGTGCGTACAAAACGTTCACTTCAGTAGTATTTTGGTTTGGTTCAGACAATATCAACGGCATGTTTCTTTTGCCGCCGATACCACCACAGTTGCCAAGGCGCATATCGGGGTTTGAGATGTCGTGATTGGTGCGCAAGTAGCAACAAAGTGGCTGGGATCCTACTATCCCTACTGAACATGGCGTCACAATTCTACAAGAAAACCCAACACGGCTCGCAAATTGGACATTGAGCATGGTTATTTTCCAAATAATGCAGCTGACAGGACATCAGTATACCCGCTAGCAGCATAGCTTCCCGAGCTTACGGCCCACTTGAGGCATGCTAGACTGCATGCCTTCAGAACCTTCCGGGTGGGTCGCATTGGCAATGGCCATGCGCGTGGGTCTTGAGGTCATCCCGTTCTTGCCTATCGTGAAAGAAATGCTTGCCGAGATTGGAGCAACAGCAAGTCGGCCTCCCTGGCAGCATCATCTCGATAGGTTTGCAGTTGCCCGATTAGTCTTGACGAGATGCAAACAACTTTCACGCCTCATAGCTTGCCACTCTTCTTCTCTTCAGCCCACTCTTTTTGGTCTCTATCATTTGAAGCTGACTATTTGTCTGCCCGTCTTTCGTTTTTCACGCTCGAATCACAGAACAGCAGCCGGCAAGCCTTCCGTCTTAGCTGCTCCTGCGCGGCTCAAGATTCCCTGCAACTAGTGTTGGTGCATATCTCTCGCGATTGCGATTCGGACGCAAGTGGGCAAGCGAGCGTTATAAGGCTTGAACATTCGCGCAGTTCTCGACCATCATCTTTTTCGTCCTTCGTTCCACGGTTGTTGTTATGTTGCAGTCGTTCGCTGATATGCCATCTGTATGTTATGCACAACACCCATGTTCCTTGCCTGCAGCGACGCTAATAATGTTGATAACTAGCTTACTCGCGCGATCGCGCTGCTCCCCGCGCTCTTTGCGACAGTCGCAAAAGCCGTCCACCCAGTTGAAGTTCGCGGCCAGGACTTTATCGATACCGTCACAAACAATCGGTTGATGATTGTTGGTGTTGACTACCAGCCCGGAGGTCAAGGCGCATACCAGCCCACAAACAGCCAGGATGCACTCACAGATGCCGATGTCTGTCTGCGGGATGCCGTCCTCATGCAGAAGTTGGGTGTGAACACTATTCGTGTCTACAATCTTGACCCGTCTCTGGATCACTCCATGTGTGCCTCCATTTTCAATGCAGCTGGCATCTACATGGTCCTCGATGTCAACTCGCCACTACCTGGAGAGAGCATCAATCGCTTGGAACCGTGGACGTCGTACAACAGCGACTACCTCAACCGTGCGTTTGGCATCATTGAGAACTTCATGGGCTTTTCCAACACCCTTGGATTCTTCTCTGCAAACGAGGTCATCAACGACTTGTCTACGGCTGAGCACAACCCACAGTACATCCGTGTAAGTCCGAGCCGCCATTGATTTGGCTTGACTCGCTGCTAACACAGATGCAGGCCGTTCAGCGTGACATGAAAAACTACATCGCCAAACATGCTAAACGCCCCATTCCTGTCGGCTACTCTGCTGCTGACGTTCGTGAGATTCTACAAGACACTTGGGCATACATGCAATGTATCGACAACAACGACAACTCGTCTTCAGACTTTTTTGGTCTGAACTCATACAGCTGGTGCAATGGCGACAACTACCAGACCTCAGGGTACGACGGTCTGGTTACCATGTTCAATGGTTCTGCGATTCCCGTATTTGTAAGATTCATATACTACATACATTTCCTGTAGGCTCACAACAAACAGTACAGCGAATACGGCTGCAACCGCATCATGCCCCGCCTTTTCGATGAAGTCCAAGCTCTTTACGGTCCCAACATGCGTGCACTTTCCGGTGGCCTCGTCTATGAGTTTTCAGCAGAATCCGCTAACTACGGGCTCGTACAAATCAATCAAGACGGCTCCGTCAAGCTTCTCGCCGACTACGACAACCTGCAATCTCAGTTTAACAAGCTCGACCTGAGCGCCCTTGAATCTGCAAACCCACAATCCACCAGCATCAAAGCGCCCGACTGCTCGGCCAGCCTCATCTCAGCGCAAGACTTTAGCAAAAACTTTACAATTCCTGCTATCTGTCCCGGCTGCCAAGCCCTCATCGACAACGGAATCGAGAACCCGAAGAGAGGTGCCTTCGTCAAGGTCGACAACATGCGGGTTTCGCAGAAGGTTTATGGAAGTAATGGTCAACAAGTTAACGATTTGACGCTTGATGTTGTGTCTAACGATGGGTCTAACACGCCTGGCGGCGACAACACGACTCCAAGCGGTACAGGCAGTTCGAACAGCAAGCCTAGTCAGACAGGTAACGAGGCATCGCCGTCGCAGACAACAAAGGGCTCGGCTTCGCGAGTCGGAGGCAGCTGTCTTTTGGCACTGTTGTCAGTGTTTGCGTTTGCCCTCTTCTTGTAGAGAGGACAGGCAGCATCACGATCTCATGACTAACTATTTCCACCTGCATTTACTTAATGATAGCTCGGATTATGATACGACATTTTTTCACGGCCGCGCAAGCTAATGAGGTAACGGTTTGAATAAAAAGAGGGATCTGGCGAGGATGGAAAATGCGCGTTTCTTGCATATTTTCTGTGTATATACTCCGTACATAGGTTTTTAGCATCTAATGTGTATATACAAAAACATGATAAGGACCTATCTCCCCTTGCTCCACTCAGATACAGGTATCTCGAGACGCGCCGTATTCTAGCCTCAGCCCAGTTCTTTGAAAAGACAACACATCGAAGACTAGTTCCCCATCACGCAGCAACGACTTTATAGTCTCCAACGTATATTCAACATTTGTATACATGAGCCCGATTCCCGCTCTGTATCATCAAAACTTCTCCGCCGCCTGCAACTGATATTTAACCCTTCAAGTGTAAGAACCTGTGACCCTGTATGCAGAAGCGGTTATATTGAGGCGATAGGAGTCGCGATCTGCACTTCCCACGAAAGAATATAAAGCAATATAGGAGAGCCATGGCAGCCTAAACATCGACAACGATCTTTCTCCAGCCTTCAAAAGACCAACTATATACTGAATACACATAAATGAAGGGATTGCAAGCATTGCTAGAATATTTAGCAAAATCAGGCTTACACCAAGGAACCAGAGACTGTATACTCCCCTTGATCGATTCTGACCATTCACCATTGAGGGAATGACGGCTACGTACGGCTGCGGCGCTCTTATGGCATCATCAACGAAACCGTTTAGTCGCTGCAGAAGCGCAAGAGAGACATAGGAATCTTACCCATACAAAATCTTGGTATCCGGGCTATAGGGAGATAGTCCAGTCTGGACCAGTTCGAACACTCGTTGAACGCAACTATCGCTTTCGTCTTTTCCTTTGGCCTTGACAGATTCCCGAACGCATATACGACTATAGTCCCACAACAGCTTCCTTGCATATTTCCAGGTCTGAAATTGGCAGTTGCTGTTTGACACTTGGGATCTCCGTAACCTCTACTGTAAGAGGTGCTGCGCGTGTACAACCCCCGTAGTATCTAGTAAGATGCGATTGAACTTGAGGATAAGTACCCACAAGTGGCTCTTGATTGCAGCGTCATGTATAGCGGCCTCGTATGTATCGCCAAGGCATTCTAGTTGGTCAATCTCTCGCGCGACCATTGCCATCATGTGAAAGAACTCTGGGGGGACAATTTCAAGCTACAGGCTTCTGATAAAGTAACATTCGAGGTTTTATACATCCAATAGCAGAAGTTCCCGCTCTGTGACTAGCGGCAGTGAAGACTAATGATTTACAAGATACAAGAATGATACTTTATATATTCGTATAGATCCGTTGATGCTGATTAGGTACGACCCATAGTGTGTGATTGGCTGCTCTTCGGCTGCATCTTTTTCAAGTCCGCCAACTATTTTCGAGAACAGTGAGCTATCGCAATAGAGTGGCACAGGGCTAGATGATGGCTGCGCTGTATCAGTATCAAGGTTTTCGACAACATCGAAAATTGACTGCCAGTATCATGTAATCCCTCCAGTTTTAGAGGAGGCTTGCAACGAAGGATTAAAATTGTGAAAAGTTTTATCATTAACAACTCAAAGACTAAGGATCTCTTTATAAGCGACAGCAAGAGCACTTGGGTGCTATAAGATGCTTAACATACTAGTGTAAAAAGGCTACTACAGTTGCTACACACGCCGATTAGGTGCTTAGCTACCCGGTCAAGCATTTTATGACAACCTGGTGATGGTGTACTCCTGGAGAGTCGGGGTGGCGTTCCTGGAATACCGGTAGTGTTTAAGCTAGGTCATATCCGGTTAGCTGACCTTGAACTCGCGACCGCCGAAAAAGTGAGTCGCCAGCTGCGATCTTTGTGGCGGCAACATGTTTGGGGAGCTCGATCCTAGCGGCAGCGACTGTGCTCCACTCTGAATACTGCAAGTAATCGTGGGTGGACAAGTCCGTGCCGCTGACTGCAAGCGTGCCTGGGAATGACGCTTTAGGTCTACAGTGTGCGTAAACGTCAGCCTCGAGCGGAGACGCCTCCCCAAGCCACCGCGTAGTGCAATCGGCCTCTTGCCGCCGCTTATTGTTTACGATGTCTCATCACGGTACCACAGGTCTAGCAAGGGTCTTTGAGGCTCTAATTGATAGTGTATCTCGTTAGCTATGTCGAGATTTCATGCATCACGGGCAAGCCGAGGTGGCTACTTCCGTTCCCAAGGACGAGGGCAGTCAACACCTTTGCTATGCCGTCATGATAAGACTGCACCCAATGAGCTCTGCCGAGCTAAACCTCTGCCGTCTTGGATCTTGGAGCCACCCAACGGACAAGGCTTAGATCAGGGATTAGATCGTTGTCTTTGGTCGCTTACATCCGCTTTCACGGTAGCGCGACTTCGCTAGGACTTACCCCCGCATACGTATAATACCTTTGACCCATGGTACACTTCTTGTCAATCATCGCATTACTTGGAAACATCCAGTCAAGGCGCAGTCACCCGATATCGTAGTCCGATTCACAGTCGAGATGGATGCCAGTCTCTCCGATCGTAACAAGGCGCATCTCAGCGACGAAGATAAGATTCCCGTTGAAAATTCGCACTCCAAAGTCGAAATCCCAATCTACAATGACGTCGAGCGCGTCGACCAAACCGATCTGTCTTTCGCTGCAATCCTCAAGGGCACAGCTGCCAACCCACTCAATACGTTCGAAAAGAAAGCGGCGCTTATCAATGTCGAAATCGACAAGTTTGGTATGGGGAAATACCAGATATGTATCTGGTTCTTGTGTGGATTTGGATATTTCCTTGATCTTGCATGGTCACAGGGTGTTGGTCTAATTGCATCGGCAATCTACCAAGAAGTCAGTATGTACCAGCTGTCTTTGGGAGTATCTGCTAAATCAAAAATCAGATGGGAGTCCCAGACAAAGATACGGGAAACATCTATGCCATTGCGAACGCAGGCTTAGCTGTCGGTGCGCTCGGTTTTGGCCTCGCTGTCGACATCATTGGTCGTAAATGGGCCTTCAATCTGACTTGCCTGATCACCTCGGTGTTCGGGCTCTTGCTGGTACGTTCCTGTATTAGCATCCTATGCTTCAAATTACTGAAGAATGAACAGGCTGCTCCCAAATATAACTATCCTGCAATATGTGCGATCTACTTCCTTGCGTCGCTTGGTCTTGGAGGTAACATTCCAATCGACGCGACCATCACCCTCGAATTCCTACCGCATAACCGCCGATTTCTCGTCGCGCTTCTATCTATGTGGCAACCAGTCGGTGTTGCCATTGCATCTTGCATCGCTTACGGTACAACGGCCAAATGGCGCTGTGACCCCACTTTGAAGTCCTGCCATGATGTCAATCCTGGAACCGAATGTTGCACCGTCGGTAGTAACATGGGTTGGCGCTACACTGTGATAGTTCTTGGAACTATGACTTTGGCGGTATTCTTCGCTCGTTACTTCATTTTCACTTTCCATGAGTCGCCCAAGTTCTTGCTTGCGAGAGGCAGGGAGGCAGAGGCTATTGAGATCCTCCATAAGATCGCAAAGTATAACAAGCAGCCGCCTCCGACGTTGACCCTGGAGATGTTCGCTGCTATCGATGAAGCGTCATCAAATGCCACTTCTGCCACACAGGGTGCTGTAGACGAGCCTCAAAGTACTACAGCAACTACCAAGAAGGTTGTCAGTGGGTTTGGAAAGGAATTGACTCGATTGAAGGGCATTTTCACGAACAGACTTTCTGCCTTTATATTTGTATTGCTCGCGATTACCTACATGGTGAGTCAATCTTTAACATTTACAGTCTAGTGATACTAACCCAACTATAGGGAGACTACTGGTCTTTCAATCTCGCCGGTAGCTTCCTCCCGATTATTCTGCTACGAAACAACGTCGACAACGGCAGAGGCTCCGTGTCTGACACGTACGAGCAGTACCTGATCATCTATTTTCCGGGTATCATTGGCGCCGTTCTCGCTCTTGTATCTATTCAGTTGCCTCTGGTTGGTCGAAAATGGTCGCTTGTCTTCTCTGCCATTTGTCAAGGGGTTTCTATGGCGATGTACACTCAGGTGTCCACGACCGCAGCTTACGTTGGCTTGAACGCTTTGGAGTACATTATGCAAACTGTAAGTTCACCAGTGAAAAGAAATCTTCGACCGTGCTGAACGACAAATAGTACTTCAATGCGGTGTTGTATGCTTCTGCTCCAGAGCTTTTCGATACAGTCTATCGCGGAAGCGTCAGCGGAATGCTCTCGTGCATGGGCCGTCTGGCCGGTATCGTCGCCCCGTATGCCGGTGCTCAATTTCTTGCAGAAAAGAGTTCTGGGATTCTTTGGTTAGGTGCTGGTGGCATCTGGTTGTCGGCACTGCTCATGTGCTTCTTGCCCGTTGAAATGAAGAACAGACAGATGTTTTAACACTTGACGCTTAGTTCCAATGTCAGCATCAATATTGTAGAGGTTAGATACTCCAGCTATAGAAAGCAATGAAGAATCAGGAACGGAAAGCGGGTTCCGTGGAAAGATTCTGTGCTAGGCCTGACTTGTACTAGTGAATATGTGGTGACGTCTTTTCCATCTGTAAGCGCCTTGGTACCGTCGCTCATGTGGGCCGACGACACCATCTCAGATCTTGCATCTCAACCGTTGGATATGGGCGACGCTTACCATGTTCCCTCTAGCACCTCATAGTCGTGTCTGACAACTACAGTGGCGTTTGTACTCTAGTATATTAGGTATTGTATGTCACCCGAATGCTAGTCATGATTTACTGGAACAAAGCAGAGTTTGAAGTAACCTCCCTCCCCGCGGGTAGAACATCCCACCGCGCAGAACCATGAAAATCTTCAAGCAACACCACTCTTCATCCCACGGTTCTATAAAGCTTAAACAAACACAGTGATATACCTTAGTAAAATTACAATCTG